TAAAACGGCCAACCTTGTTTGGCTTCTGCTCGGCAACGAGAGCTCGCTGGAAGAGACCGCTCTTGGCGATTCTTGAGGCCTCAGTGGCAGACAAGTCAGAAAAGCGGAGCCACGAGAAGGCACCAGCTTCCTTAGCAGATAGGGCGATGTTGTCCGGGCTCCATACATTCATCAGATTGTCTAGGTAGCGTCCCTTGAAGCCAGCCTTCTGGTTATCTGGTCCAGCAAGCTCTAGCCGGCCACCCTCGCGGCCCACAAGTCGTGGCAAAGGGTACTCGATCAAGTTGCGTGTAGAGTATCCTATCCTGACATTTTGGCCTTCGCGTAGGAAAGAGGCAGTTTCGGCGAAAGAGGCGAAAGAGAAGGGTGACCAGGTATCGGCTCGCTCAAACAGATCGGGGTGGTTGCAGACCTTCCTGAACTGCATGACCAAGTTCATGAGGGTTGCACTATCCTGCTCGTCTCCGACTGCCTTCTCGACTAGATCCATGATGTTGATCTTTGAACGGAGGTTGGCGTAGTAAGCACGCTGTCGGTATGTCAGGTCGCAGTAGACGTCAAGCTCGATCTTGTCTCCAAGTTCCTTCTGCACATGCTTCTTGACACGACGCAACATGAATGGCTTCAAGATCATATGCAGTCGCCGCAGTTGATCTTCGTTGAGCTTGGTGTTACTCTGTGCGTGACTCTCAATGTCCTTGGAGAACCACTCGCTGAACTCGTCGTGAGAGTCGAACAAGCTAGGCATGATGAAATGAAGAAGAGCCCACAGTTCCTGCATGTTGTTCTGGATAGGTGTACCCGTCAGCAGTAGCCTGTTACGAGAATGGAAACCGAGTAGACTCTTCCATCGAGAACTCTGCGAGGATTTGATAGCTTGAGCCTCGTCGAGGATCATGTATTGCCAACGCATCTTCTGGAAGTATTGTGCATCCTGAACGACCAACTGGTACGAGGAGACAACAACGTGGAAGGGAGAGTCGCGGGTGTATGTAACGTGCTTCCTGTCCCAGAGTTTACGGAGAATCTTCCGGTCCTTCGCGGTACCCCAGTAGGGGATGACGTTCAGATCTGGCACAAATTTCGTGATTTCCTGTTGCCAGTTGTGAAGTGTCGATGCCGGCGCGATGACAAGGAAGGGTCCCCAGATGTTGTATCTCTCAGCAAGATATGCCATGACCGATATCGATTGGACCGTCTTTCCAAGACCCATCTCATCAGCAAGAATACCGTTGATACCTTGTTCGTACAAGTTTACGAGCCAGTTGAGACCCTTCAATTGGTACTCCTTGAGCGTACAATTGAGGAGACCTGGTTGGGGGATCCAGTCTTCCTTGTTCTGTAGACCAGACGGGTTCTGGAAGTTCATTTCGCCATCCTCTTCGTCGTCACCAGACTTATTGAAGGCGCGGGCACGGTCTTGGGCTTGCTGAATAGCATGTTGGGCATTCGCCATGGCAGCTGCGTTGAGGGCGGTCTCATCCTCGTTGTCGAAGTCGAGATCCTCGAAGTTGGTGACCTTGGCGCCTCCTTCCGCAGACATCTCTCCAACATCGATGCTAGGCTTGGCTGCTGCTTGTGGATCAGCTGCAGCAGCGTCGGCATCATCGGTCGAGCGCTCAATCTCATCTGTCCTGGCCTTCTTTCCGATGAAATGAGAGTAAAGTTCAGTCTGTGAGATAAGGAAGTTCAGCTTCCGCTTCTGTCGGTTTGCTTCACGATCGGCTTCAGCCTTCTTCGCATTCTCCAACTCTTGACGCTCGGCATTCTTTCGAGATTCGCGCTCATCGCGTTCATTTCTCTTCCAGAAAGCAAGCATCTCACGCATACCTCGCTTGGCCCTAGCTTGCGTATCCTTCTGGTTTTTGTTTGTACGCATCTGCCATCGGCGAGCCTCCTTCGCGGCCAGTTGGGCGGTCTTTCGGAGGTTCGATTGCTTTGTCGACAATGAGTTCTCCTTGATGCGGACAACCTTGGGAACGTCCTTGCGAGCCAAGTCTTTGACGATCTGGTGGTAGAGGTTACGGTATACGGACGAGTCGTAGGAAGTCAAGACGACAGGGCCCAGGTCCTCTGTATAGCTACGACCGCGTAGAGAGTCAAGGCGTGCTTCCTCGCGCGGCGCGATCACAGGAAGATCATCTCCACGGTCGATAGCGGCCTGACCGGCTGCGGCAGCATCCTTTTCGGCCTGCTTTTGCTCCTTGCTCTTCTTAAGACGCCCGGTGCCACGGTTGCCCTTGCGCTTTCCACCTGCGAGGTCATCCGAGGCTTGGAAGGAGCTCATAGTACCTCCCTCCATATTCGGTCCATGTGGAGTGACCTCGCGGATGTCCTTGCTAGGGGCATTACCTTGCAGAAGCTGAGTGGTAGTCTTGGCCTTGCGCTCGGCCTTCTGTGCAGCCAGCAGGTGTCGTTCCTTTTCTTCCTCGTTCTCAGCCTGACCTGCCTTTGCCAAAGCTTCTGCCCGCTTAGCTTCCTCATTCTGTATGGTCTTCTCCCGCCTTCGCTTGCGCTGCATGTCCTTCTTGCGCTCCTTCTCTTCAGCGATCTCCTGGCTCTGAACTTGCTGCCATGCATCGCCCTCGTGTTCGACGTTGTATGAATGCTTCGCGTAATCGCGGTGGGCAGCGGACACGTCTTGATAGCGTGTTAAGAAAGCAGTGCGTCGCTTCTTGCGCTTATTCGCCTCCGCAGTTCCGACTTCTAGAAGACGCTTTTGGCTCTTCTGCTTGAAGTCTTCGAGATCGCGTGGGGTGGCTGACTCGTCGATGTCGCTCATCTGCTTTGTCTCGATGTGTGCCAGGGCTGCCTCAATCTCGGCTTCGTCTGGCGCAGGCAATTCGCGAGTTGCGGACTGCAGCGGGGGTTGTATGGTACCGACCGGCGGCATTGCATCATATCCTCGCGGAGCATACCCATTTTCCTGATGGGGTAAATCAGCAGGCGCTGGGGAAGGCATTGCTTCTTGCTTGACAAAGTGGGAGGTTGGCAGAGGTTTTGATGTCTGATACGCATCAGCGGCGAGGGGAAGGGGTGGCTGAGCCTTGGGAGGAGGTTCGTTGTCGGCGCCGGAGGACATTATGCTCGAGAGTGACATGGGGTCGGCACGCGTTTGCGTTTGCGGCGGCGCCTGTAGTAGTGGTAAGCTGGGGTGATGGAGCGTCTGGGTCGCGCGTTTACTTACCTCCTCCTTGAAAGACGGCCTCCTCGCGTAGTCCGGTGGCGGCTGTACGGCTCCTCGGTTCATCGACTGATAAACCGAGGGCGACACGGGAGAGTGAGACATGGCCTCCATACTGCCGACGTGCTGGTGTTGCGAATGCGGGCGCTGCAGCGGCGAGTGATGCGCGTATGTGGTCGTGACGGGTGACTGATAGACCTTGTCGTAGGGGGATTGTGCCGACCGAGTCTATAGGAGGGTTGACGTTAGCCGCGTGTCCCTGCGTTGGGGATGGAGCAATGATGGCGATGATGAAGCAATGTATAATAGGGATGACGGGGGGCATAGTGATGAAAGACGTACCTGTGCAGGATATTGAGTGTTGGTAGTGGTGTCGTAACGCGCCGGGTCCCTGGCTACACCTCGCTCTCCATTGTCCGAGGTCGGGTCGTAGTATCTGGACGTGTCGCGAGAATAGAGGGCCGTGCTGATGGGCGGCAGCTCGGTGGTGTTGGGAGAGTGTTGTGCAGGATGAGGGTGTGGATGGGGATGGTGCAGGTTTTGGTGGAGAGGCAAGGGCGCTGGTGTGTTTGGCGAATGGTGTTGGTATGGTTGGCCTGCCTGTGTCGGCGATCTGTGGTAAGCTGCTGGCGTAGGTTCCCCTTGGTGCCCTGGCGGCTTTCTTTCTCCTCGCGAATGCTCCTCCCCATCATCGACGGTCCGCCGCAGGACCGGATCGCGAAACATCAGGACAGCGCGTACGGGAGACTAGAGACGGCGAAACGGCTGCTCCATGGACAACTAAATGCAGGCACTGGCGGTGGGGCGCGCAGGGAGCGCGGCGGCGACGGCAGGACGAATGCGCCTTGGGCGTGTGCCTCGAGATGGTCGTCTTGGGATTCGCGATGTGGATGCGACGGCGACAATGAGATGGAAGAGGGAAGATGGGATGGGGGTTGGTGTGGAGCAGCTTGCGCGCTGTCTAGATCACACACGAACGGTTGGCAAGTCAGCGTCTGCTTAGTGCGGCTGCGGCAACTATGTCCTGGAGCAGCTCCGGGCGTGATGCAGACCCGCGATGAGGTTTGATGGAGAGGCTGCGACCGGCTACGAGCAAGCAGATATGTATCACACGAGGCTGCGGAGCGCGATGAGGATGTCTGGCATGGCCGCATTACTCGTGGGGACCTTCATCGCGACTCTGCTCCGCTACTGGGCATGCCTCTTAACAAAGCACCTGAACCCCATCTCTCGTAGGAGCATACACGCCCAGATGGGGTGCATCGACCAATAAATCGCCTGCATGGAAACGGCGCCGTGCAGCGTGCAGCCCCTTCTCGTTTGTGGCTACCTGTTTCCTCTCTATTCTGAATCACCGTATTCTGCTGCCACGCGTGTCCACGCCTAAGCTTTTCTTATTTCCAATCTCAGCACCTGCAACTCTTCTCTGCTCCGCGTGCCGGGTTGAGGCGTTGCCAGCTTCGGCTAATCTACCACGAGCCTCTGGACCTGCGGACGTGCGCATCTCATTTCCTCTCCAAATACATCCGATTCCTGGATGCCGCCTCGTCCCACCCAGTCTTTCGTGCACGCAATGATATCAACAGCCGCGCAAAATGAACAGGGCAGAACGTTGGGGCTGCAACTTCCCATTGGGTGAAGCCTCACCACGACGGTGACGGAAGGCGCGACCATGCCGCGAAGAGCTCTAGCTTCTTCAGTATTAGCGCGGCCCGAGCGTAGATCGCGCTAAAACTCTGGGCGGTATCAATTCTCGAACTTTTTTGCAAAGGCGCATCCACACCGTCGAGCGCAGCAACAACCATACAAACTCGCCATGGCTTCCGTATACAAGACCCTGTCCGGCGCGGAGAAAGACGAGAAGGAGATGGGCGAGAAGAGAAACAAGCAGCGAGTCCTCATTCTGGTAAGATTTCACGCGCGGCGCAAAGTAAGACCCATTCTAATCGACGGTAGAGTTCAAGAGGTGTTACCTTCCGACACCGACATTTGCTACAAGACTTGTACTCGTTGATGTGAGTAATTCTGCGCACCACGGAACATCATTTACTCATCTCATGAAAGGCCCCACAGCCGGAAAGAGGCCAAACTCGACACCAAGACTAAGCTCTACCAACTCAATGAACTGGCAGAACTCTACAATTGCAACAATATCCTCTTTTTCGAAGCCCGTAAGGGTAAGGATCTCTACTGCTGGATGTCCAAGCCACCAAATGGCCCTACTGTAAAGATGCACCTGCAAAACTTGCACACCATGGAAGAGCTTAACTTCATCGGCAACTGTCTCAAGGGATCGCGGCCAGTTCTTTCTTTCGACGCTGCGTTCGACAAGCAGGCTCATTTGCGCGTGATCAAGGAGCTCTTCACCCAGATTTTTGGCGTCCCCAAGACGAGCCGAAAAGTCAAGCCTTTCGTAGACCACGTGATGGGCTTCACAGTTGCAGATGGCAAGATCTGGATTCGCGTATTTCAAATCAACGAAAGTGAGCCTGGAAAGAAGAAGCCTATCGACGGCGAGGAGATGGATGTCGACGAGGCGCCCAAGAAGAAGAAGGGCGGTGAATTCGATGTCAGCCTTGTCGAGATCGGTCCCCGTTTCGTACTTACCCCCATCATCATCCAGGAGTCCAGCTTCGGAGGTCCTATCATCTACGAGAACAAGGAGTTCGTCTCGCCCAACCAGATCCGTTCCGACTTGAGGAAATCAAAGGCCGGCAGATTCAACAGGAGGACCGATGCGCAGAGGGATACGCTACTCAAGCACCAAGATCTGGGACTTACGTCGCACGGTGGGCGCAAGAAGGAGAAGGATCCGCTCAGCGACAATGTACTATTCGCGTAAGATTGATGGCAATGTTTCGAGGGAAGGCAAAAATGGCGTTTATGGGATGCATAAATATAGGTCGGCGTCGATTTCTGGCTGGGCACGTGCCCATATATAGCGATATACCCAAAAGCTATCGTCTAATGGGTAGCTCATTATAGAGCCGCCGTTAACCCAAGTGTGATTGTGTTCTTGGTGGTATCAGAATTCAGATCGTTCAGGACTAACCCGTTGCATTTTGCGCTGCCATGCTCTTTTCCAGAGCATCTTTATAGTCATCATCAACACCACTTACAACTGGGTTCCTGATTCCATACAACGCCCTGAAAGGATCAAGCACCAGCTGTGTTTGCGCAAAATGATTCTCATCCTGTACTCGATGTACTCGTCCACTCGGGAACCTTACGCGACTTATCGCGCCATCTATAAGATGTATGTGCAGCCGATGCAACTGTGGTGCAACAACCAACAAATCAACCAACTCGCGCACCTTACCCTGTATACCAGCTGGCAAGCCCCTTCCACCGCAGTTGTATTTGATCATGCCCGTATAATCATCCACAGATTCAACATTGATGATATAATTCCTGATCCTCAGCAGATTCCTCTGCGAAAAGTGATCCAAGAACTGATACGTCCGATTCGGCGTAAGGTTATTTGCAGTGCGCCAACGGTACCGAAAGTTGATCGCATCGAACGTCACATCAATCACAAATGTGTTATCTCCATATAGCATATCCGCTGCCTCTTCATGTACTTGTCGTGACACGGCTAGTAGGTTGATACTTCCGCGTCGCCAGACTATGTCGTTGCCTGTTTCGCGCTCCGCCTTTGGCAGAGTGCGTTGCATGCGCCAGCCCCCATCACCGTTTTTCTGCCGCACGAAGGTCAGATTGTATTCGGATTTGGGGGGTGGGTCGGCGGGACGCTGGAAACGCACTTCGAAAGTTGTCGTGTGGGGGAGGACGGAGCTGTATATAAGGCGTCTGAGCTCGATTGGGAGGCGGAGAAGCGGGGGTGGCTGCGACGGCGTGTTGTTGGAGTAGGACGGCATCTTGTGCTCCTTGTGGACTGACATTTGACCTGCAGCTGCGGACTGTGAAGCTATGCATGCCTCTGTGTAGTTTACTTCATGTTCGTTGACGCCATCGCTGCTGTCCCGCCTCTCCACGCCGATTGGCCCCCACAATCCGGGTTAGCCCCCCTTGGCGGCATCCATCACGTCCATAGTCGTCACGACCGATGCCTCCTTTCCTTCTCCCCAACCACTAACGATGACACTCGTTAACGACAGCTCATCGGAGCTCGCATTCACTTGCACCATGTCTTTCCAGGATGTCGTCGCGTTTTCTACTCATAGCCCCAACGGAGGGGTCCGATTTGTTTGAACCACGAGATACGTATCGGTGTAGAGGCAAGATAGCTGCACACCGGTTAGATCGATAGATCATACTCGAAGAAAGACTTCGAAGGACTGTGACAATTGATACGAACTTCTCGCTCTGTCACAGGAAAGAGCTCAGAACCCAAACGGGTTGAAACACACGTTAACCTGAAAGTTTATAGGTAAGTTCAACGGTACCTGTGATACTTCAGGGCATAATCAGAGAGACTCAATGCTGATAGTCAAAACTCCAGAAAATCCAACCCCAGATTTACCCTACGCCCGCTCCAAGATGCTATTCGAAGACCTCGCAACCGAACTGGTCGTGCAGGTGTTCTTATCATGCCGCTCTGTCACCGACGTGACAGCTCTATCTTCCACCTGTCGTCGTTTCCGCAATATTTTTACCTCGTCTCAAAAGCTTCTTATCCTCGAGAATGCCGCCGAAACGCAATTCGGACCGCTGGAGGACCTCACCCAGCTTCTCACCCATAATGCCAGCCAGCCTGCGCACATTGTTCGCACCGTTCCGTTCTCTCTAGCGCTGCTTAAGCAGATTGTGCATCATGGGCGTGTAGCTGAGAAGTGGTGCGACATATACCCGTTCAAGAAATGGAAGCACAACTATGAACTACGCCGACTCTTGACCACGGAGGAGCGCTATGTTGTGAGGAGAGCCATTTACAGGATTTGGCTTTATTCACGCGCCTTTCACAATCGCGAACACCCACGCGAATTCCGTGCAACAAGACTCGTTCTACTCAAGCGTGCGGCACTCCTACACAACTGGAGTACATGGGAACTAGCCGAGATCGCCGACGTCCATCGCGTCATACGGGAAGTCGTACAGAGCAACGTCTGCCCATCTAACGGCACCATTGCCCGGAAATTCAAGAAAAGGCATCCTGGCAACGAGCACTCTCTGCTCTTCAACAACATCCACCTCAACTACCCACCCACAGCCCCCCAAGTTTTCAATCCCTTCACGCCTAATCCTCTCTCCGCGCACTTTAATAACACACCAACCTACACCTCGCGCTACGCGGCATCGAAGTTCTCTCTCCACCCATCCCACGAAGTCGGCGCTGAAGGCTGGGGTGATGACATTCCCCATTACTACGTTATCGAGGATTACATGAAGCTCGATCCCGCTCAAATATTGTACCTAAAGGAACATGCACCACTAAAAGGCATGGTAGAGGGTTATGTGAGGAGCTTGTGTCCGGAGTATGATTGGTTCACTAATAATGGGGAGACGTGGGTGCAGACGTTGGAGTTTGTGCTCGATGAGCGTGGAGAGGATGTTGGAGATTTTATGGGAGCTATTGCGGAGGGTCAGGCTGGTGTTGCCGTCATCGAAGTGTAATTTCCAGGCATTTGGTGATTGATGAAGAAATGGACAGTGTACCTTCGGATCTCACACCATCGCACGGTACGGCTTAGGCTAAACAGTATACGGAGATGTAACGAAACTTAGCTAGAGGCAAGTCACTATTGCCCTTGTGTATCCCACTGGTTCTGTCTTGATTTGGAGGTATTCCAGAGTCTCTAGGTAACTGACTGTTGCACACACATCCAACTTGGTGGCCTCATTCTGCGCTATCAGGTGGGTAGCCGTCAACGTCAGTCTCCGACAGTGCCGGGCGGCGAAGTGATAAAGGAAGCTAGATTGTCGTCTAAGCCTGTACGCTTGTACCTAGGATTGTGGCTTGGCAACGAAATGGGCGACGTTTCTTGGATGAAAGAAGACAGATGAGCCGATCTTTGCAGCAAGCCGCACAACTATTCGGGCCTTAGTGTTTGCAACCTGCCTAATTCTGTGCCGGTGAAGCAGACCTTGGAAGTCTTGTCAAGTCAGGTGGGGCGCTTTTATACGAACGCGACGTGTTTAAACTCACGCAACGATCTTGAGGTATGCTTCTGGAGAAACTCGTGTTATTGCTGGTACCTCAGTTTTCGTTTCAAAAAAGATAAAGTTCTGTTACACCAGAGGTAGCTATAGACTGTTTCGCTTTTCTTACATTAGGAGTAATCTTGTCGGTGGCCCCTAGTGTTGGGCAAGCGTCAATGACGTCAGGCCCCCTGAAGCCTTCCCCAGCCACCACAGAAGCCGTATCCGCTGCATCCGCAATATGCAGCATATGCCACCACTTTGCAAATGGCTATGAAACCAGTGTATCGGTCACAGCGTTTCTTTTCTCCGTAGGCGGCTGTCAAGGATGTTCTATCATTCTTAAGGCTCTTGATGCCGTTACCGATATTCGACGACCAGAGTTCAAAAATATCAAAATCAGACGCATAGAGGCGGAAGACCATTGGCACTTTTTGGACCCCAAGAATGTATTGCGTATACAATGTGAGCAAGAAGGTAAGCCATATGGGGGGAGGGTGTTATTTGGTCGGCAGTATGTGGATTCAAGGCCAAACGATTATGAGATTTATACTCCAATCAGTGAGTGCTTCCCATTACTATGATCCTAAAGTTTCCCAAGCAAACTACATGTATGTTGTGGCGATGTGAGGGCATAAGGCTAAAGACCGAACAGGTGCGGGGGAAGACTCTGCCATTCCATGGCTAGGTCTGCGGAATGGTTCAAGAGATAGGTATCGAGAGCAGTCAAACAGCCTGGAAGACCGCTTGAATGAAGCACGGATTTGGTACGAGGATTGCAAGGCCAATCATCCGCTTTGTGTGCCGCGCAAAGACGGATGGCCACGCCGAATCCTTGACCTCTCAGCTGACTCTGTTCGCCTCGTTAACACTGAAGCAATTGAGTCAACATCATCGCAACTACAAGAAGGCTACGCGTGTCTCAGTTACGCATGGGGAACTAATGGGAATCTCAAAACTCTGAAAGACAATTTAGAATCACACATGCAGGGTATCGATGTCCACACACTCCCCCGTACTCTCGCCGATGCTGTTCATGTCTCTCGGGCCTTTGGCTTACGGTACCTATGGGTAAGGCTGCAGAATTCTACAAGAAACAGACCGGAGACTGACTGTGCAATAGATCGATGCACTATGCATCATTCAAGATGATGTACAAGATTGGATGGATCAGATCCCACGCATGTCATCTATTTACCAAGGAGCCGAACTTGTCATTTCAGCGCAAGGTGCCTCCAGCGTCCAGGAGGGATTTCTCAGTCTAGGTTCAGCGGCGAATGCACCCCTGAAACGCATCGAGGTACCCTTCCGCATGCCAGACGGGGATCTTCGCACAGTCAAACTCTCAATTCGCGAACAAGAGCAGAAATATCATAACGTTCCGGCGCATCATTCGTCTCGACCGAGGGTCGATGACGAAACTCATATTGATGATGTCCTCGTTCCTCTCACAACCCGCGCGTGGGTTTTCCAGGAGGGCTTTCTAGCACGTAGGATTCTATATGCTACGCCATCTGAACTAGCTTGGGAGTGTAGCAACCACGAAAGATGCGAGTGTCGTGTCTCTCCAACGGAAGGCTCCACTCGTCTAGCTCTAGATTTCGATGAGTACGGACTTATACGCACATTGGGTCAATTAATTCGTGCAGATAGTCTCAGATCGGCTGAGCAACCCCTCAGTAGCAAACTGAAATTATGGGCCGAAGTCGTGCAAAGGTACTCACACAAGAACCTGACTAGGTGGACGGATCGTTTGGCTGCGATACAGGGTGTAGTTGAGGCCTTGGCTCAAGCCATGCCAGATGATTTCACCACTGAGAATTACTTGTTCGGACTTTGGAAGCCAAAACTGGAAATTTTCATGCTTTGGAGTCGACATCCAAGGACTCCGGGAGACTCTGCGACAGCTGCGACGTTGAGACAAATTGCGCCATCGTGGTCCTGGGTGACAAGCGTTGGAGAGGTGTCGTACTATGGCTCTATCTTCGAGCCCAATGCTGAGATTGTGACACATGTCATTCGCGTCGAGCGGGAAGAGTCTAACACTTTGGATACCAACGTCTTCGGAGCTGGCCACTGTACCTTGACACTGTTCGGCTTTTGCATTCCAGTTCAGCAAGAACCACTTTATCTAAAACTCCGCCAGGAAGATCCCCTAGAAGAAGACAACCAGGGAGTACCTTTCCTCTTTCCTGAACGCTACACAGCGGAGTGGAACTATGGCCCTCCGACCATCGACATGATTCCGGACGACCCGACCGATGAAACCGTGTTTGACCGCGTGACACATTTTGTGCCCTTGGCCAGCGGTCCGCCAACGGATGAAGACGGTCAGAGATTCCAGTATCAAGGACTATTCTTGGAGATGGTAGTAGGCCCAGAAGAGGAAAAAGAACCCTACGAATGGGAGCACGGAGGTGTTGATCATGATATCAAGTTTGAGGGTACCTTCAGACGAGTTGGGTTTGGTGAGTAAATGCTCTGTACAAACTGCATGTGAAACATAAACTGACTTTGTACACCGGGTTCAGGCTACGATTATGTCTCTGAGGTACATCTTCACTGGAATAGCACGGAGGACTATATTGGCGAGCTCCGCGCTTTCAAGCTTGTATGAAAATAACGTGAATCGGTCGAAGGACTATGACATCAAATAGGGCATTACTAGAGAGTATACCCCAATATACCAAGACATATCCCAGTTCACCTCTTGTGTCAAGTTTCGCGGCCTGCACCACACATAGAAAAACTACATATTCTGACACTTCGATCCGATGGTCCAATTTATTGGTTTTTTTCCTCCTTAGTTCTGCTATATAGATAACTCGATTTGCTCGGAGAAACCCCTTTACTTCGCCATCTTCATAAGCCGTGGGGAAAGCGAAGATGGTGAGGCTGAAATCTCCTCTCCACAATCAGAGAATACTTTCTTCCGCTTGGAACCTCGCGGAGCTGAAGACGATGGCGACTCTGGCGCCTGCTCGAGTTCGTTTCCAATGGCGGCAGCGTGACTTACAAGCTTTGACAAGGCTTCAACCTTAGCTTCGCCTTCACTAGACTCACCATAGGAGTCTGTAACACGCCTAGCTAGGCGATGATACCTAGGCTTCTTCGCCTCTTGAGTAGGGGAAGTAGTCTCGTCGTCTTCACCCACGTTGATGGCGACCGCGAACCTGTTCGACTTCCGTGAGAATTTGGCTTCAGGCTCCATATTCTGCACATTGGCAGCGCATTCTCGTCGAACCCGATCTGCGGCCCGGGTCACTCGAACCTGTTGCTCCTCCACTGTCGAGGGCTTGTAACGGTCCAATGGCTCGACGCGGACCCTGACGATATCGATGAAAGCCCTACGCTCCTTGTTTCGAGCTACCTTCTCTTCCGCGCTCTGTCTAGGCGTCTTCCTCTTCCGTTTTGAAGGGTTTGTTCCTAGAGCCGAGTCTGGCTTGTCGTCCACTTCCGGCGTGTTGTTTGTGTCACAATTCCTTGAAGCACTACCACGTTGACGTAACCGCTGGGCTGCTAGCCGCTCCCTCGCATCAAGCTTTGTGTTAACAGCCTCCTCAGTCTTGACTAGCTTGCGAATCTCATGACGATAAAGTTGGGAGTACATGTTGTGAACCTCTCGTAAGACGATACTGTGAGACGGTGATCGTTCCGGCTCAGTGCCTTTGCGTCTTTCATCATGACCCGTTGTGTGGTGATCCTCCTGCTTATCGAAAGCTTCTATGATACTACTGGCCATCCTCATGGTTATTTCCTTGACATCAACGCTCCTGGAGTTGCAGCAGGAGTGCTCCGTCATATCAGACCTGTCTTTATGGTCACGTACCCTAGATATGAAGGAACCGTTGCGATTGCTAGGATCGTCAGGATCCCAGTAGATGACAAAGGTTTTATGATTACACATCCTAACCTCGGACTGATTGATCTGATGATTTCGCTTCTTCATGGATAGGAGAGCAGGAAGTTCGTTGCTGTCTTTAATGCCAAACGGCTTCCGCAAGACATAAGGCTCCTTTCGTCGGTATTGATCACGATCCTGTAAAGCCTTCTGAAGACGACTGAAGTCCACCAGATCAGAGATACTGGCTGGCACTTCTGAACTCGGTGTATATGTGCGTGTATTTGGTCGCTCACGCTCATTCTTTGTTACTTTGTCTTCCTCTTTCTTCTCATGCGGCACAAAATCTTGACTACCTCTAGCCTGAGCCATGACATCCCTAAATGAAGACCTCGTATGCGTCTTGCGGACAACAGGCCTCTCATCCTCGGACTCAGATTGATAGGCAGGCTCGGCAAGGTTCCGTAAGCCTGTGGTGTAGAGAGGTTGGAGCATACTTTTGCTCTTCATAAACGCGGCCTTGATAGCGTTGGGACCTGAAGCTCTGGCGTATTCAGAGCATGGCTCTACCATGACATCAGGCATACTCGCAGGATACTAGTGTATTATGAGAGATCTGTATTTTTGGGTGTAGCACTAAGTTTTGGTTGAGAATACAAAGGATCTGGATCGCATTCAAGTCAAGTTTCACGGCATGATATTTGGACTGGTGTAGAAACGACCAGATGCAGCAGTGAAAGCTGAGACAAAAGATGAAATAGGTGTGCAAGTGAGCGTGTGCGCACGTGAGTAAAGAAGCAATGCGTTCCGAGACAACACCATTGTAGACATTGGTGGCCTTGAAGTAACATGATTCAGTTTCGTTTTCACTTCCGGAGGTTGTGTTGGCAAAAGGAGTGCTCGGAAGCATATGACAATGTTGCTATCAACCATCAGAAAACCGCGGGAACAACTAAACAAAGACATAGCAAAGATCACTGCACTCAGTAGCTGTAAGGTTTCGCATGGAGTAGTCTGTCTCTAATGTACAGAATGTAGGATTGTCACGGGCAGGGACAGGCGAATCAATTGTAAGAGAAAGCCTGGGAAGATATCATTCGGAACGTACCAGAGAAAGAACGGATCTAGTTCTCAAGGAGCTATCAGACTAAGCCGAGACGCCCTGTCTAGCCTTCAGATACTCTGTCAGATACTGCTTCCTGTATGGGTTGTCATCTGTCTCGCCACCCCGGTTGAGTGGCGTCCACTTTGGGTCCTCTTTGAACAGTCGCATGGCCTTGATGTACTAGAACCAGATATTAACATTCTGTTTTGCTTCAGGTCTTCAGTCACGAGCTGTACTTACGTTCTGCTCATCAGTGGTGAACCGATGGTAAATTCCAGGCGGCAAAACAATCAAATCGCCCTTCTCGAGCCGAATCCTCACCCAGTCATCGCCTTCGCTTCTGACATCGAAGTAACCCGCACCGTCAAGAATATATCGGATTTCCTCGTCCTCATGTAAGTGCTCGTGGAAGAACGACTTCACCTTCTCTTCGTAGATGTCGCCCATCTTCTCTGGGCTGACAGTGATTTCGTCCCGGTTCTTGTAGTTGCGGGATGTAGCAATGGGTTCAACATCAGGAACTTCTGGTACACTATAGTAGAGGACACCAAGCTTTTCTAGGTAGTCTGGATCGACCGAGCGACCGGAATCATGGGGTTGGCGTTGGTCGCCCTGCAGAGGTTAAGTCATGTGCCGGATGCAGAGACAAGAAAGTGGGGGCTTACGGGGAGGTCATCGAACCAGTATGCCTTCATTTTACAGTCGGTGATGTATTTGGGATGTGTATTTCACGACTCAAGCGTTGCCGTAACGTGTTGTGGAAGATGACTTTGCCGTTGGGTACGAAGGAAATAATTTGAGATGCCCAAATGCACGTGGCGAATGGCGTCATCGCGATTACCCAGCCACCACAATGGGGATAAGCCATCGACTTGAGCACGATGTTCACACAACTGCCATGCACAACGTGGGGTTTCACCATCATATGTTAGCCTTCAAATCATAGTAGCAGTACCAATCGCAGCCGCCTTCTGAGTGCGGCCTCAGTTCCTCCATGATCAGAGAAGCGAAGCACAACGCTATACGTGATTCTGCTGTGATTTAAACAACACGTTAATCAAGACAAACGGATTGAAACCTCTCTAGCTATTCGCCTAGCCATTCAGGCCAGAATTTCTCGTCATGTTGGATTCTTTTGTGCTATCTGACCACGCGCGAGATCATTTAGGCGCAGTCTTTTCTTGATAGGATATTTGTTTGGATGCTGGGAATCCAGAGCGCGCGATGACAAGGTTGCTATGCGACAGTACCTTGCGTACTATCAAGATACTGTGCGGCAGCGTCGACTCGCATGTTCAGCCTTCCTTCCAGCGCGCGGATTCGCTCCCTGGGTTCTACATGTTATACAGCGACTCAACCTCGCTGACGCCTCAGCTGATCTGACACATAATGTCTATCAATCCCAGTCTAAGTCCTCATCGTCTTGCTGCTTAGCGCTGATCTTCTGCAGTCTCCGTCTCTCGTCCTCGTCATTGACCTTGTTCCTCGCTAAAACATTCGCACGGATTAAGCGCACCTCCAAGTCGCGAGTAGTGAAGCTCTGCTCAGTGTGGCCGAGTCCCTCAAATCCGATGATGCGATCAGCTCCCACACCGTCGATGAAAGCAATGACGCATGGCAGGACTTGAATTCCCAGGCGTGTGACTAGAAAAGGGCAATTTTCCACATTGATCTTGAGGAAGCGGGCCTCATAGTGCGATACTGCGAGTGACTGTTCATCTTTAGACGACATCTCCCACAACAATGTTTGTTCTTACCTCGAGATGTGTGTCCATAATCCGGCAGCGGTTGAAGTCGGGCTTGAAAAAGTGAACGACACACAATTGCGTGCTTGTCGTGATGTCCATCAAGGCCTTTTCGTCCTTGATCTCTGTATATCTTCCATGCTCGCTCTCTTTCAAGCGCCTTGCCTTGTCAAACTCTTGATGTAATTGTTGAAGTCGTTGTTCACGGAAAGCATCTAGGTCCTCGTCGTTCTCCAGAGATGCTATGAGCGCATCCTCGTCCGAGTCGTCCTCGCGCGCTGCACGGTCGACAAGTGAGGCGACTTTGGGATCCAAGGCAGCCATTTTTTTTTGAGTTTGTCTGGGGTCGCTTGTCGTGGATCAGGGGAAAGACTACGAGGCTCGATAAGGAGAAGTCACGTGGCGATAGGCTGGCGGAGTGAAGAACGCTTTCGCACAGTCCCTCGCAGTAGTGGTGCGCAAAGCGCTTAGATCGTATACGACACACGCTATGCGCTGTATCAGGGTCTAGTAGTGAAAAATAGAACAAAACTCGTACAGGCTGCAGGGTGGTGCTGACAAGAAGTTGCTCGTGTTCAAAGGCGGCCTAGTGGCCCATGAAATTACCACTACCACAACAGAGCGACTCCAAGCCAGGGGAGAGGCCATCGTTGAGACCCACCCAATTCGCGTCCCTGCGCATCTCTCTTGCGACACCCGTCTCCTTCCTTCTGGTCCCACACTCCTGTCTTTTCTTCTTCGTTCGACTACAACCCCTCGTTTGCAGTCGTACACACGCCGCCACGTATCTGTCCTCTCCTCCGGACCTTCCCGTCGCTGCCACATATCACGACTCTACACACTCGCGAGCGTGCACACGTCCCCCTCTCCACCACCATGTCTGACGACAAGAAGAGCGACGACTACAGGGTCGATATGCCTTCGGGCAAGGAGTTCCGCGCAGCGTCACCGATGCCTCGATCAGCCAGTTCAAGCCGCGCCGGTCCATCGATAACAGAGAACCCCATTGCCGCCGTCCTGGCATACTGTGGATCTTCCATCATGATGACAGTTACAAACAAATACGTCTTGTCTGGCGTTGACTTCAACCTCCCTTTTTTCCTACTTTGCGTACAGGTACGAGCATAGTTCCGTGCAGTAGACCGCTCTTCTAATTCAGCGCAGTCTGTTGTCTGTGTAGCAGCAATCTCGACATGCAAGGCCATGGGCATCATCAACTACCGCGACTTCAACAGCGATGAAGCGAAGAAATGTATGTTTGGAAGGCTTGCCGGAATACCAGAGAATGCTAACCGCACTAGGGTTCCCCATCTCCGTCCTGCTCATCGGCATGATCTACACCAGTACCTGGGCGCTCAAGTACCTTTCGATTCCCGTCTACACCATTTTCAAAAACTTGACCATCATCCTGATCGCCTATGGAGAGGTTCTCTGGTTCGGTGGCGCAGTCACACCAATGGCTCTCTTCTCTTTCGGATTGATGGTGCTGAGTTCCGTTATTGCGGCTTGGGCTGACATTCAGCACGCTTTGTCGAGCATGGGTCACGCTGCGGAGAAGACCACCGAGGCCATGTCGACCCTGCACACCGGATACCTCTGGATGATGTTCAACTGCTTTTGCTCGGCTACCTACGTTTTGTGCATGCGCAAGCGCATCAAGCTCACCAACTTCAAGGACTTCGACAGTAGGTTTATCAATTTACGAGGGACAGAGATGTTTGCTAACCTGAACCAGCCATGTACTACAACAACCTTCTCACCATCCCGATTCTGCTCGTTGCCTCCATCCTCGTAGAAGACTGGTCGTCCGCCAACATCCAGAAGAACTTCCCCGCCGAACAGCGCAATACCGTTATTATGGTCATGATCGTTTCTGGTCTTTCCACCGTCTTCATCTCGTACACATCTGCCTGGGCGGTCCGCGTTACCTCCTCGACAACCTACTCCATGGTCGGTGCCCTGAACAAGCTACCCATTGCGCTCAGCGGTCTGATCTTCTTCGACGCGCCTGTCACCTTCGGCAGCTGTTCCGCCATCTTTGTTGGGTTCGTCAGTGGTCTTGTCTACGCTCTGGCTAAGGTTCGCCAGAACAGCAAGCCCAAGACCGTTCTCCCCACTACCAACATCCCGCTCAGCGCTAGCAGCCGCAGCATGCAGGACAGCCTGAAGTCATAAAGAAGTCGCTAGGCACAATTTCTTCACATCAGCAGGCATGAAGGCAAATGACTCTCGTTCCTGTATTTCCCATGGCATTTTTGCGCTGTATTGTATACGAACAAATGTCTTTATTCCATTTCGCAACTGGCCAATAGGGAAGCTTCATTTCTCACAGGTCACTTCTTTTGTACCTTTTATGCCTTGGAGCATCTTAACATACACTATTCAGAACTTTAGAACGAGCCTGGCGTTCCGGAGGATCGAAGCAGCGCGACATGGACCCTGCAGTCTGGGGCGGCGGAGTAAAGTGGAGCGATCGGATGTATTAGCACTTTGATCAAGTACCGTTATATTTTCGGATCGTCCTGCCTTCAGATTTTGACAAAACAGCGTCTTCGCTTATACATCACGTATCTCCCATGTCCTTCCCCTCTCCCTCTCCTTCTCCTTCTCCCACACCTTGGCCCCTCTCCCGCCCCCTCTCATCTTACCACCGCCCCCTCTCCCTCCAATCTCAATCTTCACTTCCAACTCCCCCCTCTCGTTTGATACAAATCGCCCCTGCTCCATGATTTGACTCACAAGAAACCGTCCTGGTTCCTGCCACTCACCCCTCATCTTCACGTAGGCCCTAACCTCTCCATGATATCTCTCTGGCACAAGTTGCTTTACAGCGTCGCGGAAAAGCATATCACCTGCTACGGTAGCATGGAGTGTTTCGCTCGCACAAGCCGGACTCTTCATCTGCACGCGTAGTCGTGTGAGGTTAGGTGGGAGGATAAGGATATCGTCTCTGCTAATGTTGTCGGACACCTGTCGGGAAACATTGGCGTACAAGGGACGGAAGCTTGAGGCAATGTCTAGCGTGTTATCGTCATGTTTCCAACTTCTTCGTCCTTGGGGACGGGCGTTCAAGGGGCTTGGAGAAGGTGGGGACATGTGTCTGTGGTAGGCTTCGTCTGGAGTGTCGGGATCCGAAAAGCTCGATTCCATGTCTGAGTAGTGCGAGTAGCGCTTGTGTTGGGGACGGCGCCGGGATTGGTGGGCAGGAGGAGAAGAAGAAGGCATATGATGAATTGGCCGGTGACGATGTTGGTGTATCGGTTCTCGAGCACGTTGGATGTAGAGGTGGGGCATGGTACCTGGGACTATGTAGTCTGAGTACGAGAAGGCAGAGGCTACTGGGAGACGGCGGAAAGGATCGTGGTTGAAGGGCGAAGAGTCGAACATGGCGAAGACACGTAAATGGCGGAGTCACAAAATTGATAGAATCGTGATCTTCTTTTCAGAGCAGAAAGCTTCGAGAAAGAGGCACTAAGCTGGCGTTTGGTCTGCTCATATGCCGTGTAGCTTGCATCGGATCAGGTGTGCAGTTTGAGAGACGGGAAGATATGTTTCGTGTTACAAAACTCGGTATCGAAGTACTCGTGATTGTCATGCAAGCTTGATGCGCAAACACACCTTGCGCATGTGTGCCTAGTGCCTGCTCCAAAACGTGCACATGCAATCTATGTACGTCTGACCTTTGCGATCCCCCTTTCGGTTGCTCTTGTTGGACAAAGGGCCCTTTCTCCACTTGTCTCGATCTGACCCTTCGGACCTTCGATGAGAAGAGAGCGAGTCTTTGTTCTCTACATACATATAATAGCCTTGCTAGGCGTGTAGTGGACAGTCATCCTATCAGTTTAACAGTTCCGGGGAGACAGCTGTATGCTACGCGCGAAGACATTTTGTGCGCATACCGCATACAGTTCGGGCGGAAAATGCGATAGAGTTCTTTTGCCGCTCAGTGACATTGATTGAGTGTTACTACATACCGCAAAGGACAAATGGACTCCATGACCGTCAACACCGATCCTCACGCCTGACCAAAGAAAGTTAACACCGTATCCTAACGTCCTGTACTTCAACAGAAAAAATGAGCCGTCCTCATCGACAAGACAGCGGTAGATAGAAAAGCCAGACAAAGAGCGTGCCTCTTCATACACATGCTAAGGCTAGGCGTTTCACCGCCTCTCCTTATTGCCAAACCGAAGTTGGCTTGCGGGCTGGTCAGGTTTGCCGCGGTTGGGGCGCGTGCGCTCGTTGGCAGGATATCCAAGCACCTACACCTCGCCAGCCTTTGCCGCACCACCCTTCTTCTTCTGCTCTACCTTGAGTAGTAGTGCACGGTTAATGTGTGGTAGAACACCTCCGAAAGCGATGGTAGCTCGGATAAGGGTGTCCAGTTCTTCGTCACCTCGGATGGCAAGCTGAAGATGGCGTGGCGTGATGCGCTTGACCTTGAGATCCTTGGCAGCGTTGCCTGCGAGCTCGAGAACTTCAGCAGTCAGGTATTCGAGCACAGCGGTCAGATAGATGCTGGCTTTAGCTCCGATGCGCGTCTTTTGTCGCGTGAGGTTTCGGAGATGACGCTTTATGCGACCACAGGGGAACTGCAATGGAAAGGTGAAATTAGCGCGTCGTTCTTTTGTGCGGCGTGCGTAGGTATGCGCGGGGTGGTGGTTGGGCGATGACGCGTATCGGGCAGCTACTCACTTGAAGTCCGGCTTTGGCGGAGTGCGACTTGGGAGTCTTGACTTGCGCATCGCCTTTGCCTCCTGTCTTGCCACCTGTCTTTCCTGCGCATGCTGTTAGCTCTCGAGGCCTTCCGGAGCGCGACGCACGGTCAGCGCGTACCTTTTCCACCGCCAGCCATGTCTGATGATTTATTCCGTGTAAAAGTCGGTGTCGATCGTATCAATAGAGGTGCGCGACCGTGATGCCCGGGATTCGACGAGGATTCGAAGTGGTGGTGTTTGGCGGTAGGTGGGGTGAATTGGTAAAGTCTTGCTGGGAAGAGGTTCCAATGTTGTGACAAGGTTGTAGCGTCCAACGCCTATGTACCAATCGGGAAGGCTCCACTTGGCATGTTGGAGGTAAGGCACCAGCCCCGTCTTCAACCGTGATACCGTGTGTAAACGAATCGTTCGTCATACTGTGAAACGCAAGTCAATCTAATTTGACAGAGGAGTAATGTTCGGAATTCTTTTTTGTTGTAGATCCTACCGCGCCATGGTGCGGCGCAGGCGTGCGAATCGTGATTCCGGCATGACCAGATCAGAAAGATGACCAGGAAAGACTGACAAGCACGAAGCTTGGGATAAGGTAAATCTTTAGACAGGAGAAACGATGAGTTGCGAACACAATACCATTTTGAGCCGCCCAGTGAACAGTCGTCCACTCAAGCAGACAAGCAGCTGCCGGCAGCTACTTTTCGATACAAGGAAGCGTGTGCGGCTACAGCAGATCAGAAGGTGGCTACAGCAGGAGTCAGGACTATTATAGTCGTTAGTGTTCAGTTCGACGACTTGACAAGCAACCAGGTGGCACAGTGTCGCCGGATGCGGCAGTCATTAGCTACCGCCCTTGGACGATGACAAAGGAGACTGAACAAAGCGTGCATTTTTCAACTGGAGATACCAAAGGAATCAGACTCCAGACGATGAGAGCTTGTTCGAGTGCTAGCAAGTCCTCTTTACTCCCACTGGAGTGCTCATAGCTTGTGCAGTGACGTAACAACAAGAGTGAAGAAGAGAAGATGTATGGGTAGAGAAACAATTGAATGTGGACACTTACAGCAAAGAAGTCGTAGAAGAGCTCCCTGTCCACGCGTTACCTGTCAGTACTGATGGTATATCGGATGGCATTGCGAGCCCTTGATGGAATGCTCTGGGTATTCAACGTGGAAATCTCGGCCACGCTTGCTTCGGGGATATAATACCAGCGATAACATGGGATAGTGGTACGTTGTTACAGTATACTTTGGGTGTTTCCAGGCTTCTACCACAAAAGCTGTGGTGGTAACACAGTGAGCAGCTCGCTCGCTCCTCCCGCAGCCTGTGGTGATAATGGGTCCGTGCGCCATCTTTGGCAGGGTCCCGCTTCGACGCTACGGCCTCCCCTGTGCGACGACATATGTGGATGTTGCCGCAGCCGTGACGAGACCTGCTATTGCGCGTGCGCACACTCCTCACTGCCCGTCTTCTCACAGCTTCACTCACTACCCGCGTCTCTTCGTCTGTCCGGTGCCCTGGGGTCCGAGCTCTGGAGCCAGATCCCGACACGTCGACCGCGCTGTTGCCGACCCCCGACGCCGCATGCCCACGCTCAGTAAAGACTCACTAAGACGCAACATCGCCGCGACGAGACCCTAACATACGTCTGTCATGGCCTGGCAGTCGCCTTCGGCCATGAACGGCGGCGGTGCCAATGGAGGGGGTGACGGCAATGCGCCCGCGGGGACAGAGTACACATTGCAGGGTATGCAGTTCCCCTGGATCTGCCGTGTACATGGCGGGGAGACTGGCAGGCTGACACGATCACAGGTGTTATGCGATTTCTACAGCTGGAATGGCACAACCACGAACGAGCACGCAATGCATGGGACATCGAGCGCGCCGAAATGAAGGCCAAGATCGCGAAGCAGGAGGGCGAGGTGCGGAGCGCGAAGAAGCTGAATGACCAGCTAAACAAGCATATTCGGATGCTGGAGCAGGCACTTACCAACGAGAGAAAGAAGAAGAGCGAGGCAGCAGGAGGCGACTCTGAGGCCGGAGCAGATGACAAGAAGGACCTCAAGGGCAAGAAGGATGGCGTAAATTCCACCAAGCGTGCGTATACCATACTGCCAGGCCTTGATCTAGACTTATGCTAACCTGGCCAAGCCCAAAACAAGAAGCACAACTCCTTCCTCGACGTTGACTCGGAGTTCTTTGACCGCGCAGAAGCCGACCGCGAGAACCTCAGAGAGAAATCCAAGCTCTACCTTACCAAATGCGTCGAAGAAATCACATATCTCCTTACTCCGCCCCCGCAAGCCTCGCAACAACAACAGAACCTACAGCCGCTTGCTAATGGCAACGGCTACCTGAACCACGGCGAGGCCTCGATGGAAGATATCTACCTACAACAACACCGCCAGAGGCTGCAGTCACAACTCCCCACCATGCCAGGCACAACCATGCCTACTCACCAGCCCCCAAACGTGCCAGTCCCTTCTGAACTTCAAAGCTTAGCCAACCAGCACCAAATCCACCACGCGCCACAGATGACACGGGAACCTTCACAGCAACAACCCCTTGCGCACAACGCTAGTATGGCTCAGGAACTTCTCGGACAGCAACGTCAGCCCCAGAATCAGCAGCATTATTCGTCGGTACCCGAAGAGCAGGTCGAAAAGGTGACACATGCGTTCGATAGCGAAGGACGCCAAATACCAATTGCTGAGGAAAACGCTTCGGATCCCAGCCAGGCTGCCAGCCAGGAGAAAGAGACGGATGATTGGATTTTCGACCCCGCATCGGAGACAGCTCAGGAGGGCCCACCCAGACGGCCAGACACCGAAGAATTTCCATCGGCGAATAGCATCCCAGCAAAATCGCCACCGCGCCCTGTAAAGAGGGCCAGCAAAGACCACGTCAGACGACTGAGTAATGATCAGAAAGCTCAACAAGCAGTAGCCCAGCAAGCAGCGAAGACTGACCCGCAAAGTTTCAAAGTCCGCTTTGCACTTCGCGGCCATCTCGATGTGGTACGGTCAGTCATTTTCACTGGCGGCGGCAGCCCCAGTGAGCCAGAGATTTGCACAGCGGGAGACGACGGCATGATCAAAAGATGGATGATACCCGCAAGTTATGCAAACCAGCACAGCATGAGCAATGATCTAGACATTCAGCCATTCTGGTCACATCGGGGTCATGAAGGTACCGTTACATCTTTAGCAGCCTGCCCTGCTTCTGCTCATTTTGCCACCGGAGGAAGGGTATCCGGCGACGGCTGGATATTTTCGGGTGGTCAGGATGCCACGATCCGCGTATGGGAACGAGGCCGAGTTGATCCAAAGGCCACCCTTGAAGGGCACACCGATGCCGTCTGGACTGTATGCGTTCTCCCTACCACCTGTGCTAATCTGTTCGGCTCCGATAGCAGCAAGTATGGAGGACCAGACCGTGTCATACTCGCTTCCGGATCTGCAGACGGTACCATCAAGATCTGGGCTGTAAGTGCGCCGCCTCAACTGGTCTCACCGCAGACAAACTCTCGTCGTGGTGTTGGAGGCAGCCGGAGACACTCGGTCACATCTGGATCGAACCACCCATCTTCACCGCAGCCCAGCATCGCTACCACGACACCATTCCATTACATGTTAATACATACCATCGAGCGTGACACGCACCCTTCGCCTACGTGCATCAGCCCGCTTTCCCCTACTGGAGAGAACTTTGTTGTCTCTTTCTCTGACGCATCAATCTTGGTGTATGACACGAGGACCGGCGAGGAGCTGATTGGTATGGCCAGTAACGAATCTTACGATGGAACCCCAGCGACTGGTATCACATCAGTTGTGACAAGCTCGCAGTATCTCGAGAGTGCGTCACAGGAGGCTGGCCGAGGCGGTCCAGACGACGAAGGCATACATGGCCCGACTGGCTCTGCTAATGGCGGGCTGGAGGGTGTTATAATCAGTGGGCACGAAGACCATCTCATCAGGTTCTTCGATGCCAACTCTGGTATGTTTTCCCAAAATGATAAATCTGACCTTTGTTGACCAGGAACAGGACAATGTACATATAGCATGCTTGCACACCCTGCAGCTATTTCTTCGTTATCGCTCAGTAAGGACGGCCGAGAAGCCGTATCTGCTGGACATGACGCTTCTATCCGATTCTGGTCACTTGACAAACGCATATGCACGCAAGAAATCACCGCACACCGCATCATGCGCGGTGAAGGTGTGTGCAGCGTTGTCTGGAGCCAGGATGGTCGTCTCGTCGTCTCAGCAGGCGGCGACGGCATAGTCAAGGTATTCGCAAGGTAGTATCTTGCAGAGCCGGTAGTAGCTACGACTTCTCCTCGCATTTCCGAGCCTCCGCCGTTTCGCGTGAACTATTGGCATTTTTAGCTGGACATACCCCCTGATTTGAGCCTGTGTATATGGACACGTAGTTTGATCGAAATGGGCAAAGGAAAGGCATGATTGATGGATATCTTCTGATGGCGGACCACGGTAATCTCTCATTATCTTCTTGACGCGCCTTTATGGGTGGGCGTGCATTCGCTGGCGCGGCGTGTTTATGTTAACTTCCCAGCTTTGTATTATACGATTGGGATGATCGGGCTCAGCAAAGACACGCATGAGCGAACAAGTCAATCACTGCCACTCTTGATCCTTGTCTCCGTGAACAAACGCGTTGTAGTTGGACCTGATCTAGATAATATGGAAAAAGGAATGCAGCAATGACGTGCGGAGTTTCTGCCGCGGGAGATCTGTGCATTACGTCGCGTAACACGCCCCCGAATTCCGGCAAGGCGCAAGCAAGGGGGCCTAAGCAGAACTCTCTGAGCCCTGGAAGCCTTGTGAACCCAACCCTCTGTAACGTTGCCTTGCGTCTGCTCGCGCTAGATCTGTTCTTCGTCTGTTCAGGCACACATGGAGATGTCCGCTGTAATCAGTGTTGTATGATCCTCCCTACGCGAAGCGCGTCGACAAGCTTCTGCCCAGTGTATCAAGCTAATGCGCACACTACCACTATAGCTAGTCGCTCTACCGCAGAGCATACAATCTGCAAAAGACCTGTACGACCTGCGCGCCAAGTACAAAGATGCCTCGGTCCTTATTACCGCCATATACTCCGAGTCTATGGTCATCGCAGCGTCCCTGTCCCAAGTCCAAAATCTCCTGCAACATGACGCATTACGAGAGAAACCCCAATTACTCGAGACGTTCGATCGCGCGCTCACGGGATGTCGAGTCGTGTACGGATGTCTTGAGGAGGAAGTAAGAGAGCTGCGAATAAAAGCGGAGAACGACGAACTGAAGTTCAAGGACCGAGCGAGGTTTCTTTGGAAGGAAGACACGTTCAAAGAGCTGCTCACGCAGATCCGCGGCCAGCAATCTGCGCTCAGTCTCCTTATACAAGGATTGCAAATGGAGTCGATTGTGGACATCAAGAAGCTGGTTGAAGACAACAGCACTACACTCGATCAGGTTGTAAAACGGTCAAGGACTCTGCGCCAGTCGCACCCTCGTTTAAAGGTACCGGAGTCGCTGTTCAGTCAACAAAGCCTAGGCGGTAAAGATGTCGACACAGATTCTATCGCGAAAGCTGCCGAGTTCACTTTCGATGACGAGGTCGTCAACTCGAAGGCTTATCGTAGGGCTATGGCAATGGCGCTGTCTTCAAACAACGGAGCGATTGCACAAGAGAGCTCAGATACTGATGTTCTAGAAGACTATTCGACCGCTCTTGGAAGCATGTCCCAGGGCAACGACAAAGATAGGAGCGTTGATCCTATAGACCTTCCCCCACTATCGTCAGAGGAAGGGAAGACTACGACTAGTGTCCCAGAGCCTGAAGCTGAAGCAGAACCAGAGATATCATCTCAAGTCGCCACAAAAGATGACCACGCAGATTTGTTTGATACTCTCGAGCGCGACATACTTTCCTTCATGCCTCAAACCTCATCTGCAGCGCTTTGTTTGACTCCGAATCATACGGGTTCTGAAAACCCTTCTGCACTACCGAGTCGAATTGATCCTCTGACTCCAAGCCATACGGGTTCTGAGAATGCCTCTGCATTGCCGGTTCGTTCTACCGACTCCTTAACGCCGGCGCCATTGCGATCGTTCAGTGGAGACAAACCAATAAACGACTCAGAAGCACCGCCTCCATTACCTCCTCGTCGTCCGAGCGGGCAGCCTGTCGCAACGCCCAAAATGCGTTCAGTATCTTCTGATGATAGTATATTTTCCTCTGATGCGCCATCCATCCTATCAAAAGTGTCAACCGCATCGACTTACACGGTGTATGAAACTCCGCAGTTGAGCCCCAATTCAACAGGGCAATCGTCACGGAAGCCGCTGCCACTTGGGCACAGATCCTCTTACAATGCTTTAGGTAATGTCGAGTTTGATGTGAATGAACCAAAAGCACAGGGGACATCATTACTCCTGCATAACATCGAAATGAACAGCATCTGGAGATCACTCGTGGACGCAGAGAGAAAGTTTGTCGACCGCATGGTGAGACTCAAACGGATGTTCTACGACAATATCATAAGGCAATGGCCAATCATCGAAAAACACCTGAATGCCATTCTTGTTGGCGAACAACTTGCCACACTACATCAACAATGTCTGTTGCACACCATGGATCAAGAACTTGCTGGCAATGGTAGTGCTCTCTGCAATCCGTACATCTTCGAAGTCTGGGTTGACAAAAGTCAACGATTATATCGAGAGTATTGCCGTAAGATGCCGCATGCTTCCTCCTCACTCCGTACAACTCAAAACATGGACCCGAAGTTCTCACCATATGTCAATACGCTCGGTCTCAGTATCTCTTATTTTGGCAAGAGCTGGCAGGACTATCTGGAGCTTCCCATTATACAGTTGCAGACTTATGTCGATAGCTTGGAAAGTCTCATCAACATCGCTGAAACGCTCCGCGATCCGGCGGCGAATAGTGAGGTCATGCGCTTAAGACGCGCTCTGCAGGCCGTCACTTGGCTCAAGACGTTGACGCTGGCTTTGTTAGAGGAAGCGCAAGGCCGTGAAGACGTGCAGAACTTGGAGAAACGTATTCGGACAGACACCAGTACGCTTTCACAACTATACCTACACGACCCCAGCAGGCGCGTCGTGCATCAAGGCGGCATGGCGATGAAGTTCAAGGGTCAGGGACCTTGGATTCCAGTACATGCCATGCTTCTAGATAACTACTTCTTCTGGGGAAGAGTTAAGAAGAGCAAGGGAGATGAAGTGCTGGTAACAGACCCACCTATTGCAATTGCCGACATGGGATTCTTCCTTCCAGGAGACGCACACCAGTTCCAGAAAGCTACTATGCTTGACCAAATAGCAAGGGGCTCAGTCGTGTAGGTTTGACATAGACGCAAGCTGTCTCAGAAAGCTAACGGACTATCAGATATACTGTCACACTTACAAACAATGCTCGAGACGGCAAGCCAGATTTGTTAGGTCTGTACGACATCCAAGACAGGAAAACCTGGACAGATCATTTCACAACAGCTCGGACCAAGTTTTACAGGTGAATCCCGCCGATCAACGGGGCCTCTGAATATCTTGTCATAGCTCGCAGGCTGTCGGGGTCACATGTGAATGTCTCAATCTCAACTCATGGATGAGGGACTCCGTTGCGAGCGCACACACAGCAGGGCGGATTTGATCAAGTCTGCTGTACACTTGCCTGCTCATGATCAAACCTTCACCACGGTATGATCGTGCGTGCCGACTTTGCTCAGTAATTAACAAGCACGCGACCATTCCCGAAACTCAACTCTCGCGCCATTCCAACGCCGCACCGTGACTACCGGCCCAAAACGTTTCACTAGCCATCACGACTCAGACGATCTTCCTAGCTGTATACATCGACCGCGATCATGTCAGGTCTACTTGGGGAGGAGCTTGTTCAAGCCGGACATGTGCCTATCCCTGACGGACTCTCTGTTGACAACGTTGTTGGAATTATTACGGTCTATGACCATAGAGCTTACCATGCGAATCGCAGCACGGCTTACAGAAAATCGCGCATCAGGACTCAGCTGGCCGATGGCGAGTGGTCATTAGATGGCTGCCATGTTTTCCTTGTTGCCATTCAGGGACGACATTGCTACACGATGGGTCGTGCCGACAACAAGAGCGCATCGCCATCGACGCTCGATGTGTATTTCCCTGGTAGTAGGGTCGGGATTCATCAATTCAACCTCGCACCGGTATGGAAGAGCGATAGCTGGCGTTTGCAGTCCGCTACTGAGACCATCGCGGAGGTAAATGGTGCGCCTATCCAACTCAGCACCCCCCGTACACGAAAACTGTCGAGCCAGTTACCACAGGCCATCCATCTGCGACAAAACCTAGTCAACCACGTTTTGATCAACGGTCTACGTGTCGAGATCTTCATGCTGAAGACTGTACGCGGTCTTTATCCGATCCAAGATTATCAACTTTTAGAGTTACGCCCTGAACTACAAGAAGTCGTCCATCGCTCCGAGACCTGGGCACGGGATCGATATCTGCAGCGTTCTGACCAAATTTCCACCAACACATATCGGGTTCTTGAGCGCTTTACCGGCAATATCGAAACAGCCAAATTCTTCCACCATAACGACAACGGCCAAGATCTTCGCGACGTTGAGTTTCTGAAATTGGCAAAGGACAAGGTGGATGCATCTCTCGTTCGCTACCTGCAGTCAGTTGAGATCAATCATATTCCGGCAGTGATCACCGAAACACATGAGGGATTTGAGCCATATGCTGCTCTAGAGAAGGACATCAAGGAACAACATCCGCGCCTTCGCTTCAGAATCGCCTCGAAGCTCCTGCGACGGCTCATGTCTGCTCTCACCTTCTTGCATTTCCACAAGATTTTGCATGGGAATGTTACCAAAGAGAGTGCCTTGCTTCGTCTGGTGGACTTCAAACCTGAAACTGTGCTCCTAGTCGACTACTCGAAGTCAACGTCATTCCCCAGCGGCGCGCCTGAGCCTTTCAAGAGGATGACCGAAGACGGCCGCGCTGTAATGGAGATCGTCGAAAGCTGCTGCGATATTTGGCAACTGCGCAAGGCAGCTACCAAGGATGCCTACAGTGAAGACTTTATGATGAACAAGACTGAGGCTGCGAGTAGAGAGTTCGAGCTCATGGAGCGTGTAGTCGCAGACTTCTTTGGGCCTGAAGGCAAGTCGCGCGAGTCGAAGGAAGGCAAGAAGATGCTCCGCTTGTTAAGCATGAAACAACATGGTTGGCATAAGGCTCGGAATGACCAAATCCACAACGCGACTCGTCGCGAGGTCGGACCATGCCGCTCAGATATGATCAAGGAGATGGAGCTTGACTGGGTGCTTATGCATCCGTCTTCAAAGATAGGCGAAGAGCAGCATATGCTGTTGACTCTTGGACACCCATACCTGGATGGCTTGGCATCGATCGTCTACCACAATCGATGGGAATTAACGCCCCGAGAGGTATGCGCAAAAATACGAGAGCTCGCTGGCGACGTGGAAGAGCCTTGGCAGAGCTTTTCAGTCAAGCGAACAGTGTCGTTTATGCAGAACGGTACTGGCTTCGAAGAACGTGGCATCTTGAATTGGATAGCAGGTTGTTGTGAGGCCTACCCAAAGTGGCATTATGCTTTTGTTCAAGAGTATGAGCGCCAGATCTCGCCCCAGCATGGGATAATCAAGTTCGCTGAGATCAAGAGGCTCTGGGATGCTCTTGTAAAATATGGAACTAAGCCCGATTTCATGCAGGCCACATTCGCGGGATTGACAACCGGAAACATCATGAACCAGCCGACAACACACTTTGAGGAGACCCATCAGGTGTGGTATCACAAGCCTTCGCGAATGTTCAACCTGACGCATTTACATCGATTGGCAGCTCCGGACCTACTTCTCGCCTGCATCAATGAGGGAACCATAGGATGTAACAACTTTGTCGAAGTACGCGGAGAGTCAGAAATAGAGGGTCTATATGCTACTCTCTCTTTGCTAGCCGCCTTCAGTTCCTCACTTGAATTGACAGTGGATATTCCAGATCATACGCCGCAGTTCCCGCTGTATGATCCAGCAGATTTCAGTCAGGTTTTGCATCACGTCGTCCTTGTTCACACCGGTCTTCTTCCCTGGGCATCAGTCACACGCCAGGGTGGCCAATACAACTTCCATGCACCGCTAGCTCCCAAAGCACCAGAGACTGCTGGGAAGTTTCTACCGACTTACTTTGGCAGCATGAAGGTGCTGCCCAAAGCTCTGGGTGGTAGAGAAGAGTACTCGCGCCCCGATCACTGGTCAAAGTTTACGACTGCAACAGAGATCGACGAGGCGGCGGATTTGGTCAAACGAACGATCCTACCGGCAAAGGGCCCATTGAAAAAGACAGTATCGCAACCAGGGAGATCGGATCAAACTTGTTCGCCGCACGTTTACCACTCCACTCTAGTACAGACGCTGAAACATCGCAAGCAAGCTTTTGCTGAGGCCCAATCACCAGCGAAACGTAATGATGGCGACCAATCGTCACTTGCGGTGATGCCGGCTGCGAAGCGTCTGCATGTCCTTTCTGCCGTGGGTAACTTGACTCCAGGTAGCGTACCATCAGCCCGAGCGCCACAGTTGTCGGCCTCCTTCGTAGACCGTCAACTAGACCATATGATGGCCAACATGGAACGCCAGTCGCAGTCCCCATCACCTGGACCGTTCCTTGACATTCCAAGGGCACCGGATGAGTCTTTTTTCCAGCGAGACAATGGAGTAAACACCAACACCCTGGTTAGCCCGCCCACGGCCGAGGCGGCTACAAAAGATTCATTCACAATCGCATCTGATGGCGGTTCCGACCTGGAAGACGACTACAAGCAAGCAGAAGCTTGGCTCAACGCGATGGGAGATGAGGAGGAACCACAAGTTGCTGGCATCTTTGGCGTCAATTTCCATCACAGTCTTCGACAGCAGGGAGATGGATCAGATACCGACGCAGATGAGTCGGAGGAAGACCGGGATGACGAGATGCCGATTGTTCATGAGAAGGTGGAGCAGGCAGACGATCATTCTCTATCCGATATGCCAACACCAAGCATGAAGGAGAGCAGCTCTTTCACACTCGACCCACGGGCAACGACAAGAACTGCTGGGTTCGAACAGCAGGCGACATCGAAGTCGTTCCCTATTCGGTCAAGCCTTCAGCTGGCGACACCTATGGTGAGCAGTCCTCGCTTCGCACCACCTTTCTCGGCGCGCTCTTTCGGTTCCTTTGGTGATGTTGGGGGTCATCGCCGGAGCGGTATCTCTCTATCAGATCTTGCTAGGGTCAGTATTCGTAATGCGCCCACGGTTTCGAGCCCTCTCCCACTGGCAACAGCGGCAACTCTACCTCGCACGGTTACCTCACAAGCTGCGCCTTGCTTCTCTAGCCCTGCTTGGATGCTGAGGATGCAGAGTGACGACGACGACTTGCCTGACACGGACCAAGGAGAGCAGTTTAGCGATGACTCTGACTAGACGTTATCGTAGGCCAGGATAACCGGGTATTGGTAGAGGAGGAACGCAGATGTTGCAAAGTCCGGTGAAGATGACAAGGATAGGGTGAGCAATGTGTTTGGGTCGCGACTGGTTAGATATGGAGGTGCATCATGCAGTAATGTTCATACTATACCTACAAATACAACACAAGAGAAACAGTATCGAGATTCGACTGTCCTTGTGACGTAACTGTGTTGTGTAGTAATAGCAAGCTTTACCGTGTCTAAGAGGCGCAATGCATAGACCGTCTGATCGGGCTGGCGATAGGGCTCCTTGTGAACCTTGAGTATGATTATTTGGGGAGTCGTTGACGAGCGGAGTTGCGATTGTGCGACCGTTAGATAGAGTCGAGCTTGCGTTGGACGTTGCGAACGAGAACCTACACGCCTCAGTTAGCAGCACACCAATGTATCATCCAAGTCGCCGCGCTACAACCCCAACATCACGCCAATGCTCTCAATGACTTTGAACGTAGTATCATTGATCTTGGAAGGAATCTTGATTGAATTTGCCATTGTTATGGACTTTCGGAACCAAAAGACACCGTTGCACCAGCCTGAACATTTACGTGTATGAGAGACTGTGCATGGTGTCTCCCACACTACTGTTTGTTCTCTCGCTCCGTGCCCGGTATTTGCGCCTAATCATCCATCACTCCACTGCTTTTCGACCGTTCGTTCCCGTCGCCAAAGATCGTATCGGAACAGCTTATATCGAAGAAGGGTAAAGCATGACGCGGACGGAGGCACCGAAGGACTTGGGAGGGAGGTTGTTCTTGAACTTGGCGCGGACGACACCGGAGTTGCCGTGAGGGCGGGTGACCTTGCCCTGTTTTCATGTTAGATTTCGCTCGTTCGACAGAGTAGCTGGCGTTCATACCCAGATGACGCGGATCTTGGAGCCTTGGATCGCCCGTTGTGCGCGGTAGACGTAGGCTACCCTCTTGCCGGCGTCTGTTGAACGTGTGTTAGCTCATCAAAATTCGTGGTCGGAGCGACATCAGGGCGGACGTACACCACTGAGCTGCCTTGACATCGTCGACGCCCTCAAGCTTGAGCAGAGAAGTTCCGGGGTTGGTGTTCCTCTATCCTTCTCGTCAGAACGGTAGCCACAATACGCGAATTCGGTGCGCACAAACCTTGCCGCGCTGGTAGCTGATGTGCTTGCCCTTGACGTAAAGGCGGTGGGACTTGTTGTCGGCAGACATGGCGAATTTTTTGGGCGGCCTCGGGGGGATGAAGGGGACGTCTGGGTCGGGGTTGATGCTGTCGTTAGTACAGAGAAGTCGTCGTTGCCAAAGAGAAAGACGAATTGCTTCATGTCCAGTGGGGCGTTCTCGCTTACTAGCGCCACACCAGCCACAGCTGGACAGGCTGTGGCGCAACCGCTTTGCCTTGTCGTCGTCCGAAGAACATCAAAACAAGAGCATCATGGAATACTGGAATCTAAGTCTGTAGAAAGGAAATGCATTGGTGGCATCAATGCATTTTGTGTCCATGGGAGCAACTTGGCTGGTTGTATGCCAATGCATGTTGGGCAAAAAATGCTCGCTCAGTGGCATTGCGCTTTCGTGACAGTCGAGGCAAGTAAGGCAATGACAGTATACCACTTACTGCATCTGCATGACGTGCGCTCGAGGACTGCATGCTGGACCTCCTGTCGTTGTGTACAACTGTTGGGAGTGAAGGCACAATTCTTCCGCGAGATGTCCCGCCGCCACAAAGGCCATGCTTGTCCTAACCTCCTCTTACCTCTTTGGGCCCTGCCTTGCAGCGGATATGTAAGCCTGACGCTTCACTGTTGATAACTGTCCCCTTCGACTGCCTACTGACATGCCGTCGCGTGTCGCCCATCGGCATATTGGGGACTGTGTGAGTAATCGGACCGGCGAAAGACGGTTCACTCATCATGTCACGGTCTGGGATGATCCAAATAGCCAACGGCAAAATTCTCACATATCCATCGCGTTTGCCAGTGCTTTCACGTCACGTTGGCAAAGCATTGCTGGGGCCAGTACGCCATGGCTGTTGCCAGTCTTCAATTACGATGCGCCCCACCAAAGCTACTAGCTTACCAGTGCTGTCCGCTCGGTATACTCAAAGAGGGGCCGGAGGATTTGACAGACCCAAGTACCAGCCCGAGACACTGAGACGTGCCGATGCTTGTGTATACTCTAATAGAATTTACACATTGTCCGGACTCGGGGAGCCTCGCGGCGGGGTAACCGTACATGGGATGCAGCTTCCCTCGGGCGCTGTGACAGTGATGCGACACGACCGAGGGCTTGGAACTCAATTGTAGAAAAGCAAACAGAGTTTCAGAGCCTCAAAGTCTATCGACTTCCAGCCAAGTGCGCACGAAGCCGTTCCACGCGCAGTGCATGGTGATGGTGGGGTTGTCCGCCCATCCCTGGGTACGGCTTTAGCAAGGTCTCCTCCGGCGGGCTTCAAGGGTTTTGACTGGTGCCGGAGATGTTTTGCAAGTCGTGCGGCGGCTTAGTGATGCTTGGAGAATGACCTAGTTGTTTACTGATACCTTTTTAAGGACGTCAGACCTCGCTGTGTGTTTGTGTGAAGCATACCTGTCTGATACCCTATCACCGGCGTTCGAGCGGCAAATTAAAGCTAACCAACGTCACCACCACGCGAAACCGCTAGAGCAGCTCCGATAACCCCACTACATAGGACTTTTCCTCACACACCAACGTCCTATCCGTAGCTTCCGCCCTTACTTCGACATCTCTCGTCTAACCTTATTGCCATCACTCCCTACAGCCCTTAATTGAGCTGTAACCTTGCGCCCGCCCCCTCCCGCAAAGCGTTTACATCACATATCAACACAATGGCGGACACAGTTATCCAGCCCAAGCAAGAGGAGGTCAATGCCGGGTAAGTAGCCCTCACCGTCTCTGACCGACTTGCTACAGCCTTTGGAGAGCTATTTGGATATCCAACCAATTTATCCGGCAGTTACTTTCTGCTGAAGCACGTCGCGCTCTTCGGCGGAGGGGTCGCTCGACGCGCGAAGCGCCCAACACCCTTGCAGCATGCTGAACATGACGGCTGACAAATCTCGCGATAGAAATATGGAGCTCAAGGACAACACCATCATTGTTGTTTTGGGCGCCTCCGGTGACCTAGCCAAGAAGAAGACTGTATGTAAAGAAGCAAATACATAGAGAATCATCACACTAACGTCATATCAGTTCCCAGCGCTCTTCGGTCTCGTAGGTTGCACGGCCAAGACTCGCATTCGATTTCTGACCACCAACACAGCACCGAAACGGCTTCCTCCCAAACAACATCCACATTGTCGGATATGCACGCACGAAGATGGACCGTGAGGAGTACCTCAAGCGCGTCAAGTCTTACATCAAGACCCCCACAAAGGAATTGGAGAAGCAGCTAGATGAGTTCTGCGAGTTCTGCTCGTACGTTTCGGGCCAGTATGACCAGGATGAGTCTTTTGTTGGACTCGAGAAGCACATGCAGGAGATTGAGAAGGGTCGCAAGGAGAACAACAGGATATTCTACATGGCTCTCCCTCCCAGCGTCTTCATCACAGTGTCCCAGCACTTGAAGCGCAACTGCTACCCCAAGAACGGCATTTCTCGTGTTATTGTAAGTAGCTCCTATGCATGTTTCTGGACGAATGCAGCTAACCGCTGTCATGCAGGTTGAGAAGCCCTTCGGCAAGGACCTTCCAAGTTCGAGAGAGCTCCAGCGCGCATTGGCGCCAGACTGGACTGAGGACGAGCTTTACCGTATTGACCATTACCTGGGTAAGGAGATGGTCAAGAACATCCTGATTCTCCGGTTCGGTAACGAGTTCTTCGGCGCAACCTGGAACAGGAACCACATCGACAACGTCCAGATCACCTTCAAGGAGCCGTTCGGAACCGAAGGTCGTGGAGGTTACTTTGACGAGTTCGGCATCATTCGTGATGTTATGCAAAACCGTGAGTGGTTTACTGATAGTAGGAAGAAGCAATGACTGACAATCACAGACTTGCTCCAAGTTCTTACTCTCCTCGCTATGGAGCGACCCATCTCCTTCTCTGCCGAAGACATCCGTGACGAAAAGGTCCGCGTCCTCCGTGGTATGGCCTCTATCGAGCCCAAGAACGTCATCATTGGACAGTATGGAAAGTCGCTGGACGGCCAGAAGCCAGGCTACAAGGAGGATGATACAGTCCCCAAGGACTCGCGATGCCCCACTTTCGCATCTATGGTCGCTTACATCAAGAACGAGCGATGGGACGGTGTACCCTTCATCCTGAAGGCAGGAAAGGCTCTCAACGAGCAGAAGACCGAGGTCCGCATCCAGTTCAAGGATGTCACCTCTGGAATCTTCAAGGACATTCCACGAAACGAGCTCGTCATCCGAGTGCAGCCCAACGAGAGTGTTTACATTAAGATGAATTCCAAGCTGCCCGGTCTCAGCATGCAGACTGTCGTCACAGAACTCGACCTTACCTACAGGCGGCGATTCTCCGACCTGAAGATTCCTGAGGCATACGAATCGCTCATTCTCGACGCATTGAAGGGCGACCACTCCAACTTCGTCCGTGACGACGAACTCGATGCCAGCTGGAGAATCTTCACACCTCTCCTGCACTACCTTGACGACAACAAGGAGATCATCCCTATGGAGTACCCATACGGTTCGTATTGTATTGAAGAGCAAAGCGCACATTTACTAACCATCATCAGGCTCCCGTGGCCCTGCCGTTTTGGACGATTTCACCTCTTCTTACGGATACAAGTTCAGCGACGCAGCAGGTAGGACCTCACCTCTGTAGCGAACTAGAAGAAAAATGCTAACAGAATTGCAGGATACCAATGGCCCATGAACGAGCAAAAGTTGTAGGTGGCTGCTCTACACTTTACGAACGCCTGTGGTAAGGTATGCTCGGGACCACAGTGAATATGAGTTTTAGGGCAGTGCGAGCAACTTTAGCACATTCAAGAGAATAGATAATGAATGAATACAACGGCGTCTCAATGTCGTGAATCAAAGCGCTCAACCGTGCATATGTGGTGACTGGTTTTCCATGACGAAGCACTTGTGCCTGGACCTGCATGCTTGACTTCCGAAAGCGGAGGGCTGGTAAGCTAGGTATTCCTGGTGGGGTAAAGGGCCAGAGCGGGATGGCATCATCGGCGACATGAGAAATTTTTGAGGAGCGTCGCGTCAGAGAAGGCCGACTGAGTCAACTGTAGGTGTCACTGTAGGGAAAATTAGTTGCACACAGTCATCAAGTACTCTGGAAAAAGTGGATATCAGCTCACATGCGTTTGTTGTTGCTGTGCATTGTTGCCGCCAGTCATGGCTAGCCGCAACTTCCTAGAACCTGCCTTGCAATTGCTCTGTGATTCGTCCAAGTTTGCACAGTTTGGTAAAGGCCATAGAAGAGTCATTAAGTATTAATAGTCTAGAAGTCCCAACGTTTTCCGGATCAAACAACCAGATTGAGTTGTCACATCCCTCCCCCGAACCACCTCCGCAACCACCTCCGCGCACACACCATGAGTCCCGCACAAGACATTGCCGGCAGCGGCATCAGCCAACTCGCACGTCAAGTGTCCAACAGCCTCAACCTCAGCACCAGTCCAAACCTCTCCTTCCACAGCCCGCCCTCGACATTTCGCCAACCACCAGGCGGCAGCTTCAACAGCCAAAATCAAACCAACAGCTCGCATGCGCAACAGCTCGCCAAGCAATTAAAGCCTTTCGATACCAAGGACATCAAGGTCCTGCTCCTCGAAAATGTCAACGAAGCGGGTGTCGAGATTCTCAAGGGCCAGGGATACCAGGTCGAGGCCATCAAGGCCAGTCTGGCAGAAGACCAGCTGATTGAGAAGATTCGCGATGTCCACGTCATTGGGATTCGCTCAAAGACGAAGCTCACCAAGAAGGTGCTGGAGGAGGCAAAGAACCTCATCGTCATCGGCTGCTTCTGTATCGGAACAAACCAGGTCGACCTCCAGACTGCCGCCAGCCAGGGTATCGCCGTCTTCAACTCGCCCTTCAGCAACTCGCGCTCCGTCGCAGAACTCGTCATCTCCGAGATCATCGCGCTCGCCCGTCAGCTCGCCGACCGCTCGATGGAATTACACAACGGCACATGGAACAAGGTCAGCAAGGGCTGCTGGGAGATTCGCGGTAAGACGCTGGGTATAGTCGGATACGGTCACATTGGTAGCCAACTGAGTGTGCTGGCTGAGTCCATGGGCATGAGCGTCATCTACTACGACGTTCTTACTACAATGGGTCTGGGAACTGCGCGACAAGTAGCAACGCTCGACGACCTACTCGCACAAGCAGACTTTGTCTCTCTTCACGTTCCGGCTACCTCTGAGACCAAGAACCTGATTGGCAAAGAACAGTTCGCAAGGATGAAGGACGGCAGCTATCTCATCAACAACGCCCGTGGTACTGTTGTCGACATTCCCGCCATGATCGAGGCCAGCCGCTCTGGCAAACTCGCAGGTGCCGCCATCGACGTCTTCCCCAACGAACCCGCCGGCAACGGCGACTACTTCTCCAGCGACCTCAACTCCTGGACCAAGGACCTCGTTGGTCTGAAGAACATCATCCTCACTCCTCACATTGGTGGCAGCACCGAAGAAGCGCAGTCCGCCATTGGTGTCGAAGTCAGCACAGCACTCGTCCGCTACGTCAACGAGGGTACCACGCTCGGAGCCGTCAACTTGCCAGAAGTCAACCTACGTAGCTTGACTCTCGACCAACCAGACTGCATGCGTGTCATTTACATTCACAAGAACGTGCCGGGTGTGTTGAGACAAGTCAACGGCATCCTTCTCCACCACAACATCGAGAAGCAAATGTCCGATTCAAGAGGCGATGTCGCGTACCTCATGGCGGATATCAGTGAAGTCAAGGAGGGCGAGATTAGGGATTTGTTTACCAGCTTGGAGGAACTTTCTTGTAAGTCTACATCAGCTTCCTTTTGCACTGTGGAATTGTCAGCTAACCTTATACAGCATGTATCCGTACCAGGGTCCTGTACTAGGCGGACAGTTCTTCCCGGGATCGCGAACAAAGACACGAGGATGCTCAGAAGCGTTCTCCATTCTCGATTGATCTCGTTCAGCAACATCAAAACGATACGGCTTCTGATATCTTAGGTTCGCTGCCGCATATCTGTGACCTCAAAAGTATGGGTAGAAGGCTATCGTATGGCGTCTGATTGATTTTGCATATACACTGGCTAGGAAAGAACAGGGATAGAAAAGTAGAGTTCAACACTGCGTTGTTTATTACTTAGCATTCTGAATGAGATACATGAGATACGAAGAGAAGAGAAGCATTGTATCTGCACGTTTGTATGCCTGTGTATCTGCCATGAGGTCACGTCCAACTCACGGCTTCTCAGTGCGAACACCTTTTTCCCTAGCCGTTATCCGTAGCCTCCCACAGCGAACTCAACCCAGTCCTTATTTACTAACCCCCATGTAACCGACCTCTTCTGTTTGGTCGTTCATTCTGTTCTGGTAAGACTCTTCAATAAAGTCTCTGCTGCACGGCTCCGTCCCAGACCGACAAGGTGAATTCGTTTCCACACAACGCTAAGTCCCATGATACAACCTGGAACAGTGATATGTTCGATGGAGAGGGCATGGTGAGAATCCTCGAGTCATTGATTACGGAACGAGATACACTCGAACTGGTGGTGATCAGACGCACTTTATGTGCCGATATGATCAAGGCAGGTAGAAAGGCAAATCAGAGCCGAGGCTTGAAAGACTTCTTGCTTCGAACGTATATTGCGTGGTCTGAAAGGCCCCTGTAATACGAAGTGGACTGATAGAGGAGGGATCTTAGCCAAGAGTGATAGTCACTTTTCTTGTGATGTCTTGCAGCCAGATAAAATCTTTTTTATCTCTACCACCACCACCATACGGGTAAGCCGTCGTACCCTCCATAGGGCGCAGGGTCGGTATGCCATTGGTAGTAAAAGCCAACTCGTGGAATCCTCCTGCTCTTAACATGGTTGCGCGTGACGCGAACCCTATACGTTCGTAATGGGTTTCGTGGTTTCTTAGTATCATCAGCCAACTAGGTACGACTTGATGATCGTCGAAGATTGCGCATGTGACCCGGGTGTTGTTGTAGTGATCAGGTGGGTCTGTATCCCACGTGATATCCATGTAATAATTAAGCTTTCCATGATTCACCTTAGTACCGCCAGCAGGAACCACTAGCATCGTTCTCAGGCGCTCTGAAAGCATGCCATTCAAGTCTTCCGAATCTGACCGTACTAAGTTTACGATGGGTAGATCATGAACACTGACAGTGATTTGTAAGTACTGTAAGGTGTCCAGATGGTTCCAGTTCGCAGACCCATCTCGAATGTGGTAAGAAAAGGTGGCATCGTCCTTTTCCGATGGATGGAATTGGTAATCAATGTGTGAAAACCTGACAGGGCCTACCCAGCCAAATGGTGACCAACTAGGATATCCTAGTCGTCTGGTAGCGGGTCTGTCGTGCCGCCAATTTAGGCATATTATACCCGGGCCAGCAATCGATGTTTGGTATGGCAGGCCACATATGGTTCCAATAGACAGGTTTCTTGTATGGTGGTAGTTCAAGACGCCCAGTATCGCGTTCAAAACGTCAGTCTCGTAGCTGAGTTGACGTGTCATGTACTGCTCCAGCAATCGCATGACTTCGTGGAGCACCCTATGTCCATCGTCCTCAATCTCGAAGGCTCGCGAGTCCACGCTACCTCTGAGCATAGAGACACCCGATCCAGCAAGACCACGACAAAAGCGTTCGTGTTCATACGATTTCCTACAAATGTACAACACACCACTCTCAGTAAAGTACAGTCTTTTGCGTGAAAGATAGCCTTCCTGGAATGTCCACCCCCGTGTGAACCATGGGGAATCGGCAACAGCATCGTAGACCGCCTTTGGAGTAAATGATATCGACACATTTCCAATAGCAGTTTCTAGATACCTTAACTTCCGTGCATTACTTATACCTGGTAGGCCATAAGAGGGGTCATTGCCTGCCGCGGCGATCAGGGTGAGCATCGCTGAGGTATATATCAAGTCCATCTGTTGAATTTGATGATGCTTATCCTCTGCGTCATCTTGATTTATACACTAACACTTTTATTAGATACGCTTGCTTGCTAGGAGTAGTACTTACGAAAGCGCTGTGACTTGTATTAGCCCAGACTTCTTGAACGACTAGAGCGGAGAAACTCACTCAACCCAGAGATACCGATACCCTAGAAGTAGGGTAGCTTTGATGCTGTCCTCTATAGTACAAGGCAACATACTAGGCAAAAGTCCGGATGTCGAGTCTGTCTTGAAGACCAAGCCACCCCATACATATGACAAAGCCACATACTGGCAGTTCATGGGTGCTGAAATGACAGCTCTTTCCATACAGTCGATGACTTTTAGATTCTGCGGTTTTTGTCGTACACCGGACGTGCACCGAATATGCGAGTCGCATTCTTCAAGCCAGATCTTTATTGTATCAAAATCAACGTGTGACCCCTCGAGGGTTTCGTGTACTTCTAGACTTCCAGCTGTAGAAAACTCAGAACACCGAATCCCGACGATCGCGGATCGATCGCTGTCCCCTTTTCTGACGCCATTCGAATCATGAAGGGTGGCCACGCCTGAGTGGCCTGACCGTGACCAGCGTCCCAAACGCAACAACAAAGGTCCTTCCAAGCTAGGCGTTTCATTTTCGTATACCTGCATCGCCATTCCAAGTATTTGACAAGCCTTACATGTCGATAACAGTAGCTCTTCTGCTCTTTCTTCGATTCTGAAGATATCCACACTGACTTCATCGAAGGGTACTTTTGGCCATGTTGACAAACATCGGTCGCACGTACTGCTCTTCCTCAGTTTGACATTTTTAGATTTCTGGCCCATAAGATGAATGGCTTTGATGATGTCGTTCATGATAGGTAGAAGGGACATTCGGGAGATGAGAAAGCTCGCTTTTACTGCATTGTATGCAACAGGCAGAATATATCCTAATGCAGCTGCTGTCTTTCGTCTTGTGGCGCTGTAGTATGGATTCGAGAAGACACCTTCAGAGCACCTTGTCGTGTCAATATAAATTGGTAGCGATGCGGCATTCGTGGATGGACAGGAAGGCTGCTGCTGCCTGTTGGGAGTGATTCGTGGATAAGCACTATGGCACGTGATCGTCCATTTGCCCCTCTGGTCCTCCATCTCAAGACAACTAGGCACTTGCATACAGAGCCTCTCATAACGCAGCTACGTCGACGAGTTTTAGTGAACGGGTTGGAACATTTCAACTTGGTCATTTCATCAAAATTCCTCGTCTCATACAGCGGCAATTAATTACTGGTAGCGAGCTCGTGGAGTGTCGGTGACAGCCCCGTAGACAGGTGTACAAGTGCACAGTCACGTCGTGGTGGATACAGCTGAGCCATGACCTCCCAGCCATCTCTTTGACGATGGGTCAAGACGTTGGTCGTTAGTGCTCTGGATTTCCCAGTGTTGAAGAACAATGAGGTGTTGACGCCCACGTATCATGGTGAGGCGGCACGTTTCAGGCAGCCCAGTCAAGTAAGAACGGATGTGGGAGAAGGCAGATTCCCGAGAGGCGAAACGTTTGCAAGGAGTCTACTTGCATAAACTCTGGGGAAGGACTGACGCTTTAGATGACATGAGTGGAGAAGGGGACAGTGCGAGCAAGCATGCTGGCATGCATTGGTCGTGGTGCGCAGCAGGTAGGAAAGACAAGCAACGTCACAGGCTGCTCCAGAAGTGTCGAGGGAGGGTGCCGATCCGACGCAGGCTGGTGAGGCTATTTTGCGTGCGTTTGTGAGGAGGTGCATATGGTGAGACGGCTGTGTGCGCGGTTCCAGTGGTTCCAAGAGGTTGAGCAGTGGTGGTTGGCTCGGCCCCCTGGAGGAGGTCTGTGCGGGCTGGCGGGATGTTGGCGGTGAGAGGCGATTAGCGTGACCAGAGAAAGTCGACAACACGGCGGGCAGCAGTTCGCATATCTTCGCCCACACGATTGCACTTCTCTCCTTTAGGGATGCATCGAGCCCTGTGACTGCAGCGACATCCCACGCTGACGACGCCCACGACCAGGCCCACGAAGAAGCCAGCGACCGCACCGAATTAGCGAGCTGAGCGTGCTGTCCACCACCACCAGGGAGCCGCCTTTGGACCCTGATTGCGCACCGCCATTTGGAGGGGGAGAAAGCAGGACCGCAACCACCCACCATGGCACACATCTACGACATCGGCACCCGGGCATGGCAGCCCGACACCACCGAGGGCTGGGTTGCCTCGGAGGTGACGGACAAGCAGATTGCGGGAGACAAAGTGACATTGGTCTTCACGCTGGAGAATGGCGAGGTACGCGCACCCAAGAGGACACTGCACTGTTGCACAACACGGCGGCTGACAATGATTGACTGTGCAGACCAAAACCGTCGAGACGACGCTGTCTGCCATCCAGACGGGCAATGATCCCAATCTCCCGCCGCTGATGAACCCGGCCATGCTCGAGGCCAGCGACGACCTTACCAACCTGTCACATCTCAACGAGCCGGCTGGTACGGCCCGCCCAATCTGCGTGGGAAACATGGCATACTGACGAGAGTGCAGTGCTCCAGGCCATCAAGCTACGTTACCTGCAGAAGGAGATCTACACATATTCCGGTATCGTCCTCATCGCGACAAATCCCTTTGCGCGAGTCGACTCGCTATACGTACCGGGCATGGTACAGGTCTACGCTGGCAAGCAGAGATCGTACGGCGCTCCGCATCTGTTCGCCATCGCTGAAGAGGCCTTCGCGTGAGTCCCCCGCTCCCCATACCCGCCGTGGCAGCCACTAACCTTCTGCAGCGACATGTTGCGAGACCAGAAGAACCAGACCGTTGTCGTCTCTGGTGAATCCGGAGCCGGAAAGACGGTCAGCGCCAAATACATCATGCGATACTTTGCGACACGAGAGTCGCCCGACAACCCCCACAAGCGGAGAGGCAAGTCCGACTCGATGAGTGAGACAGAAGAACAGATTCTGGCTACCAACCCCATCATGGAAGCTTTCGGTAACGCCAAAACCACCCGTAACGACAACTCGTCGCGATTCGGTAAATACATCGAGATCATGTTCAACAAGCAAACCGACATTATTGGTGCAAAGATTAGGACATACCTGCTGGAACGGTCAAGACTGGTCTTTCAGCCGCTTAAGGAGCGGAACTACCACGTCTTCTACCAGTTGGTAGCTGGTGCGACGGACGAGGAGCGCGAAGAGCTGTCCCTGAAGTCGGTCGAGGAGTTTAGCTACCTCAACCAAGGCAGTGCGCCAGTGATTGAAGGTATGGACGACGTGGCTGAGTTCAAGGCTACAAAACAATCCTTGACCAAGATCGGTGTGCCCGCCGAGACTCAAGCTGGCATCTGGCGCCTGCTAGCAGCCCTGCTGCACATGGGAGATATCAAGATCACAGCAACTCGAACAGACTCAAATCTTGCGCCAGATGAGCCTTCTCTCGTCACGGCTTGTTCACTGCTAGGAATAGATGCCAACACCTTCTCCAAGTGGATCGTAAAGAAGCAGCTCATCACCAGAGGAGAAAAGATTGTTTCCAACTTGACACAGCAACAGGCTATTGTAGTGCGAGATTCCGTTGCCAAGTTCATTTATTCCAGTCTGTTCGACTGGCTGGTTGAGCGAACAAACGAGAGTCTGGCCACCGAGGAGGTTATTTCACAAGCCCACACCTTCATTGGTGTCCTTGATATTTACGGTTTCGAGCATTTCGCAAAGAACTCTTTCGAGCAGTTCTGTATCAACTATGCTAATGAGAAGTTGCAACAAGAATTCAACGCACACGTTTTCAAGCTGGAGCAGGAAGAGTATATGCGCGAACAGATCGACTGGACTTTCATCGACTTCGCCGACAATCAGCCATGTATCGACCTCATCGAAGGCAAGCTGGGTATCCTGTCTCTACTAGATGAAGAGTCACGTCTGCCTATGGGTTCAGACGAGCAATTTGTCACTAAGCTGCACCACAACTACTCTGGAGATAAGCACAAGTTCTACAAGAAGCCCCGGTTCGGCAAGTCCTCTTTCACAGTATGCCACTACGCTGTCGACGTCACATACGAATCCGATGGTTTCATCGAGAAGAACAGAGACACTGTGCCCGACGAGCACATGGAGGTTCTCAAGGCTGCAAGCAACAAGTTCTTGACCCAGGTTTTGGATACTGCTGCTTCGATCCGAGAGAAGGAGACCGCTACCAATGCCTCTTCTAAGCCGGGCACTGCCATGTCGGCTGGACGAAGAATAGCGACCAACCGCAAGCCAACGCTTGGTGGCATCTTCAAGTCTTCCCTTATCGAACTTATGCAGACTATTAACTCGACCGACGTCCACTACATTAGATGTATCAAGCCCAACGAGGCCAAGGCGGCCTGGCAATTCGATGGGCCTATGGTTCTTGGTCAACTGCGTGCCTGTGGTGTTCTCGAAACAGTCAGAATCAGTTGCGCGGGTTACCCCACACGATGGACCTATGAAGAATTCGCCCTCCGTTACTACATGTTGGTTAGGTCCTCTGATTGGACGCCTGAGATCCGAAACATGGCTACCGCGATTTTGAAGAAAGCCTTAGGTGCCGGCAAGAACGATGGCACCGACAAGTACCAGATGGGTTTAACGAAGATCTTCTTCCGCGCTGGTATGCTTGCGTTCCTCGAGAACCTACGCACAGCCCGTCTCAATGATGCGGCCATCATGATCCAGAAGAACCTCCGAGCCAAATACTACCGCCGTATCTATCTCGAGATGCGTGAGGCTGTCATTCTCGTGCAATCGTTGGCTAGGGGCTACATGACTAGGGAACAGGCTGAGGAGGCTAGGCAGGTCAAGGCCGCTACTACCATTCAGAGGGTTTGGCGAGGTAGCAAAGATCGCAAGCGCTTCCTTGTCGTCCGAAACTCGCTCATCAAGTTCGAGGCTGCCGCAAAGGGATTCCTTCTCCGCAAGAACATACTGGACAAGAGGCTTGGAGATGCTGCTCGTATGATCCAACGCAACTGGCGCAAACAACGATACATCCGCGCGTACAAGAAGGAGATCAACGACATCATCACTGTCCAGAAACTCTGGAGAGGAAGGAAGGCCCGCAGGGAATACAAGGTCCTTCGCGCCGAATCCCGCGATCTCAAGAACATTTCTTACAAGCTGGAGAACAAGGTTGTGGAGCTTACCCAGAACCTCGGTACGATGAGGGAGCAAAACAAGTCGCTCAAGTCGCAGGTGGAGAACTACGAGAGCCAGATCAAATCGTACAAGGAGCGCAGCCGTACCCTCGAAAACCGTCAGAAGGAGCTTCAAGCCGAAGCCAACCAGGCTGGTATCACCGCCGCCAAGCTCAGCCAAATGGAAGACGAATACAAGAAGCTGCAGACAAGCTACGAAGAAAGCACTGCAAAGATGCGACATCTTCAGGAAGAGGAGAAGGAACTCCGTGCGTCGCTTAAGAGGACCACAGACGACCTGGAACAATCTAAGAGGAGGAGCAATGTTACCGAGACCGAAAAGATGACGCTCCGTCAACAGCTCGCTGAGTTGCAAGAGCAGGTCGAACTGATGAAGCGATCTGGCCCCATCGCCGACCTGACCAACGGTCACTCCACCTCTGTAGCCCCCAGCAGCTTGATCAAGCTCGTCTCGTCGAAGAAGCCAAAGAGGCGCAGTGCCGGACCGGATACCCGCGATATCAACCGCTTCAGCGAACAGTACAACCCACGGCCTGTCTCGATGGCTCCTGGTTCCACTATCCACAGGCAGAACCTTTCTGGTTCAACCTTTGCTCAGCTTGATAATGTCGAGCTTGAGCTTGAGAACATCCTTGCTGAGGAGGATATGTTGAACGATGAGGTCACCCTTGGCCTGATCAAGAACCTCAAGATTCCATCGCCCACAACCACACCGCCACCTACCGACAAGGAGGTCCTCTTCCCTGCGTATCTCATCAACCTTGTCACCTCAGAGATGTGGAACAACGGCTTCGTCAAGGAGTCGGAGCGTTTCCTCGCAAACGTCATGCAATCGATTCAACAAGAGGTCATGCAACACGATGCGGAAGATGCAATCAACCCAGGTGCTTTCTGGTTGTCAAACGTACACGAGATGCTGTCGTTCGTCTTCCTTGCTGAAGATTGGTACGAGCAACAAAAGACCGACAACTACGAGTACGACCGATTATTGGAGATTGTCAAGCATGATCTTGAGAGTCTTGAGTTCAACATCTACCACACCTGGATGAAGGTCCTGAAGAAGAAGTTGCACAAGATGATCATCCCCGCTATCATCGAATCGCAATCGCTGCCTGGTTTCGTCACCAACGAGAGCAACCGTTTCCTCGGAAAGCTGCTTCAGGGCAGCAACACCCCTGCCTACAGCATGGACAACCTACTCACTCTACTCAACAGCGTCTACAAGGCAATGAAGGCTTACTACCTGGAAGACTCCATCATCACACAGTGTGTTACTGAGTTGTTGAGGTTAGTAGGTGTTACTGCTTTCAACGACTTGCTCATGCGCCGTAACTTCCTTTCATGGAAACGAGGTCTGCAGATCAACTACAACATCACCCGTATCGAAGAGTGGTGCAAATCGCATGACATGCCCGAGGGTACTCTGCAGCTTGAGCATCTGATGCAAGCTACCAAGCTGCTCCAGCTGAAAAAGGCTACCTTGAACGACATTGAGATCATTCAGGACATTTGCTGGATGTTGAGTCCGAACCAGATCCAGAAGCTGTTGAACCAATACCTGGTAGCCGACTACGAGCAGCCCATCAATGGCGAGATTATGAAGGCTGTCGCATCGCGCGTGACAGAGAAGAGCGACGTCCTGTTGCTCACAGCAGTCGACATGGAGGACAGTGGTCCATACGAGATCGCGGAACCGCGAGTCATCACAGCACTTGAGACATACACGCCTTCTTGTAAGTACTTCCTTTCAGCGGTCTATCATCCAATCGAAACACGACTAACACGCACGACAGGGCTGCAAACACCCCGCCTCAAGCGCCTCGCCGAAATCGTCTCTCAACAAGCCATTGCGCAACAAGAGAAGCTCGAGTTCGACGACGACATGCCCAATGGCCAGAGCAATGGTGATGCCATGAATGCTCTGACCGGCGGAATGGGTATCAACGGCGGCGGCATGAATGGACACGGTACGATTGAAGAAGGTATTGAGGCATGAACTTTAGCATCTTTGTAAGCGAGCGAAAGCGAAAGATTTGGTATTAGACATGAAACGACACGAGACGAGATGAAGGAAATAAAGCGCCGCAGATGAACCCAATATTCGTAGTTGTAGTAGCAGCTTTTTCTTCTGTGTCTGTCTAGTCGCTGGACTTCTGGGAGGGATGGAAGATGTGCTTCAAACTACTACACGTTTGTTCTTTCTGCAATTGCGGAAGGGGGGATCAAAGGCGTACGACGCATGATGATGTTGGGTATTTAATGCTGGTGTTTTTTTTTCTTTCCTGGGAATGTTATATCTCTTCAGACTTCTCTTTTGTGTGTGTGTGTGTGTGTGTGTGTGTGTGTGTGTGTGTGTTGTTCGCTGCGCGCGGATGTGATGTTGTCCTTCTGTCGATGTGACAAAGAAGTGGGCTAATTCTGCTGAGCATATTCAAACAGTCTTCGACTACGTGACGGCGTGGGGATGGGAGCCATATTCTGCTTTTGTGATGAGACTCGGCGATAGATCCAAGGTATTCAAGTTCGGTTGAGAGAGGATAGCCACTGAACACGATGATGATGATAGATGATGATGGATGATGGAGGACGATAGAGGATGATGATAGAAGAAGTTGTGTAGGTCGATCTCAGACCTATAAGTATATTAATAGACATTTGCTTGCTCTCAGACATTAATCGTCCTATGAGGGTGTCCGTGACGATCTCTAAGAATCTGCACAGTCAGATAATTTAGTAGACAAAGGTGCTGGCTATCAAATCCAACATCTTCCGCAATCTGTATGCTACCTCCCCACCCTATATGGTTCCATGGACAAATCTTGTTCACAGATTGATATTGCACAAAGATACCATCTCGAGGCAGGCAATTATCTTTTTACTAATTGACAGACACAATGATGAGCTGCCTGAGGATAGTCGCGACTCTTGAACATATGCGAACTCAGATCTTCGCGGTCTGCAAGGATAATGGGGGCTTAACTTTGTGGTTAGCGCAACGCTTGTTGCTTCTGACAACTGATTTTTGATGTGTCTACTGCCCCATCCAAGGGAAAGACTAAACAGGTATAGAGATAACAAGGCCTACCTTACAGCTTACATTAGCCCTTAGTAAGAAGATTTGCAAAGATCAACATTATTGTAGACTTTAGGATTCTCTGTTAATGTTTACATAACTCTAAATTAGCTCTATCATGTCAGGAAGAAGTACACTACTCTACAGAGCTGTTTAGTTTCTCTCTTGATTATGGTGTACTGTGGGCTAACGACATGGCGTTGCGGGCGCCTGGATGACTGGAACCTTAATGCTGATGGCTGCTGTACCGACAATCGACACCGGGGCGGTGGTTTTGTGAGACTTGCGGCTGATTGCTTGCCTATAGGACCCGCGGTCTTCCTCATGGTCAGCGTTACCCGATACCAAACAGGTTCCTTGAAAGTGTGGAGGCGGAGACTTTAGTGTTCCAGAAGTGTCTTAGAATTCGTTTATGTCCAGCTCTTACATCTCCAGATTGATTGGACGGTGGCCAAACTGCAGCTGTGGTTACATGGTTGTCAAAACACGATTCCCTGAGGCCACTGGTGGCAAACCTTAGTACGCAAGCCAGCCTAACTTCAAACTTGCTGTAGATACCTACCAAGGTCTCAGCTTTAGCGATTTAGTCACTATTTGGTCCACGTCTTTGGTACAAGCACAACTTATTTTCTGGTCTACATTTCTGGATGGGTGAACACATAATTACTAGGTAAGTTTCGCTCTTATTACCGAGTCTACCAAGCAAATAAAGAACACGGAAATACAAATTTGCTTTCGTGATCCGAATCAAACTTCACGTGCTCGATACGTGAAAAGCTGATACTTTCCTCGTCAGTTTGTTCTAACGTCGCAATCACGCGCGAGCTGAATTGATTGTCTTGGTCATTCAGGTGAGAGCCCTAGTGAACGTGAGCGTGGCGCACCTGGACGTGCTTCCAAATAATATGACTGATACCGTCTATTACGGGCGGGGCCTTCACCTCCGAACCATTTTTCAGCGCTCCGTGGTTCATATTACCCCATCTACCCACTCAACACGAACACGACCGCAACTGTATCCGCTCACTGAACAGTGTTCATAAAGCACCCTCACATCTCACGTCCCCTCCGATTGTACACACCATGACATCGCCACACGCGAAAAAAGCCGAGAAAATTCGAGAGGAGCTTGGGAGACAGTACAAAGACAAGGATTTCAGATTCCCCACTGAATACACTGCCGCTGAAGCCGCCAATTTTCTCGATATCCAAAAGAGAATGTTCGAGAAGCGAGAGAGGCTCCGATCCGACGACCGTGACCAGGACATCTTACCTGACGACGTATACGCGAACGAAGTCGATCTCCTCGAAGATGCATTACCAACAGCTGAGGGCCAAGAGAAGTTCTGGTTGTGGGTACACAATAATGATTGCAAGATCCGTACGATGCCTAAAGCCGGGGCATTTCAGGACTACTTCAAAGCTCTCGCTCAAACTGATTACTCAGACAAGGTTTCTCTAAGGGAACTGTTCACAGTACTAAAGACACACGTTTACCCATACATACCCGCGGGATCCTACAACGGTTATCGCTATCGCATCGTCCCATCCCTCACCCCACTGGCCCCTGATGAGGAGCTGGTCGACTGGGAGGACCCACGTCAGGTTGCCACCGATCCAATTGTAGCTATCGACCTAGCAGGACAGATAATCCACTCTTCAGACGAGGTCGAGGACCGCAACCGAAGGAGGCGTGCTGACATCTCAGAGGAATCTTATTTCAGTAGCTCCAGCAACAACAGCACCATCCTAGGTAACAGTCTTACTGGATTCGTATGCTTTCAAGTTGGAGAGCTTCGTGCAGCTGAGGAGGAGAATTGGTCAGACAACGGCAAGCTACCCAAGGGACAGGACGTCAGCAAGATTCTATGGGAGCGCACAGACTGGGTCTTGGTCTTGGTCATCAGTGCTGAGAGTACTGCCGGTGCTGTTTGGCTGCTACAGAATTTCAATCCAACAATCGAGCACACATCCGATCAGTACACGATCACCCCAGGAGATCCAGAAGACCCTTATGGGTGGGGTTACTTTGAGGGCGAGCGACAGTTGGATCTGGTGCCGATGCAACGTGGTGGGGTGAAGATCGCGCACAAGATCACTGATCTCACCGAGACTAGGGAGTGGACCATGGATGAGTACATTACAGGAAAGTACGAGATAGTGCAAGCAGTACTCGCGGACCGTGATGAGGGCAAGTCACCAGTCATTGTCAGGCAGCTGCCAAGATTCGAGTCCCAGGATGATTCGTCTCCAGACGTCTCGAGGCTCCGCATTGAGGATGATTAGGAATGGAAGGACGAAGGGTGATGCTAGTGTACCCGTGTATGTTAGAGAAGTCGGCTGGTAGCATATTCGTGCATGTTTCGATCTCCGGATACGTACCAGTACATAGCGATGGCTACAGGGTTTTCCTTTTATCATAGATCTCCTTTTGTTTATGGGTTAGATGGTTTGGTTTCTCGCGATTTGTAGGACATCAAGCAACATGTTTTTAAACCATGGAGTAATGCTGTGATGTGAGGAAATCTGACTCGTGCAGACTGTATTCGTAACGATCAGGACTTTGACACGACCTACCACCAAAGAAAAAAAAGAAAAAGCAAGCAAAGGAAGCCAAACCCACGAACCGCAAGAACAGCTCCATGACCGTCGGCCCAAGCTGCGCCGAACCACGCGTTCGGGGTGCGCCACACGGCCCGCTCAATCTAGCGCGCTAGCTATAGTTGGCCGCCGTTTGGCCCTTCCCACGATCCCGACATCCGTAATCATCTCGACAAGCGACACGGCCAAGCCATGGAGCTGACGACAACGTTTCCTCTCCTTTGCACGCCCTCTCCTCGCGATCCTCCAAACTAAACCCCTAGAAAAGCAGAGAGACAAATACCAACTTTCTTTCGCTCCCTCGATATACCTTTCTTATTGCTTTTCCCTTATCTCATACGTTGTTGCATTGAGCGCGCATTATTCTAGTTGACTGATTACCTCGGACCCTGCATATCGCGAACGTAATACGAAACCTGAACCACACGATCCGGCTTACCCCAATGCGCCCTTCCACGTTTGCCTAAATTACGAGAAAGATCCTGAGAGAAAGCGCACGCGACTGCATCCGCATTGCCGTCAAGGTGTTAGGGGAAGATGCCGTCTGTTGCGCAATGGCAGGGGACGCCTTCAGTCAAGGGCTCGACTGAGAGCATACGCATGGCGTTGCTCACAGCGTCGCTCATAGGCTTGCAGTGAATACGATCCTGACCCAAGAAGTCTACATGTGTCATGTACTAAGCAACATGCAGGTTCACGTGGAATGTCGAAATGACATATTGCACACCCTACCTCCTCGAACTCGGTCTTACGAAATCGAAAATCTCCCTTGTTTGGGTCGCCGGTCCACTGTCAGGCCTCATCATGCAGCCCATTGTCGGCGTCGTCGCAGATCGTTCTACCTCGCGATGGGGCCGTCGAAGACCCTTTATGTTCTTTGGGACGATACTGGTGGCCATGTTCTTACTGCTGCTAGGCTGGACAAAAGAGGTGGTTCGGTACTTCATAAAGGACGAGGTTGCGGCTAAGAGCGCGACGATATACGTTGCTGTGTTTAGTATCTATGGGATTGATTTCGCCATCAATGCTGTGCAGGGAAGTTGTAGAGGCTTGGTAGTCGATACTTTGCCTATTTCGAAACAACAGATGGGCAGTAGTTGGGCGAGCAGGATGGTTGCGGTCGGGAGTTTGATAGGGTATGGCGCAGGAGCAATTGATCTGAGGAGTGTGTTTGGGCCCATGTTGGGAGACACGCAGTTCAAGCAGTTGACGGGAGTTGCAGCTTTGACGCTGTGCTTGGCGATTGGCACGACAAGCTGGGCGGTTACTGAAAGAGTGCTTATTAATGACGGAGCTGAAGAGGGCAAGGAGCTGGATCTCAAGCAAGTTCTCGGTACTATCGCACATACTGCTTTGAACCTGCCCCGAAGTATCCAAGCCATCTGTACAGTTCAATTCTGGGCTTGGATTGGTACGTTGTTGATGTGCTATTTGTGCGGACTGTGTACTAATGATTGGCCAGGCTGGTTTCCTTTCCTCTTCTACAGCACGACTTGGGTTGGCGAGGTATACCTACGGTATGACGCGCCAGCTGAGGTTAAGGCAGCAGGTGATCTTACGGGCAAGGTTGGTCGCATTGGCTCCATGGCCCTCATCGCCTTTTCCATTATCACATTCGTAATGTCTGTTCTCCTACCTTTCTTTGTACAGAGTCCAGAAGACGATGAAAAGGGCCCTGGCTTCTCCCATCCGCCTAAGCGGTTGACTGGGCTGGCAAGATATAAGCCAAGCCTACTCACAGCATGGACAACTGCGCATTGTATTTTCGCAGGAAGCATGGTCATGGCGCCTTTCGTGAGAAGTCTGAGACATGCGACTATCATCATCGCTTGCTGTGGCGTGTAAGTGACCACCGTGAACCCCTCCTCCACGGAGCTCGACTGATGCAACACAGATCATGGTCCGTAGCCTGCTGGGCTCCCTTTGCGTTCCTCGGCGTAGAGATCAACCGCCTCAACACATCGTCGGCGCACTCGACACACCCAAAGCGATCCTCCATCGACCTTCCTGAAGCGCAATCCAACCTCGAAAAGGGTGCTGCATCTTCCTCTAGCGGCGGAGCAAGCTCAGGCCAATACCTCGGCATTATGAACCTATATACGACGCTACCACAATTCATGGGCACAGGGATATCGTGGGTAGTATTTTCCATCTTGGAGCCCGGAAAGAGTCCCGAGTTGAGCGAGGCGCCGCCCGAAGAACATCATAGCACGGATGGGCCGAATGCAATTGCAGTCTGCTTGTTTATTGGGGCCTGTTCGGCGTGTATGGCGGTTGTTGCTACGAGGAGGTTGGGAAGAATACAGGGAAGGCTGTAGATGGGAAGACGTGGATGCCTGAATAGCCTAAGAAAAAAAAAAGTCCAAACCACCATCGTCATGTCCATGTCAAGACTTTTTCAAGTTCTCTCATCAGTTGGTGGTGTCCCGCTCCTGCCGGTCGGCAATTGTGAGCTGTGGGTATTGTTTGGAAGAATTGAAGTTCTCTCGTCACGACGCTTGTCACTGGGAATAGGGTTCTTGCACATGCCGCTAACGGGCAGTAGAGAACATGACTCTTGGTGACACCCACCCCCAACATGCTCACATCCGTGGTTGCCATTGCCGCCTTGCGGGTTCGGGCTTAGGGTGGTGCCATGGGCCAGAGAGATTTTGCTAAGGGTTTGCTAAGGATTTTGCAGAGACCCGCTTTGTTCTAGAAGGCAGGTGTGGCTACTGATCGAAGCTGACGCTGATCGGGTGTGTGTAGAGATCGCAAAGAGTACCTAGGTAGGATATGTGCATGCTGCTGCTTAGTGCATCCGTGTCGAGCTCCGAGTCGACTCACGATGGTGACAATGTGCAGTCGGGGCGTGTCCGGGCGTGGGATTGGACAGGGTGGAAAATGCACGCTCTCCCGTCTCCGAGTACCCTCTCCGAGTACCCTCTCCAAGTACCGGCGGCCAAGGTCGGCCGTGGTGTCAGTGCAGGGCAGGGCAGTCGACGTGGTAGACTACTGCGCGCACAAGCAAGTGAGGTATCGCCGCCAGATAAACTTGAATCGCTCGTTTGCTGGGTGTCGGAGAGATGCAAGCAAGGGCACACGTGCCATGTCGCTGCGAAAAGACGGTCAAGGTACAAAAACCACCTCGCCTGCCGCTCTGGCTTGATTGTAGCCGCCTCCATCCAACGGGCAGTGTCTATCGTCTGGTCGCGCAGTCCCAGTGTGTTGCTGTTTGCCAGCCTACGGTTGCATTTTCCACTAGCCTGCAACTAGCCATAGAGAGGGGCGAAAACAACCTTGCGTAGCGCCTGTCCTTCTCGCTCAACCCGCCGAACAATTCTGCGGCTCACCCACAACATCCACCTTTCGCCCAACAATCTCGCCACAGCCAGACCGACATCACTCATTCGCCAAGATGTCTGAGCCGATCCGCAATAAGAAGATGGATTCCATATCCGCCCCGTAAGTCGCTTCCCAACCCTCCGCCACACAATTTTGTCTCCCAAAAACACCACCACAACAAGCCCCCCCATCATGGACGTACCGCATTCTAACGTGCGCCCTGCCAGCACCCCCCAGAACACACCCGCAAATGCTGCCCCGATATCGTCGCGCGCTCAGCAGCCCGGCGTGGGCACCATCAAGGAAGGTATGTCGCAAATTCCTGCCCCTCCAACCCCGCCTTGTATCGTCGTCAAGGCCTTGACCGCTAACTCGATTTTTCGCACAGAGGAACTAGAGCGCACCGCCGCCGGCCTGTTCGCTGCCAACCCCGCCCTCGTCGCCATGATGCAGAACAAGCTCGGCTCGCTCGTCGGCCGCTCAAGCGGCTACATTGAGTCGCTCCCAGCCTCGGTCCGCCGCCGTGTTGCCGGCCTCAAGGGCGTCCAGAAGGAGCACTCCAAGCTCGAGGCTGAGTTCCAAGAGGAGGTCCTGCAGCTCGAGAAGAAGTACTTCGCCAAGTTCACACCGCTATACCAGACCCGTGCCAAGATCGTCAACGGCAACGAGGAGCCCTCAGAAGACCAAGTCAAGGTCGGCGAGCAGCAAGACGAGGATGACGAGGATGAGGACCAGCCCGAGCCTGAGCTCAACAAGGACGAGGGCAAGGATGTCAAGGGTATTCCAGAGTTCTGGCTCAGCGCCATGAAGAACCAGATCTCGCTCGCCGAGATGATCACAGATCGCGACGAGGCTGCTCTGAAGCACCTGACCGACATCCGCATGGAGTACCTCGACCGCCCCGGTTTCCGCCTCATCTTTGAATTCGAGGAAAACGATTTCTTCACCAACAAGACCATCACCAAGACCTACTTCTACCAGGAGGAGAACGGCTACGGAGGTGACTTCATCTACGACCACGCCGAGGGTGACAAGGTCGACTGGAAGGCAGGCAAGGACTTGACTGTCCGCATCGAGAGCAAGAAGCAGAGGAACAAGAGTGAGTTTTAAATCGCCGTCACGAGGTGATAGCAGACTAACAGCTTTCAGACACCAAGCAGACCCGCGTCGTTAAGAAGACCGTGCCTACAGAGTCGTTCTTCAACTTCTTCGACCCGCCCAAGCCCCCACAAGACGATGATGATGCCACCTCTGATATTGAGGAGCGTCTCGAACTCGACTACCAGCTCGGTGAGGACATCAAGGAGAAGCTCATCCCCCGCGCCATTGACTGGTTCACCGGCGAGGCCCTTCAGTACGAGAACCTTGAGGACTTTGACGAGGGCGAGTTTGAGGACGAAGACGATGAGGACGAGGATGAGCTCAGCGATGACCGCGACGAGGAGGAGGAATCAGACGACGAGGTAAGCAGTTATAGTCGCTGTTTGAATAAACACCAACTAACACGATTCTAGAACGACGGCACAAAACCAAAGCAGGAGGCTGCTGAGTGCAAGCAGAGCTAAACACTCGACGAAAATAATCTCGCATTCCCAAGATCACAATATCCCCAGGTCGTTCTAAGCGGCATGTGCAGTTCAAGCTAGCCTCCTAGCCGCCTTCTGTCACACTGAGATGTCTTTTTGAAACGACTCTCCACGTCCGATATTTCACTTCACGATTTCTTACTCGGCGTAATACTGCATCAAAAGAGTTCGGGGGTGTTCGTTCGGCAATGGTTGGTTGGAGCTTCCTCTGGACTAGATATCTTAAGAACTACTCAGTTCTCTACCCTCCCCCACCACCACTTCTTCTCACCCCTCCAGACATCTGCTCGAACAGGTTCCTGGGCTCTTACAACCACCAATCGCTAGCATCTACGGCGTTGTCTAGGTGGGGTTTTGCAGCATGTTTTCCTTGGGTTCAGGGACGTTTATGTTGACGAGGTATTTTAGACGGCGTAGGTAGTCTTGAGCGCATGTTACGGGTCAATGAAAAGAAAAGTTTGAAGCCTCACTTTTGGTAGGAGCCAGTATGATTTGCTCATGCTGTTGATGCATGTTGATCTGCCTCGGTAGGAGTGTGTGTGATAACGCTCGCCTCATTCCCGGACCCAACCAACTATCAATGAGTTCTACAAGGATATTACACATGCTGTGCTTACATAGGTATCCTTGCACTCGCCGTCACACTTCAGATGCTGTGCATTTGCTTTGTCTTGGGGGCCATGTCAGGATGAGTAGTGCGGGGTAGTGGGGGTTGTGCCGGGTGAAGTTCGGGCGCTCGAAAAATAATTCTGGAATGCGATCAGCAGCGGACGCGACTGAGCACCTGAACGCTACACAATACACTACCATCCTCATCCCGCAAAGTACTACCACAATTACCCTGCAAGATATACCTGTATCTGGCAATAAATCCTAATCGCAAGGCACATATAAATAACGACTTGCGCAAGCCTACAACTCGCAACAGCCTGCCAACTACGCGACTGAGACCGATCACAACTTTGCGACTAGAGACGACGAGGAAATGGCGCGCCAGAACCCAAACATTGTCATCACGGGTACACCCGGAGTAGGAAAGACAACACACGCTGAGCAATTAGCGCAAGCAACAGGATTCAAGCACGTCTCCGTGAATCAGATTGTCAAAGATGAGGGCTTCCATGAGGGCAAAGATGAGGAGACAGGGAGTTGGGTTGTAGACGAAGACAAAGTATGTAATATCCTTATAAAAACCATGGTTCTCCGGGCTAATGTGTGTTCCATCCAGCTACTCGACCACCTGGAATCCCTCCCCCTAGCCAGCACAGGCGGCTATATCCTCGACTGGCACGCGTGCGACCTGTTCCCCGAACGCTGGATCGACCTCGTCATCGTGCTGCGCTGCGACAGCACACTTTTATACGATCGTCTCACCGCGCGGGGCTACAAGGGGAAGAAGCTGGAGGAAAATATGGACAGTGAAATCATGCAGGTTCTGCTTGACGAGGCGAGGGAGAGCTATAAAGAAGAGATCGTGGTGGAGCTGAGGAGTGAGAGTAACGAGGACGTCGAGGGCAACTTGGAGCGGGTGGAGCAATGGATTGAGCAGTGGAGGAAAGACAGGCAGAATGCGGAAGGGGAAGAGTAGGTCGAGTTGGAAATATCTAGAGGGAGAGGGGAAAAAGGTACGACGTGATATGATGGCATGTGTTATGATACCAAGACGATGTTTTTCTCAAAAGAGTTATGGTGAGGTTGACTATCACTTCGACCCTCTTCTTGTGCTCTAGGCGCTACAGCAATCAAAATGCTCTTCTACGCCTCAGTTTTCTTGCTCGCCAGCCACTCCTTCAACTTGTCCAGTGCCTTAGCCCGATGGCTAATCTTATTCTTCTCGCTCTTTTCCATCTCAGCATACGTCTGGCCTTCGTACTCGAAGCACGAGTCCCAACCTTTACATCGTCAGCTCCTCGTACTCCTTCTCAAGCCCTCCCACACTTTCGACACAATAATGAAAGAATATGCCACTTACCGAAAACAGTTGGACCCCGGCTTTCTACCAACTTCCCATCTGTGCGTCCTTGGAAGAGAATCGCTTCGTGGCCTGGTCCCTCGCAGTATCCGAATGTGCATACGGCTTGGGCGGACTTGTCGTCAAAGCCGGAGAGCATTTTGTGGAGGTTGGAGGCGCCAAGGGAGAGCATGAACCATTTACTGGCGGATCAGGGGTGTTAGAGAGGCGGCTGTTCAAGGGAGATCATTGGAGAGGAGTTGATAAGATGTGTCAATGGATTACATGGGGTAGAAGACAAGGAAAGGAGGAAGGGGAAGGGTTTGAAGAGAAAGGCGACATACATATACGGTCCCGGAAGATCGTTCATAGCTTTGAAGCAGAGACATGTGTCTTCTACTAAGACAGGACCTTGAATCTGAATCATGGGTTCGTTAGCAACCAACAAAATCCTAAATGTACAACTACTGATTTCGCTTCATGAGAATTCTGTGTTACCATATCAAGGCACGAGGTGGGTTAGATTGTTGTTGTACCTACCGCTTCGGCTGCTCTGCGTGCCTTATCTTTTGTGACTTCTTCAACGGTGCCTTGGATCTCGACTAGATCGACGTTTTGATTCCGCAGCTCGATGACACCAGAAAGAATTGCTTGGACTTCGGCGAGCTTGTTCTTGTTGCCCGTTATGAAGTTTAGGACCGTGGGAATGCTTGAGGGTGACATTATGAGTGTACTTGAGAGCGTAGCTCCGGAATTTTTGAGTGTTCGTCTTGATGAATCTTGATGCTATGAGGATCGTTAGTTGGGATTTATATGATTTGTTAAGCTGCTGAGTGGGATTAATGTTTTCATGTTGGGAAGGGCGCAACGGGAATGATAGCGGTCTGAATGACAGTCTTGGTTGACAAAGGGCGTTTGACATCACAGACTGGTGTACCGCGAGGGCTGAAAGCACGTACTTTTTAAGGTTGATAGCTTAGTACTCTTCTAATACCACAATGTGCAATGTTTCCGTCTCACAGTGTCGCGATAGGGCTGAGGGGTCTATGTTTAGGCCCTTTCATAAGCGAGCTGAGCAGGGATCCATCCCCTAGCGTGCATTGAATGTTACCGTGGCCTACAAAACATCACTTTCAGCCGCATCAAATCACACCCTGCAAGGTTCTTGAATCCTTCATAACGGTTTTAACCGTTCTTACCGACTGGTCGCAGCTCCAAAACCCCGAGCTCGCCGAGCAAGAGCCTCATGGCGTGAGGCTGAACATCATTCGACTGTTATTCACGACCTCACCGCGCGCAACAAACCCTCTACAGGTATTCTCCGGAACGCACCGAGAGCTGGGCATTTTCCTTTTCGTCATCTCAGGACAAGCGGTCGCCGAGCACGCGCGGGGAGACCGTTGCTTTTGTCACCGCCAACATGGGTTCCCTCAGGACTCTGTTCCTGAGCGTATATGCCTCGAATGGCATTATAAGGACGTTGTTTCTACCATTATGCTACCTCACACTATTCAGTCCATTCATACTCGTTCTAGCTTGGTACTTTGGTCTTGGTCAAACTCTTGAAAAAGCTATACCCGAAGACTTCTCCTGGTTCGATCTGTTACCTACGTTTGCGATTTCGGCGGTCTTCGTGTTATTACCTACGAGGCTGCTATCAAGTTCGGGAAAAGTTGTCAAAAGCCAAGATGGGAAGAGACGGGTACAATCGCTGCCATACTGGATCCCGGGTGTACGTCATCTTTGGAGCATTATTTTTGGAGGCGAGGAGTGGTTGAACGGCGTCCGGTAAGCGTGTTGATAATGCCCGTTGGGTTGATCTAACTGGCAATAGGGATTCTGCAACTGCAAGCATACTGGCATACCAGGCAGCTGGGACCAAACATAACATCCTGCTTTCAGATTCCTTGCTTGGCCAGATCTATAAGAACTTGCATAGTTTGGAGCTGCCAGACAGCAGCCAACTCGCTATTCTTCGAAACACTTTCAACCTCCCGAAAGTAATGGAGAGCCATTATCTTGAGATTCAGAACGAAATCAATCAGGTCGTGGAGACGGAGCTATACAAAGGTGTGGCCGAGGAAGGTTTGATCAAAGCATCGCTGCGCATATTAACCGAATCGCTTCCGGACTTCGTTACATTCAACTCATCTATTGTCGACCAGATGCAATGGGAGCGCGTCTCCAACGTGGAACTTACGGATGGCACCTCTGAGGCCGAATGTGATCTGTTCACACTGCTCAACGAATTTTGTTGCAATGCTATTTTACCCCCAATCGTCGGAGCACAGTTTACAGAGTCTTACCAACTGCTTGCTACTGATCTGGCAAGCTGCAACGAACGATTTTGGGCTCTCGCTCTCGGGTTACCGCGATTGACGCCTGTTCAGGGCTTGCCGGGAGCAGCTCTGGCAAGAAAGAGATTGCTGAAGAACTTTGCGAATCTGTTTACAGAGTTGACACATCCACCAGTAAGGAGGGTGCCAGACGATGACGAGAGCGTGAGCGGAGAGGAAGACACGGACGCTGACGTAGTCACTCCCCTTATGAAGCTTAACGAGCTATTTACCAAACACGAACTACCAGCCGAGTTACGAGCTTCTATTGGTCTCCATCTAGTACATGGTATCTACTCAGACGTCATACCACTTGTATTTTGGACAGTTCTTCACATCTACTCGTCATCCAAGGCGCAAGACGTAAAGGCTCCAGAAGGGTCACCTCTCGAGAATATCAAAGCAGAATCCAAGGCCTGGGCTCAAGCTGTACAACCCCCATCAATACATCCGTCTTTTCCGGCACCACCGGAAATTCGCTTCGGCTCAGTGAAGGAAGCGCTGACGTCAAGTTCTCTGCCTTATCTTCGCTCATGCATCAACGAAGCTCGACGTCTACATACCTGTTCCGCCAGCACATACAGAGTCAAGAAGTCACTCCATCTACAGGAGGACGGTCCTGGTGGGAAGGAGCAATGGGAACTAGAAACGGGTACATATATCGACATGGGTCTCTCTCAATCACTCATAAACTCGTCGTCAGCATTTCATGCCTCCCCAGAAACGTTTCGACCCAACCGCTTTCTCAACACTCCCCCCTCATCGTCTGTCTTATCGCCTGCCTATAGCTCTCAGTCCTACAAGACCGATCTCATCATCTCTATCGTATCAGGTGTCACCCAACTTTGGGAAATTGCGCCTGCGCCAAAGAAGAGCTTCTTTGATCACATCCAAGAAGCAGGTAATGAAGCGTCATTTGGTGCCGAGGCCCTTACTGCGGAGCAAAAGGCTGCTAAAGAGGTAGCGAATCGGGAGAAAGAGGATGCTAAGAGGAAAGAGGCCAGGTGGGTATTTCCAAAAGCGGTTGATGGAGCGGTCACAAGGGTTCCCAAGGGGGATATCCGGGTCAGGATCAGAAGAAGGGAGGGGTTGCCTACTAGCAAGGTTGTGCGGAGGATTGGTTAGCGTTGAGACTGGGGCTTTCACCGGAGCCAACGTGCATGCATGACCAGCATACGGACGTACATAATAGCCGCGCGATATGCGGCTGGCGATGTCGAGAGAACTATATGGAAGACGTTGCGGAGCCGCGATAGTATGTGTCCGCGACTATTTGACCGGGGCACGGGGCCAGTAAGGTAGCTACATGAATCGGACCGCTGTATATGCGTACTCGCAAGCAAGCAAGCATCTAGGATACAACAACATCGGACAAACCATCACCATCGACGATGAGAACGCATTCTGTCCCAGGTTCGTGATCCACCCAGTCTTACAATTCACCCCAGCCCAAAGCCGAGCCTCCCCACCCAATATACCCACTTAACCTCAAGCTAAACTCTCTCCCACATCCCCATATCACATCCCTCGTACCTTCTACAGTTGCGATCGATCCCGATGTCCAGCCTTTCGTACCGTGGTATCGCTACTTCGCGAAAGCGCTGACGTCTCCTCCCCGTCAAAGTAGCGGTGAGGTGCCGCTCAACACCAACACACCACCAACGCTGAAACTTGAATCGTCTTCCCGCTTCCACGCGAAAGAGAAAACGCAAAGCCACATCATCATAATTGATCATCAGAGTCGAGACTCTTCGATGTACACGATAATTTATTGATTGTCACATTGGCATTTGTACACCGCAGGACTATGAACGAAGTAGGACCGCAATGGGCGTTGGTGACCTGGTGTTCTGTTATCAGAGTTTAGAGTACAGATCGAACTTTATAGCTGGGAGATCGTGATGGTGTCTAGGGAGTACATCGGAGGTTGGAGACGCAATCGGAGACTTTTGTGCATGGGTGTTTGGACGTTGCAAGGACGTTGTCGGAAGATGACCTCCGATTTTGGCTAGTTCTAGTGAAGTGCTCCAACCCCTCAACCTGAACGATTGTAGATGAGATGTTCGGAGACTACAGGCTGCACAACAAATAAGGATATGGATTAATGAGATTTACAATTCTTCAACAGTAAGCACTACAGCTTCAATTCAGCCTTCCTAGCTCAGTGGTAGAGCGCGTCACTAGTAATGACGAGGTCGTCAGTTCAATTCTGGCGGAAGGCATTAGTTTTTGTTTGTGTCACGAACGTAGCCTGTCCGAGGACAAGCATGAAAGTACTGTGCGGATAGTGGTGGTGTGAATCTCATCCGTCGAGGCATTCCTCGACTTTACTTCGGACTTTTTTTTATTCAAATCTGTACCATGCCACTACTCTCGCATGTTCACACTGCTCCTAGAACACCATCTTCATGATCAAAGGGTGCCGTAGCTCCACCCCAATTCTATAGGATTTTCCGATGCGCGAATGTTGACTGCAGCATACAACGCACGACGTAGGCATGGTCACGACTGCAACCCAGCCGTCAGGATGGGACCGCCATACCACAGACACGATCAAGAACGCATGGCAGTAGGTATGAATTTGGAACTCATCAATGTCATTTCCATGATACTTTTCCCGCATGACCTGTTAACACCAGATGCGGATCGTACCCCATGCACGCCATCACTGCCGCGGGATCGCATCAAGGGCCATGTTTATCTTTCATTTGTAAACACAAACACCTTTGGAATGCCGATATCATGCCGCGGAAAGTTGAAAAGACCCAAGAACCCCTTGCCTATCCAACAAGACCTTAAACCTGCTCAAGGACGGTCTCCTTGAACTCACGCTCAACCTTCTGGCCAGAGTCATCCTGGCTTGACTCGCCGTGGAGACCGAGGAGGGCACCAAGGTCGAACTTGGGTGCCTTGAGGAGCTTGACCTTTCGTACGTGTACCTGGGTTACGTTAGCCTGTGTCATCCACCGTTGTGCTGCAGACCACATACGTTCTGGAGAGGGTAGATGCCCTGGGTGGCCTTCTCGATCTCGCGACCGATGACCTCGGGGATGAGCTTCTGGGTAAGCTGGGCGAGGGTGCATGAGCTGGCGTCGCGGGCCATGATCTCAACCATCTTCTTGCGGATGGCCCTGATCTGGGACGACTGGGCGTATGTGGTCTTCTTGACCTGGTTCGGTCGTCGCTTGGTGAAGGCAATGCAGAAGAGGCGGAGGAGGTAGTCGTCGGTGGTCTTGACAACGACGTTGGCCTCGATGAGGGATTGCCACTTGCGGACGAGGGAGCGGAGCTTGTCGGAGGTGAAGTCGAGACCGTGGAAGTTGGTCAGGCAGTTCTTGCCCTGGACCTCGTCGACGCGGAGCTTGACCTTGCGGAAAGCGTGGTCCTCATCCTTCTGGAGATCGGCGAGCGAAACCTCGAATATCCGGCCCTTCAGAGCGTCGTTGGCGTTCTTGAGACCGGTGGTACGGTTGACGAGGGTCTTTCCGACACTACAAAGAGCGAAGAGTAAGCATTGAGTCCCCGTGTACAGCGCAGCGGGAATTCTTACTCTCGGACGGCGAAAGTTCCTGGGGCCTTGATGTTGTACCAGTCCTTCTTCGCGAAGGTGTCGGTCTTCTTCTTGAGACCCTTCTTTCCCTTTGAAAGACGCTTGTTCTTGCCGACAGCCATGATTGCGAGTCTTGTTGTCGGTAGTCGGGAGGGTGGTTGTCGCTGTCGATGTCAAAAGGCTGAGAGTCGCAAATTGGTGGTGTTCAAAATCCGTTAAGCGAGCTTAGTAGCGCATCACGTGTGCCAAGCCCCAAAATCGAGCGCGGTGATCAGCAACATCAACCTCCAATCGGATACACATCATCTAGAAGATCCGTAGTGAACGGGTCCTTTCATGGCTGCTGAGCTGCTTGATCTTCTATGCGTTGCGATGCAAGTGGAAATCCTGGAGTCGCGTCTTGCGAATTTGCAAGTAAAAGTGTAAAGTGCGTACATGTTAATCATCACAATAATGAACAGGGCACAGCAGAGAGAGGTGCTGCAGTTACATCATGGCAACGAAGCACTATCATAGTCGTCGTCGTCGTCGTCGTCGTCGCCGCCGCCGCCATAGTATGGAGAGCACATGGGGCACGACCAACTTCACGCCATAAATGCCTGGCAATGCAATGGAAACCAACAACATCGTTCACGGCAGGTCTCGGTCAAATTGGACACGTTGAGTAATGTACATATGGTTACATTGTAGTGGCTCTAGATCCCTTTACAGTTCTTTCAGCTGTAACGAACAGACTAGACTACCCTTCGCACACGCTAGCGCCCCCATCCAAATTCGAGTCGCACTCATTCTCAGGTGTCCTCCAGGCAGTGCCAAGCATTCCACTCCATGTGGCAACAATGCGATCATGGCCGCAGCTAAATCGCTGCGTCTAGCATGACGAGACATACCCGCGCACACCACCCTCAATGATTTCTTCCCTCCTCTTTACATCTCGACATATTACTGTCGTGACATTGATCTGCTGATCTGATCCCTGTTCATTCTCACTCTTGCTGACAGCAAAGACGATGCAGTGATAGTCAGATGGACTACCAGTCAAGCAGAAGATAGAATACTATCAACTTGCGATGCTCTGGGTCCAGATTACGGTACTTCAACCCATGGTAAGGAGCGAAAGCCTGGCTGGCGATGCGGTGATGGGGTTGGTGGGTGTTGTTGAAAATACAAGTCCTTGTTGCATAACATCAAAGACTCATGCATGTCTGTTCATGTCCTGACATCAGCTTGCTGCTGTTGCTCGCCATATGGATTCTGGTTTTGGCAAAACTTCTCAAAGTCAGGAAAGCTGATGTAGCCATCTAGAAGAATGTTAGCTTATGCTGCTTCGTAGCAGGTGATTCGATTCAGTGCTTACCCTGCTGCCTGTATTGCCTGACGTAGCGGTCACTCTCAGTCCTGGACATCGATGGCCTCTCAGAAGAATAGGCCGGTTCTGACTGCAGCCTCGACCGTGGAGTGAGCATTGGGCTTCCAGGTGGCGTCTCGCCTCGAGGTGTAGTAGGCGATGAGGCAACCTTAGCCAAGAGGATAGAGGCCTTGGTCGGGCTGCCCGACGTTGATGTGCCAGAATCCCGTCGGGAAGTTACAGGCACGAGTGTGGTGAGGCATGGCGAAGAAACAGTTGACGGTGTTAGAGGTGGCCGCCGACTTGCTGAGCGGGATCGTTGTGGCGCCTCGGTAGGTAGTGAGAAGTAGTATCGTGGGTGGCTAGACATGGCGAAGATGTGCGTCGATCGACAACGAGCGAATGTCAAAGTCGGAGAATTGACTGCGGTTTGGGAATTGAAGAATGACGGAGTGAGCGGGAGGGTAGTATAATAATGGTGTCTAAATCGCCTAGACGCTATTCACCCCATACTACCGAATGCACGTATGTATAGTGACGCCTCTGGCTGTTCCAGGCACCCTGGTCGACGCCAAGTGCATCAGCAGCCCGGAGCTCCCCACTCGACATCGCTGGCTTTTTGGGCTAGTTATGCATGCCGAAGTGGGTACCGCCAGAAAACGTGGACGTTCAGAATTAGTGTGTTTGCAAGGGAGGTGTGCTGTCATGCTTTGACTCGCCCTGACTCGCCCCTGGTGCACACAAGACCACCTCACGTCCATTTCTCTAGTCTGGTAGTCCGCTGCGAGCTGCTGCAGGTGTGAGTTGGCCACCGCCGACGACGAGGCGGATGACAGACCTGAAACACTTTGTTGTGATGAAGCAGACACTGGCACTGTACCTAGGTAGCCAATTCGGAAAGGTCGATTTCGCCTTGGAGTGCGCTTGCGGTGTGGCAGGTCATTCGTGTCGACCGTTCCTGATTGGCATCGCGCAACTCGATCCAAGGCCTCGCCGGAAGAGCGGGAGTGCACTGCCATAGCGGCGCCGTCGCATCCTCAAACCATGGCATCGGCGGATGCAAGCCGCCATCCCAATGAACATCCCGTCATGGCTGCGCGGTGATGACAGAACCAGCTCTGCCTTGTTACTCGCCCTGGAAACTGGGCGAGCCTTCCTTGCTGTGTATCAGGAACGTTCGAGGGGCACACGTATGCTTATCCGTAGCCTAAGTTGTTATCGAGTTCCAGACACCTCTACAGACCACCATGCGGTTTGTGCGACAATGAGACAGGTACCGGACCTGCAATGAGCCTCATTCATATCGGCCACTTTGCTGGTGACGACATTGCCTCAGCTGAGGTTTCTATTTATGCAGTGTCATGCAATGCAGATGACAATCCCTTGTCGTTGAAAGTCGAGAACGTTGCACTTGCAAGGGCATCCTTCCAACGCCTTCGTGTGATCCGGTTGGAGCATAAAGACACGCGAGGACACCAACGCGTTCGACACCGGTCGCTATTACCCACATCCCTTCGATAATGGTCTCTCGTGTTGTGGATGTCACATCGGTAAAGACCCTCCGTTGCATAGCCATTGAGGGGGAGACGCGTACCCGACATTCTACCGCTTGGGGGTACACGAGGGGTCGCAAGTCGCAAGTTACAAGTCGCAATATATCATTAATACTTGAGACAATCGCAATCAGAGTGACATCCCTTGCACAACTGATCATTCACTCATGTAAGTAATAATAAAGGGAGTTGGCGATGCAATAGTGAACGATTGCGAGTATTTTCTGGGGATAATTTCGAGCCATCCTGCTATCCCCGGATCTACCCCTCACACTTTTGACTTTGCAACTAGAATGCCACAAAACGTAACTCTGTCGGCAATGCTTATGTCTGACTTGGTTCTGGAACGATTGTTACCTCGTCTCGCTCCACCTCCGCGTCAGCTGCTCTCACATGTTGCCATGCTTTCCATGAAGAGCGGGCAACGCTCCGATTTGACAGTCCTCATCCCAACGATGCCCTCTCAGCTGGCCGCCTAACACCGGACGTTCAACAAAACGCTGATAAGGGACCATGCCAAATCTCTTTAGAAGCACAGTGCGGCCCTTCTTGTATATACACGAGAGATCCCATAGGCAGACCAACAGTTCACCTGTCCGTCCAATTTGAGAGGCAGATGCAGGAGCCGAAAGTTCTCTAGCATCATGCCGTGCTGCCCAGTCCGTCATTGTGTACATGCGATGTGGTTAGCCATGCCGACGTGCATGTCAGACCCGGGAAGCGGGTACCCCTCCACGCCGTCATAGCCGTGGCCGTTTACAGCATCTTTCCAATTCCGCATCCTCATCGACGATAGATTCCCATGTACTCTTTTCGGACCGGGTACGATCAGCCACTACAACCAAAGCTCGCATACCTTAGCTTTCCATGTTCCGAAGAGAACTTCCAGGCGTTGGTGTTTTCGTGACGATGCCGGGCCCCTCCTCAACATGACCCCTCACCACTACACCATCAGCTCAGACATCTTTGCCCCAAGTAATTCTCCGCAAATCCAGACACGCTTCAACGGCAGATCTTGCTGCCGATCCCTCCCGAATACTGAAACATATACCCGCTCACCACCATGCCGAGTAATTGCAGCTTCCTCCTTCTCGAGCGAGCGAGTAGAGAAGCGCTTGTCACTGCGGCAACGCAGAAACGGTCGCCGACAATGTGACGGGTTTACCGCCACTATCCAGACTGCACCGCACTCCACTTTGTTATTTCTTACAACTGACCAACCAACCAAATGGCACATTTTTCTTCCTTCCACACTCGGGCAAATAAGAACACAATCTTCCCGGTCCACCTTGCACGATGAACTAACAGAACTACGGCGACATCATGGCGAAAGCAAAATTATCCACCACATTAAACCTCCATTCCCCAGAACCTGAAACATACCAAGGCATCATAGTGGACATGTATCCATTTACAAGTGAACACATCCTCGCACAATCAAAGAAGCGGTCTGCAATAATGGTAAACTAGAAGAAGAAAAAAAAACGTGTACCAACACCAGCGGTCAAACTTCATAGCTAGCGGGCCGCTCCCGGCAATCAATCGGTGTCCTTTGCTCCGTTCACATTACCCTACCGACCAAGCTACCCTATTCCCCCACTTCTCCTACACCACTCACACGTGCACACAGCCCACCCACAAAATCCGACATCTAGACCCTGGATTCTACGTACGCTTATCCACATAACTCGTGTAACACACCGGACGGTAGATCCTGATCCTGCCGTAATGCCTTTTGCATGCATACGGTATCTGTCACACGAGACCATGCGCGGTAGGTGCGGGTAGGGCTTCGCGCGGGTGTCAAAAAAACCAGGGGACAAGGGCGATAGGGACCAGGCATGCTTGTGTAGTGACAGCGATCACAATAGTTAGTAAGGGGATCGTTTGCGCAGACTGGGTTTAGTCTTGTAGAGATGCAGAGGTGATGTGGGCTTTTCTCACGTGCAGATGCGAGTATGACTGGAATGGTGAGGTGGATACTGGGTCTTGGTGGGGGAGGGGGATGTGTGCGGTGAACGGTGGGAGATTTGACAATGGGAACGCGATATGCGTGCGTATGTTTAGGTGGATACGTGTGCTGAGGGGACTTGACAGTAAGCGATTGGTTGGAAGAAGGTGTTGTTCGCTTGTATGTTGTAGATTGAGCGTAAGCCTGGTGATTACTGTTTGCGTATGAAGGTGATGCAAATGATAGCAGTGAATAGTCATGGTTTTGGGTTGCTGTTTTGCACCAAGAAGTATGAATGGTCGTAGAGCAGTGTGATCTTTGTTCTTTATTTTGTGTTTTGGCTGTACGGTTGGAGCCGCGATTTTCTTGACTATCATCGCATTTCTTGGAGTACACTTCTACAAAACAGCACTTTTTTCCAATTGATAAACTGGTGCTTCAATGCTGTAAATTGAAGTTAGTATCGACTCGTTCATGTAGATGAGGTTCACATGATTGCACTTACATCGACATCATCCCAACCACGACCCTTTACGTTTGCTAACTCGTCCATCGACATGACATGACCGGTTGTGACTGTGAGTCCCATGTTAGCAATGCACAAGGGTATGAGAGTGTATAAAGACTTACAGTAACCAGCTTGGATCTTGGCATCGATCTCAACGCGGCTATCCGCCGGAATCATGTCATCGGGAATAGGCACACGCTCATGGATTGGAATACCTTGCTCGACAATAGCATCGTGCTTCATGTTGGACATGCTGAGCATCCTGTCAATCTTGGTGATACCAAGCCAGTGCAGGATATCAGGCATCAGAGCCTGGAAACGCATGTCCTTGACACCCGCGATGTTCTCAGTGCGCTTGAAGTACTCGCTGGCACGATCCTCGCCTCGCTTCCTAGCATTGTAGACAAGATATTTGGTGACCTCTCCAAGAGCACGACCCTCCTTGCGGAAGTAGATGACGACACCGCTGCCACCCTTCTGGGCCTCCTTGACTGCTTCTTCAATACCGAAAGTGAGGTAAGGACGGCATGTGCAGATGTCAGATCCGAATACGTCACTTCCATTGCATTCGTCGTGGATGCGGAGAGCGAGCTTTGCGCTGGGATCGGACATCTTTGCTGGGTCACCAAAGATGTAGACAGTCATACCGCCAATGGGAGGAAGGAAGAGCTTGATGTCGTGACGGGTGATGAGCTCAGGATAAGAGCCACCAGTCTCTTCGAAAAGTGTCCGGCGAAGAGTTCCCTCATCTTTTGGGTCCATTAGTCAGGGTAGAAAAGACTCCGCAATGATACGACTTACCAATATTGAAGCGCTCAGCAACACCAGGCAAATACCATACAGGCTCAACTGCAACCTTGGTGACGGCAACTTCACCTGTCTCGTTCATGCAAATCTTACCGTCGGGAACAAGTCTACCTTTTCGTACGCTCTCCTCAAGTTCTGGCACCTTCATGTGCGCTCTGGTAATGGCAATCGTAGGTCTTATCTCCACATCATCCTTGTCCATGGTTTCCTTGTACAGCCATGGTGCAAGATGGCCGTATGGATCCATGGCCACGATCTTCTTTGGATCACTCCATTGCGGGAAAGGACCGATCTTTGCAGCAGGCTCGGTGTTAGTGAAGTCTGGCTTGTGAGTGATGTCAAGGTTCTTGCTTGCTACGGCCAGAGCGTTGTAAATGGAGTACGAGCCACCATGAGCACCGATAGCTGAGATACGTTAGCGATAAGCCAATTTTTGACGCAATTCTTCTTTACATACCGTTGCGTCTTCGGATAGTGTTCGCATGTCTTGAAACAACGACAGGGCCACGAACAGCAGGGTCCTTGGCACCCCATTGCATGGGCAACGGGTCGACACCAGCTTGACCAGGATATGAAGTCAAGATGATCTTTGAAATCTTGGATACACTCGTGCGACGTGGTTGAGCATCAGCATCTGAAGGTGGCTGCTCATACTGCTCGCTAACGGCTTCTACAGACTTGGACTTTTCTGGTTCGACACCATTGGCCTTCTCGCCGTCTAGCTTTCCACTAGCAGCTGCATCTGCTGCCTCATCCTTGATTTGCTTGATGCCTGCCAGCATGTTCACACGGCCGTTGATTTTGTCAACTGAAGCTGCCAGTACGGAGTTCTCCGATCGAAGGGCCTTGAGCCCTTCGAGGATCTCCTTAAGGACAGCATCGCTGGTAGTGCTCTCAGAAGACATGTTTGCTATTGTTAGTCTTGATACAAAGCAACGCAAGCTCTCGGGTCTTGAGGAAAATAGCAATTGAGATTGCCGGGTTCGTGTTGGGACGTGAAACAAAGACCGGTGAGTGCCGATGGTGGGACAAACACACGATGATGTGGACGTAGGTAGCAAGGAGGAGAGGCACAAACGCAACTTTGAACAGATGTCAAAGGGGATCAGGAAGATCCAGAGAAGAGAGGAGAAGAAAGGAAGAGAAAGAGCAATGTGGTCAGATATTAGGAGCTCGCCGGCGGTGCCAGCACCACAGGGACAGCTGACTATACACGTGCATGAGGCTCGGAGAGAGCGCTGATAGGAGCGGGGACGCTTATCGGCTATCGACGTATGCGGCAGCTGCAAGGGAAGCGACAGGGATCTTGGCGGTCGGAACCACGCGAGACTCGAGACGCATTCACCCCAAACTCGCGATTTCGCGTCACTGCACACGACCAGAGCGCGACAGTCATCGAATCCACGCCTTGATATCCACACCGCAGTCGCTAGACAATAGCCACGTATTCACACACCTTCTACATTCGGCGACTCGAGAGACGACGAGAAAATGGCATGTCTTCTCCGGCTTCACCTATCGCATTCGCAAACTAATGGCAATGACAGGGCAAGCGCAAATCCTCCAGCAAGCCTCAAGGCCCCAAGAAGGCACGCCATACCCCATGCCTCTAGAGGTTCCGCTGACTAACACCCTTGCAGAAGGAGAAACTCCCAACCACGTTCCAATGCCTCTTCTGCAACCACGAAAAGTCCGTCAGCGTCTCCATCGAAAAGAAGTCCGGTGTCGGCAACCTGCAGTGCAAGGTCTGCGGCCAGACTTTCCAGACAAACATCAACTACCTCAGTGCGCCCGTCGACGTGTATGCCGACTGGATTGATGCCTGTGACGCGGTTGCGAAGCAGGCAGCCAAGGGCAATGTCGATACCGCGCGGAGTACGAATCGCATGGGCCGAATGCCGACGGCGCACAACCAAGAAGAAGATGATGGCGACGGCGGCTTCATCGAGCACGACGAGCCTGATGCCGAGGGAGAGTATGCCGACTAAGTCGCCTGTCGGCAGGAGCGAAGGAGCAGCAGGACATGAAGGCCTAGGGCCTTGTATAACACATGGGAACATGGGAAAGGGCCACGGCTTGCACGGCGTTTAGGATACCAAAAAGATCCACAGATTCATAATGGCGTTTCATCATTGTCAGCATCAGGCTGAGACGTGTTCATGGTTAGCTGAGCAACATCTATAGAAATTTGTAATGAAGCTTGCACATCAGAGACTCCCAAATTGTTCAAAATCATGCATCTTCGTCTTAACAACCTTATGCTACCATGCTCAAGCGAAACCAAGCCGCTCTACGCCCAACAGATGCGCTTGATGAATCGGACATGTTGACTACTCTTACATTGTGTAGAATCGGTCCCCGAAGTCGCCCAGCCCAGGGACGATATAGCTGGACATATTGTCAGTAACGGATACTCAGATTGGTCAAGGGCAGCTTACTTCTTCTCGTCCAAACCCGCATCAACAAATGCGGTAACTACCCTCACCTTGGGAAACTTATCCGCAAGGTTCTGCGCGCCTTCTGGACTGGCAATGAGGTTGAGGAAGAGGATATGCTCCTCTGGTACGCCCCGCGACTTGAGCACATCAATAGCCATAAGTGCTGAACCACCAGTGGCCAGCATGGGATCCAGCAACAAGACCCACCTATCGCTGATGTCCTCGGGTAGCTTGTCGTAGTACAGTTTCGGCTTGCTGGTCTCCTCATCCCTCTGGATCAAGATCTTTCCGATGCGTACACTTCTACAACAGTCCCTCAATCCTTGCTCCATGGACTCTCCCGCACGCATGATCGAGACACCACAGATCTTGCCTTCGAACTTGACACCAGAGTAGGTGCGGCCTACAGGGGTAGTGATCTCCTGCGACTCTGTTGGCAGGTGGTTGAGGCCTTCCTCCACAAGCAGACGGATAATGCGGTTGCTGTAGAAGATGAAGTCTGCGCGGCCTGTGTTGCGATCTCGTATCATGCTTTGATCTTGTTAGTCAATCACCCTTTTATGGTAGTGACCATGGTTCATGGGGCTCTTACGTGAGCAATGCTATCAACTGAGGGGACTGGGGTAGAATATGGACATTCTTCTGTTTGAGAGGAGTTGAGACGGTAGCTGTCGGCTTCAGGGCTGCGGGACGATATTCAGGTCCCAAGCATTCTGAGGGAGGTTGAGAATCGGAAGACATGTTTTAGCTAAGAGGCTGATTACAGTCAGCTGGTCAGTCATTCGAATTTTTGCCATGTTCAAATCCAAAGACATGTCACAAAAATCTAGGGACAGGGTTTGCACGGAATTTGCCATGAAAACTGATGTGTGCTGAAAAGGGCTCACCTGAGGTTGAGTATGGGACTAAAGATTTGTGGTGTTGGAAGGTAATTTGATATTGGTGGGGTAGCGAGAATGGGGTCGGTTCAAGAGTAAAACCAAACGATAGAAGGGACTTTTATTAACAGATATGACCTCTAGATAAGAGGCAAGAAAGAGGAGCTGAAGCGTAGGTGGAGTAACAGTCTAGGCTCGTGACCGTCGGCGAAGTCCTTCACTCTGTTTGGGAAGGAGGAACCCTTGCCCCGCTGTTTAGCGTGCCTTGCGTTCGGGTCCCTGCTTCGATCACCAGCCACCATGCAAACCTCCGCTTTGAGCGTTTGACCGTGATGGTGATGATGTCGTTGCAATGAGGTGAGGTTTGCGGTGAATCAACGCGTCGGCCCGTGCAATGTGAGCGTCAATGGTGATTGCCGAGACATCATCCACGGTTCACCCAGGTACCGCTACCTGTGAGATGCGCGTCTAAGTAACCTTGTGCAGCGTCGCCACAACACATCTTCTCACAAACATGGCCACGACCATGTTCGCCAATTTCACCTCTAGCGACCGTCGCAAGAGGGTTTATGGCAAAGCGTCGCGTCACTCCACCCTCCCGCCACCTCTACCCGATTCCAACGACGATGCGCCTCCACCGCCAGAGCGACCGCGGAAACATACGGCAGTTCCAAACGGCTCGCTGAACAAAGCTGGAAGCGAATTGAATCATGGATCTGGTTCCGAAATTGCGCACGCAAAGACCGACGAAGTCGACATCTTCGACGTGCCCTCTGAAGACGAGTTCTTGTCGCGTCCGAAGCCTACGAAGAAAATAATACCGAAGCGTCGCATACCCGAAGTGGACTTGGAAGCTACGGCTTCCTCCAAAGATGATTCTCTCAAAGAATCCGAGAAGCCAGCGAGAGCCGCACAGCCGTTGCGCACGCCCGATGACGCGAAGCCTATCGCCGTGAAGAAGAAGAAGAAGAAGCTCACTACGCCCGCGCATATTCCGAAACCCGTACAGGCGTCGCTGCCTCCATCCTCGAATCCGGCCGTTCCTCGAACAATACGCGGAAAGACGCCTCAGTCTGTACAAGCACCGAAACAGACCACACAAGACCACAGTTTATCATACAGGCCAGTGGTCAAGGCGAAAGCACCTTCAGAGGCAACGACGGTTGCGTCATCACAGGTCAAGGTTCAGAAGACTGCAAGGACAGCACCGGCACTACCCGCGAAAAAGGCGTCAGAGAAGGCGCCAGCCAAACCAGTAGACGATCTGGCCGTGTTCGACGTGCCAATGTCGGACGAAGAGGCACCACCGACGGTCAAGAAGATCTCACGCCAAGCTCAATCGAGAGGACCAAAAGAGGCTGCCAAAAAGTCCAAAACAACTTCTGAAGCACCTCACAAGGATACGGCCGAGTCGGACGATTCCAACGCCTCCAAGAAGCGCAAGCGTCAAGGGTCTGCTTCTTCCACTGCCACCATAAATCGACCAACAGCGCATCAGAAGCCTGAACAGTCGGTGCCTCAACGAAGTCGGAAGTATCAAAAGAACGAAGACGGCGCTTCACCAGGATATGGGTCATCGAACCAGCGCATCACAGGCTCGACTCAGAAAGCGCAGCCACCGGCGCCAACAATCAACAAACCGACAAAGACAAGACAGCGTACTGTACCTGTGTTAGCATCGCGAACGATTATCAAGGGTCAATCCTCTCCGGCTATGCTCAACGGCATGATTCCCGGCCGCCAATCATCGAAGCCATCTCCTGTTAAGGAAGTCTTCGAAGTTGCAGAGTTAGAAGATGAGACTATGTATGACATACCAGGTCCTTTGACTACGCCTGTTCGTCAGTCGAAAGCTTCGATGCCAGGCTCGATAACACCACGACAAAAGGACCTTTTTGGTGGTTTGCTAAGCGACTCGTCATCTTCGACTACGCCCATGCCAAACTTCTCCAATTTACAGTTGACGGATCGCAAGCCAAGATCACTTATCGGCAGCTTAGCTAGGTCAAAATCTGATGTCACACATAGTGCCAAGGCTCGTAAGACTAGACTCATCGACACCCTCAAACCATCAGAGCCCAGCTCAGATGGCGATGAAGAAGGTAGCAGCCAGGTTGGAGATGACTCGGAAGTAAGCTCAAATCATTCTTGGACTGCGAGGAAACCTTTGCAGAATTCTGGAGAAGCCCGTCTCTCAAGCACGCATCCCGACAACATGGATGTGGACAATCCGGGTAAGGTTGACTCTCAGACATCACAAAACACATCTGGATTCGGTGTGCGCCCAAAACTTACTTACGCCATGGCACGGTCATATTTGAGGGAAGACAACCCGGAAGATGATTTACTTATATCGATGGATTTGGACGACGACTTTGGGTCGCAGTCCCAAAGAGAGACTAGATCTGTATCTGAGAGTGACGCAGAGAACAGCCAAGCACAGGCTCAGCAGGTGCATGAGCTTAGGACTCGGGGTCGCAACGCGGTCCTCCATCATGAAGCGGAGATGATGATTGAAGAGACGTCGGCCACCACCAGTAAAAACATACGACGTAGTGCCATGATTGATCTATGCACCAAGATGGCGGACGAGAAGTTTTGCGATCAGCTTCTCGACTCAGCTCTGGCCCACCAGTTCTTCCAGAACATCTCTGTCAGCTGCGAGATCGTCTTCGACTTTGTCGCTGCTGTCGCAACCGTCTTCGTCTTGCGTACCAACCCTGCCTATTCTGTCCTGGGCCAGCTCTATGAGACTGGGAGTCTCGCCAACCTTATCAAACTTGCTGGAAACGGTGCAGACATCAAGGAGATTGCAAAAGATCGGAAGACAAATCTGTCAAAGATCGCGAAAGAGTCGGTCCTTTCATTTCGCGCCTTGGTCCAGCAATCCTATATCTGGTCGCCCGCAGTAACAGAGAAGGTATCACCACAGCTAGTGGCGTTGAAAGCCATCGAATTGCTCATAATTGGGCTGCGGAAGGCTGGCAACGCCGATATGCTTCTCAACCAAACAATGATATCTCAGATTGTTGAGATTGCCTCAGCTTCGAACAATCGACCGGAGTCGAACGATGCAGCGCCAGAAGACGATGCGACACTGGAGATGGTGCTTTCGATACTGGAGTCTACCTCAGCTACCAGACAAATACAAGCTACTTGGTCAACTGGCGTGCTTCAACAGATTGCGAAGTTCATGCCTAGATTCTTTCAGCCTGATGCTGCAGCATCGACTATGCTTGCCGTTAAGCTCTGCATGAATCTGACCAACAATAAACCAAAAGCTTGCCAGCCATTCTCAACGAAGGCCTTTGTCCAGCCACTCATGCAATCCATTGTTGAAAAGTTTCGTTCAATCAACACAGATTTGGCACCAGAGGAGCGAACGGAGATCTTGGATAGTCTGATTTTGAGCTTGGGTGCCGCCATCAATCTTGCAGAGTTGAGTGATCAGATGAGGCTGAACGTCGCTAATGAGATTGACACATTGGTCGAAATCTTCTTGGACGGACTGAAGCGTGCTTCTCAGGTATGTTCTTCTTGCACGGTGATGGTTCAGCGATGCTAACTACTTCACAGGCTGCTTCTGTGGAAGAATCTCACTCTGGTGTGGCCACTGGGTATCTTGGTGTCCTTATCGGTAACCTGAGTCTCAACGACATCATAAGGACAAAAGTCCGGACACTGCTACCGAACAAGCAACTCGATACGCTGGTTGATAGCATCAAAGACTTTGTTCATGTGCATCAGCACGTTGATCAGAAGGAAGACTTCGATGGAGCAGAGGGTCAAGAGGCCTTGCAAACCTATACCGCGCGCCTCATGCTTGTTGTGGAAAAGCTGCAGAATACGGGTGTTTGATAATCTTGCGGATTGATGGAAGCTTGACTTTAGGGTGCAGGCTTGGGCATTGGTTCAACATTGACCCATGTACCCCATCTCTACTTGAATTATTCTCAGAGTGTTTGCCGTCAGGCGAAGACTTGTGCCCTTCGTCATGGCGGGCTTCTTACTGGTTTGGTCTCTGGCGACTATGGCATGATACCCTGGATTACGATATGCAATCATCACTGGGACCGATTCACTTGTATTGTCTTGAAGATCACGATACCCTAGCACTTTGAAGAAAAGATGGACAGTACGGTCGTGCACTGAGGCTTTGTAGGCTTGGGAAGTTCCGGCAGCGATTGCAATGACGGTATATGAAATGACACTAATCGAGATACATATCGTCTATCCGTCACTGTTCTACGCTCATATTCCATCGCGTAGGCAGTAAAGGCTAAATGAAGGCTTGTAACCACGCACGCACCACGTTCGTAAGGCTGCACCCGTCCCAGAAAGCCGGTTTCAAGTGACGCAACTGGCGGTAAGTGGAGGGTCTTTGCCGTCGGGACAATTTACGAGATTTCTTCTATAGAAGTTCCATGCAGCGGCTGTGTAATATCCAGCGCAAGCAACTTTTTACCATTTTGGCAGAAACCCGCATGTGATTGTCCCGCCTTGAGTCAAGAACGCCCAACATCATTTCGGTTAAGTTGTATTCTCGGGGCGTCGGGAAGGGCAGCAAGAGTTTCTGACAATTCGGACGTTCTTGTCGCTTTAAGTGGTTGTTGGTGAATTGTTTTGTATGCGGGTGATGTGCTAGACAGCTTCGCGCTAAACTCGAGACGATTGGCAGTACGTAAAGCAATGCTTCGAGAAGCTCTGGATTCGCCGGCTTCGATGTGCACTGTTCGGGTTGGATGGCTAGAACTCGGGAACCCAATACCACTCGTTCGGTGCCATGCCCAAACCGATATATCAAAGTTGCCCAACTTTGATATGCAGGTGCTATATCGAGAGATGAGCCGGCAGACATGACGACATCAACACGCGGTCGGGGACTTTTTTTTTATGAGCCACGTCCACTCTCTACCCACGACTCTTGCCGAAGCCAGTATCTCGATCTTCTTAACAGCAGCTACAGCGCTTAGGCCAGTGACCCAGCTTGTTCGTCCCACACGTGCATCCATCACCTGCAGCTAGACGGCGTCATTCCGGGCTGGGAGCTAGCTCGTACAGGCAATTGGCAGGTCCGGACGACCAAACGCAACCTAGGCAGCTACGTCTCAGCGGTCAACTGAGACAACCAAACTTCAAACCTGGCGAGTCGTTCAGCTTCCTCACGACCTCCTACCAAACCCAGCAACAGCAACAGCAACAGCAAGAAAATGGCACCCCCACCAAAGCAGAGAAAAGTGGCCATTGTTGGCAGCAGAGCCGTCGGTATGTGATTGTTGAGTGCAGCTTGCGCAAACTTGCCTTCACATGCAAGTAGCAGCAAACAACATGCTGACCCAACAATCGACAGGCAAGTCGAGTATGACGGTGCAATTTGTCGATGGGCACTTTGTCGACAGCTACTACCCGACTATCGAGAATACTTTTAGCAAGATGATCAAGTACAAGAACCAGGACTATGCGACTGAGATTATCGATACGGCTGGCCAGGTACATGAGGTTTTCTTTTCCCCCGCGTCGCGAAGCAACGCCCAGGTCCACGCCCCACCTTCGCCCTGCTTCACGCGCGTCCCCCAGCTGTGCACGCCTCGCTATATACCTCAACTCGACGGTTAAAGCTCTTTTGAGGAACCCGCTGACTCAGGTATTGCTCTCCAGGATGAATACAGTATACTCAACTCGAAGCACTTTATTGGCATTCATGGATACATGATTGTCTACTCGGTCGCTTCCAAGCAAAGCTTCGAGATGGCGCGCATCATTCGCGATAAGATCTTGAATCACCTGGTAAGTAGACATGTGACTCTCTCAGCGCCACTGCCTAACCAAGCTTCCTACTAGGCTGTCGAGTGGGTTCCCCTCGTTATTGTAGGCAACAAGTCTGATCTGCGCCCCGAACAACGCCAAGTTACGCCCGAAGACGGTCGCGCCCTCGCCGCAGAGTTCAAATGTGCCTGGACCGAAGCCAGCGCGCGCTACAACGAGAACGTACAAAAGGCCTTTGAGCTCATAATTGCCGAGGTGGAGCGGTCTCAGAATCCTGGTGAGCCCGCTGGCGGCAGCAAGTGTACGGTCATGTAATTGCAAGATTCTTGACTGATATGAGTGCTCCTACCAAGGCGTCAGCGTGGACAAGTACCCAGCCCTCCAACAGGAGCGCGAGGACAAGGAGAAGAAGCGGTGGAACAGCACACACTTCTTGAAGCATCCGTTTGATCATCTGGTCAATATGCTTAAGAAGACGTCCACGGGCGGGTAGGAGGAGGTGTACTTTCATCTGTTTTGGTGTAGATGGCATAGACAGTGGCTGGTTTTTTGCGAACAACATCTCATTAACGGGTTGTGGTTCTCGCCTATCCATGCGGAAGGCATTAGTATGTACTGGCGTAATGGTGTAAGCGGCGGTGTAACGGCGTCATATCTGGTATTCTGGGGTTCAATTACGATGTTTCACGGCTGTAGTACTATGTACCACCTTACGTTACTTTCAACAATAGACGACATACGTTGGTGTACGACTTTTTGGTGCGTACATGACCGCTCGTAGACATATTCGTGTAGACCCTGCATTCTCGACTGGCAAAAGCTGCTCCACATTGGTTTCCCTGGCTTGGATGCACCGACCACCACCCACCATCCTACCCACAGACCTTGATTAGGAAGCTCTGAAGCTTTGACGGAAAAGCCACTGATTTCCACGGCAATTGTGTGCAGTCTGTGCAGCCTACTGTATTTGGTAGTTTGCGCTTTGATGCTCCCAAATGCTGCAATATGTGTTTTGGCTCTTCTTAGTCTTCACGAAGTTGAGATTCGGTGCCATACCATCTCAAACACATAGATCTACCTGATACCCTCGTCCCCACATTACTTACCTTTCTCACCCAAAGAGGCAAGTTTTCAGTACATCTGTCGAGTACAGTACTTCCAATTCCCGTGGAGCCCGGCCAAAGTTGTAAGCGCCAAGCCTCGTCCCTTTTCGATCTAGTGCGGGCCTCTGAATCTAATCCCTGTCGGTGTTTGAGTGCGGTGCGGGACACTGATGAGTCCCGCGTTTTGAACATCTTCTCGACACGAGGCTACACAACCACACGCGATCAATTCTGCCCAACTTATACTCGCTGAGAAACAGGGACGATGCTCGACATGTATGTTGCTTTTTATTCTACAGGCAAAGAATGTTGGTTACCTGGACGCGCGCTGGATTTTGGGTTGGAGGGGCTGCACTTGGAAGTGGTAGACATGGAGAGCGCAGAGCGGGATCAGGGGAGGTGGCAGGGTGACAAAGAATAATAGCTGACATGTGTGTCTATACAGAAACGACTTCATCAAGGAGCGCGGTGGCGACCCAGAAGTAAGTGTTCCTCAACTCCGTTTCGCGCGACCTTCAATCTTGTGCACATGTTAATCTTACGAACAGAAAATCCGCGAGTCCCAGAGGAAGCGATGCGCCCCCGTAGAAATTGTCGACGAGATCATCGCCGACTTTGAAGACCACCGTCGCACACAATACGATGCCACTCAGTTCGGCTCCAAGATAAACGCGGTCCAGAAGAACATTGGTGCTAAGAAGAAGGCCAAGGAAGACGCTTCAGAGTTACTCGAGGAGAAGAAGAAATTGGAAGCTGAGAAGAAGGAGAAGGAGACCGAGGCTGCGGAGAAATTGGCGAAGCTGCACGCAAAGGCGAAGACGGTCGGAAACTACGTGTACAAGGACGTCCCGGTTAGCGATAACGAGGACAACAACGCGGTTCAGAAGACGTGGGCCCCCGAAGGAAGGAAGGCCGAGTTTAAGCAAGATGGCATCCCACACCACGGCGTACTTGCGCGGTTGAATGGATATGACCCGGAGAGGGGTACCAAAATTGTTGGTCACAGAGGATACTGTCTGACTGGATACGGTGTCTTCCTCAACCAAGCGCTGATCAATTACGGCCTGGAATTTCTGGTATGTATGCAGAGGGCCAAGTTCGAGGAGCACTTTACTGACTTGATAATCCCATAGTTCAGCAAAGGATTCACACCCAACCAACCGCCCTTCTTCATGCTCCGCGATCAGATGGCCAAGACAGCGCAACTTTCTGACTTCGACGAGGAGCTCTACAAGGTCACCGAGAGCAAAGACAAGCCTGAGACCGACAAGTACCTCATTGCCACTTCAGAACAACCCATCTCCGCTCTTCACTCAGAGGAGTGGCTACACGACAAAGAGCTGCCCATCAAGTACGCCGGCTACTCAACAAACTTCCGAAAAGAAGCCGGCTCGCACGGCAAAGACGCATGGGGAATCTTCCGGATACACCAGTTCGAAAAGGTTGAACAATTCCTCCTCACAAACCCCGAGAAGTCATGGGAAGCGTTCGACGAGATGTTGGCCAACTCGGAAGAGTTCTACCAGAGTCTGGGTCTGCCTTACCAGGTCGTTGCTATTGTCTCGGGTGCATTGAACAATGCTGCGAGCATGAAGCGCGATCTAGAGGCTTGGTTTCCCGTTACCGGCGGTGGAGAGTACAAGGAACTTGTCTCCATCTCCAACTGCACTGACTACCAGACTCGCGAGCTGGAGATTAGGCATGGAATTAAGAAGTTGAACGCTACCCGTAAAGAGTACGTTCACGCACTCAACGGCACTCGTAAGTTCATTTCTGTTGCTCTAGCCTTCCCATGGTTTGAATGGAAATTCATGAAAGCTAACACATTTGTGTACTTAGTTTGCGCAACCGAACGAACACTCTGCTGTATCCTCGAGAACTACCAGACACCTGAAGGCTTTGTTGTCCCCGAGGTCCTGAGGAAGTACATTCCTGGTCAGCCTGACTTCTTGCCATATGTCAAGGAGTGGAAGGCACCCAAGGAGCTCCCTGACCGGACAAAGTAGGCGTCCGTCGTGTCAGGTTTGGAGTGCGAGGATGGACATGCAAAGAGGATATCACTGGGATACTTGTAAAAGGAGAAACTAGATTCACACTGGGCTATGATCCTGGTGGACTAGTGTGTTGATTCACGAGCGATGAATATGGAAGTAAGCTTTTTCACGCGGTCATGCAGTCCAAAGTTGTGTAATCATGATCTGCGCGTTGCTTAATGGCTGCGTGTCAACAAGAGATCTCACTGGACCCCTTCCTCCTCAACCAACCTGTTCTCCCAACTCCCCAACCATCTCCACCCCCTACAAACCTGATCCAACTCCCTCAATGCCGCATTCACCTCCCCTTGCCCATCCTCCGTCTTCCTCCCTTTGAACTCCACAAAGAAGACATAATGCCAGTTTCTCACGCCACTCGGTCGTGTATTTATACTCGTCAGGTTGATTCCATGAGACGAGAAAACCGTGAGACAATTTGCCAATGCACCCGGGTTGGAGTGCTCAATCGTAAATGTGATGAGAGATTTCCAATTATTTCTGTTCGAACTCGTCTTGGCAGTTGGACTGGTTGATGTCGTCTTGTCGTCCTTTTTGCGAATGACAAAGAACCTTGTACTATTCCCCTTCTCGTCGTTGATCTCTTTAGCCAACACGTTCAGGCCAAACAGCTCCGCAGCGATGAAACTAGACAACGCAGCAGACTCGCCACTCTTGTCTTTACTCGCAATTTCTGCTGCTTTGCTCGTAGAACTCACGTCATGTCGTTCAGCCGTCTTAAGGTAACGCGTGAGGAAGTTTTTACACTGACCCCAGGCCTGGGGGTGTGAGTAGAGTTTTTTAATCTTGGAGTAATCCGGGGTAGTGGGGTTCGATGAGTAACCCAACAAACAGTGTTTGACATGCACATAAGCTTCGCCGCAGACGAGGATATCGGGATATTTGTTGTTGAGGTCGGCAAAGAGGTCGAGGGTAAAGACTACGCTACCATTGCTGCTATTTTCAAAGGGTACGACGCCCCTGTATGCGGCCCCGGATTGGACGGCTGAGAAGACGTCTTCGATTGTGATTTCAGGTGTGAGGGAAACTTTGTTTGTTGACGAGGGGAAGGCGTCTAGGGCTGCCTATGGAGCTGTTAGATGTATATGGTGTGCGCGGTGTGCGTTGAGCGATTGATTTGATTCTACGGAAGAAAAGAACAAATTATGATCTTGTTTTGAAGGGAAAAGCCAGGTGTAGACATCGATCATAGTACGTTGATGAAGATGCGGCGAGTCATGCCTGGATGGGAACACAGAACAGTAACGGGAAATCTCAATCATGGCTTTTGTAAGTCTGTAGAGAAACTCACTTGATGTGTATAGCTGCCCTCCGGACCTAAGAATGCCACGGTTGGCTTCTGTTCTTCTACCATGTCTGGTCGTCGCTTTTGGAATGTTGAAGGTAACTAGATAAACGAATTAATTGAACGGGTAGTTCATTAAATCTCGGAATGACGTCGGAACCCGGTATCGGCGCTATACTAGCAAAAGCAAAGGCTAACTTGTAACTTGTACACCATGGGGCGTGTTACGCCCTACTGTAAGTATCGAGGCTCTGGACCTTGTGCATGTGGCGAATCATGTGCACAATACAAAGCATCGAACGTATCTTCATACTAATCAAGTGATTTATAAAACAATTTTTCATTCAGCTGGAGTTGAGCGAGCGACGAGCTGACGCATTTCTGAGCGAACAATCTGCCTATCCTTCTTCCGTCAAGGACTACTTTTCAAGAGGTTCGCAATCGACAATTGACGATAGCCATCCTTCGGGATCCCTATGCTTTCTAGTCCTTATTGTAGCTAAGATAGAGCTGTTCGGACCGAGGTTTGGAGAGGTCAAGCCTGTATGAGGCTGCTGCCTCTCCGTGCAAGCGAGAGCGGGTCGTGGTGAGAATGGTGTTGGTCGACCTTGACAGAATTAGTGAAAGTTGTTGTTGCTGGAAATATCCTACGTACATTGCAAACCCTCCGTAGGCACTCCCATCTTACAATCTGGAAAGGCGAAGCGTCTTTGCTTCGACTGCTCCGGCCTTGATCTTGGACACGTCATTTTGACTTATCACGCGGGTAGCGGACGTTCCGTCACTCGAAAGGAGTGGGGACGCTACCTCGCAGTCAGCGAGGGCGCACAACCGTCAATCATCGTAGAATTCGTCTTCATCGTCGTCGAAGTCGGCGAGTTGCTCGAAGTTGAGGGCGTAGCGGAGGATGGCGCCGATGCCACCGAAGCCCTTGACGAACTGGTTACCCTCGGAAGAACGGTCGGAAACAAATTCAAGGTTGGCACCAAAGTCACGGTACTTCTCGGCGAGCCACTCAAGCATGGAGCCTTGGTCGATGACTTCCATCTCCTGGCCGGTTTCCTTGTCCATGAAGATGCTTCGGTCTTCTTCTTGCAATTTGGTGGTGTGAAGAATGATCTCAGAACCCTCGGAGCTCTTGAGAACCCAGCGAGTAATCTCCAAGTTCTCGAAGACGATCAAAGTCTCAGCAGCTCCAGCCTCCAAAGCCTTGAGGGTGTCGTCGATACCGTAACAGACCTTGCCAGAGTCCTTGGAGATGTGGTCGAAGTACTCGTTGATGAGCTTCTTCTCCTGGATGAACTTGACATTGCTGAGGGTCTCACCAGCCAACTCTATAGCCTGGTTGAAACCGTTCTCGCCTCCATAAGATACGTCGACGACCTTGATGACCTTGGACTGCAGACGGTTGTCGAAAAGATCGGACTGGTTGAGGTCGTTCTTGAAATCGGCGGAACCAGCGAGGATGATGCCAGCTACGTTGACCTTGTCGGCGGTGATGAAGTTTTGTACCGCCAGTTCAGCGACCTTGCGGACGTAGTTGTGGCGCTTTTCTTCACGGAGACGAGCGAAACGCAGAGCGGATTGACCACCACGGCCGTGCTTCTTGGGAAGGTCGACGGAGAATCTACGCCTGTTAGTTTCGTGCATGCCGAGGTATCTTGGTCGTACTTACTTGTGGACAATCTCACGGGTGTTTCCTGACAGAGTGCCGAAGAGCGCACCGTTTCCGTCCATGATGATGAAACCGAACTTCTGGTCCGACTCGAGCAGCTCGCTCAGTGCCTCGGTGTGGAATTTGTTGTCGCAAAGGTATAGCGACGTGTTGATGGGCTTGAAGGGTTCGAAGTCGATGTTGATCTTGCGCTCCTTGCCTTCGGCGGTGATGATTTCACCACAGTAGACGACAAGGCCATTGGGTGGGACCTTGGAGTAGAGCTTGAGACGCTGCTGGGTGGAGGTAATAGCCGACAGGACGGAAAGACGGTTGACGCGCGACTTGATGTTGGAGGCAGTACCCTGGGAAAATTAGTTGTGGCCATGGCACAGCTGCGGGTGGAAAACGCACAAATTCTTCAGCCAACATCTTCGCAGCGCGGGAAACCTGGTCCTTGGGTGCTACATGTGGTCAGTCGTCGGCGCGTCGGCAGGCGAGCAGGCGTCACGTACGGATGATGAGCGAAATCATGGAGGTTCCATTTCCACGAGCGGCTTCAAGACGCTTGATCAGCTTCTTGACCTTCCAGATCTCAATGTTCTTTTCAGCCTCATTGGGCTGCTCGTTCTGCCCGGGCGCCATGGTCGCGGCGGTGATGTCGAGAGTTGAGAGTTTGGTGTTGGTGGGGTCGAGAGATTTTCTTGTTCAGCGAGGGGCAAGAACAAGCGACGTAGCTGCCGACTGGCGGCGGGAGGAAGGTGGAGAGCGTGCTATGCGGCGGCCTTTGCTGCTGCGCGCCTCCGCGTTTCGATGATGCTTGAGTGAAGAGACGGCCAAACAGGCTGGTGTGGATTTATTTGTCGATGACTGTGCAGCACTCCTCAGGCAGCACACTCGCCATGGCGCGCGAACAGGAGGCTGACACAGGCTCGCTTGCAGGGCCACTAAGCGGGCAACGGGCATGAAGCAGCTGCAATGGCCCGTTATCAGACTCGTGCCTTGGGTAGCTCCCCGGCTATGCGCAGCTATGACGGCAGACCTGCGGGGCCGCATGATATCCTCGTGATAGCCATCTTGCGCTTCTCCGTCTTTCTATGGGAGAAGTGCCATGCTCGGCGCTTCTTTATATAATCAGGACGGTCATGGATAGCGGCTATCATCCGCAATCCACAAGGCGCAATCTCGTCCCGACGATAACCAGCTATCGACTCAAGTAGCTCCCGCCTCCCTGCAGGGTTTGAATCAACGCATTTTATACTTCCCATCGCCTGTCCTTTGCGCCTTTTCTGTCTGCCGTGACTGTCGCTACTCACCATGGATAACAGAGGGAAGCAGCCATCCGCCTGGGATGCCTACGAGTCGGGGAACCGCCCATCCATGGATTCAGACACAGAGAGCCACATACAATGGGACGAGCTCTCGAGACGACCGAGTGGGGAGAGCAATGCCGGCACGGGCAGGTGGACCGGCACGGTTGGCGAACTGCGCAGGCGGAGGTGAGCTCGTGACGCGTTTCGCGAGTGAACGACAACTAACAAAAACAACCTCAGGTCTTCAGTAGGACAGCAAATCAGCGCATTGGGCGAAGTCGGAGGCGTCAACAGCATCAACAACTTTGCGCGATCGTGGCAGCGTGCAGCAGGCTTCTTTGAGATCACCCCCGTGCGACCCTCGTTCCGTCTCGAAGACGAAGACGGCGACGACACCCAAGAGTCCGACTTCACACGCAGCGGGCTTCCAACGCCAGTACCAGACCAACGGTCGGCCCTGCGACAGGCGCTGCAAGAAGGAGGACGCCGTGCATCCGATAATGCCATAACGGACGAGGAGAATGGCGCGACGGAGCGGACCCAGCTGTTGCCCAACACCGTCGAGCAGCGCTTGAGAGGAAGAGGGTCGAGCATATTTCAGATCGAGCCTTCGCTGTCCTCGCCTTTCGGGGCCAGCTACGGCACGGGATACGGCAGTCTGAGTTCGCGCGTCAACGAGTCGTCCATGCGCCATGCTGGCCGACTCTTCACAGAGCAGCAAATGAAGGGCGTTGCAGAGCCAGAACAAGAACGAGAGCCACTGCTGGTCAAGCAAGTCGAGGAAGACGGACATATCATCAACGTAGTCGTCGGTCAGTCTACCCTGCCACAGACGATATTCAACTCGGTCAACGTCTTGGTCGGTGTTGGACTGCTTACCTTGCCACTTGCGCTCAAGTACTCTGGATGGCTGATAGGCATGCTTTTTCTGGCGTGGTCCGCCATAGTCACTGGTTATACTGCCAAGCTGCTTGCCAAATGTCTCGATGTTGATGGTTCACTCATCACCTTCGCTGACCTTGCATATGTCTCCTTTGGAGCCAAAGCACGAGTGGCTACTAGTATTCTTTTCTCCCTAGAGCTACTTGCAGCATGCGTTGCATTGGTCGTGCTCTTCGCCGACAGCATGGATGCTCTTATTCCCGGTTGGGACGTTCTTCAGTGGAAGATCGTCTGTGGGTTGATCTTGATACCACTGAGCTTCCTGCCCCTGCGCTTCTTGTCATTCACATCCATCTTAGGTGTCATGTCTTGCTTCGGAAGTAAGTCAACCACTATACGCATACATCCACATCAGCTAATGCCGAATAGTCACACTCGCTATCTGGATCGATGGCCTTGCAAAGCCCGACGCTCCCGGCTCAATCCGTCAACCCATGACACAGTACCTGTTCCCGGACAATTGGCTTACCGTACCGCTCTCTATTGGCCTGCTCATGTCTCCTTGGGGTGGCCACTCTGTCTTCCCAAACATCTACCGTGACATGCGACACCCATACAAGTACAGGAAGGCAGTCAACGTAACCTACATCTTCACCTACATCATCGATGTCGGTATGGCCTGCGCAGGTATCCTCATGTTTGGAGATGGTGTCAGAGAGGAAGTCACGAGCAACATCTTTCTTACCCCTGGGTTTCCACCAGGCATATCGGTCTTTATCGCCATCTGCATCGCCATCATTCCATTAACCAAGATCCCACTCAACGCAAGACCTATCGTCAGCACGCTGGAGGTTCTCTTCGGTCTGGATACGCGCTCTCTCGCCATGTCCTCGTCCATTGATGGCATGAGTGGCCTTACACGAGGAGCGCTGAAGATTACTCTACGCATTGTCACCATCCTTGTATTCGTCATCATCGCCATCGTTTTCCCTTCGTTCGATCGCATCATGACCCTTCTCGGCAGTGTCGCCTGCTTCAGCATTTGTATCATCCTCCCATTGGCGTTCCACTTGAAGTTGTTTGGAAAAGAGATACCGAACGGAGAGAAGACGATGAACTGGGTGTTGATTGTTGTCAGTACTCTCATGGCCATTGTCAGTACTGTTTTTGCATGCCTCCCTAAGGAAATGATTGGGGCCTAGAAACGAAGATGTGGAGATCATGACAATGTTGGATGAAAAAAAAAAAGTTGTCTAACAGTTTGTTTTCAATTTGCAGAGGGTTTGATATCCCCGGATGTAATAAGCATGGCGTTCTTGTTTGCATTTGGTAGGCTGTTTCAGCATCAGCTACTCACTACAATGTATATCATTCAGTGAGTCCGAGTCCTCCAGAGTCTTGTAGTGAAGTCAGCCCTGGCTCAAGCTAAATCGTGCCTCGTATTCCTCTTTCACTCGCGGCTGCACTAACTCTTGCTTGCGATCTTGCTTGTACTAACTCATCTAAATCACCTACCGTAATCCTATCCACGGCTGAACTGATCCACTCAGACCATACACCCATTACATGTCGTCTGCAGTTAGACTTCTACTGTTGTTAGCAACATCCGCATTAGCCTTTGCCGTCGAGAACACCCTTCCCAGCTCTATCACCAGCGCTGGACGCCACCTTACTTTGGCCAACGACAATCATTTCAATGGCACAGTCAAGACTACCGGTGACGATTCATGGACACTGTCTGTCGCCCGAGGCACGAAACTCCTTCAAGGTATGAAGCCGCAGCTCTCTACACCCTAGGCGCCAGCGCAGAGAGCGCATTCGATGGCGACCTCATAAATAAGCTACGTGAGTGGGGTTACAACGATGCCACGGATGCCCTCGCCAAACAAGCAGACCCCGAATGCAATTTCGACAGCTCGAAAGGACACATGCTGAAGAAGGCCTTCAGCGACCTTGCCATCTCGACCAAACCCAAGAGCCAGGGTGGCCCAAATCAATGTTTCCTAATTGAGCATTACGACAGCCCAGCTGTGAAGAAAGGCGACGACGGCAAGATGCCTCTTAGAGGCGATCAACGGTACGACGTCTGCGACAAGGAATATCGCGTCACCGGCGCTGAGCACACAATCGGTGTCAATGCAGAAGCGGGCGTCGTGTACGCTATCAATCTCTCTTCTGCCACTAAAGCTGCTCGTCGTCTTTGGAAACGCGCTGCTCTCACGGACGAACTCCCTGCTATACGCAGCGTCTCGGATATCGCATGGGCCTTTTGGAACCGTGTGCACAGTGATGTGGAGAGCTTACAGAATATCAGATATCTATTTGTTACGATGATAATCAACAAAGAGACGAATCAACACATTACACGTGCGTTGGGCACGCTGAATCCACCAAAAGAGGATGTGGAAGTTTGGCCGGGACACGATTTCGACATGGAGACGGATGCGGGAAAAGCCTTGCTGGGAAGCCCTGTTGGACGATGGGCTGGGTACTTTCTCATGCAACATAAGAGGCAGTTGGGTGGTAGCAAATGGATCTCCAAGGTTAGAGTGTTCAAGTCTGAGAAGGAGGGTAGTTGGCCATACTTCTTATTCTATGTTGACACTCCCCCCGCACCAGGGGTAATGGTGGACAAATCAAGGGTAACCGGTTCGTACGATCGGCCAAGAATAGTAAGAAGAAGTGAGGACGGCAGCCATGTTGTTCGAGAGCATGTTATGAGGACGAAGATATCCAAGTCAACAAATTGAGCTTCCACCAAACATCTTGCGTTACTTTCATCTACATCCCCGCGCATTCAAGTGAACAAACAAATGGTCTCAAGATTTTTGCAATAGTTCTCACAAAACCAAATTGTACCGAGAAGACATCGTGTTCCGGAAACCGATCCAGCTGACTAACCAGACTAAATCGGTCCCTCCGCCTGAGAACCTCCGATGCGCAAAGCTTCGAGTACGTCAATCCAGTAAAAACTACAGCCACAGCGCAAGCCGTCACAACGTCCACCTTCACACACTACACACCCTTACGGCACACGCCAAAAGAGCCTCGCGATTCAATTCTTCACAAAAACATAATGGATTCTCTAGGCGGCGGCATCGCCAATGCGGACCTGAGCAAGCTGTCCGATCGCGACAAGCAAGAACTCCAGCAATTCGCCATGAACGAGGGACAGAAGGCTAGGATTCAATCTTGTATGTTCTGGCTCCTCTTCCCCTTCACGTCACATCACCCTGGGGTCACCTTTGTTTTCTATCATGTCTCGCAGCCCAGGTTGCCTTTTCTCTTCTACACCCACTTTCCAGATCAAACGCGCGCACCATGTAACAATCAGCTGACCTGTTGTGTGACCGATATAGCCATACACTCCTTGACCGACACATGTTTCCGCAAGTGCATTCCCGCGGGGACCGTTAAGAACGGCAAATTGGATAAATACGAGGAGCCATGTATGAGGCAATGCGTGGACCGGTTCCTGGATGCAAACATGGTTGTGCTGAGGGAGTTGGAGAGATTGAGGGGATAGAGAAAGACAGACCATAACATGAGAAGGGAAATCAATGGGAAGAGGGACATGCATATGATCGCTCGGAACAAAGGTGACGAGGAAGGGTGTATGATAACGAGGCGACTTATGATCTGTACAACACTGTATGACGGGAGATATCGTTTGCATAGCATTGCAAGTGTGGAGATAACATGCCTGACGAATACATATATCAAGCGTAACATGGTCTCTATAGAATGTACAATTCAACGACCAGCAAAAGCTTGCATTTGGAACCAAATCACAACACATTACACAAGCCTCACAAAGCATCACAGGTCAAAAGTAGCGGTATGGTTAGGGACCAAGTCCAACTTGGCGTCATGTGGAAATCTGATTCATTCGAGTCACCGTGACTACGTTTATCCCATGAACGCCCGCCATGCATATCACATCGCTTTTCAATTGCCGGGTATAACCAGACCCCATCATAACCATGCCTTCCCTTTTTACAGAGACCACCTTCTTAAACGATGGCGAGCTTGGTAGCCGCAATGTCGAGAGCGTCGACATCGGCGGTGAGGCGGCAGAAAGCCTTCTTTGAACCGTCGGGGCGGATCAGGGTGTTGATCTTGACGCAGCTGACGTCGTACTGCTTCTTGAGGGCGGCGGCGATTTGACGCTTGTTGGCCTTGACGTTGCAGATGAAGACGAGGGTGTTGTTCTCCTCAATCTTCTTCATGGCGGACTCGGTGTTGAGAGGGTGGATGAGAACCTTCTCAGCGTCCATGCGGGGGGCATGGGGGACCGACTTGCGAGGGTACTTGCCGGCGCGGGACAGCTCGAGGGTCTTGGGGCTGCGGATGTGTTAGCAGGCAAAATTTTGTTGTAGTGGGATCGGTCATACCGGTGGAAGCTGGTGTTCTTCCTGATCGCGCGCTTCTTGTTCGCATACGACTGTCATCTCGTTAATTGTGCCCATCACACGAGAAGTACAGCCCGTCAGAAGTATGTTTCTGACACGACTCAAGAGGATCAAGGGAGGCTTACGCCACGGAGAGCGGCCTTAGCAGCAGCATTGGCCTGCTTGCCAGTCTTGGTAGGGGCTGCGATTGATGTTAGCCATGAGCGCAAAATGAGGGTAGCTAATCGAGGCGCATCCGCAAAGTTCCCCTTCCGACAGGCTGCTGCCACGGTCTGGTGCCACTTTACGACATGTACGGTCGTCCTCGATTTCGCGGTTGTGGTATTTGCATAGACATACTCTTGGATACGGCCTTGGGTCCCATTTTGGCGGTTTGGTTGGTCCTGGTGTTAGTGTCGAGAGTCGCAGTCGAAAAGTCGTGGTTTTTGCTCCAGGCGAAAGTCGTCTGTGGGAACAAAGCACGCTAACGCACTAGCGCCAAATCCTTGCATCTGAACTCTCGGCGCTTCTAAACCATTACTTTACTTTGGCCATGTGACTGCAGCACCAAAACAGTCATGGCCGTCAAAAAGCGCCAAAAGACTCTGTCGCATGGCCGACCACCCCTCAGTAAACCGAAAGAGCGAATGACCTCCGAGCGTTCCAGGACTATCATCCGCACTCATCATCGACTGCAGAAGGAACACGCGGCAGCTTTGAAAAGAGGAGATCTGAAGTTAGCAGAAGAGACTGCACGAGCTATTGAGCGGAACGGGGGAATAAAGACTTATCAGGCTGCAAGCAAGCAAGGCCAGGCGAAGGACAGGGGAGGCGACTCCAGCAGGTTGTTAGTTGAATGGCTGCAACAATCCAAGGTCTTGGACCCGAAAGCACGAGATCAGCGCAGTACTAGCAATGCCAAACTCAGATGTCTCGAGGTTGGAGCTTTGTCCACCAAAAATGAGATCTCCAAGTACTCAAGCGCCATCGACATGACCAGGATCGATTTGAACAGCCAAGGTCCAGGTATCGAAAAACAAGATTTCATGGAGCGACCGCTTCCTACGTGTAATGACGAGCGCTTCGATATCATTTCCCTATCATTGGTGCTCAATTACGTACCGGATGCTGTTGGTCGAGGGGAAATGTTGAAACGCATCACAGAGTTCTTCAGAAAGAGTAGTGTGCCAACGGAGACCTCAGAAACACTATTCCCAGCATTGTTCTTTGTTCTACCGCTACCATGTGTCGACAACTCGCGTTACCTTGATGAACAGCTACTCTTGCGAATTATGGGCGACTTGGGTTTCACGATGAAGTTGAGCAAGAACACATCCAAGTTGTGTTACTACCTGTTCACCCTAACGAACGAGCCGAGAGTCACAAGGGTCGAGAAGAAGAAGATTAAAGACGGGCCAGGAATGAACAATTTCTGCATTATTGTTGAATGAATTTCCGAACGGCAACAACAACAACGGAATGAAATTGGGCACATTTGGCGGTCATCTAGAGATGAGATACGGGTACATTACAGCAAGCGCTCAACAAGGATCAGTGTTCTCTCGAGCGCAAGTCATTTGCCAGACTATTTGTGGTCGACCAGAAGAGAAATGGAGACAGGCGTTGAAGCATATGATCAAGCTCGTTAGGGAAGGAATCGAGCTGCATGAACTGCTGAAGAGGGAATCAAGAGCTGGAGAGATGTCTCTGGTATCATCCCGTGCTTTGCGAAGGAATATAATGCCAAAACAAAAGCTGGTCATAGCCACTAGCGATTTCTTGTAAGCTGGCGTTCCGATTGGAGCTTTCTTACGGCGCAGATGATGCATTTAGACACATTGGCCTACAGTTGTCATCCCAGCGAACGGGCTACATGACAGCGGATTGATCCCAGAATGACAGGCATTCCAGCGACGACATTGCGGCTCCTATGGAGATCTGTACATCCGTTCCGTCGTCGGGTGGATACTGCTGCTCTGGCTAGTGGTCTACAAATGAGGTTTGGCAAGGAAAGTAATGATATGAAAGTTGGAATCATACTCGAGAGCCTCGTCGCTCACAATTTCACGGGTATCTACCGAATCGACAATATCCACCGGACCATCACCGGACCACTCTCGGTATCTTTGTGTAATAGACAGGTTCTAGATTTTGAATTAGGGACCATGTGTATTCCCCCACCGAAGAAGACCCGAAGTGCCCCAAAACGTTTTCTTGAAACGCCTCCAGGGCTTCGTTGCCGAGACAGTAGCGCATGTTCAAACAACATCACCACAGCATGCACTTTCATCAGCGCACCATCGTGCGACTGTGTAAAGTCGTAGAACGTCGCTTCCAGTGTTTGACATGCCAACTCGGTTCTCGGCAGCGCGTCTCAAATTCGCTCGTTGTGTTGCCGCCTTCTCATTTCGTTCATGTTTGATCTCCATTTAGCGCATCCTTCGTCTTAGCACCTCATCACGCACAATCCCTTCAACCCATCATACCAAGCATTACACAAGCTTTTTCTGAAACGCACTCAGACTTGCTCAACCCCAAACGCCGGTCTGTCAACGGACGCATATCACTGGGGTAAGACCGGCAACAGGCGAGATGCGCGCAGGCTCGAGACCGGCTCTTCTCTGCAGTGTTCGGTGGGTCCAGACACCGGAGTTGAACTCGAGATGAGCTTGTTGCCATTCCTCCCGGGCGCAAATTTCCACATGTCGGCTTCCTGCGTGGCGCTGCGTTAGGTTAGTAAAGTAAAATGAGATGTCAACGTTATTTGAGGGCTTTATCTAGTCGGGCGGGTACGCCCTTTGGTAGTGTTTCAAGCTTCTAAAAACTCTCCTCACGAAGTCGAACTTCAATCACTTCAGTCACTCTTTCTTCGCAAGCCGCTGAGCTGCTGCCATTCATTCCTAAAAGTCGTTGATACGATCTTTCACACTCATTTCCAACAAGCCGTCACTGCATATCCACCTTCCATCATCTAATCAAGCATCCACTGGAAACCATGAAGTCCACTTTCTTCTCTCTCCTACCCATCGCGGGTGTTGCTGTTGCTGAGTCAGTCTGCACACAGAAGACTGTCACTACAACCGCATACGAGACAGTCTACGAGACTGCAAAGCCCGCCCTGGTTGCTGACGCTACCGCCAGCCAGTCTGGCGCTTGCTCTTCCAGGAGCACTGTCTACACTACCACTTACGAGAAGGTGTATGTCACTGTCCCTGCTGGTGCCGCTACTCCCGATGCCGTCGATGAGACATCGACCTCGACAAGGACCACCGATATCTACACGACAGTCACCGTTCGCCCGACAGGTGGATATTTTGGCAACTTTTCCACCTCTGCTCTCTTCAAGCCAGAGGCGTCATCGAGCGCACCTTCATACCCTACCATGAGCGTCGCGCCAACCACTTTGTTGGACTACTCTTCGCTGGCATACACCCCTGTACCCCAGAGTGAAGCCTCCAAGTCTTACGAAGCCGCACAATCCTCCGCCGCTATGGTTCCCACATCGGAATCCAAGTCTTCAGCTGCATCCACCTCCGCTGCTCCGGCACCGGCAGCTTCCAAACCAGTATCAACCGTCGAAGAGTCCGCAAGCTCAGCTGCAGGGTCCAAGCGTGGCGAGGCCACTTTCTACGGTGGTAACACTGACGGTGGCATGTGTTCCTTCACTGGATACACCATCCCCGCTGGTATTTATGGTACCGCGCTCTCCGATTCCAACTGGGACAACGGCGGTAACTGCGGTGTCTGCGTTAGCGTAACAGGTCCGGATGGAAACAAGATCACTGCAATGGTCACCGACCAATGCCCTGGGTAACTGATGTCTACGAACAAGCGAAATATAATACCATGCTAACTTCATTCTTAGATGCGGACCCAACCACCTCGACCTCTACCCTGATGCCTTCGCCAAGCTTGCCGAGCCTTCCAAGGGCGTCATCCCCATCTCCTGGGATGTCGTACCATGTGGCATCACCACACCCCTCGTCCTCAAGAATAAGGAGGGAACCAGCAAGTTCTGGTTCAGCATGCAAGTTATGAACTCCAACATGCCCGTCTCTAAGCTCGAGGTCTCCACCGACGGAGGTGCGACATGGCAGGCCACCACTCGCAAGGAGTACAACTACTTTGAGAACCCAGCTGGTTTCGGTGCGGACAGCGTTGATGTCAAGATTACCAGCAGCGGTGGTAAGAGCATCGTTGTCAAGAGCGTTAGCATTGCTGCGAACAGCAAGAAGACTGCTGGTAGCAACTTTGCTTAAGTGTTAGTTTAGAATGGGGATTCTACTTTGAATTTGGCTGACGGGTTACTCTTTTGATGATGGATGATGCTTGATAAATACCTTTCTTCACACCTTGTTGATTCGCTTCTGAGTATCTTTACGGTACATACTTTTCGCAGCAAAGACTGCCGTTGCTACACGATTTCTATCAACGAAGTGGCACTATCCTTACCATTTTCACCCTTTGTGTGCTATCGTGTGATCGGTCTTTCCCCATTCATTTTACTATCTTGGAATGACTCGAGAACCGTCTCGGAACCACTGGTGTCTTCTTGTCTAAGCTGTTCAAGAGCGGCACCAAACGTTGAAAGGCACGATATTGGCAGGGCAAGATTAGGTAAAGTATATGATATTCCTATCTATAGTCATGAGGGCTCTTCAAGCCACAATGGTATTAGCTAAGCTACAACAGCTTCGACACCCCTCCCTCATAATCGTTTAGGCGCATGTCCATGATAGCCATTCCACATCTCGTCGTGATATTGTCGATTTACAACATACCAAGAGCGAAACCGAGAGCACCAAGACCCATGGCAGCGCCAACGGTGTTGATGGGAGCAGGGTTGTCAGTGTTGGTGGGGACAACAGTGTCGGTGTTCGTCTCGGTGCGAGTAGCAACCACGCCATCGCTACCGGTAGTGACGATGATAGCAACAGAGGTAGTGGTAAGGACACTGGTGACAGAGACTGTGTTGGTGACCGAGACGGTGTTGGTATCAACAGCGGTTGTTTGAGCCGCACCAGCACCACCTGCGGCAACAGTCGTGGTGGTGTAGTGACAGTCGGTCAAGAGGCGGTACTGATCGCTGTCGTCATCGTTGTCGTTGTCGTTGTACTGTCTGACGCAGGCTTCGCAGTTTGGGATCAGGGTGTTTGCGTTGTTGGCTGTGCAAATACACTGGAGGACCTCGGATGAGTCGTCGTCTGTGGAAGGGTCAGTTTGTTACCATTAGGTGGATAATGCAACACTTACTGCTGTCGTTCTTGCAGCCATTTACGGCTTCACCGACTTGGCCGCAGACATCGGTGCACTCAGCAGGGATGTTGCTGAAGTCAAAGCTGGTGTCTTGAGCAGCAGTCAGGGCCGCGAGGGCGGAGACGAAAGCGATCTTAGTGAAGAGCATTTTGGATGATTGAGATTCGACTTCCAGGAAGTAAAATTAATGAGCTTTGAGTGACTGGAGATGTGATAGAGAAGATGAAAACAGGCTGATCGTTGTTGTGATGGATAATGAACATGTCGAGCGCAACGACTCTTATACCACATAGCTTCTGCATCACATTCGTCATCTCCGATCATGTTTGTGTAGAGCGAGCAGGTACCAGACCCTCAAGCCGGCGTACCCGGGTTCGCTCATGCACTTGATGAGTTGCCATACACTATCGACGTCTGGCGTAGACCCTACAAGTTCCTCAAAGGATACCTATGAGAGCGCCGAGAAGAGAAGGGCCGATTGGAGGGTGACATACCGTACGCCAACTGCCTATCATGCAGTTCATAGTCAAGTGTCAGGAACAGCACATCTAGACTGCGCCAAGCACTTCAAGCTGTGTGAAGGATTCTCTGGGCCACGCGATGGTCGTGGAGCCTCAATTGCTCAATGTCATTGGTGCTTGGCGCTGACAAAGTAGACCGAACCGAGCAGCCGAGCGATCATGACGATCTTCCGAAAGCTTGTCATTGCTCCAGAACGCGCCGAGTTTGCGGAGAGAAAACTGGAGAAAGGCGACCTTAGACTGCATGAAACGTAGACTAGTCGGCTGTACGGCAAACGTCAACAGGTCCGCGGCGAACTTCTGTATGGTATTTGCGACTCCTGTATGACGTAAATATGCAAATGTTCACTCGCATGCAGTAGGTTTTCCATGTTTTGCACAATTTCTCATATCAAATGGTCAGCCTAACATTCGCTTCCAAACGGCTCGTTGAGGAACCAGAAGTCATCCAGCATCCACTCTGATGTCTCGCCGAAGTCGAAGGCATCAATGCGCAGCCCAACGTCGGCGAAAGAATCTGTTGATAGTGCTTCAGCGGAATAACCGGAGTGACTATTGATCTGTTTGGCTATGCGTGGTGCATCTTGAAGTAGAACCTATTTTGCGTCAATATGACAGAGCTATCCGGATTGTCAAAAACCTACCTCATTGGCTGGAGGCTCTTCACTAATATCTTTTCGAGAAAGCATCCTGTACAGCAAGCGTGATACGCGATCTATCGCCTGAAGCTTGACCGCGTCCGAATGTGATGGTTCGAACTGCACACTGGCCAATCCAACTGCAGCACCTGTATATCGCTCATGAGTCTCATAGAAAATAGAAAGCGTGTCAGGGGTGATTCATACTTAGCACCCAATGCTGCTGGCCTCCACGACCTACCAGCATCACTCTCTCTTCTTGGAGACGAAGTGCTTGTTGTGCACAACTATCCAGTGTACTCTTGGCAGCCTGCACTACCATGGTATCTAAATTGATGTTAGCTGCATACGCTAGCGGCGACAAAGGAACATACCGTTGACTTTATTTGCATGATAAGCGGCATGGCAAACTAGTAGCGCGGCTCTATAGTAGTCGCTGCGGGTACAACATAGTGCGAGGTTAGAAGATGCCGTCAGAGCCGTGTGCAAAGCCGTTGTTGCAGCTGCGGCCTCCATCAGTGCAATGATCGAGTATCGACGCTCCGTGTTGAGTGTGGCTCCTGCATCAGCAGTGTTTGCTGCGTACAAGATTACCAACAGCTGTCGAAGCTGGAGGTCGAGAAGTACGCGCACCTGGAGAGATCCTGAATCTATCCAGTTAGGGATACTCTGTATATAATCTTCGATAGTGTTTGCATGTGACAGGGTATCCTGGAAGCTAAGCCTTGACTGCAAGCTATTCGTCAGAGCGCATAGACTCGAACGGAAACCAACCGATCTCGTGGAGATGAAGAGGAAGGACGTGTCGGTAAATATCTCCATCGGTTCTGATGGCGGAAGTTCCTCCAGGCTAGGAGAAAGTTGCACATCATTAAAATTACCAGGTGCTGCACAATCCGCTTCGAGTCTGGAAACCATTGACGGAGTACCTGTGAGGATGTTAGAAAGCTACATCATCGTTCAAGACGCCTTTACCTTTGTCTATGGATGCTTGTAGTTCTATCTCCACCTAAGTAAGTTATTCGAATCAGCATAGGTCTCACGTTGTCTTGCGCAAACAAGTTACTAACAGATGTTGCCCATAGCCTTCGCCGCATTTCTCCTTCGAATGTAGAGCAGCGGTCACCAAAGTGAACTGGATCCCTGTGCATTCCACAGGAGATCATAATACCCATATGTGCTTGTACCTCGTGATAGTAATCTTTCGCCTTGTGTGAGGTTGCTGCAAGGGCCAGCAAACGCAAGCATCTCACCTGGAGTGAGGCAAGTGTTCGGTGCTTGCTGCTCTGCCGTCTGAGCCAAGCTTCGCAAGCTTTCATCCACAAGACCGCCTGCGTGTGCAGCGTTGAGCCGTTGCGACTATACTGTGGGCTTCCATTAGGACAGATACAGATCGTACACGCTAACATTGAGAGTACGACAGCATCCATTTCTCCAGAACCGGGCTTCTCAACGTCCCAATATTGCTCGTATGCATTCTGGAATGTTGGTATGTGCAAGATCCTGTACGTTGTCTCAAAGGTACTGAGATACTTTTGTACCAGTCGATCAGTAATCGATCTATCAGGAAGAAGGTCTCTCAAGCTCGAAACGGATACGATCCGATATGATGATCCGTTGGCGCTGGTCGCTTTGCCAACAGCCATCATATCTTGAGCTAATCGCTGAGCGGTAGAGTTGTGGTAGACATTCTTCATGAATGCGCGAAGCTCTGGGAACTGTTCAAGTCAGCGGAGTCTACGACCAGGTGTTGATTATGCTCTCACATAAGCCATTATGGATGTCGGCGAAGAAGGTCCGTAGTAGAAGCTTCCATAATGACGCCCCTTAAGAAAACCTCTCGGAGAAGTCGTACCGGACAAGATACCATTCGTTCTTCCAGTGAAACGTAATACCTCTAGAGAAACGTTCTTCTGAACTAGCAACTGCTGCTCTAGTACGGCGACTTGTCGTTCGAGATGCTTTACTCGGTCTTGAGCTGTTATGTCCGATCTGGCGAACTCCGATGGGTTGAACAGTTTCGGAACGTCAAGGTACGACCGCGGCGCCTCTTCAGTCCTGGTTGCTGCTGCACCGGGTACAGACTCTCTTTGTCTCTTGGAAGGTCGTTCAAGTAAGCAATCCAAGGGAGGAGTCTGGTTATCTGTCTCGTAAGCGCATTCTTTTGCGATACCACCCTTGATGCATCTGTCACAAGGTAGTTTCCTGTCGCATCTCAACTTCCTTCTTCGACAATCGTTACATGAAAGAACAGCTCGTTGTCTTCTCTGAATGCTTGGTTTGTTCATGTTGTCTGATGCAGGGATTGGAGATGAGCAGAGTCCACACTGGGAGCGAGAAAGACACGCTGAACGGTCATCTCGGACTTTAACCTCGGAGATCACTACTCAACACCGAAGGGACCGGAGATGGCAACATCAGGCGCTCGACTATATCTCATGGCTACTGTGGCCAAGATGCGACGGCCACAATGACTGGTGTTGGAGGTGACTTGAAGTTGAGCGGGAGAATCCGGGGTTTCCGCCGTTGGGGATCTCGCGCATGTACTCTCTCGGGAATATCATAATCAGCGCTACACTTATCCCCGCACATCACTGCCTTCGCAGTCTTCAGGCAGTAACAAATCACTGCGCTAATGACGTAGCTCGACTCGTGGAAGTCCCCCGAGAGAATCCAGTTTGCTGCAGAAACATTAGGGGTGATAGATGGATTGTATTCGCTACCCAACTGTCATCCCGAACCGACACTCAATATCGACGCCATACGTTCACGAGTCGTATCCCGGGTATCATTGCTGATCAACAACTACATACACTACCAAAAGAGCATAATCAAGATGGTCATGCTCCTCTGACATATTTATCGAGTATGAAGGTATGATCTTCGTAACCCATGTTATCATAATTCCTAAGCAAACAAGCATGAAACAGAGGTCTAGAATGACACCTCCTTATCGAGGTTGCACAGCCGGAAAATAACGAGGGCCAGAGTATCCGTAAAACTGGACGCTCTCGATGTCGATATTGCCATCATGTTTTGGGCTCCAAAGCTTGAGCAAGACATTCCTTCCCGAACTGCCAGGCGCGTTAATAACCGAGTGACCTTCAGCACCATCTTGTCAGACTTACATTGCAGGGTGAAACTTGATTGTGATCTTGTTCTTGTTCTTTTCGATGAAAAATCGGGCATGCGGAGGGATCAGTGGCTCGACGTTGTGCTCGGAAGGTTCGATACGGCTAGGTGTAGCTACACGAGCGGCCCGGATAGGCTCGATATAGCGCTCTCTTCGCTCTCGCCATTCACTGTATGTGCTGTAGTCGAGAGCGGGTGCGCGGCGCAGTGGGCCGAGGCGCGGAACAATGTCATCGTCATCGTCGCTGTCGGCCTCCCAGCGGTTGTTCCTTCGTATGCGGTCGGCCATGATAGCAGCACTAGGTTGCTCTTCATTCGAGCCTGAGTCTTCATCCTCACTGGCAGCGGTAGTGACTGTGAATGGTGGTGGAGTGGGTGCGGAAAAGCCAGCGGGACCGCTGTACGTGCTGTCTGGTACGTGATCACAGTTGTCACCGTCCGCCTCGTCTTCATGCTCTACCATCTGGCGCATGATGCGCCGCCGTTCCGAATCAGAGCGCAAAGACGATATCCAATTCTCAGATTCAGCGTTCAGCCTTTGACTGCGAAGACGAAGATTCTCGATGCGCTCCTCCATGTCCTCTTGAGTGCCCTGACGCGAGTACTGCCATACCGAAGGATCTTCGAGAGCTTCTCTCAGCGATATCTGTTCGTTGGCCTCGATCGGAGAGCTGGGAGCAGGAGACGTTGGCGGTGAGCTATCGTAGCGGAGGTTGTAGGCCGAGGTACCAGATAAGAGTTCGTCTGCAGACATGGATACGAAAACGAGACCTTCCTGCACACTGGTGGTAGGTTAGCAAAGATCAAATTTGAAATGGAGACACATACGGAGCCGTAAATCCACGGTCCGGTGCTCGAATGACAACCTTCTCTAGAGCAAAGGGGGCCTCCCCAATATGCTTCAGGAGAAGATTGCACTGCGAACTTTCGCTGCAGTATACACTTTTGTCGTTCCTCAACACGTTCTGAACCTTGTACAGGCCAGGCGGACTGTCCCTACGATGCTCGCCGCCGTCGCAGCTCACGATTTCCATTCGCAGACGCCCAGGCACGACCTGACCCTTGTGGCCGTATTTGAAGCACATGTACTCACTGGCCGCACTGGCGTCATGTTCCAGCTTCCTCCGCTTATGTCTGCGCTCGCTGTTGATGTGTACTACAGGGCTACGGGGCCGCGTGTGCGTGTTCAATGTGGCAAAGGGATCGTTGATGGGCAGGCCACTCAACGAATCCAGGACATCGTTAGTAGCGTCCATGTCGGCTAAGCGCTGTTCTCTTGTGCGGGCTTGAGAGCGACGGAGGTAACGTTCGCTTGGGGTAGCGCGAGGTCGGTTGGGGTTTGCAGTGGGAGGCCGCCTAGAGAGATTATCTGCGGCATCGTTGTCACGTGGAGGACCAAACAGACGGTGGAGTGGGCCTCTTCTGTTAGACGTGCGAGTGCGCACGCGCCTGGCAGCGTCTCTGGGGGACGACGTCGCATCGTAAACGGCTGGCGTCGGTTCGGCTAGGGAGCGCAGCGCATTCCTCGCAGCGCTCGTAGACGCGGTGCGGGAGACATTGGGCGGAGAGGTCGAAGCATGAGGGAAGTCAAAGCCGCCTGTGGTGAATGGGAATGCCGCAGGCGGTGGGGACGGAGACGAGGGCGGTCTGGGCATGGGTGACGTCGACGATGCTCGCTCCCATTGAGAGGAGACGAGAGACGGCGCAGTGTTTGGGTGGTGAGCAGAGTCGGGGCTAGTAATTTACGCTATGTAGACAGGGCAAAGGATAGCGTGGACGGCACTTGTCGAGGCGGAGGGAATGAACAAGCAAAGGCAGCCAGCCTGTCGGTCCCGTGTAGTTGGCACATGCAGCGGACGCGGGGCGAAGCTAGCAACACGCACGGGCCACAGCAGAGCCTCAAAGGTATGCCGTCACGGCTAGCCGTCTTTACTCGGCCTCTGCTGCACGACGGCGCCTCACTCCGGATTGGTCTGCTCTCCCACCTGCACTGACTGCGCAGCCGTCGAGTCACTTCCGCTACGCGACTTTCCACCTCCAAAGCACACCACTGCGCGTCTTACAACACCATGACCGATCTCACCGAAACCTCCGCGATACCTCCGCCCGCGACCAATGGCGCACTGCCAGGCGCATTGCCAACCGAGGATGCAGCTGGGCAGACAGTAGCCGCCATTGCTGAAGCAGACAACATCTCCGCAGGTATGAGCGACTCTATTGGGAACCACTACAACAACAGCAGCAGCAGCAGCAGCAGCAGTACTAAACATGGCGCCTAGATGAAATCGCCCTCTACGATCGCCAGATCCGCCTCTGGGGCGTCCAAGCGCAACAGAAGATCCGCACCGCCAACATCTTGCTCGTCTCTATCAAAGCCCTTGCCAACGAAATCGCCAAGAACCTCGTCCTCGCCGGCATAGGCTCCATCACGCTCGCCGACCACGAAGTCGTGACCGAAGATGATCTGGGCGCGCAATTCTTTATTAGCGACGCCGACGTAGGCAAGAACCGCGCAGAAGCAGCGTTGCCTCAAGTGCAGAAGCTCAACCCGCGCGTCACCGTCAAGGCTCTCACCACGGATATTCGCAACGAGCAAGATCCCAACTTCTATGCCGCATACGACATCATCATATGCACCGACATGGACTTCCTCTCCACCTCCGCCGTCAACGCTGGCGCGCGTATAGCACGCAAACCCTTCTACGCAGGCGCATCACACGGCATGTACGGTTACATCTTTGCCGACCTGGTGGAGCATAACTTTGTCATTGAGCGCGAGAAGAGCAACCGCGACACCCAGGTTGGCGCTGAGAGCACAACAAGGAGCGTCAAGGGCGTCCAGATCAAGAAGGAGAACGGAAAGGTGGTTGAGCTAGTCAGCAAGCAGGAGCTCTACAGTCCTTTGATGCTGGTCAAGGACAGTCCGCTCCCAGCAGAGATCGCGAACAATGCCAGGAGACTGAAGAAGGTTCACCCGCTACTCACTTGCGTACGCGCGTTATGGGAGTACCAGCGCAACGGCCACGGCGTCTACCCTTCGCATACGCCGACTGATCTACAGATCTTCACGACCCTTGCCAATATCAAACACAAGGAGCTCCTCCTCCCCACCGACTCCCTCAAAGCCGAAGTCCTTCGTAGCTTCCTGCAGAACCTGGGCAGCGAACTGGCACCCGTTACAGCTTTCTTGGGTGGCCAGCTAGCACAAGACGTCATCAACGTACTTGGACAACGGGAACAGCCCATTCAGAACCTCATGTTGTTCGATGGCGAGGATAGTGCAGGACCTGTATATGCGCTCCATCCCATCTTCCCTGGCACACCGCTACCGATCATGTCGAGCATGCCTGTGAGCGCGCCGATTACGATAGTTTAGGCTTTAGCGGCAGGGAAGCAGGACGAGATTAGCAGATTGCTGCATTGCACGAGTGTACAACGGTGCCATGGGATACATATGAAGAAAAGTGTAGAAGCATGTGGGGGCGCAACACATGAGAGATACCCAATTGAACCCGCTGAATGACAGCGAAAGATCGATAGAGATCTGACTACCTTGAAGCTTTCCCAACACGTCGTGATGATTGAGTCTATCTACTGCTTCTTTTTCTTCTTCTCCTCCTTCATAGCACCTTTTCCACTCTTACCAAACAACACCCAACACAACCCCGCAAACGCAAACAAAACCACTCCCACAGTGCCCACTTCGACCCACCCAGCCTTGCTTGTATCAAGCACTGGCACATCGATCCACTCCACCAACCCATCACCCTCGGCCGTCTGATTCCTTACCTCAGGCTGCACATGCATGAACCTAGTCTTCGGCCCAAACAGACCCTCATACCCCAGGTGCTTGCGATCAAAAGGATTAGACGTATGCTGCGCGCCGCTCTCAGCCCGACAAGCCCAGAACACTACTGGCCACGGAACCGGCAGTCTAGCATGCGACGACGCCTCAGCAGGCATGTACCGTAGATGCAACGGTATACTGACATTCCAGTCCCCCTCTGCTATCTCACGGTGCGTCGGTAAGCCTTCCCATGCGTTCTCGCCACCAGCACCAAGATCCACTTTGGGATAGTCGATCTTCTCTGGTTTGGGTACGCCAAGTTCGAAGAGCGCAGCGGAACCCCAAGCTGGTACAGCCCAGTCTGGAGCTTCGAGATCTGTAGCGCCGGATAGACTGCGGAGGCGCTTAAGGTTCTTGCTCTTGAGGAAGAGGCTGTCGGAGAACTGGTATTTGTCGATGAAGAGGTAGGAAGGGAGAGTTAGGTGCGTGTGGAGTTTACAGGAGCGGTCGGGGGGTGTGAGATCTTGCGCAGGGAACGTGAGGGTTAGTGTTGGATGGAGGCCTGTTGGTTGATTGAAAGAGGCGCTGTATGTTAGAGGGTGGAGTTTCGGTTGTGCTGTTGGATTTTCTGAGGCCTGGAGAAGGGGGTAGTGGCGGGTTGGGGTCTGGAACCGTGTAGGTTCTGTTTGTGGTCAGTGTTTCGTTATCATGCTGTGGAAATAACGTAGCAAGATGGAAAGACGTACTTGGTTTCTCGTCTTGTCCTAGCACTGTCAAGAAACCTCCAAATTGGATGTCTTCGGGGTCTGCGTTTCCCTCTAGACTTAACACGCCGATCTCGACCGTCGCATCTTTACTCGGCTGCCTGATCTTCTGAGTCCAGCCTTTTTCATCGTCTTTTGCCTGCGCCCATCCAGCTGTGAGAACCACGCCTCTCGAGATGGTGTCGTAGTCTATGTCGATATAGCTTGATGTAGCGAAGCTATTCACCATGTCATAGCACTCACGACTTGCATTCTCTCCGCAAAAGGTACGCTGGAATGGACCTTTCATCCTGTCAATCTCATCTATGTAATCGTAGTACTGCGAGGTAGTTGACATTGAGAAACGCTCCGAGAGGACAGGCATCTTGGTGGAACTGGAAGATGTTGACGAGCATTTCAAGTCCGGAGTGACGAGAAGATGAAGCCCTGAGCATAGTGCGTCTTCCGGTGTATCTGAAAGAGGCGTGAAGAAGACATGTAGACCAGGGGAGACATGTGATGTGAATGGCGGAGTCGATGCGTAAGGTCTTGGGGATGTCCAACGTAGATGTATTTCATGCCATTGCTGAAAGACTTTACTAATCTACGAGACGTGAGCCAGACTGAAACGAATTTGTAGATTGGAATGTCGATGCCACAATACACACCTCTTCAGGCAACTCATCTAGACCGAGTGTGATACGGTGTTCTTTCGCTGCGTGAACATTGTCCAGAGCAAAGTACTGACCGGACTTGTCTTCGCCAACATCAAGCTGATCGGGAGTAAACTCCTCTGGTTTCTTGACAACATAAGTTATTCGCTGTTTCATGGTTATTGGAAGGATGGCTTTCGTGTTCCTCAACGCGTGATGCTCGCGATGCCATGTGAACGAGCTGCGCTAGTCTGTGTTCGGTGCTAGGGCAAGATCGCCCTGTTGGTGCCTCGGCGCTGCGTCATTGGCATTCACTGGCGCCGCCAGCTTCTGGAACTCAGCCTCAAGGCACAAAGACATCTCCACCGTGTCCTTTCACATGCTTTTGCCACTTGGGGACTACTTCAAGTGCCTTGGTTGTCCCTGTTGACGATCTTCTGACCTATCGTGCGCAACATGCATCTCCTCAACTTTCTCTACCCAGCACTGCTGGCAGCGAGTGGCGCTGAAGCCCTCCGCTCTGACAAAGTCAAGCTCGCGAATATACAGAGTCTCACGCTGCGCAAAGACCAAAAGACTTCTGCGCGACGCGTTGATCCAATACCGCAGGTACGAACTCATCCCGCGCATCTTACTGTGCCCCTCAATGCAGCCTACTAACACGTTCTAGCTGAAATGCATTGGCGGGTCAGCACGCGGCCTCTATGAACCCGATGTGATGCGCTGCAAGAACAGCGGTTCCGACTACGACGAAAACTCGATACAATGGACATGCACCGCCTCGCTTCCCGAAGAGTTCAAACTTGGCTCTACCGATGTCATCTGCGAAGGCTACGATTACCCCGAAGACCCCTATATCCTGAAAGGCAGCTGTGGTGTCGAGTATCGCCTCATACTCACGGAGAAGGGGCAGGAGAGATACGGAAAGGGAAGAGGAGGATGGCATGGTGACGACGACGAAGACCGACGTGATGGGCCCAAGACCATGGGCGAGAAGATAGCTGGTGGACTGTTTTGGATGCTATTCGGTGGTGTTGTACTATGGATGATATACTCTGCGTTGAGAAACCGCGCCCAAGGCCCCGATGGCGGCGTAGCAGGCGGCAATAGACCTGGCTGGGGAGGCGGCGGTGGTGGTGGATGGGGAGGAGGTTACAATGATGATAACGACGACCCACCCCCACCGTATTACCCAAACAACCCGAACAATCCTAGCAACCCCAAAGCAGGCTACGGCGCGACACAGGGCTGGAGGCCTGGCTTCTGGTCTGGTGCTGCAGGCGGTGCAGCCGCCGGATGGGCTGCTGGTCAGTTTGGCAATAGAGGGAACAGGAACAACCAGACTGGTGGCTGGGGCGCTGGAAGCGGTAGCGGCAGCCGCTGGAACAATGGTGGTGAAGGAAGCTCAAGAAGTTCATCTGGTGACAGTTTCTCCAGCCCCAGGCATGAGAGCACTGGGTTTGGAGGGACGTCACGCAGATGATGAGTTGATTGAAGATGTTCTATTGGCTTAAGAATGATACCCCTATTTAAACATTTCGAAGGACAGTTTTTATCCTCTTACATCAAGGCACATAAAGTGAACTATGAGTAAGGATACAAGCCCCGAGAATCCGCACGAAGCAGCTTGCTTCTGCTGAGTCTCAGTGTTTCCTAAAGGTTTTCGTCGTATCACCTGTTAGAATACTCGTGTCATATCGTACGTGCATACCTTCAGAGCGCTTTTTCAGCACGAGCGTATGACTGGGAGGACAGCAGGTTCTTTCCCACCTCGCCATGCTCACAACTCCCAACGTGCTTCAACCGCCCCAGCTGGCACTCCTATATGCCGAGATGACCTCCAGGCTTCAGCTCCATTCAGCTTACCCAGCGGCAATGACACTCACCCGCCACTCCCCCAAGGTATATCCTCCTTCTCAATTTTGACACAAGTCAGCCACCCCACCTTCTGTGCCTCGACATCAAGCAAACACTCATTCCGCGCCAAGTCCTCCACATAGATACTCGCCTCCCTCTTCAGCATCGCCAGATCCTCACTCAAATTCTGCACCGCAGACGGCATAACCTGTTCCATCATGCGTCTCATATCTTCATATGGCATGTACCCTTCTCCCTTCTTAATCTTCCGAAACATGTTACCGCGTAAGAGAGGTTTCTTACGATTGTTGTCTAGGCTGATGAGTTCCTGGCCAAGGATGGAGCGAAACGTCGAAACTATGAACCAGGTATCGAATTCTGAGTTTGTCAAAGGTGAGACGGCGTGGTTGTTAGTGCCGCGGCCGACGTGAATTGTCAAGAGAAGGAGTTCACGCTCAACTTCGGCGCATCGTTGATGCAGTTGGAAGCTTTTCGTAGTGATCAAGTGACGGATTCCTTTGGGTAGGCTGGAGCGCGGTGTAGGCCAGGGCCAGCAGGGATGGGCACCACACATGTGGATCAGGGACTCTTTGTAGATAGATTCGTTCTTCAGTGAAAGAGATAGAAGAAGCCATCGTGCGGGATCATTTTTGATTGCACGGAAGAGTGAATGACGGTGTTGGAAGAGCGTTGCGTTCATCTGAGAAGTCAAGTTCGGTAGGTTCTCTAGACAGCCCAAACCACCAGCGATCTTGGTGAGTTGCTCGAAGTGATTGATCGAGGCGGCAATGTTGACAGTTGGCATGTTTATTGCAAAATTGTAGAACGCACTAAAGACCTGATTGTACATATCAATGATGGTCGCGTGTTCTGGAGTGATCCCTGGAGCGGCCTTGGAATCTGAGTCTTCGTTCTCAATTTTGATCGCCATATCGCTGAGTACATCAGACTTGTTGTCTCGGATAAATGACCACTCTTTAGTGGCTTCCTTTTGTATTAACAAGATTTCGCCATCAACCTCTTCAATAGTGTATGCTGCCCGTGTTGCCCCTACCACGGTAGCAGCCATGCCTGATAAAGCTCTGGCGAACCATGACGAGAATCGCGCAAGTACCTCACTATGCAGTCGCCATTGTTTCGGTGGGGTGACCAGTTTTGTCTCGATGAAGACATCGCCGGTCTCAAAAATGGGAAAGAGATCTTTTTGTGCATAATTACCTAACGCTGTAAACGGAGGATGTTGGAAGCCATCTGCGGCATATGAAGAAACCTACAGGAATGTCAGCCAGATTGGTGAAGTTGAGAAGTGGGTGTATGCACCATTGTGCCATTATTATACGTCTCATGATCAATAGATGGAGTCAAAGACCCCTGTGTGACCATACCCGCAAAGTTGGCCATCGCTGGTGGGGTGTGAATCGAAACCCCCTCAAGAGTCTCTGAACGTCTATGATGAGAATGGCCGGGTGAGAGGGAACTGTCGGTATCGTTGGCGAGCTGCGAGCAAGTAAAACAAGAGTCGAAAGGTGAAGATCTCATTCTTGATGGTTGATCCGAGGAGCTTAGAGTTGAAGCCTTCTCTTCCGTGTCACAGTTAGAGTTCCTTGCAACAGTGCTCTGTGAGCTTGTGAAACTAGAGATTGGTGTTGCTGAAGCATGTCGTTTACGTGCTTGCGCCGGGGACTGTGAACGGTTGCGCTTGTCCATGGAGTTATAGCGAAGACTTGGAGTAAGAGTTTATGCAATAAGTGTCGTGGCTATTCTCAGGTTCGCAGTGTGAAGGTGAAAGTAGATGGATGGGGGTAAGATTAGCCGCGAAAAGGGATATGCATCTATATAAACATATAGTACCGGCAAGGGTCAGCTGGGCGGACTATGAGCGGTAAGTTGCCGACTTAGTAAGTCCGCGATATAGCAGCTCAGCACAAGTATACCACCTGTGATCAACTCTGCTATTAAAGCTGCAGCGGTTACCGAACAAAACTGTACAGGAAGTGGTGGTCTCCAGCTGGTCAGCCGTGACAGGATGATAGGACGACTCTTCCACGTATTTTGTATCAGCTTATCTTGTTAGATGAATCCCTGATACGAAACTTTGATATTCCGAACAAGATAGGGCGAAGAAAATACCTAGGTACAATGATTACGCAGCTTCATCTTCGCAACTTAATTGCCTTATATGTCTGTAGGCGTCCAGCTACCGTTTCAATCTTCTTAAGGTGACGCTAAAAACTTTGTATTGTGACCGGATGTCGTGTTGGAAGTGTTGTTGATTGTGGGTGCAAAGAGAGCAGCAGATACGACCTCTTTTATACAATGTTCGACGACTCAATAAGCTTCACATCTATATTATAGTCAAAAACTCTCGTTAGAATTAGCCTAAGATACTATTGGAATAACTTCTAAAGAACACAAAGTATAACATGTGTGAGGAAGAATAGATCGCGGCGTTTATGGTTCATCGCATCCGAGTCTCGATCCAATGTGTCAAAGGAACATAGAAGCTTATATCCTCGATATGCGGTGTACCTCCCGTCTAATTATTGGAAACGTACGTTATTTCTGGTATGCGAGATCTGAAGGCCCTCTAGCGATAGTTCTGATAGTGTGCTTCGGATGTTTGGTGGCGGCGGTTTCCGAGCGTCATTTCAAGTGGTCTAGCTCTTTCGCGTTCGCAGAAAACTACTAATCGTTCAGCGACATTCTGGAAAGTATGCTCCAAATGTTGTTTGTCTTACCAGCAGGGCTACATTAGGCACACGTTGGCCACTATTATCTCTAATAGTCTTAGATCAGCATGCTTCTTGCAACGTACCAATGTCGGAGGCATGTAGGTGCTGCTCGAGTACCAATAAAGTAAGCCCCGCACGCATCTTAGAATGATGACTCCTTCTGTACTATTGTATGTCGTCGCTGGTGATGGTTTTTCGGATGAGTGAATGTTGTTGTCAATGGAAGTTCTGGACCACAGCCCAATGCAGGGGAAACAGCGCAGTAGCGTTCAGAAGAGTGGGGCTTACCAAGTAACAGGTGTTCGAGTGGGCGCATGGCTTTGATGCAGCCAATCGAATTGTGTAGATGTGGCGAAAGCATGCATCACAACAAATTGGGCTTTCCCGCGCATTGCCAGTATTGTTACGAGGTGGGAAACGCATGGGTAGCTATCGGGCGAGGGCTGAATGTGACGTCACACTGTCGCTGATTCTAGATTCGTCTGTCGCTACCGCGGAGGTCACACGAATTGCATGGTAAGAGAGTCGTGAGCCACAAAAGCCTGGTCTGACCCCGGCTGTCAATTCCTCGCCATGCAAAACTCGTACGATTTCTCTTGAACACACCATACGTCTCCACTGTTAACCTAGTGCAGTCTAGCTCAACTGGCTCGGAGTGATGGCCGCGTCCATGAGAGTGCTACCAACACCGCCGTCACCTGCCGCGCTTGACGATCTCCCGTCCCTGAGAACGCACGACGACTATACTGCCGGCAGCCTTGCATACGACTTGATCAGGTTCACACCAACGCCGACAGTCATTCTAGATGCATCGCTCTTCGTGCGTCATGTCTCAGATTCGTTAGTACAGCCTAAGATAAGCGATGTCGGAAAGTCTGGTGACTTACTAACATATCTAAGTTATGTGACCGTTTCAGAAACAAACGATCGCGTCAAGCTTGTCGGCAGACATGCCGACGACATCTTGGACCTCAACTCTACCATTCCAGCATTCGCTCCAGCTCGTGAACTTGTGAGGACCGCATGTCGAACTGGCAAGCTCCATCAGACAACGGTGGTGACAAACACGGGTAGTGCCTGGAACTTACGAGCGGTCCCAATATTGCGTCAAGGAACACTACGTTGCATTCAAATGGAGTTTCTCGACATCACGGAGGAGCACAAGCGGCAGCTTGAGCTCAGAGAACGCTCCTATCACAATGAGACATTCCAGTTGTTGGTAGCCACTATCAAGGACTACGCCATTTTCATGCTAGACCCTACTGGCCATGTGGCAACATGGAATGCAGGAGCCCAGGGCTTCAAGGGATACACACCTTCCGAAATCATTGGCAGACACTTCTCGACCTTCTATTCCCAGGAAGACCGCGACAATGATAAACCATCAAGGGAACTACGAGATGCCCTCCGCGACGGACGATGCGAAGATGAAGGCTGGCGTCTTCGCAAGGATGGCTCAAAGTTTTGGGCAAACGTGGTCATCACCCCAGTATACAAGGACAACGTTCTGCTCGGATTCTCCAAGGTCACGAGGGACCTAACAGAGAGAAGAAAAGCAGAGAACAGTCTTATTGCTGCCTATGAAGAAGCATCGAAGCTCAAATCTGAATTCCTGGCCAACATGAGTCATGAAATCCGCACACCCATGCACGGAATGCTGTCTGCACTGACATTGCTCCTTGATACAAAGCTGGACAATAATCAACTAGAGCTTACACGGATCATCCAAGAGTCGGGTGATGTGCTTTTACAATTGATCGACGACTTTTTGGATTTCAGCAAGCTTGCTTCGGGTAGCTTTTCCATCAGCAACGACATTATAAGCGTGAAAGATGTTATTCAATCCGTGTTTCGAGCACATCAGACCTGTCACAGCCCCGACGTCGAATTGGAGATCGAATTGGACGACAATCTACCAAGCTCCGCCGAAGGAGACTCTTTGCGTTATCGGCAAATAATCCAGAACCTTTTGTCAAATGCAACCAAATTTACCGAGAAAGGCTACGTACGCATTGTAGCTCGCCTGCAAAAAGAAGACGACGACTATTCCACTATCCTGACCGAAGTGATAGACTCTGGTATTGGTGTGCCAGCAAGCGGTTCACAATCTTTATTCACCCCGTTCACGCAAATTGACAACTCCGCCACTAAGAGATACAAAGGCACAGGACTAGGTCTGAGTATCTGCAAATCTTTGGCAGAACTCATGGGCGGGAACATTGGCTTTCATCCTAATCCTGAAGGTCCTGGCAGTGTATTCTGGTTCACTGCCAAGCTTAAGAAATGTAAACAGCTGAAGGCTCTCGAAGTTCTCCAAGAAGGTATGGCCGGATTAAAGATCCCATCACCCGCAGTGGTCGACCCCATGGAATCACTGAGGACGGTGGCTGCCGACAAACGCCTTTTACTTGCGGAAGACAATGTTATCAATCGGAAGGTCATGACACGGATGCTCGCAGGTCTGGGGTTTGAGAATGTAGATACGGCATCGGATGGTAAAGAAGCAGTGACTAAAGCTATAGAAGGACCAGGATACGACCTGATTTTGATGGACGTCAACATGCCTATCCAGGATGGTCTCAGCGCTACCAAAGATATTCGAGCGAAAGGGCTACAGGTGCCAATCATAGCTATGACAGCAAATGCACTCAAGGGACAAGCCGAATCTTACGTTGCTAAAGGCATGACGGGATACATCGCCAAACCAGTCGATAGGAGTCTTTTGGTGAAGCTATTGCTCGGATGTTTGTAACAGCTCGCTGCCGGTTGAAGCAGTAAGAAGAAGAAGAAGAAGAAGAAGAAGAAGAAGAAGAAGAAGAAGAAGAAGAAGAACCACTTGTAAATCACGGGTGTCAGTACACTAAGGCTCGGCGTTATGCACATAAGCAGCGTTGTGGGACACGACCGGCGCACTACGATGATTCGGACGATGGGGAATGCCGGTAGCATCCACTACCAGTAAGACGACTGTGGCCTGCATATCGAGGCTCACTCCACTCACCGATCAATTCCCAGGCTGCACGGCGAAGTTGGCACTGCCTAACCGATCTGCAAAACGACAGAGATGATACTCCAACATCCAAAATTGCATATCCGTCTGGTGTAGCTATACATGGGTCTCAATCCAGACGTAGCTTGGAAACTTCCCTGCTGTCTTTCGGATTCCAAGATGAGAGGCGTCTGATGCGACTGCCTTTACGTGTGCGGCGCCGTGCCTACGCCAACCGGCAGCCCCGCTGAGAAGCTCTCCAATCGTACATACCAATAGTTTCGCGGAATACTCCTCTTCATCGCCAGATGCTTTTCAAGACGCTACAGATCGTCTGACAAAATCGTAGTGTCGACGCAAGCATATACTTAGTGCATGTGTCTGACGTTGTTAGATCCAACGGTTATAGAGCCCCTCTTTACTGGGGTTACAGTCCGCACCGGGCTTACCTGATTTCTCTCACCGCCTATACCTGTTGTTCTTTCTCTTACGCAACGTCTTTTGTTACACCAAACAACGTATGTAGCTATAGTTATCGACTTCTATAAGCCCTCAATGATCGGCTCGTAGCGACTTGTAAAAGTGGAAAGAACGTTGTAGGCCAAGCCGTTGCCTGCTTTTTGATCATACGAATCCTATCGCCGTGGCTACATCCAGTTCATACTAACAAGTCGAAAGCGTATTAGAGATCGGAGTATTGTGTACAGGTGGGGCGTTCATGCAGGGATATAATACATCGGGAGCGCGGGTAACTCCGCCTCGCACTCCACACATCTTCAGCCTGCATCAGTTTGCTCACAGTACAGTGGACGCTCTATGTGCAGATACGATGAAATACTTGTGAACTCACACCTGCACGAAGATCTGCGCCTTGTTGCGTGTTGCCCAAATGTCCATTGTCGACATCCAGTACTGAGTACGAGTACCATGCAGGTGGTTGTGCATATACAGCGTACCAGACAGCTTACGCATCTCTCTACCAAAGGACGAACGTCGCATTACAACGTGCTCACTGGAATCTCGTACCAACTAGGAATAGTACGGGCACCTATTGGTCAGTTAAACTTTTGTTTCGCCCCTCCGCATACTCCAAAGCGCTTTTGTGTCAATAAATTAAGAAGCATTTTAGAATTGTATCGGTGGTAAACACGAATATGCTACTACTAGAAGTAATGCATGACATGTATTTCTAATCTTTCTTCAGGGCAACAAAGACACGAGGCTCCTTACAAGCTCTACCAGTTTGCAGACAACACCAAGTGTGAGATATGGAATGGCGCGAACGCAGCAACTGGAGCATGGTGGTATTAGAGCTTGTTGACGGCCAAGCTGCCACTTATCCTGACGTCGGGAAGGCTCCCAAGCCTTGATGCAGGCTGATTGGAAAGTCTCGTGAGCGCTTGGGTCAATTCCAGCGGTCGTGATGAGGTCAGAACTATAGAATGCACGTTGGCATTCTCATTGTCCTGGCAAGGGCTATGAGAAGCTAAGACACTCTTTTAAACAGTAGGGAGCTCTAGAATAGACAACTCAACATCTGTCTTAGGAAAAACGATTGATAAACATGGACAGTGTGTTTTGAAAGTGAGCGGATGAGCGAACTATAGGAGGCTACCTACGCACGGACTGTAGAACACGAACTGTGCCTCTACCGGCCCCCAAAGGAACCACTTCGGCCCTCTGTCGCGCCAGAGAACACTACACAGTAGATCTGAGCGTATGAACATTACTTATCAACAACAATCATCTATCGCATGGAACACGGGTCATTTCATGTCTTACATTCTCTCCGTCCAATCAACATCACTAAGAAGTCTCACGTTGCATCGAGAAGCTTGATAATTGGACGCTCACTACGACACGAAGCCATCCTAGTGGTCTTGGGTACTTCGCCCCGTCGCAATATATTTTGTGCCCCAAACTGGTGTAGGAGCTGCTCTCTTCCCTCACCTGAGGGTGGCTGAGCGTCATCGCTAACCCTTGCTGCAGATACCCCTCGCCGTTAGGCTTCGATGGTTGACAGGCACGAACTCCCCACGAATATGGCACAGTACTCCTCAATACTGCGCCGATAGAATTCGATTATATGTTTACCTGCTAGATAAAGTTGGCATGGAGTTCCCACATTTGCTGCACCTTACCGTGGAAGCCGACCCAGATAAGCATCGTCATTAGAACTACAGCCTCTTAGCACCATTGCAATGGTCTTGTCTTGATACGACTTCCGACCTTTCACGAACGCCAGGTCGGTGTTCCTGCAGCTAGCTTTATTGCTCAGTCCAGAGGCTAAGCACATGCAGGCATACATCTACTCACAAGGGTGTGATCGTCTTACTCTATCGACTCAGCCTCGCTACTACTTTGTTTGCATACGGAAGCCCTCACCGGTGTTCCCATGGTGGGGAGACCCCCCAAAAATGTTTAATATTTGGCAGAAACACAGCAGCAGCTCGACCATATCATACACTCTGCTTTTGCTTTGTTTTGATTCCATGTGACACTTTCCCTATGGCTGGAGCTAGCAAGCTAGAATCAAGATTTTACGTGATTCTAGACAACGATCAGTTCAGTGTGTCTGCCTGGGTCGGAAGAACAGTTTGATACAACGCTATCATGGAGAGCCCTAGACAAGTTGAAGTCAGTTTGATGGACAGGCAAGAGGTCCACGATGATAGTCTTTCCGTGCGATTCGATGCGCGTCTAATCCCAAACCCGCTGCCATCGCCAGCACCCAGACCGGTAGCAGAAAATCATGGTCCACGGAGATTTCCTAATTGGGAAGCGCGTCGCATTCATACGTGGAAAACTCCACTTCTCATGGTTCTGTTTTTCCTTGTTGGCTTAGCAATGAGCATGGCACATTGCATCTTTTACCCGAAACTCAAAGATCAGGTGGTTGGGAAAGCCGACCAGCAAGAGGAGAAGATAAGGTAGTATAGTGTTATCACAAATGTCCTGCAGTTGACTGATGGCGTCAGATTTGGCACTGGCTTTGCCTTCCTCGCCCAGATATGCCTAGGGGCAAGTGTGTGGACTGCGTACACTCAGTGGCTATGGAGGACCCTCATGAAGAAGGACGTGACTTTCGAAGTCCTAAATTCAGCTTTTGGAGCTGAAACATCGATACTGTCTTTACTCAACGTCAACATGTGGAAGAGGCTGAAGGTAGGATCAATAATCGCATTCCTCGCATGGTAAGTGACTCGCTCTACCTGCTGAGCTTTTTTTTTGACGTGTATTCAGGGGACTATTGATACCGCCATTCTTTACACCTGCGACTTTGTACATATTCGAAAGCACCCAAGTTGTACACATCAATGCAGCTATGCCGTACCCGTCCATCGCAAATGTAAGCGCAGCGCATTTGTTTACCTATTCGCCACCTTCTATACGCGGAACAAAACAATACGAAAACGATGTGAATCGAATTTTCACTGGACCAAGGACCGTCATGAACCTGTTGGCTACTGCCACGTCGTCTCTCGGCGAGATACTACCACTAGACTTGCCTTTCAACAATTCAGCCTATTCCATCAATTTCTACGCTCCTGTCATCAGGTGTGGGGATGCTAACGATACGGAAAGATATGCCATAGACGGTCTTCTGAGGGAAGAGATGAATGTCACACGGGGTACACTAAATGAAACGGCTAGTGCATATTTCAGTTTCGTTCCCACCTACAACAGCAACGGGAGTCTTACAGCAGTGTCGCACCCTCGTCGACAAATACCTTCAACACCGATGAATGAACTCTGGATGACATTTCTGCGACCTGAGATTGACGGCCAGGGCGAGCGAATCAAGACTCGTCATTATCAAATCTGTCGCCCGCACAACGCATCTTACAATCTGGAAATATCGCAGTATCATGGCCTCCAGAATGTTTCGGCCAAGTACGAAGTCGGCGAAACGATTCCTTTCCCGAATGAGAAGCCGAACGAGATCTCAAACATGACCCAACACGCATATACAGCATTCATGTGGGCTGTGTGCGATCAACTTGTTGGGAAGCTTGCATGGATGGATGATACGAGTATCAAAGATGAGCAGCAAGCAACAGCTCAGTTTGGTATCATTGACTCGCCCATTCAGCACACCAGTTTGCTGGGGTCCGTCGACTTGGATGCGTACTTCGAATTTGACGAAGAGAAAGAATTGTACAAAGATCAAAACATGTCGACAGCATTCGATTTGAGTGATCAACGACTGAAGGACAAAGCCATGGCGAGAAATCGGACACTAGATGTCTTGATAGAAGAGTTGAGCTCCAACCTGACAGTCAGCATGATGCACAACCGCCTACTAACGTAAGTAGAGCGCCATTTCCCAAGCAGTGCAAATACTGATTCGTCTAGGGATATGGCCAACACGACCGTCAAGCTTACCACCGACGTAAACCGCTACAACTATAAGGCCTATGGCTTGTTTGTCCCCTATGCTCTCGCTAATGCGTTCGCCCTTGTCTGCGTCATCCTTGGGTTAACATCATATGTCCGCGATGGTGCCATGCCAGGAAAGAAAGTGCAGGATTACTTGCAAGCTATGCATGATCCGAGGTTCCAAGGCAGTCCTGCTCAAAACTGCAGAACACCGAGCTTGAGTGCTGTTTCTGGTTCACTCATTCCCCTCAATTCTGTAGCTTCATCTGAAGGTTCAGGAGAAGGGAGAAGCAATGAAAGAGCAAGAGGTTCTCAAAATACAAGGTCATCGAGTGATATGAGCAGAGTCGAGAGTGTTGAGATCGTATGAAGAACGCGAAATTTCAATCACCACTTGAATGTATCGTAGTCGTGTTCACCACGCACACCTTCTTGCATGTAAATCCACTAGTCCGATCATAGCGTATACGTGCCACTGTACACACTCTGCATTTACGTGTCGACATTCTCTGATGGCTATCTTCTGATCGAGTATCTGGCCGACGCCGCTTTCCAATCGCAAGGTCCAGAAAGCGAGCTCAATAAGCCTCCTGCAACCTGTATGCTCACCAACCTTGACTTCGACAAATCACGGCTTGATCTAGGCTAGGAGCGGAAGGTCGCGGAAACTATACATCCCACGCGGTGTCAGCGCGATGGGCCGTAGACATGCATGCATCTTGCTTAAGCGACTGCGGCCCGCGTTTTCAGCTCGATGTTCACCCACATTGTCGTTGCCACGTTCCTGTAGCGAGAGTCTTTCTACTGATGGCACTGGTTCAGTAGTTCCTTAATCGTGGAATTTGTTGGGACGATGACCATTGTTGGTGTAGATGTGGCGACAGGAACTGAGTTGGTTCACTGGCTGTAATTCTGGTGAGCAGCCACGTGCACAGGTAGGTCAGTATACCAATGAGCTCAGTTTTATCCATGTCAGCTTATACATAGCCAAGGGTATGACAGATGGACGCAAATGCTGCGTAGAATCAAGAGTGGTTGTGGTGGTGATGTGTATGTAACTCATGTACCAAATGAAGCCAGATGAATGCTGCATGGAGTTATCATTTCCGAGCTGAAGTTTTAATAGCCAGTTCTGACGATTGGGAACCAGCACATGTAGGCCGGAGTAGAAGTGCGAGTGCTGTAGGCTAAGGTGACCGCGAGTCAGTCTTCCGTCTTATGTGCGAATGACCCTCCCTTCCATCATCCACCAACATAAGTGCATGAACCAAGGTTTCCTCGGCAGAAAGTATTGGTCTTGAGAGACGAGTGATCCACCACCATTGTCGCGTACGAGACACTGCATGTTGAGGCCAGATCGCATCTCTTTCTACGCCGTGGGATACCTGCATGTCCCGACCCACCCTTCAGTTAGCGAGGCATAGAATCGAGATTCTTGGGTTCTCAATAGACCTCACAAGACTCTACGAAGCGGCTTGGAAGTGTGTGACCTCAACGCTAACAGTTGGTGGCGGAGTGGGCCGACCTAGGTCTTACCAGATACTATACCAATAACGCAGTGTCCAGAAACTATGTTCGACTTTGAACCAGCGCCAAAGATGTATAAAGAGCAGACTTGACATCTCACATGTCTCCTCATCAGCCCTTTTCACTACTCCAGTCCCACATCGATCTCTTCTATATCTCATCCTCGACCAGCATTCACGATGCAACTCACAAACATCCTTGGTCTTATCGCCGTCCTTGCGGCCACGAGCGCAAATGCTCTACCCAACCCCTCCACCATCGTAGAGCGCCAGTCACCCGGCATCGGCATAATCCGTTTCTACGCGGGTTCCGGCTGCGAAGAGCCATGGCTAGAGGACACTGTCTTCTTCCAGGGTGACAAGTGTCTCAGCAATGAGTACACAGCACCGTATGGTAGCTTCAGGGTAGAATCAAACGGATTCACTAGGACAGGTATGTAACAGCGTCCTTGTGAAGATTGGGCAGCAAGCTAATGTGAGGAACAGCCCGCTTCTTCGTTAACCCAGTCTGCAATGGCTTTGGACCTGGAAATTACATTGACGTTCTTCCCGGAGAGACTAAGTGCTTTGCTGGCAAGGTGACTTCGTATAGCTTCCTGTAGATGCAATACCAGGGGGCGGTGGATCGTGAGGAAATCATGAGAGGGTGCGCGATGCAGGGCGAGAGAGGTTGGCAGAGGGATGTGAGATGCTACATGAATTAGCTGTAGGTGTGCCTGTCGCTCATTAATGATTCAAATTTGTTTGAGAAACCACGTCCCCTTATTCTCTTGTACTGGGTGTTGCACTGCTCGACATAGAGGAACATGGTTCGTCTTGCTAGTCTTTTGATCAATGGCAAATGATATTTCCTCTGTTGTATCCTGCTTGGGTATCTATTCCTTCTCCTGCAAGAACTCCACAACCGCTGTGAGGTGTTAGCAGAGTTCAAGATAGGATCAACATATGCCTGCATACCTTTGATGAACTCCTCGGGCTTCTCACTGATGACCCAGTGTCCGCAATCTATGTCGACCAACTCAAACCTTGGGAAGAAACGACCGATGATCGGAAGCGTCTCGTCGCTAACATAGTGGCTCTTGGTGCCTCGAATGAAGAGCGCTCTCTTGCTGAACGACGTCTCGTCCGGGTTGGTGAAGGGGAAGTCTGCCATATTGTCGAGCGCCTTGGTGAGAATGCTCACAGGTATGCGGAACTTGAGAGGTGTGCCCGGTTCGCCTCTCATGAGGTTAGTCAACAGGAACTGGCGAACTGGAAGGTCCTTTGCGTAAGGCTCCATAAGCTTATCGGCCTCTCTTTGACTCTTAGGCTGCGACTTCTCGACGTGCTGCATGCCTTCTGCGTACTTTGGGAAGTCGCTCGATAAAGCCGCATCGACTGGTGCATTGTCCACGGGTATGATGTTGGCGCAGCAGTCTGGGTTCCTGAGAGCCATGGTCATGACTGCCTTTGCTCCCATCGAGTGTCCTATGAGCGTCGCATTCTTCAGCTCGTGCTTCTCGAGGAAGGCTTCTACGTCTTCGGCGAGCGCGGTGTAGTTGTGGACCTTATCGTGCGGGGATTCGCCGTGGTTTCGTGTATCGATGGCATATACGGGCCGCTTGAGGACGCGCGCAAGTGCACTGGAAGCGTCGTGTTAGTCACAATCCAGAAAAAAAGGTCTCAGGGTCGAGTCGTACTTTCCAACGCCTTGGTTGTTCCTCTTGCTCCCGAACAAGCCATGGACAATCACAATCGGATCTCCATCGGCCTTGCCAGAGTCATCATGAAGCCGGTACGCAAGGTCGACGACTCTCAAATTCGCCGATGCGTGGAATGACCGCGTCCATGTCGGCGCTAGAGTCGCATTCGAAATCCGAATGCGATTGCTATGTTTTGGAAGAGTAAAAGCTGCCGAGAGAGGTTGTATGCTTCTGGTTAACACGCGCATGTTGAAAAGTTGACGATCGTGAATTTCGGAAAGCTTCCGAACTTTTTGTTTCGCCAAGCCGAACGTCATGCCGCATCTTGCCGGTCTGAGCATCTCCTTGTTGCTTCCACCCAGCAATCCCATTACTCTCTGCTTGGATTGGACAGTGTTTGTCGAACCCATTTTCAAATCAGGCGTGAGCGCCGGTTAGCGTAAGGCAGCCGTACAAGATGGGAGCCAAACATTGGCCTTGCGCAACGCCCAAGGGCTTGTGCAATGTGCTTCGACTGATAATATATTCATGGGTTCAACATTGGTACGTGTTGCTTTACAGACTCGAAAGTTACTCCCGCCGACCAATGAGGTAAGCGGTCACTCTGCATGGAATGACGAATTTGTTAAACAGAATATCTTCATATTATTCATTAAGTCTATAAAACACAGCTGAAGTACTGAAACCCGAGAAAGTACCAAATCGCTCAAATGAGATCTATGTGCGTACGCCCCCAGTTGTCTCAATAATCTTTGACATGCACAACAACTTTGCCCTTCGCCCTCCCAGTCTTCAGCTTCTCATAAGCTTTCGGTAGTTCGGAGAACTCCCAAGTCGAGTCGATAATTGCACGGAGCTTGCCTTGCTCCATATATGCCGCAAGCTGCTCAAACGTTGCAGTGCTCGGATTGCCGGCGACGAAGATGTACTCCCTCTTCCCCCAGCTGAGGAAACTAGACAATTTGTTGCTGATAAATTGCACTGCGGCACTGAAGTTCATACCGATACCTACTTGGATGAACTTGCCCTCTGGTCGTAGGAACGCGCTCGACACCCGATATAAGTCTGCTGGTGCTCCGACGTTATCAACAACCAAGTCGAAAATCGTGCCGTTGTCCTTTAGTTGTTGGACGATTGGGCCTTTCGTGTAATCTATCACCTCATCTGCTCCCAAGCTCTTGACTAAATCAATATTCTTCGTGGAAGAAGAGACAGTGACATGGTAACCGAGTATCTTTGCGAGTTGTATCGCATTTGTACCAGTACCTCCGGAACCGCCGTTTATGAAGACTTTATTGCCGGGTTTAGCATAGGGTTCCAGCGCGGCGTATACTGTCATGGCCACACTCGCAATGGATACGATGTCGTCGCCCTTCAGACCCTGCGGTACTTTTGCTAACAGATTCTGTGGTACAGGGAGGTACTCTGCCAGTGCGCCATGTTTGCCTCCCGGGGCAAGGCCTCCGTAAACTATATCGCCTTCCTTGAAGCTTGTGACACTGCTACCGACTTTTGCAACGCGGCCATAGACGTCTAGGCCTGGAGTGATACCGGAGAAGACCAAGCGCGCTACGATGGGAAGTTCAAGAATCTTGTAGTCGATTGGGTTGAGGGCTGTCGCATGGCTCTCCACGAGAACTTCGTCTTTCTTGATGGATGGAACTGGGATGCCAGAAGATGGGATTGTAAGATTTTTCTCCATTGGTCCGGGTCCGGAGTTGAATTGCCATCCGCGCATTGTGTTCGCCATTTGGTAGGTTTGAGGAATGATGTGTAGTTGAGATGGTGTAGAGGATGATAGTTATAGGTTAAGTCTCAATGAGAGATATTAGAATATGTGTTGTATGATCAGAATGTGTTTGCTGTATGTGAGTGATGATGATGATGATGGTGAAGATAATGATGTGCAAGAACGACGATGCTACCGTTGTATATATACTGGGTTACACACTACCATGCAGGCAATTTCGCCCTCGTAGCATAGAGTTTGGAGGATCATAGCCTCGCGTGAAGTGGCAGAAGCGAGCAGGGCGAGCTTGGTCATCCCCATGATTGTCAACTGAAAAGGCGTCAAGCACCGAAGCCGAGCGACGATAAGATGGAGATTGCGATGACAGCTGCTGCAAGTAAGCAGCCTTGTCGTCGGGCGCTCGCGAGAGCGAGGGGAAATCTCACGTAAGACCAACGGTGACAAATGGTCGATGCTGATAACGCTAGTCGAATCCGGTTAGAGGCGGACAAATGCGGGGTTCGCGTCAGTCCGAGTAGTGTCTAGGTATTATCACACGAATGCAGAGGAAGATTGCACGATCCTTTCGTTAAATGTAATGCTCGGTTTCAGGAAAGGGACCGCGAAAATTCTCCATCAATGAAGGAATGATGAAAGGTGAATGTTGGTGCAGGTGGTTATGTAGCGTCCTATCACTACAGCGCTCAACACTGCCCGCCTGCGCAGACCAAGAAGGCTGAGCAAGCCACATAAAGGAGCTTGTCCAATCTTTCGCCTCAGAAGACCTTTTTCATCCTATTCTTGCCCCGCGATCATGCAAGACGACAGGACACTCACGTTTCGAGAGATCCATGGAAGCAGTGAAGCTCTTCTTGCCGCAGTCGAAGAGGTTGAGCGCATTGCACTGATAGAAAGCAACGACACAAGCCCATTCTGTTTTCGTCTACTGGAATTCTACCCGCGAGGTGGATCCGAGTATGATTTCATCCTCACGCCCACTCATGACTACGAAAGAAGTGCGTTGAGCAATTACCTTACGGTGTCTTATGTATGGGCGTACGAACAGCCTCTTGACGGGACAAAGATCCCCGCTTATCGCATTTGGGACGGTACCAATCTACACAAGCCACCTCGACCCCTCAGAAGCCCTTCGATCGTCTTCCATCGTGTTGTACAGTTTGCTCGATCTCAGAATATCCGGCGAATTTGGCTAGACCAAGAGTGCATCAATCAAGAAGATCCGACTGATATAGAAAGACATCTGCAGGACATGAACAGAATTTATCAATTCAGTCGATTGACCGTGGCTGTGCTCTCTAAAGCTGTTGAAAACTGGGCGATGGCGGTGAGATGTCTGAATCTCGGATGGACCAGCGACGAGCAAGATTTCGAATTGCTGCAATATATGACTCAAGATCCGTGGTTCACTAGATCTTGGTGAGACATATATACACCATTCATCTACAAGCGAGAATGATTTTGTTGACTCTCGTCAGGACGTTTCATGAACAACAATGCGCCGACGATGTCGTTTACCTGCTGCCTATACAACCGTCACTAAAGAGCAAGCTTGCTGAAGTTGCGCCACATGTGGTTTTCGATCATGATGCCGTTATAGACCATGATATGGTCTATTATCGCCTTGCTTCGCCAACGAAGCATGGCAAAAATGACCCACTGCTCCAACCATACTTCTTGAGACATAGTCAAGGCGGCTGGATGTCTGAGAACATTCCTGGTACTATTGATACCGTCTACAAGAAGATACAGGGACGCTATAATCGTGTTTTATCAGATCGCATCCAAATTCTAGCCAATGTCTGCGGTCTTCAGTGGAAGCTCAAGACAACGTTGCTGAACAACCCGGCGCTGAGTTTCAGCACATCGCTCTTGGTGTTGGTCATGGCAAATACATGGCCAGATCTGGTCGCTCGAGCGCACCAATACCAAGAACTGGAACACTACCTTATGGAGAGAAGTATTGGGATGCTTATGCAAGAAGTAACTCGTAAGAAGTATGCACAAGACGCTGCTGCACTTGAATGGCCTTTAGTTCTAGGTCTCATATCGGATTCAACTGTATGAATATTCGTATTCCTTGTTTCGAACGTCTCAGATGGGTTTGGTACTCAGACAGGAAAGCTGCATAGCTCGGAGTAATCCTTAATCTGATCGAGGGATTAATACGCATGGTACTCGTATACCGAGACAGGAAGCCCCTAGCCATCTATCAAGAAATATCCCACGCCACTGAGTTTCATCACCACGATATCTGTAATGACAAGAGCAATCGTCATTCTGATCCAGATCCTCGTCGAGAAGGCTTCGGTGTTATCTCTTCTGTGTTGCTCAGAAACGCAGTCTTACTAATAATCGTTAGAGAACTCGTCGTTCAAAAACCCTTTGTCACAGCAACAGTGTACAGGAGTTCTCTGCCCTCTGAATCGTTCTGTAGGTGTCTGGAAGATCTGACTCACTCAGAATGAGTGAATATCCGTTGAAAGCATACCGTATGGGGTATGACTGATTTATACGGAGTCGAAAAAGTTGGCTCATTTGAAAGGCGAAAGTCAGCTTGGAGGAACTTGATGAGCTGGCTATATCAAGCTTTTTTACGCCTGAAATTGAGTCGGACGTATTTCATAAAGGAGTTCTTCATTCTTCCAACCCCTAAATGGGTATCTGAAAGAGTTGTATCGTTTATACTACGCCGGGGTTCGAAAGGCTAACACGAGGATACGGTTTCAGAATTGAAAAGCAAAGAAGTGCGATCCAGCGAAGCGCGTTTCAGCGAAGTATGATTCAGCGAAGTGCGATACAAAGAAGTGCGATCAGAAGAAGTCGTACGAAAGCTCGGAGGTCCCCGATTGGGGCGATGGCTGTCGTAGTGAGAACGTTCGCCCATTGATTCGAGGCTCACACGTCGAGACACGGTGCGAAATCGTGCTTTGTAAGAGCCCCTGACTCTGTCTACATCTACTCGGTGTTCATGGTACTTCTCGATGTAGGATTCGTATGCATAGCGTTCGGTACAAAGTTTACCGTCGGCACCGTCGACACTGATCTGTCGGGCTAAGTATGACAACAGAATGCCAACCGGTGCATCCATGAAGTCATTTGATAACTCCTTGTATCTTTTCTGTCGTTTCTTCTGATCAGGCCAGACATTTGCGAATATCAGAACCACCAGACATGTGCTGTAACTATATTGAGGATGATCAAGCTTTGTTGATGCTAGCCTGTGGGCAAGGTCGCAGATGTTCGCTAGGATTGCAAGCTGGCACAGAATTCTCACACTGCTCCATCTGCTCGTAGAAGTCGACAATGCTTTCAAGTATCAATCTCCTGGGCGCCGGCCTCGACCTGCTGTTATTCATATGATTCGTCATCTCTATCTGCTTCTCCACTGACACCGCGCAAGTGATAGAGGTCCATCCTGCGATAGTCTACATCCTTGCTATATCGATACATAGATCTTCGTAGACAGTCGATTCTGCAGAGGTTTGAGCTGTGATAGGAAGGTGTAGTTCTACGTGCTCTGCGCTGAGCTTCTCTTGGAAAGCCCACGTGCGAGAAAACCATCTATCATCAGACACATCGCAAAACCACTTTCGGAAGGCAATGTGCTGAATAGATTGATCCGTGGGTTCGCAAGAGGTAGATTCCAGTAATGACTTAAAGTGACCAATGGTATGCAAGTCGATTCGACCACTGCTTGTAGCTAGAACGGCAATGGTAACTTTGCTGTTGGAATAGATGCGATGCATAACTTGCAAATGCCTCTCAACATCTGTTGGGTCATCCTGGTGTATACACTCTTGGTCAATCCATACGTTTGTGTAGCCTCGCGTGCGCGCGTATTGCACCGCTCTGTGGAAAACTATAGGCGGACATCGCGGTGGTCGTGGAACGTTTGCATTATCGGAGAGATCCTTGATTCGATAATCCGGGACTGTCAAGCCTTCCGAAGACTGCTCGAGCAACCACGTATATGAGACAGCAACATAAACGCTCCCAGTTCGATGTGTACTGGCATCTGTAATGACATAGTCGTGGTCAGTCTTGCTATCGGGGCATGGTGTAATGAATCGGAGGCGGATAGGTACATGGAATGGTCGTTCAATGAGGGCGACGCGTTCGATTTATTCAACGGCAGCCAGGAATGCGTCCTCACTTCCGTGGATCTCCCGAAAACTCAGATCTGTATCTTTCTGCATCATGGGGTGGTGTGTAGACAGGAAAGTGCGCAGGCGGTAAGGTCTGGGGTCTTGTGCGCCTATTCTTACTCAGCCCCCAAATCTACGTGTCTTTCCCAGCCCCGCATGTGATTGGACGCCACTCCAGTTTTCAAATTACATACCAAAGCTTTCGAGCCAGGACATTTTCGATCATCAGGACCCATTAATGGCCTATGGGTTCGTTCAGGAAATGAGATCGTGGAGCCCGCAGTTGGCGATGCACGTCAATGTTCTGGAGTTAGATTATTCGGTCACCGATCCTTGAATGAATATTAGGTTTGAGAAACACGCTGCTATATCAGATGCGTATGTACGCATATAGGAAATCCATTGAATTAATCCTGATCCGTTGGCGCCGGCGCAAAACAAAGGTATAAGATAACAAACTTGTAGGGCTTGACATAACCTCGTCAGTACTGTCCCCCCAAGATCCTAAGCTGAAAATCACTCTTTGTGAGACATGATACTCATTTCTTGGTCAGGATCCCACTCAGCGCACCTTCGGCGGCCTTCTTCAGCAACTCCCGATCCTCGTCACTCATATGGTCCACCTTCTCCACAAGCAACTTCTTTAAGAACATGTTCTCTTTCTTTAACCCATCATTCTCAGCTTCGAGCTTCTTGGTTCGATCTTGCATTTCGCGACTAGTCTCCATGAGTTGCATCTCACGCTGCTTTTTCTTCTGACGGAAACGTGCGGATGCGGCTTGGTTACGTTTTCGCTTATCTTCTTCCGCCTCGACGACAACCGGATCGTTGAGGAGACTTGCGTGGGTGGGGTCGGGTGATGTGGCTGAAGATGTGGATGTCGCGTTACTGTCGGGGTATGGCGTGCGATAGGCGTTGATGCTAAAGCCTTGCGTAACAGGTGAGAAGCCCTGGAGATCATCGAAGCCAATCTGAAGTGTAGAGTCGTGCTCGAAATGTTGCGGGATGTGTCCGGTCATGGTCGGCATTGTGGGCGAGGTGTATTGCAGGCCTCGAGATGATGTTAGTGACCATGGTATGCGGGGAACAGAAAACAACACAGAATACGCGGTGATCGCTGCGTATTTGATCGATGGAAACCCTCGATGCAACAGCAGGCGTCTGTGCACAACTTGCATACACACCTCCCTAGGCGGGTATGCAGTTGTCGCAAGTCCCGTCGGCGCAATCGATCACGTGCAGCTAGCGAGAGCACGCCATTCCATCCTGAACAAACGTCATCTAGTCCCGACAACTCAGAGACACGGGAATTACGTCCACAGGCAGCAAACGGGCCTAAAGGGAGGTACAAAGAACTCGTTGAGGATGAAGTACGTAGAATATGATGAAATGAAGATAAATAGAGGGGTCGCGCTTACCTGGAGCCGACACACCGCTGACGTGCAATGCATACGCAAAGTGCTGATTTTGCGCGATATCGTTTTGGGTAGGAATTTGCAGTGGTTGTAAGTGCTGTCCACCGGGATGATATTCGTGATCGTGATAGAGATTGGAGGCGTCGAGGATGTCGAAGAGATCATGTCCAGAGGAACTCCCACTCGCATGTCCGTCGGTGAAGGTCGGCTGCCCAAAAGCTTGCTGACGATAAGTTTCCGACATTACTCTCCATCGGCAACATGCGTTCTCGCGCAATCGCGTCTTTCCTTTTGTCGGTCGTGTCCTGATCGTCAGTCTCAAGGTCTGGGTGTATGTTCGTTGTTGAGCTTCGCGCCGGCCTTTTTGGGGGTCGAGGATTGACGTTCCTCCCTGCAGGAGCGGCGATGGTGTGCCGCCCTATAAGAACCACACAAATGCCCACCAGCATGCGCTTGTGGGAAGCGCACCCCACTGCAAGAATCGCCTTCTGGCAGCCATGGAAATGGCGATCGCGTCTGATTGCGCCATATTTCTGATACGATTGCAAAAGCCCTCCACGCTTTTACCTAAATCGCGCCGCAGAAAAGCGTCGGATTGCAGTGCGCAATATTCCCGGGCTCACCTCGTGTGCCCAGAATCATGACGACCGGTGCTTCGGTGGGGCGGGTAATGCATGAGGCGTCAGTGGGTTGCAGTGAGCTCGCAGCAATGTTCAACCCGGGGCGTTGGGCAAGGTCCAGGCTTCGTACAACACAGTCCTGTTTTGCCTTCCGTTGACGCACTACGGCCAGCAGTCTCTGCGGCACATTGTTTGTTTCTCTCCAGTCTCTTCTTGTTCTACGATGTGTCTGAGACATTGGTCGATATATGTCCGAGTAGCGAGCACATAGCTGTGTCAGATGTGTCGTCAACACACAATGTCAGCGCTGTTTGCAATGCTAAGAGTATAAAAGGGTATTGCCAGGCTGTTCCGAGACTGGAATAGGACGTTTGCGCCATATGAAGAACTGAGAAGACAACATATATCCCAACATGAAGACGCAGACACACTATGCGAAACTCGGGCTGGCCCCAAATGCGCCTCGGGAAGTGATATTAGCAGCGTACGAAGCGCTGGCGTTAAAATACCATCCCGAGAAGACCCTTGAGCTAACTGCGGATGAACGTGCTGCGCATGCCACAGCGTTTAGTGATCTTCAAGAGGCTTTTGGCGTATTGAATGACGATGTCCATAAGGCCGCCTACGATGCTGCACTGGCCAGGGATGAAAGCGAAGTCGTTGACGAAGTGTCTGCCTTCCAATATCATACACAGCCTATGCTCACGATGCAAGAACGGTACAGCTCGATGCGCCTCCTCGCACGTCAACAGCTCGGGCACTGGAGAGTTCTACGCGAAAAGCGACGGGTGGCGGGGGCATGCTTGAGCGTAGCTGACTTTGAGAGTCTAGTGAAGGTCTGGGAGGATCTCGAGAACGAAAATACAACCGATCCCCCGATGAAGGCTCGATGTGCTATTCTTGCTCACGAATACTCGGTGGAGGTCGATATTCGCGGGCGTGACCATGAAAACTCATTGAAGAAAGCGTCAAGATCTGGTCGCACACCGACATTACTCACAACGCCGGTCGCTGTGAATCATCGTCCAGTGACGACAAACGCGCCCATGGAATCTACCACGGCCGTACCTGCACCGTCGCCGAAGACATCGGACGTGGCCGCACGATGTACCCACTCTGACATCTCGCTTATGCCTACGCCATTCTCTCGCTTGAAGGCGCGAGCCGACGAGCGTAAAAGGGCCGAAGAAAAGCGGGCTGAGGAAGCTAAGGCCCGAGCCCAAGCACGCAAGGAAAGAAAAGTTCAAATCGAGGTAGCCAAGCAAATCCAGCTTGAAGAAAAAGCTGCCTTTGTCCGCGCCGAGAAAGAGAAGCAGAAAGCGATGGCTGAGGATCGAGCCCGTCTGAAGGCTGAACATATAGCAAAAGTTCGGGCCAAGGTGCGCGGAGCATCGATTGGCATTGATACGGTCGATGATGAACTTTATCGCTTCGGGGTACAAGAGGAGTCGTTATCGCATGGGAGTGATGCCTCCAACGAAGGTATGTAGGGAGAACCCAAGCTGTAAGCAGACAGATGTTCTGGTAAGTGTGACCTCAAACATGAGCACTGCCGTTGGTAGATGCACTGAAGACTGCGAACAATAACACTTGATGCAAACGCATCAAAGTAGTTTCGGTGAACGGGTTGCAATGGGCTATACCGTGTATCGCATAGTGACGCGTATGCCATGGACGTGATTCTCCCAACCTCGTCTCTAATTCATGAATTAGTCAATGGAAACGACGTCCACATAGATAGGCTCACCTTGGCTCTCGCCCACACACAGATCCAATCACCATGTCTCAGTGAATCGATGAAATCGTCGCCACGGCCAGCACCTTCGTTGCCTTCCCACGTTGGATTATCCTTACAACCCCAGACAACGCGGTACCGGCGAATGTAATCGCCTTCGAAGATTGAAACAGCTCTTGCGACCTCGTTCCCTTGCAAGTACCAAGCGTGTTGTCCTTCGATACCCATTGGGCGTGAAGGATCGTCATGCAAGAACGTCATGGCCTGCATCTCATCGCAGTGCAACCTCTGCGACTCTGTTGTCGAAGAAGGGCGCAGCGCATTTCTGAAGCCAAGGTTACCGCACATATCATCTATCACGGTGTGGATGTTGCTTTTTGGATAATCGTGGTCGGCGAAGCTATCAGCCACCATATCATTTATCATGTAGTCCTGCGGAGAAGACGGGCGCACGATAGAGACCTCAAACCAAGACGAGGTGTCGAACGTGCCGATGGTATCTTCTGTAGTCCAACCTTGGTCGTGACTGACGATTAAAAACTCGATTTCTCGGAGTTTGCTTGTTTCGCGATGCGCGATTTCGGGCCTGTCAATTACTATCCTCAACATGGGCAGCGCAGCGGAGAAATCGTCGGAGAAGTCCTCGTCAAGGAGTACTGTGATCTGGTCATTGACGTGTTTGACTTCGACCCAGTAACGGGCTTTATCCAGGATATCGAGAACGAGTTCATTTGGGAGACCTAGGCGGTAATGGAGGAGGGCACGGGTGCGATGAACATCACGACGGCGGGGCGCGAAGGGCATCATAGGGCTTTATCAGTTGGCGCTTTCGGTCGGTCGCAGCGCAGTGCGATTAAGCTTGAGAGAGTAAAGAGGGTCGTGTTGGCATGTGTGCGAGCGCACCCAATGGCAGATGGGCTAGTCGAGAAACCGGTTTAGTGTCGCCCGCAAATTTGCCCCGACGAACCGAGAGTTACCACGGATCGGCATGCATGACAGTTGTCATTCGGCCCTGCTGCCCTTGTTTAGCTGGATTCTTATTTGGACTTCAAAGGAGCAAGTTGAAGGAGGAAGTTTGTTGGTACTACATATTCGCCAGTTGTTGTGGTCGCCATGCTGCGCGTAAGGGAGCTTCGGTGACTCACCGGAAGAATCGCATGGACCACGTTACAACGCAGTATCTCCGAAACACATCGGATTGTGTGCTTCCTTTCTTATACGCTAAGTGACCATATACCATATGTAACGTGTCGTGGAATACATTGCGCCAGCCTTGGCCGAGTCGGCAGACGCGACAAAGTAACAAATCAGGGGATGATCCGGCGTCTCCTGCAGTCCTTATGCAGATCATCATAACAAAGCCAAAGGGTACTCACATGAATGCGCAAAGCATTCCCACCATACGCAGAATAGCGAAGAGGCTTTTAAATGTTTTCGATTCCTCCCAGAGGCATTTCTACCTGATCGTGTTTTCCAAATTCATCCATTCCAACCCATTGTTCGATTTTCGCAAAGCATGATGATCAGCATGCTTCGTGTATCTCACGAAGACAGAGGGTACAGGCTATCCTTAAAGTCGTTTTGATTGGGTTATATCTTCCAATGCCACTAAGGCCTCAATCGAAATTCTGCTTCTCTGTATACGTAAGATCGTTTCGTGCTCGCGAGAATGCATCACTAGTCAAGCTCGCCCAATCGAGGAACACGACATCCACCACGGTGGCGAACACGACGCTGAACGTAGACGGGCTGTTCAGTCGCTGAAGTCAAGGTTGCAAAGATAGGTCAGATCCTTAAAAGGAGGTCATCGAAGATAGTATCAACTTGAGGGAATCAACCGTGAAATGATTTGCCGGCGACATAGCGGATTTGAGAATACTTTGTTGTTTCGTCATGAGGCGAGGAGCATCTGGTCGGTATCGTGGTGGGGGTTTGGTAGGGTCGGTGCGTCAACTGCGTCAAATTGTTGATAACTCAGAAATCTCCAAAATCTCCACAACACAGCACCCAGAGAGGACGCGTGAATAGCTCTTGGTCTCAGATACGACAGAAACATCACTATGCTCTCGACCACACCATGGGCTTCGAATCCTTCTCTTGCGTCAATCTCGCATACTCATACGGCTATTTCCGCAGTCGCCGCGCTTCCTTCTGGACGGGCAGTACTCTCGTGCTTTCACGGGCTTTCGTTGTCGTCGATCAGCTCCGCCTCGTTCCAACTCCTCTTCCCTCAACCCGGCGCCATTGTGAATCCAAGAAGCGTCCGACAAAATGGCTGCAATTCCCAGTAGCAACTTTCGCAGTACAAAATCTCCTATAGATAGATTACTAACACCTTCCGAGTCTTTCAATCGCGCTTCCTCCCATCATTGATTCGATAAAGACAACTCAACCGACCCCCGCAAACGATCGTCATACCAACCTCCACTGAGATGTCGCAGAACGAGACGAATGAAGCTATACAAAAACGATGGGAAACCATGAAGCGCAAGGAGAAGGAGATGATGCGACTCTGCGACGATATCCAGGTCAAAACTCTGGCCTACTACGATAACGGCAAATCCCTGGACGATGAGCGTGCCTTCCTCGAGACGTGTGGACGTAGCTTGCACAACCAGACTCGTATACAAGATGCTTGGGACGAAGCTGTATGTACCTTTGAGGATCGAGATCCCTGAATCTTACAGTACTTGCTGCGGAAAGAACAGCGACGTACTGACTCTCTATAACAGGAAGCCTGGCTGGCATTTGCATCGGACAATTACGAGAAACTTGTAGAGCAGACTGACAAGCTCAAGAAAATTACCACCGTTCGTAAGAAGCTCCAAGAGCAGTTGGGTATCGCTCCCACGGAAGATGGATACATTGCTTATGGAAAAGTCGCTGACACGCACCGCGGTGACGGCGCGCAGAAGTACGTCAACTTTGTGCTTCTCGATCACGAGCTCGACTCGACAACCAGCGTTCGACACTACATAGCGGAAAACATGGGAGGATCTTCGCTACTTACGAATGAGGAGTGGCGGCCGCAGGTGTGGTCCGCAAGGCCTGACCGATAGGTACCAGGAAGCCCTGTCATCCATCGGCAAGCACTCTGATTCTACCTCGTACTTTCTCTTTCCACTGGCTTAAGAGCAGCACATTCGGGCCTGGCCTGTTGGTACTGGGTGAGGGGAGAACGAAGCAAGACTAGTTCATGGATAAAAAGGAGAGGCCAATCCTACCTTTGCAAGCATACGTACATAGCCGGGCTTGAGGAATATGAGGGCTACATGCCGCTATTATGTATCTTGAGTCTGAAGTGATGTTTGTGCATTTATATCTTGCAATCTATGAGACATCCGCGGTCTGCTGGAGCAGCTTCAGTGCCGACGAGATATAGACGTGACGCTGCTGAGCCTAAAAAAGGTAAACTTCGCGACCTCGAGTCGTGAAATTCTTAAGACGTCAATCGTCATATGGCAGTAGTGCTGTCCGAAGTGAGCGGATTGTAAGATACCAATACCGCATTTGGAGGATCACAACCTGCTGGTTCGTCGCAGCCTACAGCCACCCAATCTTGATCTCTAAAGTTAGCATGTTGCATCGAAGCCAAATTGCTTCATGTATCATCTAGAGCTCACGAGAGCGTGATCGTCGCAAACGTGGCTTGGGCCCAAGCAACGTAGCCAGCCCAAGTACATCTCTTCTCGGGCCAATCCCTTGTAGCAGAAGGGGAGAGTCGGGACACATGACCTGCGCTGATGACTGCGCAGCAAAGGCGGAAACAACTAAGGGGTACGGGGGTGCTGCAGCGGGCCTGCTTCCATACAAAAGCACGAAAGGAATTCTACGCAAGCACAGAGGCGTACACCTACTTTGATACCTCTGCACCAGCGTGATGCCCTTCTTAGGTCTCTCGGATAGAGAAAATGCAAATGTGAATGTCTGTGCATCTTATCTAGACGCATGCGGTAGGATAGATAGCCGAAGAAAACAGCAAAAAAGATGGTATTGCTTTCAACCATGGGACTTCAACCCGCCTGGGACTCGAACCCAGCCCCAAAGGGGATGTGCATCCTAGAAGATGCACCTGTTAGCCCTGTTTAAAGATGCTTCGGTGGCTGCCGACCGCCACCCCGCCGCCGTACCCCTCCGCCCAGGGGCCTAGGCGAAATTTTGATGGATTAGAGCGTATATATAGCCAAAGGATATGGAGGTTGCCTGGTGAGCCTTTGTTGATTTTGGAGGCGCGAAGGCGAACGTGTCTGTGCGGGGATAACACGGGGCGAGGCGACGGCAACGAGTGCAGAGACTCCTTCACGTCGTCTGCGGCGACGAGGAGGGCAGGGCTTGCTGATAGGGTAAAGTTTCGTTAAGACATCGAATCTTGCTTGCTGGGTCGGACGGATCCCCAGAGCTTGACTTCAATGGTTTGCAACATATGCAACATTGGAGACCATACATGGCTGACCACGATACGCAAGCCAGCGCCTGCAGAGGTGAGCTTGCATATAAGTCGCATATCTTCTGACGTGACTCGCAATTACTACCATGCGCAGCGTGGCTCGACGTGGTTGAAGGGTAGCATCTGGTGTCCGCAGTCTGTCGCCCACGTTCAAGACTCGTGGCGATTGTCCCTCTCGCAACGCGAACTGAATCTCGTTGACATTATGACGGCAACGTTAAGCAAACATGTTTGGAACTTGCACAGACTTGGGACTCGCAATCGTATTCCATACTTCGGCCGGTACCTAGACCGACATGAGATGGAGATTCAATGAGGGCAGCGCCCGCGGCGGTGTCTTGATACACTTTATCCAACTCAAATCGGGGTCGTCGCGCGATTGTTTTTGTCAGGGTCCAGAGATACTAAAGGTGGGGAATAGCGACCCGTAGCATCGCTTGACCCTATCTTCGTAGTCCTCGGTTTCGAGACTCCTTGACACACGGTGAGGCATTCCTTCTAATAGCCAGTATATGTTCACAATTGTGATTCGATGGCTAGGGTCCGATGTTGCGGAGCTGTATCTTCGGAACTGTGTAGTATAGATGATGCATGCATCGGAGAGGAATATCATGTTGGAATTGCGTATTGGTATTGTGATACCGGCCAAGCCAGATTCTGCTGGCGTTCAAGCAAGAACGAATATTGACAAGGCCGAATGTTGATCCTAGAGACTTCGATGAAGTGCAAATCGTACTATCGTCAACAAAGAGTTGACCGGTCATCCGTTTTGAATGCACGAGCCTCTTGTGAGATTCATTGGTGTTGTGTCATGGCTGACATCGCGTAACGGCGCTTCAAAGGGAGAGCACTACTCATCCTGGAACTGCATGATATGCGTCGGTCCAGTAGGGCTGATGAGAGACTTACTGGTAAGGCCGTCAAAGTGATGTGTGTAAGACGCATGTTACTCATACGAATCTGTCGTGACATGTTCCCACGACGTTGAACAACCGGTAGCGGAGTTGTAAGAGTTTGCAGCCAGTGCATTTGGCGAGCACACATCCCCCTGGAGTACCGCTGGCCAGCCAACCCCTGACATAGCTGTTTACCTCAGGTGTCGCTAGCGGGTATCGTTGCATATGGTCGGACTTCCCAATGAAAGCACGCAACGATGCATTGAATGCCAACAAACGATTTTGAATCGGAGCAGTACACACCGGAAGCAATCGGAAGTTTGTAGAAATAGTGAATCTTCGTTGTCCGGCATAGGCAACCGGAGTGCATCTGAGCTGTCGCGAATAATGAATAGGTTCACACACGATTCGCGGCTGATGTCACCTAGTGGTAGTATGCTGACTCCGGATGCTGTGTTGACACCAATGCGCAAGTCGCCCTGATGTCTGTAGTTCGCCGCTGGGCCCCCACCATATCCAGTGATGCTTGCTAGCTGACAAGCGACATGAATATGTGAAATGGAGCATCATCTTTGAGGACCCGGCATCTTAGAGAGAGCATTTCATAGCCAGACTCTCCCCGGAGCCTGGTAACAAGAGGCGTTTGTGTCCAACTCATCTTCGGCTGTTACATTACAGCGTTGGCATTCCATGATGATAGTCGTCCACATTTTGCTCAAAGATATAGCCATTTCAGCAACCACGCAAGCCAATTTAGATAGTTGCTTTTCTGCACGCTTTCGCATACAATGTCTTCGTGGTGAACGCATTGCAGAGATTTTGTCGCCAGCAAGTAGGCGTTAAAGCATTACAACCATACTGGCATCTCTTCTGTAGCGGTTGCTGAGCAGTCAGGATTGCGGTGATGCTGAGAAGCCCGCTTGCAGCCATGCGATCCATGCCGGCACCATATACTAGCTTGACCTCTTCGAAAAAGGTTGACAAGCAGGCATGCATGCATGCGGGAGAGATGACCTGCAAATCTTTACTCTTGTGCGGGAGACTCCGCTGTTTGGGTATGCTTTCTCTAGGTGATGTGTGCTGGGCGGGCGACGAAAAGAAAGGCAAAAAAAACCTGACTACTCAATGGTAGTCATTGCTCCTTCAATGGAGAATCGAACTCTTGTTAAAACTGTTTGTTGTCAGCCTGTGGTACGAACCCCAACCATGAGTCCAATAACACGAACTCATGTCGCACAGGGTCGTACCACCACCGAAAGAAATGCAATTCTTGTAGGTATATATAGCCACTGAATCTCGATTTCGAAGAGTCTGGTAGATGATTTTGGCAACAATCATTCCAGCAGCACCGCGGGGGCGTGAGGTGAGCGGAGCGACGACAGGGTCTCTATGTAGGCACCTTGCGTGACCAATGAGGAAGCCGTCAGCGAGCACTTCATCGTCTCACATTATCCCCTGGCACAGTCGTTCTCGCTCATCGGGGATGCTGTGATGGACCTTCTGGAAGGAGGCTTGTGAGGCACAACCTCCACGTCAACATTACAATCTGCAACCCGACACACGTTTCCCTTACAAAAGGCCCTGCAGTATCTCAGTCTTGGATATGGCCAGTCCATTCAAGCTGCAGCTTCGTACAAGTCTCTCGGATGGCGTTTGGTAAAGAAGCTACGTCAGCTAGCGGCACTTGAGATCCTTCAGCATTCGTATAACAGCGAAACACCAGCGCCATACTATGCTTATCTGGAGAGCGCAAGACTGGTACCATACGCCATATTGCAACTCTGACTGTAGTGGGAAGATGGCGCTTTCTCATGTTTGCATAGGTACTGCAAGCGCACAAACTCCAGGGGCAGTCTTCAACCTCTGACATCACTGTCTTTGTAACGTGCGCATAGAAAAGTACGATGCATAGAGAGCCAAACGCGCAGCTGCTGTTGTCGTGGCGCTCGCATCCTGATTCTCACGTCCACGAAGGGCGAGTCTTGTTGACCCCCGCGGTGCACACACCCCATTCTCTCGACCACCTCAACACCAGCTACTACCACGACGTAACAGTAGTGCCATGCGAAGATAGGCGTCTACCATGAACGAGACAAATGTAGGACGAACGACAGCCGTTTTCCGTTGGACTAACATCATCGCGATACCTGTAACTGTCGAAGAATACCCAAGACATCCGCGAAGACTTCATTACCGCGGTCTACCCCACCACGACGGCAATCTTTGCTGGCTTGTCCACACATCGAACATTCGAAGAAAAGCACTTGTATGATGTGCTGCCTCATCGCGACAGTGTACTGTACGCGAGTGACATCGATAGAGTGCGTCACCCCGTCAGGCGCTCCCCGAACGTATCGTACATCCGACGCAACGACCTGCGAAAGACAACACAAGACGAGAGAGCAGAGAGAACACCATGGCATACGATTACGCAGACTGCCTGCAGCATGTCTGTAGCACGCAGCAGGCAATCGTGTCATCCCGGCCGTCTTCCTCCGTGGGGCAGGCGCAAAGACGGAGGTCAAGTATCGACATGCAGACTCGCAACCGACGACCAGTGGCGCAACATGAGCTTCTCACGACTCGGTGACACCTATGACGAACGTATGCCACGGCTACCTGAGGTATGATCGCACTTGAACCAACCTTACGAACCGCTGCAGATGCGATCGCGGGCGCCAAACGAGCACGATACGGGCAATCGAACGCGACCCCCAAGCTCCGCAGCTTGCTCCCAACTTCGTTCTCTCAACCTCAGTAGACGTTCAAATTCAGAGTCGTTACACAATCAACCTGAACCAGAGATGCCTCACGCGACACTCTGGATCGACCATCTGAGGAGATGCGTGGCGAAGGGGAGAGGTCGAGGCAGAAGCTTAGAACAGGCCCATAGCGAGGTGCTGGCCACCATAGATCGTTTTCAGTGGCGTCGGAAATTATGAAAAGACATCTCGCTGGTGGTTGGATTTTGGCTCGTCAACCGCTGGACTTCAGGATCGAAATGCTATCGACACTTTGTACCATCTGGGACTGCGACTGCAACGTTCGTGGCCCTACAAAACAACGCGGACAGAGATTCATCGTCCCCCTCGTTCCCGGGGTTTGAGAACTCCTCGCTCAGAGTACGATATCGCATGAACACCTTGTAATGTTTGTCAGAAAGCCAGCCTTACTGCCGTTTCCAAGCAAACGACACATCAGAACGGTACTTCCGATAACCGCGTACTATCTTTGGGTGCAATAGACGACTAAGTTGCTAGGTTTACACGCCTAGGTAGCTGAAGATATTGATGCTTGGTCGAATTGGTAACATCATCAACACACCGGTGGAAGATTGAGACTAAGGAGGTTTGCTGAGTATGTCAGCCTCGCTGGGCCTGCAACCAGGACAACTGGTACAGATCAAGATCGACCCCAACGATTGCCGACATTTGTATGTGACTTCGTCATATGCCTCCTGCGTTTGTCGAAGGCTGCATCCTCATAGCATCTTCCAGCTAAGTAGAATGTCTACTTGGCATCGAACCATGAGCGTTGCAGCCCTTATTGCGACAGACACCTTTCGAAGTATACCATCGGTCCGCCAATGAGCTCTTCCCAGATGACGCAGATCGATGCGTTCGGACGCAATAATCATGGCTTTCAGAACAAGGCCACACTTTCGAAATCATTATTCTTTGAGCCGGCGACGTTACGATGATGACTGTTGATTGGATTCGAGGATGTGGCCTCGACTGCCAGACGGTAGCCTTCTTGAGGGCCCAATTGTGGTGGCACGACATCGCTCGTGCTGAGTCAATCCACTGGGCTTGGTAGCTCCACAATAGCGTACAAATGGCCGAATGGAAGCTTCGTAAAGCAGCCGCGTTGGCAGGATGTCTTCGACAAGTCGTGCCTACTCAAACTCAAGGCAAAATTACAGGAGCACTTTCGCCGCCAGATTCTTCTCGAATCCCTGGCGCGAGCCTGGAGATACCAGTAGGTCCGAAAAAGTCGCCGATAGAGATGTCGTTATCGTCGCAACGGTGAAGCGGTTCGCCAACAAGGTCACACCATGTTCTAGACGTGTCTCATTCTCTCCAGCCGACTGGTTTTGCTCAAGCAAGGTCATGAGCTCTTGCTCTGCTCACTTCTCTCATTGTCGCAGAATCTAGCGTCGAATGATTCTTGCAGCATAGCTCTTGGTAGGCAAGAAGCTTCGACTGGGTGTGGAATTGTCGTCAGCTGCAGGTTGCGGCCGAGAATGAGGAACTTGCCATGCGTTGTGGCAATACACCAGATATGCAGTTACGAGAAGCTGCTAAGGTCTGCTCACGATCTTCAACGTGCCTAGTATCTTCTCTTGCCAGACCCTCTGTAGGACATGTCCATACGTTGTCGCTCCGCGATAGCCGAAGTATTGGATGCTGGTATCCGCCGACTCGATAGTGGATGGACCAAGAAGGCTGAATCTCGTACACTTCCATACGTATAGAGTTTGTCGCAAGGCCCAGCATGGCGGCCAACGCGCGTACAAATGATACTCTTATGGTAGTGTATCGGAAGTATTGGTGCACGAATATCGCTGGAAGCTTTGGCGAGAGTAATGGCACAAAGCGGAGCGTCAAGTGGTGAACATAATCAGTGCTATGCCACCGCCTCGCTTGTAATCCTCATCAGATGCCCGTACAGGAAGTGGATACGAACAGGACTATTCAGCTAGTCAAGCAAGCCAAAGGTAGTGACTTTCTGTTCTACCATTCACCCTTGCAAGTTGTCATAGCTTCCTGGGTGGAGGTGTTTGTTCTGTCCAGGCAGGCCTAGGAGGTTGTCTCTTTCGCGGACATCTCAGGCTTTCGATAATAGAACACCTGAGCAGTCAGACATTCCAATATTATGCGGGCTTTGCGTCGGGATCGCAAGCGTTCAGAGGTTCTGGGGGGGTGTTCGGCAGACGGGTTGCGTGCGATGAAGGTGCCCTTCGGAGACGCTCGAGGCCTTGTCGAGGCTCGTCGAGTATGGAGCTGCAGACCTAGAGTCACAAGTGAGGGGCGCAAGAAATTTGCTGTTCGCCTGCCTGTATCAGACTCTCAGGTGGTATCGCTCATGAGCGATTCTATGAGTGAGACCAGGAAGCGCGATACAGCCCGTCGCGTGAGGCAGAACGGCGCGTTGAAGCACATTGGCCTGCCTCGAAGTATGCACTCTCAGAGCCATTCTACCATACCCATTCCGTATACGTTCATCGTGAAGGAGATGCGAATCGTGATGGAGGTCATCGTGGTCGTCGTGGTAGACGGATTGGGCGTAAAAAGAAGCTTTCTGGTGTGAAGCCGTCTCAGCGGCTAGGAGGTAGGAGCGACTCGGGAGTCATATCCATCTCACAGGCTCGAGTGTTCATTCCGGTATAGCATAACGGACGCGTCGTGGCAACACGGAGTCGATTTTGCGGAGCTGGTGGTAGATGTTGGGTTGGTGGGTGGGCTGAGGCGAGAAACTCAGGAGGGAGGCGCGATCATGGTTCAGATTCGTGCGGACAAAAGGACTTCGAAACAAGAAAAGCCGCACGATACGCACCACAACTGCGAAAGTAACGACTCTGTCATCGAGGTGTCTCGCGCAGAGCTGCTGTGTGGATGTAGTTCCGTACGTCAGAGGTATTCGGGCCGATCTCTTCGCGCAAGACTTAGCGAAGCCCCGCGGAGCCATCATGAGGCTGCAAAACCATGGCATTACAAGTAGTAGGCCACGAAAAGAAGTATCGGAATTCGGATACTTTGCTTTTCAGCCGAAATCGACAGATCTAACATACCGACAAGCGGGCTCAGAGTAAAACGCATACCACACGGCTTGTGCGCAGGCAAGTCGACCCTACTTCTGAAGACACAGCTTTTGCTAACATTCAAGCAGATAGTTTCTTAGACTCGGCAGCATGTTCATAGTCTACCAAATCCACTTTGTCATTCTTGCAATGTTGTGCAACTTCCTCCCTCATGAGACCAAAGATTGCCAAGGCCATGAACAGATGGGGCATCGCCCCTGCTGAACCACTTCCCTAGCGTCTGAAACCTTAATTACACTTCTGCCCACTCCCCACAGACCCTGCCGCCTATTGTCCACTATTCCCCCAACCTCCTCTGCAATTTAGTCCTCCACTGAGTTCCTTCGCATATCCTACACGAATGTAGGAGAGCTCTCACACAGGTCATATCGGTCCAGTCCTCCCGGGTATCCTTCTTTGGGCAGAGCGCGTCAGCTCCGTACATCACAATGTGAAGTCACTACGAGCGCGTCAGGGTACTTCCACACCCACTGCTAAATTCCTCCATCAGAGTATCGGTCATCCAGAGAGACCTTCAGACTACCGCAAGCTCGAGTTCTGCACCCGTCTTTCCTCGATATATTCCCTACAGCCTGGTGTGTGCGGAAGCCCGATGGCGCTTTATACACAATCCGTAAGCAAACATTGCACTCTAATGACCAACAGGGCCGCAGATGGCACATTGCCATACATGTAACACGATACAACCATGTCCGACTCGATCTTCATTCTTTCGTCGCCAGAATCAATTCCACGCCGCCTGACATCGCCTTCCATCATTGATGACGAGCGCACCTTGATGAAACGACTCTGGTCCGTAATATAACTTCATACTGGTCTTTCATTATCCTGCATAAGCTATGTGGGTGTTAGCGTTGAGTTTGCTGATTGAACCTCGCCATGCAATCGATGCCAGTACAAAGCCCAGAGAAAATACTCTCGCCGTCTTCGAGCGCGCTTCTAGACTGACTCATCACCCGAAGTCATCCCTTATGCTAACACGTTCCGCATGGTCTTTGCGTGCAGGGTGTCAATCCTAGTGACCGGTCACTATCTGGTCGATGTCATTACATCAGTTCTCAAGAGAAGGTAAACGTCCAAGAGCTATGATGGTAATAATTGGCTCTACGGACGTGATGGAACAGCCACCTACGCTTCCAAGTTTCCAGCATCTTCAGCCACATCGGTCAAGACATAATCGAATACAACTGGTATGTTGCTGATCGGGCATACTATGCAAGAAACATAAAGAGCCGGAAGTCTACAAGAGGATCACAAATACCACATTGGGAACTAAATCATCCAAAGCTCCACACCTTCGGAGACAATTCGCCATATCGGTCCAACGAACACCTGTTACCCGTAGTCTCCATGGTAAGTAGCCTGAAATGTAACACGGATCGTGACATCCATATCAAACGTCACCGCCGGTTTGCCACCCGGATTCCCACGTCACCAAGACTTGTGGGCGCGGGGTAAGGGCGTAGATGTGAACGCCTCGTCACGTGTTTATGGTTCACACAGACTTCGCGCTATCATCTTTCCGCGCCGATACCGCTTATATCAAGCGTCACAAAGATCTCGTGGATATATAATACTCGTCCTTTGAACTTACCCGGCTCTTCTCTACAAAGGCTCTTGTGATTAGAAGATCACGGTCCCAAAAGCTCAAAATCGCTCTCTCACTTGAACATCGTCGGCCATACCACCCAGCAAGCCGATTGCATGTCCAACTCTAATTGACTGGTCGGAGCTCGCGAGTAGTGTTTCTATCTTCGCACACAGTACTTCGCAGTGCCCTTTCAGACTGGTCGAAAGCCCGGCCCTATCCCATATCTCAACCTATCCTTTAGCCACTTGGACTCAAACGAAAACAACATCGAACTATCTTTCCATAATCAACATCGAAATCGAAACGTATCAAGTACATTTGGCCTTACAACGTCCATCTGGACCACTTTGGGTTGCCTATACTAGGTGAACGTCGTCCCTTTGTGGCTTAACTGCGCGGCTTCAGCCACTACGCCCGCGAACTCTTAGTAGCCTCAACCGAACAGGAGGCGGCAAAGAAGATATACAGACTGTAACGGTTAGGAACTTCTTTGTATACGTTCTTCCGGCGTCTCCCGTACTTCAAGCCGTCTTTCTCTGTTTGCAACGAGTAAAGATCGTGTTGCTGAGGTCTTGGCTGAGCATACCCTGAGCACGTCCGCGCTACAAACAGATTGGTCGCCTGTGATACTGGGTTTTCCAAAAGCTCAAAGCCGCTAGCGCCTCGTCTGCCTCCCCAAAGGTCTCCTCTTGTAGCTGGTTGACCTACGTCTCCCCACCCGCAACACACTTACGACTTGCATTCTCCTATCAGGTATGTACCGCAATGGCTTAGCTACTGCTTCTCCTATAACCCCTCAATTGCATTTATTCAAGAGACACGGATGCAGCCTCTCTAGGTCGCTGTAGCGTGTGCTATTGATCGCCCTCCGCTCCCAGCCCGAACACAACACGCCATTTCTGGCGTTCAGTATGAACAATTGTTTGACCCCATACTAACAGCGAACAGAAAACCTTTGTGACACTTGGTCTGTCGCCGCTTCTGCTAGCTAAAGTACTGGAAATCATGTCCTATTCCCACAACAACCAGCTAAACATGGTTAGCTTGTTTGACGAGGAACACCCACAACACTTCAACAAGCGCAGTTACGACATGACGCGTCTTCACCCCAACAACCCCTACTACGGCCTCGCTGGTCAGGCTCCCGCCGTCGCTCCCATCAAGATCGAGGAAGGTGCTGCCCCTGTGAGTTATACCCCCACATATGACAGCGATTACGTCGAAAGCGATCGCGACGACCGGCGACCATCCAAGATCCCAAAGATCAACAAGGATGGTGTGCCCCGTAAGCCACGCCAGCCTCGTCCCAAGCTACTCAAGTGGAGTGACAACGATTGGAAGAACGTGGTCCTCGGTATCGTCTGGGCCTGCGGTGAGACTGGCGTTCAGATACCGTTCGACCAGGCTGCTCAGGTTGTCGGTGAGAGCTGTACTGCTGGCGCACTCCAGCAGGCTATCTTGAAACTGCGCGGCAAACAGATCGACGAGGGCTACAAGATTCCATCGTTGAGAATGGCGTGGACGCGCAAGAACAAACGTGCATCTTCTTCGGCGTCCAGTGCTAATGCAAAGCCTCAGCAGACAACCGGTCAAGGTCAAGGTCAAGGCCTTACGACTCAGTCCCGTCCGTCTCTTATCGTCAAGCTCAAGGCTCCACTTCTTACTGACAGGAACTGTCACGGTAATGTCATCATCGGCAAGAACTACATTCCACCCATTGAGCCTCAGTTCTCCATGGCTGATGATATTCATTCCACTGGTGGCCGAGGCATCACCGTCGTCAGCGGTCTCCCGAACGTTCCCAGTGACTCCGGTCCTAAGTACCCTGATATCGTCAAGCAAGCCGTTCCAACTCAGTACAAGCGTGGCGCTGGCATGGACTTCGACTTTGACAAGTATATCAAGAAGATGGAGGCACATAACTACGAGGAGGATGTCAACGATCATGCTGAGTATGACTTCGTCAGTAACGACTCGCATGAGGATCTGCTTGCGTCGTCCGAGGCTGAGCAAGCTGCCATGAGTGGGTTCCCTCCTGAGATGTCTTCTCCGTTGGACCATACTTATGATTCTCCTTATAGCTTCTTCTCCCAAGCCTCGTCCGGTATTCACCCGTTGGCTTCAGCTTCCTCCTCGCAGCAAGGCTTCCAGGAAGCCTTTCCGCTACCAACTCATCTAGACACCAGCCACTTTCATGACTTCTTCGCACACGACGTATTTCCCAACTGCGGATATGAGTACGAATTCAACGCAGGACACTAGGGGGGTAAGACGGCGATGTGGTGACGGTCTGGTAAGATTCACGGTATATCGGGTTCTTTTGCGAGCTACATGGCTTTGGTCAGTCCAGGTTTGAGATAGGATACCACAGCTTGACGGATACCATAGGTTAAAATTCAAAAGTTTGGGTTACATATTTGACCTCCTGTTTGAAGACCACGATAGTAAGTTTTGAGTGATTTGATAGCGGTGATATGTCATAATCATGCCTACACAGTGAATCTAGAGTGTGGCCTGGGTGGCATTACCCCTACTGACCGACTACTAAGGTACCTGGATGTGACTTTTGATGTTGGTGATGACACTGATCTTGCTGTCTTCATAGTCAGTCTCATCCATGATATCAGAATCCATTATCTACTGGGATAATCGCCACACGGGTCACATTACACGTATTCACATGAGCTCGATCATATGAGCTCGACCGCTGTAAATCAAACTCCTGCCTTTCACATCGTGTAGGTCACACAGCGTAATGCACAATACTCATATCCGCTGTCCTCGTCTTCTCCCACCTTCAAGGCTCAGCTAGTTCTTTGGCTTATCACAACTATAACATGGGTCTCTTCGGCAGAAAAAAACAAGAGGCGTATCGTTTCTCCTACCACTCTCATTCCGCACAAGCAGATGCAGCCCGCGAGTTATGCGGCCTACTGAACGCAGGAAGTAGACGCATGCCCACTAAAGCACGACAAAGAGGACCGGGTTATCATTTTCAGTACCACGATGATAACGGTTTCGAGCACTCGCTGTGTATCGATGAGAACAACGAGGCAGTACCAGTAGCTGATATGCATGGAGGTGGTGGCCATAGAGGCGGCGATTTTCAAGGATTGGGGGGAGTCGATCCGCGACAGATAATGGCGATGCAGAGGGATCAGTTCCAACATCCCGGACAGATGCATATGATGCCAGCGCAAATACAACCAGGAATACAACAGCAACGACCGTGGGATATGCATCAGGCACAGCAAGTGGCAGAGCACCAACGATGGGCACGACGTCACAGCCGGCCTCATGCTCAGCCACTGCCACAGCTTCAACAAGCAGGAGCTCGCGATTCCAACCGACCCATATTCCAGAATCCCTTCAAGAAGCCTTTGCCTCAAGGTTCCTACGGTAAACGCGAATATGTGCCAGGTCAGGAAAAAATCAAGGTCAGCGACTATGGGCCGCGCGCCGATAATCCGGGGACGGGTTGGGATTTGATGCAATCGTTGAACCAGCTGCGGAAGCAGAACGGGCGAGGTTGACGTGAGGTAGACAGAGAGAACAGGTACACAAAATACGATATGAGGACCGAATGATGTGTTTCGTTTTAACCCACTTGTAGTTATACATGACCTAGCTGATGCTCTTAGTCTTAGCATGTCGAGATGAACCGTTCCCGATGTGTTTATCAAAGGGCTCTAAGCTTTTCTATAGCGAGACCCAGCATTTCGACCAGTGATTCGACCGTGGTGTATCTCGACATGCCAACAGGAAAGTTGACTAAGCTGTTCGAGGACATACGTAGAGTTGATCGACTTCATATACCTGGAATAATATTTGCAAAGACTCACGGATGCGATAAGTAGCAAATGTCGTGTGCATACAAAACGCTATACGACTATGATAGCGAGACCTTAGCGTATCATTGTGTACTGGCGATATGTCGCTTGACGTCTGCCTCTTCAAATTTCTCTCCAGCCACATACATCCCACTTCCCGCCCCTTCCATTACTGTCTATCACTATATCCACCATACACTTCCCCCCTTCCCCATCACATCCTATGTCTCAACCTTGGGCGGGACAACTGCCTCATCGTGTTGCACGCTCCTCTTCCTCTCCTGGTTCTGCGCCACCTCGCTCAAACTCATACTACGCCCAGTCTTAGGGTCCATCTCCGCGAATTGAACCGCAGGGCGGAATTCCTTGCTCTTCCACGCTTTGCCGACGATACCGTAGAGCTCGTCGACTTGTTCGAGAGTAAGACCTTTGGTCTCATAGATCATGAACCACACGAAAGCGATGCAGACGAAACAGAAGGAGCCCCAGACAAAGAAGACCTTTGATTGGAGGTTGGCGTGGTCTTCGTCGACCATGTAGGGGGTTGAGTAGGCAATCGCCCAGTTGAGCAACCTGTAGTATGTCGTTAGTCTTTGGAACTAACACCAGTCCAAGAAGCATCTTTACTTACCAGTTACTCGCGGTGGTCATCGAGAGACACTTGGCGCGTGCCTTGAGGGGGTATAGTTCTCCAGTCACGACCCAAGCAACAGGACCCCAAGAGCTGGCGAAGAAGAAGATATAGATGCACACGAAAGCGATAGCAGCTCGTTGAGCAGGAAGATCGGAGGTTCCAGCTACTGTTCCTGTGATAGCGACGATGTACTGGCATACACACATGCCAATCGCTCCGAGAAGAAGGAGGTTACGTCGTCCGAGGCGCTCGACCATGTAGAGACCGGCTAGAAATCGGAGAGTTAGTATTCCGCAAACTGAAACTCAGAAATCATAAGCTTACGGAATGTAGATGCGACATTGACGCAGTTGGTGATGACCTGAATGATGAAGGGGTCGCGGAAGCCAGCGTTCTGGAAGTACTGTGTTCCGTAGTCTAGATAAGTCAGAAAAAGGTCACAACAGCGCTGATTTGAGGGACATGCAGAAGATGAAGTTTACACCAGTAAGCTGTTGTAGCGCCTGGAGCAGACATCCAGTCGCGAGACGCTTGCCAAGTGTTCCCTTGAAGCAGTCGGCATACGTAGACTTGCCCAACGACATCTCGTAGAGATGGTTCGCTTGAACCTCGCTTAATTCCTCAACGATAGCTGGATGGTCGACTGGCAAGCGACGAAGCTTGCCAAGACTGCTTGCAGCCTGCTCGTATTTGTCCATCTTGATGAGATATCTCGGTGTCTCGGGCAGAAAGAAAAGTCTAGTGATGAATTAGTATCGACGACCACTACACATCTCGTATTGATTTCCATTCGCACGTACCCGCCAACAAGAATGATAGACCAGAGGAATTGTACCGCGATGGGAATGCGGTACGATCCAGAATCTTGACGATCCTTGGTTGAATTGTTCACAATGGCAGCGAGCAGCAATCCAATCGTGATAGCAAGCTGGTAAGCTCCGACAATCGTTCCTCGAATCCATTTTGGCGCAGTCTCACTCTGGTACATGGGAACTGTCGTCTTGTTAGCATTAATCCAAGCGAGGCAGCTGCCCCGCAGAGCCTCAAGGATGCGGGGCAAAGGGCGTTTAAGCCACCATTGACGATCAACCCCACATCACATGTGACGAACTGGAAGCGACAAGGGATGGGTGCACCTACTCAAAGCTGAGATGAGACCGACACCATAACCGGCGAAGAAACGACCGGCAATGAATAGCGGCTGCGCTGTTGCAGCTGTTTGTAGAACAACTCCAAGGTTGAAAACGGCGCCGGCTGAAACCATCAATCCAAGACGTCGGCCAAGCAGATCGCCGAAGGGTGCAGCCGTCAAAGCGCCGAAAAAGGTACCAGCTGAGAGAATTGACACGATCAGAGAATCTTGCGCAGCTGTGATGCTGAGGTCTGGCTCAGTGGAGAACTCCTTCTTCCAATAGTCCATGGCAATGATGCCAGAGATTGTGCCTGTATCATATCTAGGCAAATCAACATATACTCTTGAGCATTACAATAATACAAACATACCCGAAGAGAACACCACCAAACGCGACGAAGAGACCGATGACAATGGCAGGCCTTGACAAACGTTAGGCAAGCACTCAATGTGGAGAACGTACGGAGCTTACCATGCCTTACCAGCAGTGTCTGGCGGAGGCTTCAGCATAAAACCCATGATGACGAGATTCACTTGGACAATGTATAGGTGCGAGTTAAGGATGTCGCAAGCTCGAGGCGCGCGGTGAGGCCGTTCAGAAGAGCACGCATTCACTCTTTATCTCAGAATGCTAGCCCCGAGTATCTCTCCATCCAGCTTGCTATGCCGACGAACCCTTGTTCCATGCCGCTGCAGCTTCAGTGCATCATCACAGGCTGCTAATCCTAGTATGTTTCCGATGCCAGGTATTATTGCATGGATCGTCCCCGCATGGCACCATTGAGCGTACCCGAGCTGGCTATTACCCCGTGCTCGACATGCTGACTTGGCCTCACACCACTTACGTCGGCGGCTGATATTGAGACAGCGATCATGAAAGCCTGTGTAGTCGTCCAATAGCACATTGTCAGCAGATCAGACAAAGGCTGATGTAGTGCTCAAGTCGGGCGAGTTTGCACATGCACTAGCATGTCAATGGTCATTCCGGCGTAAGCGCGTACAGGTAGAGCCGTTATGCAAGGAATGCGCGTCCTCTGCAAGCAGAATAAGGCTTTTTTCCAGAAGGTTGACTTTCCCCAATAATCGGGTCAGGCGTTTGGCATGTCGAGATGAAATGGGCCGATTGTCTCCTTGCAACCCCGGGAACTGGAGTGGAGATCTTGTCGGTAGGATTCTCGGTGCGATGTGAGAAAAACATTTTCAGGCATCTTTGCCCCGCGCATCACCAAGATGCTGACTGTGGAGTTGGATACCCCAGATTTCGGTCGCATGCAGCGCCACCTTGTCTTGTTGTCAACGCTATCAGAAGAGGCATTGGAAGATGTGCTCGTGATGTCTGTCTTGCTCAGGCGTATAGTTTGCCGTGCGATCCTTCGAGCCAATAAGCCTTCGCTTCCTTTCGCTTTTCAGAGCTCGGCATTGCTTGGACCGATGCGATGACTCGAACACACTCTCGGCGCAGCACCTGGATAGCGTGATCGATGATGAATGGCCGACTGATCAAGCGTGCTTGACATGTGCTGTGCCGTGACTTCGGTCTTACTGTATCCATGGATGTCTCTACTGTAGGGATATTCTCGGGACATGGAAAGATGGTTCAATCAACGGTTGAGGTTGATGAAATGTGGAGGTACTCCGGGGTTAGTTGCGGAGGCTGACAGGCCCGTTGGTGGCGCCGGCGGCCCCTAAGGGCACTGATGCATCGCTAGAAGCTGCCAGGACGCTTTTTTGCGCCATCACGACTCGATCGTGCCCTCAGCAATCTTTTTGCCTGATGCTGCAATGAAAACTCTCCATCAATCTCCATTTCACAGCGAATTGATGAAAAATTAGTTGCGAAAGCGCGCCACCGAAATTGCAGCGATAATTGATGTTCGATCGCGAGAACTATAAGACTGGCAGCTAATCTAGTAACTATGGCAGCACTACCAGATCGAAAAGAGCCGCTGATTTTTTTTTTGAAGAAGAATGGCGCGCACCACACCACGTGATGATCACGGTGGTAGTGGTGATAGTCTACTGGAGATTGCAAATGCGTGGCATGGTCAGTCGCGACCCACCTAACAAGCTTCCCTGGTAGCCTTGTTAGGTGGGTCACAACTGCGATTATCAGTTCAAACAGGCATCTGTTCAGGTAGTTAGGAAGTCGCGATGTGAGAATTGAACTGAGAGACACATAGGCAGATAAAGACACTGATTCGTCGACGATAAAACTCTTCTGATCATGCATTGGTATCTAGTAAGAGCCCAAAACTCCTGCTTTTGTCTCCTCTGTTTTGCACTTCAAATCACTACGCCTTGTTCTTCTTCTCACCACTCTTTCTCCGCGCCTTCTTCGATTCCACCTTGGTTTCCTTTGCGCTGACACCATTCGAGGTAGTAGCGACTTCAACGCCACCGCCCTTCTTCTCCTTCTTGCCTGACTTATCCTTCACGCTTACATCGCCATTCTGAGCCTTGGGTGACTCCTTTGTGGCCTCCTTGGGCGTCTCCTTCGCCTTCTTCTCTGGCGTACCATTGGCAGACTTCTCGCCCTTTGGTACAACAGCCCTAGGATCCTTGCCCTTCCTGCGCATGGTCTTGGCCTTTGCTTTTTCAATGTACTTCGCGTCTTCCTCCTCATCGAAGCCACCAAAGTCTGATTCCTCGTCGCTGTCAGCACCGATAGGTGTGCGGTCGACCATCTCAACTTCAGTAGCTGCGTCCTTGGTGTTGGCGGTGTTGTTGGTCTTCGCAGTCGAAGCCTCGTTGACACCAACAGCGTTGGGAGGTGTGGGTCCGATCTTCTTGAACTTGGCGACGAAGAAACCGTCGACGTTGTAGGTGTGGGGGTAATATCTCCTTGTCATCTTCATCGAGGGGTGGAAGATCTTGCCGCCGATGTTGGTGAATCCTTCTTTACCAAAGGTGAGTCCGGTCTCCACGAGCTTGACGTTCGACCGCTTGTTCAACGCATATTGTACAACTTGTTCGTTCTCTTCTAGGGTGACGGAACAAGTACTGTAGACAATGTAACCTCCAGTCTTTGAGTGATGGTTAACGGAGTCGATGGCCGCGAGCAGCAACTGTTTCTGAAGATGGGGCAGCCTCAAGAAGTCTGCTTCGGTTTTGTTGGTCTTGACACTGGCATCCTTGGCGATGACACCAGTACCGGAGCATGGAGCGTCGAGCAACACACGGTCGAAACCACCCATAACCCTAGGGAATTCGAGAGCCGAGTAGTGGGACACAATGACGTTCTTTGCGCCTAGACGGTGAATGTTACCGATCAAACCCTTGGCACGATCTTTGTTGGCGTCGTTGGCGAAAATGCATCCGGTGTTCTTCATCAAAGCGGCCAAATGTGTAGTTTTTCCACCGGGAGCAGCAGCCATATCAAGCACGCGCTCGTTTTCTTGAGGTGCTAAGGCCATGACGGGCAGGAACGAGGAAGCAGCTTGGAGAATGTAGTGTCCAGCGAGATATTCCTGCGCAAGTTAGTGTCGGATTTCATCGCATCTATCGCATATAGAACTTACGGGTGTAGCACCCAGAGGCACCTGTGCATCGAAAATCTGTAGACCGACTTTAGACCACTTTCCAACGGGTTCAAGCTGTACACCACGGTTGATCAAGCTCTGCGCAAGCTCTCTTCGGTGTGTTCGGAGGGTGTTTGTTCGGATGACGACCGGTCTTGGGGTCTCGTTGGCTTCGAAGAAAGCTTGGGCTTCGCGGGGAGGGAAGAGGTTCAGAAGCTTGTCTGCAAGGAACTCGGAGTAACCTGTTCATGATGTTAGTATAGCTCTAGACGATAACTTCAGACTTGGACGTACCGTAGTATGCACAGATATCCTTCAGGAGCGACGCCCTGTACTCTGCTCTACTCCGACCTTCCTCGGCAAGGTTCTTGAAGTCGTCCAGCACACGGATGGTGTCTGTAAGTCTTGTGCGCAGCAGCTGGATATCCTGGTTGACAAGGTTGGTGATCGGCCTGCCATCCTCATCCTCCTCATCCTCTAGAATCTTGGGTCGCTCATTGGCGATGTTTGTCTGCATGTTGTTCTCCTCCAACTCAGCTTGCGCCTCCGCTTCCTCGATCGCCTTCTGCATATCCAAGCGTGTGGACAATCCGGCAATGTTAGCGGCTGTGAGCTTCTCTTCTGCATCCTCCTCATCATCGTCGTCTGACCACATGGCCGCGCCCCTCCTGATGTCGTCGTCCGAGTCCACAACGTCCGAGTCGAATTCGTCGTCGTTCATCTCCTCGTCGTCTTCATCTTCGGACGCGCTACCGAGGGCATCGAGCCCGGTGACGTTGATGTTCTCCATGTCAGAGTCGTCGATGTCTGAGACATCGTCTTCATCATCCGATGGCGGCTGAGGTGCTGACTTCTTTGACTTTGCTTTCGCTCCATTCACGACAGCAGCAGCCGTCTTGAGAGGCTGCTTGACGGGCTTTCCAGCTACTCTCGTCTTGGGGGTCGCCTTCGCCTTGGCTTCCTTAGCTTCTCTTGCAGCTGTCCTACTCCTCTTCTTGCGCTCTGGGTTTACGGCGACGGGCGCATCTTTTCGCTTCCTGGTTACTAGCGATTCGTCGAGGACATCGGGCATGCCCTGCTTCTTCATGCGGCGACCTTGACCCATGGCGACAGATTTATCGCTTGATTTGCGGTGGGTAGTATAAAAAAGGTCGAATAGTTTGAGAGTTGGCGACGTGACGCCTGCGCGAACTGCGAACTTTCGCTAGCAGATGGGAACTTTTTCCACGCTACGGACCTCCTTTGGGTCTAGCGTAGATTTGCCCTGGTCGAGGTGCGGTCCACTCAATGCTGTCCCGCAACACCAACAGCGTCATCGCATTGGAGCTATACACGTCTTAACGAGCGCGACAACCACGAACTCACTTGCACGTCGTACGAAAAAAGGCCCCAGATATCTCATCATGTCAGAACTCGCATTCTGCAAATCATTTCTCAGCGCACTGGACGCGCGCCCAGCGAAGCTCAGCAGCGACCACATCGCAGACGCACGACAATATCCCGCACAAGGCGCCGTAAGACTCTACCCCATATTTCTTATAGAACATCCTCCTGTATATAGTCATGACCGGAGATTGACTGCTCACCAGTACACACTCCCCCGCCTCCCACACCCACCCCACCCACAGCGCCCAAACCCCAAGCCAGTCGCAGGCGACGATGCCACCACCTCTTCTTCGTCCACGATCACCGTAACACTCAAGCCCATGAAGCCGACCACCCCAACCATTCCTCTCTCCTCCATCGATCCCTCGAAAACTTCCGTCTACGACCTCAAGCAACAATACGCAACACAAGCCTCGTTACAACCAGCCAAGATAAAGATTCTTTACAAGAAGAAGCCAGTTACAGATTCCAAGACACTGCTAGAAGTTATAGGTACAGATGCAGGCAGCGAGGTAGAGTTTGGCGTCATGGTTATGGCGGGCGCTGCGCTTGGCGGGGCTGCGAGTCCGGCAAGTGGAAGCACGCCAGTGACAAGTCCACCCGCTGTTGCGCCGCCTACGGAAAGTGAGAAGGGGCTTGCTAGTGCGGGTGAGACGCATGCGGGTACGGCGACTGGGACAGCAGGTGCGACGGCTGGAAGTGGGAAGGAGGTTGTTGCGACAGAAGAGTTCTGGGGCGACCTGAAGAACTTTGTGCTGCAGAGAACCAAGGATGCGGAAGAGAGCGAAAGGTTGCTGGGCGTCTTTAGGGGCGCATGGGAGCAGAACAAGTAGCGGACCGACATAGCTGCTGGGGACGAGCAATACACGTTGCAACATATCAGGAACAAACATTACAAACAAGTTCGCACACGTCACGTCATACGAGCTCTCGGTCTCAAGAGATGTCCATCGAAGACAATTTGACCAGTTTTAGCCTATCAAAAGCATACCAAGCCTGATAATGCAAGTTGCACCCGGCACTACCACTGCCCGCATATTCGCATGATGTATGCGATAACCATCATTCGCAAAAACTCGCTATGCCATGATCGCTGCCAATCAACCGCTCGAGTCGTTTTCGTCATGTGTCATTACCAACCGCTATAGTTTCCTTCCTCCATACTAAGAGGTGCGCAAAATCGACAGGTCGGAAGCGGGGGAGGGAAGAGAAGCGCTTAACGGCCCTTGGCGACGCGGCTCTTGATGTTCTCGAACTCGATGTCGTCGGCGTCGTTGGCTTGGATATCGGCGGCGAGACCGTTCAGAGCGCGCTTGATGGCTTCCTTGGAGGACGAGTACATCATGCGGGGCTATTAAGTGTCAGTGAACCTTTCTTTCTGAATTATGTTTTCGTAACATACGTATTGTGGCGCATCATCTGGTGTCCAGCTGATGAAAGTGATCTTGCTCCTGGAGCCCTCGCCATTGTCAAGCTCGTACTGGACATCGAAAACGGCGTAGCGACCACCAATGCCCTCCTTGCCGCGGCGGTCCTTGCTCTTTGCGTTGAGCAGCTTCTCACGGAAGACGTCAAAGTTGGCCTCCTTGGAAGTCTCCTCGACGACAATCTCCTTCCAGTCGTCGCTGATCTTGTAGATGATCCACTTGATGTCCTTGCCAAGCTTAAGCTCGTTGAAGGTGCTGATGCACTCAGGGGAGACGGAGACACTGCGTGGCTATTAGTATATGCGGGTCCGAGCTAGGGGTTGGCGGGACGGGGGTCGAGGATCGAGGTATGGGGAGGCTATGCTGGAGCGGTTGTTGGGCAGCGACAGCTGTTGGTGCCCTCTTGTTTGTTTCGCAGTACGTACCCGGATTGAGCCTGCAAACATTGTCAGTTCAGTCGTTCTAGCTGCGTATCTTCAAGGTGCTCACCATGATGTCGGATGTGTATAGTAGAGGATGCTAGAGAGAGATTGAAGCACCAGGTAGCTTTATCAGTTCTGTGGTTGCCTGTCAGCGTCGTCGTCATCGTCGCGATTGCCGCATGCGCAGATGCAGCAGTGGATCAACGGCTGCCTGCTTGGTGATGGAGAAATTGCGGCTTACGTCAATAGAGAAAACTGATTGTGGTGGATAGTCGATGTGAATGCGGGAGAAAGGGCGGAGGCGGAGGAGCGGTGTTCTGAGGCTGAGGGAAAGTAGTGGGGTCTTTTCAAGCGACGTAGTGGGGTGCAACACGGCACCCTTTCCAAGGTTTAGTTTGTCCCTCTGCGGCGCCACAGCAACCGTGTGCCCCAGTTATGACAGGGTATCGGCCAATCCTATGCATCACGAAATTCATAAATGGAGCATGGACTCAGGCATAATTGTGCATGGTGATTACATGTTTGGCTTGTTCGTATTCCTTCATCGCTTTATACATCTTGTCCTTCCCAGGAGATCTTTACACAATATTCTACAATAAAAACCAAATATCCAATAATGCTGCGCTTTTGAGAAACCATGAGTGAAGAGCGGAGACCAACCCAATATCGTGTACATAAATCATCACCGGGAAAGACATAAGACTAAAGTCATTATAACGGAATGGGGGTATAAGAAGAAGAAAACAGACGGCTAGGCTTCATTTGCTTAGAAGCCCATTCCGCCCATGCCTCCCATACCTCCCATACCGCCAGGCATGCCGCCTGGAGGACCAGACTTCTCCTCGGGTGCCTCAACAATGGCGACCTCAGTAGTACCAAGAAGCGAGGCAACACCGCTGGCGTCAACGAGAGCAGTGCGGACAACCTTGAAGGGGTCAAGGATACCAGCAGCGATCATGTCAACGTACTCGCCCTTGGCGCTGTTGAATCCCTTGTTGAAGTCGCCCTTGTACTCGTCAATGAGCTTGCCAACAATGACGGAGCCCTCAGCACCGGCGTTCTCGACGATCTTGCGGGCGGGGTGGGTGATGGCGTTCTTGACAATGGTGATACCGAGCTGCTGGTCGAAGTTGGCAGCCTTGACGTTGCCGAGAGCGTTGGCAGAGGCCTTGAGGAGACCAGTACCACCACCGGGCAGGATACCCTCCTCAACGGCGGCACGGGTAGCGTTCAGGGCATCAACAATGCGGTCCTTCTTCTCGCCGACCTCAACCTCGGAGGAGCCACCGACCTTGATGACGGCAACACCACCAGAGAGCTTGGCCAGACGTTCCTGGAGCTTCTCCTTCTCGTACTCGGAGGTGGTAGCGTCGTTGATAACGCCACGGATCTGCTCGCAGCGCTGGGAGACCTGGTCCTTGCTTCCCTCACCGTTAAGGATGACGGTGTCTTCCTTGGTGATGGTGATGGATCCGGTAGAACCGAGCATGTCGGGGGTGGCCTTCTCAAGCTTGATGTCAAGGTCATCGCTGAAGACGGTACCGTTGGTCAGGACAGCGAGATCGCCAAGGATGGACTTGCGGTTGTCACCGAAGCCGGGAGCCTTGACAGCGGCAACCTGGAGCTGGCCACGGAGCTTGTTGAGAATGCAGACGGCAAGAGCCTCACCGTCAATGTCCTCAGCAATAATGACGAGAGGACGGCGGAGCTGCTGGGAGGCCTCGAGAGCGGGGACAATGTCCTGGACGGCGGAGATCTTCTTCTCAGAGAGAAGAATGAGGGGCTTCTCGAACTCGACCTTGGCGGTCTTGGTGTCGGTGATGAAGTAGGGGGAGATGTAACCACGGTCAAACTTCATACCCTCGGTAACCTCAAGCTCATCCTCGGTGGTCTTTCCCTCCTTGACGGTGATGACACCCTCCTTTCCGACCTTCTCCATGGCGTTGGACAAAAGCTTGCCAATGTGCGTGTCGCCATTGGCAGAGATGGTGGCGACCTGTGCGATCTCCTCGCTGGTGGTGATGTCCCTCTTGTTCGCCTTCAAGTATTCGACGACGGCCTCAACAGCAGCCTGGGTTCCCCTCCTCAGGTCCATGGGGTTGCATCCGGCAGCGACGTTCTTGACAGTCTCGGAGAAGATAGCGCGGGCGAGGACTGTGGCAGTGGTGGTACCGTCACCAGCAGCCTCGTTGGTCTTGGAGGCGACATCCTGGAGCAGGCGGGCTCCGAGGTTCTCGAACTTGTCCTGGAGGGAAATGGCCTTTGCGACAGTTACACCATCTATGGTAATGTTAGCGGGCAGTGCTGACAACGAGGACAAAATTTCTACATACCCTTAGTAATCTTGGGCGAGCCGTAGCTCGACTCAATCAATACATTGCGACCCTTGGGACCGAGTGTTGTTGATACAGCCTTTGCAAGTGTGTCGACACCCTTCAGTAGTCCCGCTCGTGCCTCGACGCCGAACTTCAATTCCTGTATGTTTGTTAGATTTTGCCTTTCTGCATACCGAGGGCATACGACTGCCGTACCTTGTGCGCAAACCTCTGTTGCTGGAGGTTGTAGCTGGTGGATCGGAGCTTCGAGCTTGAGTTGAGGGCCGAAGTCCGCGCCCGCGATGCGAAAGCTCTTTGCATTGTGAGGGAATTGGGGATGTGTGGGTAGAGGAAAGGAAGCTCAGATGTTGCTCCTAGACTCCAGCTTAATGCAAGATAACCAGGAATAGGATTGATGTAGAGGAGGATGCGGAGAAGAGTGGTCGCAGATGTTCGATGCCTCTAAAAATTTGGGTCGGTCGACTACTGGAATCATCGAGAAGACGCTATGACCACATCCGCGAGCTAGCCTCGGCTTTGCTCCGTAACTCCATCTCCAGCCTCACCTTTCCATGTTTGTCAGCATCTGAAATTTTACTATGCTGTGGGCTCATAAGATATTGTGTACAGTTCCTTTGTGGAGAGTATCGTGTGTTGATCGCACACCCAAATCATCACATCAGCTACCTAAGTAGGTACTTTAGCCTTCTGACTGACCAGCAACATATCGCCATTGATACTTTTGAGGCCAACACCAAATATCGAAAATATTTCCCGCCGGTCTGCACTAAGGCTCACCGTTCCTGTCACCTTCTGAACTACCTCGATGCATCTCCAGATATGTAGATGTCCTTCGTCAAGCTGCCAGATCGTTCCCCTTGGTCCGCTGCTTAGTTCCTTCAGCATCTTCGTATTCCTAGCCTGTAAGATTTCCATCTTCGCTTCCGGGGCTTCTTCCTCAAGCGCTTTCTGTTTTGCAGCTTTCATCTCTTTCTTACTTTTTCCTTCTTTTGATATAGACAAGGCTAGCCCCTTTTCTGCATAAGCAGCGGTAGCTTGAGCCTTCAAAGGTCCTTTCCAGAAATCCGCCTGAGGGGAGCTGTTTTCGTATACCAGGTGATAATATATCGGCTTCTCACCTTTTTCACTCAAGAGATGTAAGGGCTTGGATATCGACACGTTAGGCGGAGGCCAGCGAGTATCGCCGAACGGACACTGGTCCTTCTCTTCTGGTGTCAAGATTTTTTGACCTGAGTCAGTGCTGTTGCCGCTGCCGCTACCACCTGATTCTGGAGGTGTAAGTCGTGTTGGATCTACATGTTGAAGGGCCACCCCAGGAACTGATAAAACCTTTTGATCAAGCGCAGTTACTTCGTCATCGTAGACGGTCCTGGCAAAGTCGTGGATTTGTGGTTGACCAGGTTTTGGTGCCGCGCGGTTCTCTCGCCCATAGTTTTCGAGCGGATCTCCTCGTGGCGTGTGCTGCGGCATGTTTACCTATACGATAATACGGAGGAATGTAGCAGAGCGTAGTGCTGCATAGTCCTCGCATGATTATTGATTCAGCATGCGCGGCCATATGTCAATGTGTGGGAGTGAATGTCTGGCGCGCCAGACTATATGATGATGCTCTAGCGCATCACAACCACATCCTCGCAGACATGGTTTGCTCCTTGGTGTTGGATCGTAGCGAAACGCATCTTGTATGGCTGAAGCTTCGGACCAATAGTGAAGCTGTGCGACCCTCCATGCATATCAGGCAATAGAGCGCCTTCAGATAACAGGTAACTAGCTGAGGACTTCTCGATGGCCTTGCAAAAACACTGACGTGTAGTCTTCTAACTGGTACGTCGCTTCTCCAATTGCGTCTTCTTCAGGCACAGTGTGGTGTTCACCGGTCAGTCAAGAGACGTAAAGCCATCCGCATCGCCCAACCCTTAGCGCGGGGCACAAGTGGGCGCAGCACAGCTGGCTCCAACCTTCCACTCAACATGCACAAGGCATAGCCTATAGCTAACATCAAACGGTCCTGTAATAGTTCCTTCAAGACAGTTCCGTCAGGCCTGAGAACCATGCATCGCCGACCCATCGATCCAGCTTTGAGCAGCGCAAGACAAAGCCAGCGCAGGCGATTACTCCCATCTGACAGAAAAGGAGGTAAGATAACGGAGAGGTTCTCGGCATACTTCGATTACCCGTGGGATAAGATTGAAGAATATCTCAGAGGGAAAGATGGTCCAGCCTGGAAGACTTGGGATTTCAAGCCGACGAGAGTGCGCATTCACTGTCATGCGACATACTGCTTCAGGCTAACAGATAGTGCAGCTGAACGACAGTTGGGTTTTTGAAGTACCCGAGAAGTTGACTGAGGTGTGTTCATGATAGGTTTTTGCTATTGTGCATGATCTCACATTTCGCAGAGCGATCGAAGAGAATTAAGGAGTCGACGTGATGCACCGAAAAGGACCAGGCGACCATCAGTATCTTCGGAATCAGATGTTGCAGAGAACACTGAGACCTCTTGAGGCTCCAATATTTTATGGATATGTTTGCACTGGAATCAGAGGTCTCGGGTGCTGTTGCTTCGATAGTACCTAGGTAGCTGGCGATCAGTGGAGCAGCCATTTCTGATGGGGAAGAATGATCTAGACGAAGGTAATTTGGCCAATCCTTGCAACTGCTCGCATGTTCCGTAGCTTCGCATGCACATGCATATGCATGCCTCACTCAAGCCCACAGCGGCTGAGCAAAACAAGCCACCTGGGGCCATGCCATCATCACCTGCCCTCGCCTTTGGCCTTGCGCCCACCTCCTCTTCCCTAGTTCACCCAAAATACTTTCATGACTGCAATTGCAACTCAAGTCGCTGAACAACCATACAACATGTTGCCGCCCACACTACAAGACTGTTACCTGAATCATGCAGAATATCCCATGAATCTTACTTCCAGCGAAACTGCGACTTACAAACACATGCTCAGATCTTACAAAGATCGGCTGGACGAGGCCGAGGCGGACTTATGCTTGGTAGATGAGGAAGACACAGTGGAGGAGATCTACGAGGTGCCGATAATTGATATGGCCACCAGCGATGGCAGAGGTACTTACTTTGCTGTCTGTAAAGATTTTATGTGATCTGACCACTGTAGCCCGACAAAAACGGAACATTCATAGCCCGTCCAAGCTTGAAAGATGGCTTGGGGTATCTATCATGGACGACCCCAATAGGACAGGCACGCAGCACGTACATACCACAAAACGAGATCCAAAATGCCGCTTCATGTAAGCAGACAATGACACATAGAGTGTCGCCATGATCCAGAGAGATTGACCTCGTGCAGATATATCTACGGCGAAAATTCCCGTGACAAATTGAAAATTACACGCGCAAGCTTGACGCAGATACTGACATACCACCAAGTAATGCCTGTATATCTTGACTTCATGCTCATATTTGGGGCGCAAATCAGTGCGAAAGACCCTCACTTCTTTGGATTTCGCGAACGAATACGCTTTGAAAGTCCACCAATTCATCACACGGTCTTGGACTTGGGACGAAGCGGAAAGATGTTTCAGTTGTGCTTCAATCTTAAAGGTGTTGGCTTGTTCGAGAACAAAAGCAGCGAAGAGGCTGAGCTCAACGATTGGTCTATCCGAACCGTGTCAATATATCACCGCTTTGATGTTGAAAGTGGAGCCACTCTTTGGATCGTGACCAAGGGTGGACGAGATCTATGGCATCGATATGAACAACTCACTGGATCAGATGGACCGCAGGAGGCGCGATGCTTCTCGGACCCTATGTCATGCTTTCGTGCGAGTCTCACTGTTCAGCTGATGTTCTGTCATTGGTCCACAGAAGACTGGCGTTGGTATGTGAGCTGGCTGGAAGACAAGTTGGATTATGGGGTAAGCCCAGTATTTTCTGGATAAGGTTCACGCTAACGAAGCATCATAAAGAGCGATTCGGCATATACAAGGCGCCATGACCAAAGCCAAATGCAGTTGCAATACGAGCTTGACGACATCGCAGATTTGCAGTACTGGCGGGACAAAGCCAACGAAGCTGTGATGTTCTTAGAAGCCAATGTCGGGATCCTCAATTCTTTACGTGACTTTTATGGGAACCTAGCAAAGCGAAGAAACTTCCCTCATTCACTCAAGACGGGTTGTGAGCACGAGTTGGATGTGTTCCTATCACAAATGGACGAGATCATGAAGGACTTCCAGAGACAGCTCGCGAGAACGAGGTTGATAATTAACATTGTCAACGACAGGAAAGAATTGGTATTGCAACACTTGCAGGCTCAGACTGAGCGGCTCAGTAAGAACATCGGAAGGGAGACCGCTGTGATGCGTATCATTACCATTGTGACTTTATTGTACCTCCCATCCACTTTTGTCTCCGTAAGCCACTCCAATTCCCTTCTATCACCCGTTGCTGACGATTGATAGACATTCTTCAGTAGTGATGTTGTAAAGTATCAGAATCGGGACGCAGAGGGCGCAGGTGGTGACACAGAAAGCTTTTCCGCGCTAGCTCTCAAGAGGTGGCTTCAAGTCGCATTGCCACTGACTGCTTTGACGCTTTTCTGTGCATGGATCTCGATTAAATTCCATGATCAGACCCCAGGCGATCCCGTTGTCGGAATGCTTGGATATGGTGCTCTCGAATGGATCAAATCTTCTGCGGTCATATACTATACCCAAGTACAGGGGCGTTTCCGAGACGTGCCACAGTGGAGGGCATCGATAAAGATAGTGGCAGCAGTAATGCGTGTTCGCGTCCGCATAACCTCGCTCTGGGTCAGAAACACCTCTAGTGCTGGGTTGCCGGTCGAGAGGAACAACTTGCAGCAACCTACACGTTGGTATCGTTCCCGTAAGAAGAACGCAACAATCGCTTGAATAGAAAGGCGATAAATTTGTCAGACAAGTGCTTGGCTGGTACAGAGGGCGCAAAACGATGGTGGTGGCTTCAACATGGCTACCTATGTGTTTGTCATCTCCAGTCTCACGGCCCTGGCGGGCTGTATCACGATGTTGCTTACCCAGTTACTGTAGAAAAAGCATAGGGAGCTTCAATATATAGACATCTTCGTAGTTGATATGTGCTCCGAAACAGGATATATAAAGATCGTTCCAGTGTACTGCGGCATCTCGCACGACCCAGGTATAGGAAACAGAGCTTTGTTCGCGCGTATGAGAACATGAATATGCAATTGCCCACTGAGCATACAGCTATCGCAAAATTTTACCCTCTGTTGGCCGCCACCGACGTCTTGTTCTTGCATGGCTTGTTATCGCGACGGCATCGAGGAGTCGAAGGACACCAGTTAGCTATTTGTTCTCAAGAAGCCTGAAACGTAGAGGAAATTCAGAGACGGTTACTTACACCATAGTAGTAGTCCAGCGTTGCTAATTTACGAAACGTCAGCTCGCCATGCCAAAAGAAATGATATTCGATCTTATTGGCGCTTGGTGTCAGCTGCAGGTGCCTTGGCTGTTGACGTGCCCCGCGTTCAGCCTACCCTCTTCAGGCGCTGGCATAGCCACCGTAGGACCTCATCGCAGGAAAGCACCTACTTTAACTTACATCGCTCCCGCATCGCACCCGTCCTTGTTTTATGATGCCTTGGTCACCCGCATGGATGATACCTGATTCGCACCATACACTTACGTCCTCCGACAGCAAGCACGTATTGTTCGGCATTTACAGCACGTCACCATGTCTGCGCTTTATGTACAGCATCACTCCGGGATCTTAGCGGAATTTCTGGACCTTTTGGAACATCGCTGGTCCTACCAAGTAGCGTGTCAGAACGAGTGCGACGTCGATGAAGGTTGTGATTGCATACGCCATATTGTCCACGTCCAGGCAGTCGTAGAGTGGTGGACCACAAAGACGCCCGACTTCCTAACGCACACAAGACTGCAGCGTCTGCTCGAAGACTTCAAGCTTCTTGGACCACGTTCTCTGATTGTGGAGCAAGGATTGATCTCGGGAAGCCGTGCTTACATTCTAGTTTTCAGCATGTTACTGGAGCTAGGCTATGGCCATCTTTTGAGTCGATTTATCGACTCTGGTATAGACGATAGAAGCCTGGCCAGTATGCAAGAAAGAGATGAACAAGTTTTACGCAAGAGTCTATCCGAATGTGGTAGCAGCATCCAAGTGGAACAAGTCATTGATGACTTTCAGAGGGCGAGGTGGGCCTATTGTCCATTAACGCTGAGCCTGGGCATGGAGGACGACTTGCGCGGAACCAAGACCATTCCTCCATTTTGCCAAAAACTCCGACTAGGACATACCGGAGGTACTGCATCTCTTTATTGGATCGCTGTTCAACAAGAATTGATCACCGATAATAAGCTTGCATCTGCACTCCGAGATTCAATTTATGCTGACGAGATCTATGGAGAGGTGAGCTTCTGGGCCCAATCATTTTTTTGAATGCGCTAACGAATCTGGAGTGTTATCAAATGGTTCTCAAATCCTATAGCGGGAAAAGACGTTCTGAGTTCGAGATAGAGAAGACGGCATTCTTGTATCTGAGCTCGAGTGAACAAGTTCCTATTATAAAATTCCTGGGGTCTTATACACACAGTTATGGCGAAGGTAAAGAGATGGGCGAAACTTACAACCTGCTCTTAGAATTTGGAGAACGAGATCTCTACGAGACATGGGCCGACGAGACGAATGTTCCTCCTGTGCGAGCGGAAGAGATCCTTCAATCGTGGAAATCTCTCTTTGAGGTTGCTAAAGCTATTCGTCATATTCATAACCTCGAGATACGGAGAGGCAAAAGTCTACCCTGGAGATACCATGGGTACGTAATCGTGGGTTTGCAAGTTTCAGACGACTAACTTAGACAAGTTGGCACGCAGACATCAAACCAGACAACATACTTGTCGTTCGCGGACAGCTGAAGCTGGCTGATTTCGGCTTTTCCAGCTTCGCTCCCGTGGTCGAGCGCCGTGACGATTCAGAACCAACAGAATTTATCAGGGGCTACACTGATACGTATGGTGCGTCTACATAGTGTTGAGGATACTCGGATCAGCTCTAACTACCTGCAGGTGCACCTGAAGTGTTTCGTATGAATAAACCGAGTGGGACCTTGTCCGGGGTCTCGCAGACCATCGACACCTGGTCTTTTGGTTGTGTACTATCAGTAGCTGCGACATGGTTAGTACTGGGATATCAAGGGGTGCGTCAATACGAGAAGCTTCGACAGCTATCTCCAGAGAACGACAAGGGCAACGTTGTGTTAGACCGATTCCATGATGGCTTCGATGTACTCCCTGAAGTTGAGAAATGGCACAATTTCCTCCGCGGACACCTTCGAATGTCAGATACGGCAACAGAGCTGGTATTGGACTTGATAGAAACAAAGCTGCTACGAGCAAATCCAGCAGCACGGTACAATATGGAGGAGCTTTGCGACAAATTACAGGAGTTGAGTGCCTGGGCCGAACATAAGATCAAGAGCCTCCGGAAACAATCAAGACATACAGATGCCTTGGTTGCCAGGGCCCTTATGGATGTTGAGGCATTAGCCGAGATGGAGAGATCGTCGGAACGAAATCTCAATCTATCGCAACGGTCTTTTGTCCACATCAAGTCTCTGGAGCCGGTATCGAAGCGAGCAGATAACAAAGATTTGATCAGGATCAAACCTCTTGGCCAGACAGCACACCGCAAACAAATCTTGGACACAATGCTTGAAGAGCATTCAATCATCGAGAGAGATGATGCGCCAGACGCAAGTGGTATTCATAATGGTGCAATAACAGACAGCCCGATTGATTCAGTTTCCCCAATGGAGCTGCAATACCATGGTCGCAAAGCTAAACCCGTGATACCACAGCTTCGAGCACCTGACCAACGTCAGCAAAGTAAACGCCATGACACACCAAACACCTCAAATCAACATGTGATATCGAGCCTCCTCAACACACCACCACCACCATCTAGTCGTCAAAGAAGGACCTTTGATGCTACTTCTCCATCTCACAGCGACGACTCCTTTGCAGGAAGACCTGGACTGCATGTTACAATACCATATTCACCCTTGGTGCGGTACCCTGCCGGACGCGCACAGTCAAATGATACTCTAAAGCAACCGCCTCCATCTGAAGATGAAAGAACCATGGTTCATGATCCCGAGTCATCAAGCGTATCAACGTCAGAGAAGACTGCTGACGCGGCAAAACCTCATGCGCAAATGACCGAACAGAGCACCATCAACCGCCGCTTGGAAGATCAGAACTCATTCGCACCGAATCATTTAATCTACCATCAACGAGGGGACCTTTCTGGCACGACTAATACAAGTCTTATGCAATCTGCAGTAGACCATAAACGCATACAAGAGCCAACCATTGAGGCAGCTGATATGTCTGCACATACTCCAGAGATCGTTCCCTCGATAACACTATCACAGAGTGAGAATACCGAATCATCTCAGAATCAATTAGCGGTATCTCAATCAAGCTCTCACGCTCACGAAAAGCAGCTTGCAGAGGAAAGTCCCAACCCGCACGCATACAATTCATCAGGATACAACAGTCCTCTCTTACTAACACTTCCAACAACTGTATTATCCTTGCCCTATGACATCTGTCTCAGGAGAAAGGATTTGGACGAGAAAGTCACAAAGGGGTTGGCAAAGGGAGTCGCGAGATTGAAGGGCAGTCTTGGCATCGAAACCAGAACCCGAGATTCTAGTCTTATATGGACCTTCGGTGATCCGCGCGAGCTGGTACGTTCGATCCAACGTTTTCACATATTCAACTAACATGACTCAGATCTTCGTTGTGGACAACGGGTGGACAATGTCCAAACACTGGCCGATCGTCATATTCGTCGCAGAAACGCTCGCCAAGAACGCCGCTGGCCTGGATAGGAGTGGTTTCGATGTCAAATTCACAGTTGATGGGCATACACATAACCAAGAGCGCCTAAAGGGTGACTTGGGTCGAAAGAAGCTAAAGAAGGCTTTGAGGGCAGCGTGGCCAGAGTACAAAGAGAACAACCATGTCACCACAGACATGGCCAGAGTTTTTAATGACATTTCTCAGGACTGGCGCCGTGGCGGCCAACCCGCAACGACATTACTTGTTTTTACTGACGGCGTTTGGTCCAACACAAACCTCGATTCTTTGAACAAGATCATCCTCGATATCGCCGAGAAAGACCGATCGCATGTGGGAAATCGTCACTTTAGCATACAGTTCATTCGATTCGGCGATGAAGAAGCTCAGAAAACTCTACTACAAACGCTCGATGACTGCCTATGCGTTGCTCATAATCTGAGGGACATCATCGACCATTGCTCATGGCGTGCCAAAGTCGACAAGATGTTCAAGGGGAGCATCGAAGGCTACTTTGACGAACAGGATTCCGATGAAGAACCCATCTTGTACGATTATAAGAAGCTTGTTGATCTATTTAATACTTTCAACAGAGCCGAAGATCCTACGCGAACATCGCATCGCTCTTCTACCTCCCTTTCCAATAAAGGGGGCTTCGCAAGAAGATAATGATGGACATCGTCCTCGATACCATGATTCGCATTCTTTATTTTGTCCCTGCGCATGCACAGCTCGTGTCTGTTTGCGCATAAGTCTTTTTCTTCTGCTCACATGCGCTACGATACTCAGCGCTTGTCGCTACCTGCGCTTTTATACCATTCATTGTACATGTCTTGTATCAGTTTCTAGAGTTTGGCATTTCGCGGTTGGAGCACTATACCCATAGCATCGGCGTTTTAGAGTCCAATACTATCTTTTGTTGCGCAAAGGATCAGTATCAAGGCATATTCTTCCTGCAGGCGCAAGTACCGTATCGCATAGTTCCCATATGTCAAACAAACTTACATGCGTGCGACTCGTTTCTACAAGACGTCATCCTCCATCTCTTCACGCTCTCACAAGATTCTGGGACATATAAACAGCGCCTATGAAGCGAAGACTCTATTTTGAGTAACGTTTTATAACCACCCTCCGTCTTCCTGTCTCACGACCAGAAGGCAAAGCAACGTGGCGAATCTTAAGCTTTTCCATCTTCCTGACGCCTCTTTTCAAATACCTGCTATGCCTCGCAGCAGTCCGAACAGGATCTGGAGTATACGGCCTCGCATCAAATCTGCGCACCAACGGGATAGGATCAACCTTAATCTTGGCTGGCTTACGTCGGCGGGCGCGGCGCAGAAGCTCCTTCGCCCGTACCGATAGCGTCGGTTTTACGGGCGTGTAAGAGTTGACGATACGGGCAGGTGGCGGTTCGCTGGGGGGAAGGGTGATGAAATTGTAGGCTTTGGTGTTATGGGCACGTTTGCGGCGGTATGCTCGGTTTGTTTCGTGTGCGATTGCGGAAGTTACTTCTCTAGACGGTGGTTGAGAGGTAGTTCCACTGGAAGTAGACTGGCTTGAAATCTCACCTTGGTTCTGAGTAGAAGGCTCAGAACTTGTCGAGGACTCGGAATCTGCAGAGGGCTCAGGGTTTGTCGTAGGCTCTGAGCTTGGAGGCGTCGGCGAGTCTTGCGATGGCCGCTGGTCCCCTGATGCGACGTGAACCTGAGTACCATTCTTAGAGCTCTTAGCCATCTTCCTAGCTCTGTTGGTCGTGTTGAGTAACTTCCTTTTGAGCTTAGGGTATTCAGGCCTTTTGAAAGAAGGCCATTTCGTCTTCAGCTCATCGGTTGGTGTGGCGCTATGTGTTTGGGCGATGCTGGTATCCTTTTTTGTCCAAGCATCATTTGTTGTCGTGCGAAGAGTGCCCTTGACAGCAACGCCACCAGTAGGCCCCTCAATCCATACATCATATATGCTGCCATTCTGCAACTTCTTCTTCTCCGAACAGCATATGCGCATTTCCTCGTCGCAATAAAGCGGTGCTAGGTTGCGATATTCTATGGACTCTGAAACTTGCTTCCCTTTCGTTTGTTGGTGCACGTAATGATTCACCGTTTTCAACATGAGGGTCAATGAAAGCGGCCCGTGAACTAGCAGATTACGGTGGCCCTCGACGTTACGAGCGTAGTCGGGATCGAGGTGGATGAGATGGGCGTTAAATGTGAGAGCAGAGAAGCGGAAGAGAAGGGCGCGGTTCGGTGTGAGGGTGTGCGAAAAGTCGGGGTTTCCAGGGGCTGTTAACAGTCAGTAGATAGCCCCAATGGTCTGCGAGGATACGCACGATCTAAGTACTTGACAGTCGCCATTTGGCCAGCTTTGACAGCCTCGAGTTCTGCAGCGGTACGTTCCTTGAAAAAGACCAGGTTGCGCTCCTCTTTTAGAACAGCATCGCCCCAGCCATCGTCAACCTCAGCACGCGATTGCTGTGTGAGGTCTTCCCGGACCTCTTGAGAGTGCACACTGACGCCCGGTGGTCTCTTGCCGTGCTTCCCCTTGTCGACACCTCTCTCTGCGCCTTCAAAGCCTGCGAAGCGCCGCTCGATTGTGACAAAGATCTTGGCGGTATCGCCCTCTCCATGTAGTCGTACATGCTTTATTTGCTCTGTACCAACCATGACCGTGCCTGCTGTACAGCAGCGAGCGTATGCGAGATAGCCATTAGGTTTCAGCTGTATCGAGCCGCCAGCCCACATGCGCCGCACCCATGGCTCGCCTGGGCTATGTGTTGCATCTGTCCCGTCTGGAAGTAATTTGAGGGTCGGCTCCGCCGGATTGAACCATATCAAGTGATCTCCAAAAGTCATCGGTGAACCGCTGTAGTTCAGGGAACGGCACCATGATCGAGGCAAGAATCCTGCTAATGTTTGCGAGAGCTTAATCCCGTGCGTGTCGGTGAGTTGGTCACGAATATGAGTAACGTCTCGTTGCAGCAATTCGCTCTGCAGCTGTTGGAACCATGGCGGATCGCTCGAGTTGGCTGAAGAATAGCATCGCAGCGGTATTCGTCGCCATTGTATGCGATTTGTGTGTCTCCTGGCGATGCGAGGTGTGCACGGCGTCCGGAGCAGCATTGGAAAGGAAAGTTTGCGGGCAACGCCAAATCCGAGGTAGATGCTATCCTTGGGCGGCTCTTGGCGACGTCATGACGTAGGCGACGAGACTCTCCAAATTCCATCATGTATGCGCCCTCTGACTATCAGACATGGTCGCACTTCGAATTTCGCACGCTCGTCCAGGATGGGCGTTTGCGAAGCTGCCAACATCAAGCGTTCCATTTCTTCTATCCGTCAATGCCATGCGAGGCTGACCGCTTCGCTGCGACCCACTTGTCAGCAACAAATCCATCGTCTTCACACCGACATGGCATCAACATATCTTAGCACTGAATTTGCATCGGTTTGAGTCCGCGTCACGCGTCTTGGCGTGTTTGACTGGCTGCGTCTTTCGGCTGTACATGAGCGTCGCACCGTCTTCACATCAGTCTTGCCTTGTCTTCACCGCCAACACCGTCATTCCCTCGCGAACAACGTCTTTATCTTATAAGTCAGTCTTCAGTATGTGTGATTCTTGCCAAACTTGTGGATTGCTGTCTCATGTGCGTCTGCACCGCGTTCGTCATGCTAAGCCACGGAAGCCAACAGCGACTATCACGGCAGAATCAACCGCATGCGCATGAGGTGACGGTTTCCATCCATGTGAACAACGAGACGCCGCACACCGTCACTCACTCCACGTGTCTGAGTCCAGGAAGTGCTGGCCGCCATCTTCACGTTCGCAAGCTCACCTGCACAGGAATGATGAGCCAGATGGAGCTTTTGGAGTGCCCCATGTGCAAGTTCACTGTGCTTCCAAAAGATGACTACATGCTTCAATTACATTTTGAGCAAGCGCATACCGAGGATTCTCCTTTCGTGATCGAAGACGACCCTGAACCGTTACCACCGACCTTGGTCCCTAGACCTTCCTCAACTCAGCACGACACCGAGGACACGCCTTCCTCTGACGACTCGGAAGAAGAGGAAAGCGCTGTAAAGTGCCCTGATCTTGACTGCGGCGAACTTGTTCCTCTCTCTGACTTCAACGACCATATCGAATACCACAACGCAGAAACTTTATCATTTGACGAGACCACAGGAAAGTATCATTCTCGGCGTTCATCCGCTACTATGCAAAGCTCGACCTCCTCTCGTCGTTCACATGCGAGCCGAGCAAAGACAACAACATCTGAGCGAAGTTTGAGCACAGAATTATCAGATACGTTGAAGACCGAGGCTCATAGCCGCAAGTCCAAGAGGCACACCCATCGTCAGAGGCGTGATACCAATGATAGCGAGAAGAGCACTATTGGAAGGAGCATCCTAGGCTTCAACCCCTTTGCGAAAGCTGACCGAACCATCAAGCCGCCAATCAAAAGTGCCCGCTTGGGGGTTAGTTCATCGTCCTGACAGTAAAACGTAACTGACTCTTCCAGAAATCCGAGCTTGGACCATATGCCTGGGAGAAACGAATGCCTAGGTGGCTGCACGACCAGCTTGAGGCGGGTCCAAAGATCACTGCGGTTAACCGTATTGGCCGAGATGGCCGTCTCATCAAGTATGACCAGGTGCAAAACGAGACGCCAGGCATTATACCCATCCTTGCTCAATTATCCGCTCTCGATCGTTCCGTTAAACAAGCTTACTACTGTCACCCGTCGACACTCCATGTTGGCAAAACGCCCCATGAAGGTGGCTTTTGTGGCTATCGGAATATACAAATGTTGCTGTCCTACATTCAAGGCGCAAAGGCTCAGGGCCACGAAGAGTTTCCTGGGCGGCTCCCAACAATTCTGAAAATGCAAGACCATATTGAAGACGCCTGGGACAAAGGTATCAATGAGATTGGTCGTGTTCAAACTGGCGGTATACGTGATACTAGAAAGTACATCGGCACACCTGAGGTAATAACCTATATCCCTATGCCTCATTGTGTCCCGCTGACATGGTCTAGGCTCAAGCTTTCTTTTTGAACTCCGAGATTAATTGCGCTGTCGAGCAGTTCAGCGACAACAAAGACCGCGACGTTGCAGCCCACGAACTACTTCTCGCCGCCATGGAGCGATACTTTGCCCGAGCAGCCGCCAGCGATGGGTCTAACGTTAACAAAACTCTTCTACCCCCCATCTATCTTCAACAACCAGGTCACTCTATCAGCGTCATCGGTTTTGAGCGTCACTTGAACGGCTCATGCAACCTGGTAGTCTACGATCCCATGTATCACACGAGCCCTGCTATGCATAAGCTGCTTGGCCGAAAGAATATCAGGACAGCTCGACCTGAAGTCTTGCATGCATATCGTCGTGGCGTTGGAAAGCTCAGGAAATACGCCGCTTATGAGATCTTGATGTATGCCCACTAGTCGGTAGCTGATTGTTACATGCTGACTCTGCGCAGGCTTACAGCGACACCGCCTTTGTTTCCTGCTTGGGATGTATGAGCATCCATCTCCAAGCCTCTGCTCCTATATAATTATCTACTTGGCACTCGTCAAATGCACAGTCGCACTCTGACGCCTCTACGATTCCTCCATCCCTCCCATTTTTCTTTTACAATGACTTTCACTAAAGATCTTCTCTTTAGGTGCTTCGTCAGTTCCCCGACTGTCGCTTCGTGTACGCCTTCTTCCGTGCTCGTACCCTCGGATACGATGTCTACCCAGAAGATCACTTCCTTCAAAATTTCCCGTGGCAGTTGTATGGCGGACTCTGGTCGTGTGATGACGCTCGCTTTGCCAGAGCGGAGCCGATGAACGCTCTTACGGCTTTGGCTTTACGTCGAATCACGAGCGAAGGGTCCTCCAGCTGCAGTAATAACAACAGTCCTACAAGTCCTACGAATTTCTTCACAAACAGCAGCTTCCAGCACACGCCAACGGACGAAGATGACCGGCTTCCTTCTTGGGTGGGTTCACTTGATGGATCTGCGAATGGCTTTGTGAGCAGATCGCAGTATGCTAGTAGCCGCCCTGTCTACGATATGGGTGCTTTGAGCGCTGCGTTGCCTCAGCCCAGTCTTATGAGATCACACCTATCACTTCTGACAGACCTCGGAAGGAAATATCCGGGCTTTCCTACACCATTGTCTCCTACTTTGACGGCAAGAGAAACCTACCCTTCACCCGCATCCGATGCCGGAAGCGGGCTTGCAACACCTCGCGCTCTGGGTTCCGCAGTGCGTACGGTGAGCGCAATGAGTACCAACAGCTCGAACATATACGGGCCTCCTCGCTGTTACGACTTGGGCGGATACGGCCAGTGCTCACCACAAATGGGTCTCATTGATGAGGTTCTCACGAAACCGGAAACACGCAATGGCTGCCACACTCCATCAACATCGTCGCAGGGTATTGGAGGTCTTGCAACTCCCCCAACAAGTCCATCAAGATGTGTATCCCCACGTACCGTCATGCTGAAGAAGATAGCTACAAAGCAAGGTCTCCCGGAGCTGTCGCCCAATTCCATGCGCGATTCAGGTTCTAGACTTGAGTCTCACACAAGCACTCGCATTCCCGGCGCATACCCTGCCTCTCCGCCTTCATCTATCCGGTCTTTCCAATCAGCGTCGTACCGTCAAACAGCGTGTCCGTCTTTCCCTATCGCCAACGGAGTAGAATCTGAAGCGACTTCACCCATTGATCCTTGTGGTACCATGCTCTTCTACACGTCGAACCGCAGTATCGACTCGGGCCTTCTGGGCGTCCACCCTCTCTCTGAGCCTCAAGTCGCCGAGTACCGATTCTGGCGTCCTTGTGGCCGGCGCATCTGCGGGTTTGGGTGCGGCGGCGCGAATGTAGGAGAGACTGCCGCTGCAAGGAGGCTGTTCAAAGAAGTCGAGGAAGTCAGTCCTGTGGTCGAGCAGGAAATAAAAGAGGAAGGGGAGCTAGAGAGAGACGTGGACTATGAACACGGTCTTGACGGCGCGAGCGATGGAGGCTACGGCAATGGTGGGGGCGAGTTTAGCACGAGTACCTGGGCTGGCCGCCGGCTAGTCATGGATTGGAATCAGTTCTTGTCGGGTTGTGAGAGGGAAGGCGTCGCGCAGTTCTAATTGGGTATAGATGGAGCGAAGAGCATCATTGCGACTGGAGCGCATGAACAAGGTTGTTGGTTCCCACTAGGTCAATCGCTTTTTTCTAGGTATTGTGAATGTTGTTGCGCTGCTTCTTGATCTTGTCGTGCTTTGTAAGGCGCATAGTGCCATGTTCAGCTGCCCATAAGCATAAGCGGGGCTAGGCGTAGCGTTACTGCGTCTTGCAGGGGACGGCTACCAACACATGTATGGTATGGTGTTTTCGTGTCAAAATCTATTACTAGGCCAGTGACGTATCTTGCCGTTCGCGAATCCCGTTAGACTGACATGCCCCAATCGGCGATGATGTTCAGCTAATCACCCGATGCATGTTCTGCCAGCACCCGCGGCGCTGCAAAGATCGAAATCGAGTGCGATCTGCCGGCCTAGACCGCGTAGACTCTTCTACCTCATATGCCCTGTTCTTCGCTCTCAGCAGTTCGACTCGACGTTCCTGGTCTCAGGTTGCCTCTTGACAGGCACGCGCTCGTGGGGTCGTGTTCTTTGAGCCCTGGCATGACGTCACGCGGATCTTCCGTCTCTGAGCACGCTTCTTCCCACCAGCTGCTTTCGCTTTGATACAGGCCGAGCGCATGCCCCGGAACCAGCGTCATGGAGAACCTCGACAAGCTATCTGCGACGGGCTTGCCAGTGTTCGATCTCAATGAGGAGAACCTACAGCGCAAGGACTGGTGAGAAGACAACGACTATGCAAGCGCTCTGGTTGTGTGCCAGTACTGACCGACCCAGGACTACAACACCCATAGGCGCACGCGAGTCGTGGCCCATTGCCTTAACATGCCTCGTCAACACATGTGTGCTGCCTATGCCCCACTGCGCCGCCATCTTCTGGGGCAAGGACATGATAGTCATCCACAACCTTGCCTGGGAGAAAGCCAGAGGCGGTCTTGACGGGCAAGCCACGAAAGCGCGTGACAGCTACGACCATGAAGCACTCGGCACGCTGCGGACGGTGCTGAGAGGACGAACGGTCAAGGTAGGTAAGCATCGCACCATGTTGACGTACAAATTATGCGACGTACTGACAGTCTAGCCGCCAGGTATTTCCTCAAAAACTTTGCGGAAGAAAAGAACCAGCAGCTTCTCCTCAGCACTATCTTAGACGAAAGCGGCACACGACAGGGCGTACTGGCCCAACTCCTTGAAAATCAGAACGTGGACCGCTACATACCCATTGAAGGTTTGGACGAACTCTCGCGACAGCATCCAGGAAGACAGGTCAAGGATAAAGAATCCCAGCAGCAAAGCAAGCACAAGAGCACAGAGCAGGCCGATTCAATGTCGACCAGCATGTTCCAGCGCTTTGCCGAGCTGCTGCCCAATGGCCTGGCCATTCTTGACAAGGACGCTGAAGCCATCTTCGTCAATGACGGCTTCTTCAGGCTGACGACCAATAAGGGCAACAACGAGTTTCGCTCGTGGCCAGAGAGCATACATCCTGACGACTACGAAGACGTCATGACTGCTTATCGCAAAGCATTCGAGAGTCGTACTGAACTGCAGATAGAGTTTAGATGTGATGTCGCAGAGCCCGAGGAAATGAAGTCCAAAGGAGAGCAATGGAGATTATTCCTGCTGAAGCCTCTGGCTGAGGAGGTCGAATCCGGTTTTATTAGCGCTGTAATCGATATCACCGACATCAAACAAGCCCAACTAACTCAGGAGAAAGCCGCCAATGACGCCAGAGATCGCAAGGAGCAGCAAGAGAGATTCATTGACATGGTTTCGCACGAAATTCGGAATCCTCTGTCGGCTGTTTTACACTTGGCCGAAGAAGTCAGAGAAATCACAAAAGAGATTGGAGCCGATCACGAAGACGTTCGCGACCAGGTAGCCGATATATTGGATGCAGCCGACACTATACTTCTCTGCGTATCACATCAGAATACTCTTGTAGACGACATCCTGTCTTTTTCCAAGCTCGACTCTATGATGCTATCTTTGGTACCTCGACGTGAGTGTTCCCACAGCTATGTTGTGTTATCTGTTTGCTGAACTGTCGTAGCAACAAAACCAAAGTGGGAGTTTTCCCAAGCGCTTCGAGTTTTCCATTCCGAATTCAAGGCGAAAAACATCAAATTCCACTACGCTATGGATGTTTCATACGAGGAACAAAAAGTGGATAGTGTTGTCGCGGATCTTAATCGCATGAAGCAAGGTAAAGACCACCCAATATGCCATCGAATCTTAGTAACATCTCTAGTTTTGGTCAACCTGATAACCAATGCTATCAAATTCACCTCCAAGAAGAATGGCGACCGTAATATCACTGTATCCATGGGCGCATCCGTTGAGCGACCTACATCTTACCCACCCAACGTCATCTACTTCAGTGAAGAGAAAGAAGCGTTTCATCTGGATTCAACCATGACGTCGGAATGGGGTTCTGGGGCCGCCATGTATCTGATGGTAGCTGTTAAAGATACTGGCATAGGTATCAGCAAAGAAGGCCAAGCCAAGTTATTCGAACGTTTTAGGTACAATCCGCGCTCTTGGAGACAGTCGGTTCGCAATGCTAATCATGCATCAGACAAGCGACACCGAAAACACAAGAGAGATATGGCGGCTCAGGTCTCGGTCTTTTCATATCACGCAAATGTGCGTTATCGTATTCACCGCAGTTATTTCATAGCTAATTCGTCAACAGTATGCACATTACACGGTGGAGACATTGGCGTGAGTTCGAAAGAGGGAGAAGGTTCAACATTCGGTTTCTTCTTCAAAGTACGTCGAGCGACTGGCGGGAATGATGAGGGACGACCTTCAGGACAATCACGAAGTAACTCGGAAACATCCAATTCATCTTCCCGTCCAGGCGAATCTGGATCGCGACCATCTCGTCCAGGTATTAGTCGTGCAAATTCGAATCTCTCGAGCATAAAAGAGCGAAACGACGAGCGCCCTGAAGCAAAATCACTGGCCAGCCATCATGGTGTCGACTCCGAAGAGGTAGAGCCATCACTTAAAGATCCGCCAGTAGAAAATCGACCGGAAGCACACCCTGAGTCGAACGAAGATGCGCGCTACAAGGAGACGCAGAAGGCTACAGAAGAGATCAAAACAATCAAACCAAACGTGGAGAAAAGGCTGCCTGATTTGAGGAGAGGCGAAACGCACCGGCAAGAAGAGGACGCTTTAGAAGTCACGAGATCTCAGAGCGATAAACGTTCTGAAGCTACACATACTCTTCTTCTTGTCGAGGATAATCTAATCAACCAGAAGGTTCTGCGGCGGCAGCTTCAATCCCGCGGCTTCCAGGTCTTCACCGCGAACAACGGTCAGGAAGCGATCGATGCAGTAGCCGAGCGTGGACAAAGGGCAGATAACGGCCCCGACGACCGCAACTATTTCGACTGCATACTCATGGATCAGGAAATGCCTATAAAAGACGGCAATGCCGCAACACAAGAGATTAGGCAGCTACAAGATGAAGGCAAGGCTGGATACAGTCATATCCTGGGTGTTTCTGCAAATGTACGAGAGGCGCAGACGAACAGCATGCGTGAAGCTGGTATGGACGACGTTATTTCCAAACCGTTCAAGGTAGACGACCTTGTCAAGAAAGTCCGTGGCTTGGTTTTGAACGGTGGCGGCGGCTCGAAGCACGACAACAGACCAAATGGTGCCTCAAATACCGAAGAAGATGACAAAAGTGGCGACCCAAAGGACAAGGATGGCGGTCTGCATCCACGAGATGCAGAAAGACGGGAGGAAAATATACGTTCGGGCAACGAACGAGAAAATCGAGAGCGAGGAGGCGAAAGGTCAAGATCCCGAGCTACCGTAAGGACAGGGAACGTAACACACCAGAATGAGTCTAAAACGCACGAAAATCATTCATGAGCTGGATAGTCATTGCAGGCGGGAGGAAGAAACACCAGCATGGTCACGTTTGGGCTACATGGTGTTATTCTAGGCGGAATAAACGATTTAGGATTGCATTGCAAGGTGTTCAGGATTCGTTCATCTAGATAGATACGAGTGACATGGCTGGATGAGAAATGAATGTACTGTTCGAATCGCACTGTAGGAAGTGTCGAACGTTTGCGCTATTGACTGCAGTGCTGCTAAATCGAGTGTCTACACTACTATTATGAGTAGCCATGATGGTTGTGATGCTTAGCAGGAAGTGAGGTTATCACGCAAGAGCTCTATTGTTACTCGAGTCATGTACAGTACATCCCACTTCACCCCACCTTTACCCCAAACATCCATCATCACAGCCGTCGCCATGCCTACCACGCTTGTGTACGCGTGCAATTATAATCCACGACATATTCTCTGTCCATTCTAGCATTGCGACCTACCTTCTACAAACCCCGCACACAGCATGTCGAAAGAATTCCAAGATAAAGTCGTCCTGGTTACAGGTGCTGCGAGCGGTATCGGGTACATCTCTGCCTTCCTTCCCTCTCCTCTTCTCACACGGACCCAAATATGTGCATCCCACTAACACAAACAAAAGCCGCGCAACTGCCCTCAAACTCTCCTCCCTCGGCGCCTCCATCTCCCTCTGCGACGTCAACTTCCCCAGCCTCAGCGCCGTAGCTTCAGAATGCGAAACACCCACCCTCACACGAAGAGTCGACGTGAGCTCCGCCGCCGAGGTTCAGGAATTTGTTGACAGCACCGTCAAGGGACTGGGTCGATTGGACTACGTTTTCAATTGCGCTGGCGTGAATCCCACGAGCATAAAGCTCGAAGACACCAGCGAAGAGTATTGGGATAAACTCGTCAATACGAACCTCAAGGGCGTGTTTCTTGTTACGAAGGCCTGTCTTCCGTATCTGAGTCGTGGGTCCGCTATCGTCAATGTGAGCAGTGTATCCGGCATACGCGGTTCAGCTTTCCAATCCGTATACTGCACGACGAAATTCGGACTGATCGGCATGACCAAATCGCATGCTCTGGAATTTGGTCCCAGAGGAATCAGGGTCAATGCTATTTGTCCGGGCTATATTGATACGCCGTCGAATGCGGGTATCGTGAAGGGAGGCGAGGCAGTGGAGAGGATGAGGAATGGCAATGCGTTGGAGAGGCTGGGAGAGCCGGAAGAAGTGGCGGATGTCGTTGCATTCTTGTTTGGAGAAGGAGCGCGGTATGTTAATGGAGCTGTCGTGGAGATTGATGGAGCGATTAAGATGAGTAGTACTACGAGTAAGTGAAAGGGGTCTGCGGATGCAGAGAAATGGCATCTTGCATATCTAGAGACGTTCAATCATGGTGTTTCACATGTTGAGTTTGTGCATAGAGTTTTGTATGCTGAGGCTTGAGATCAAAGCCATCCAATGGGAAGTCGAGGTGGAGAAGCAACCCGGTCACGTGCCATGGAGAGCCGCACGCTAGCGCAAGGTTGTCGCATGTCGAAAGTTCCACCGCGACATGTCTCACCACAACTCCAACACCACAACCATGACAGAAGTACAAGAATCCACACAAACGTCGCTTGCGGCAGATACATCTCTCGCACCGACCGCGTCGACCGAGCTTGTTACGACGACAGAACAGACAATCATCACGACCAATGCTGAGGGCAAAAAAGTCAAGAAGATCATCCGTCGCAAACGGAGACCGGCGCGTCCACAAGTCGATCCTGCGACGATAAAGCCCCAGGAAGTTGCGCAGACGGGTAACATTTACAACGTTTGGTACAACAAGTGGTCTGGCGGTGACAGGGAGGACAAGTACCTCTCCAAGACAGCCGCCCAGGGACGCTGCAACATCGCAAAGGACAGCGGATACACAAAAGCCGACAAGACGCCTGGGTCTTACTTCTGCCTCTTCTTTGCGCGTGGTATCTGCCCCAAGGGTGTGGACTGCGAGTACCTCCATCGTCTGCCTACTGTCACCGACATCTTCCCAAGCAACGTCGATTGCTTCGGGCGCGACAAGCACGCCGACTACCGAGACGACATGGGTGGAGTAGGAACCTTCCAAAGACAAAACCGAACCCTCTACATCGGACGCATCCACCCCACCGACGACATCGAAGAAATCGTCTCGCGCCACATGCAAGAATGGGGCGAAATCGAACGAACCCGAGTCCTCACAGCCCGCGGCGTAGCCTTCGTCACCTATACCAATGAAGCCAACTCGCAGTTTGCCAAAGAAGCAATGGCGCACCAGTCTTTCGACCACAACGAAATCCTAAACGTCCGCTGGGCAACCGTAGACCCCAACCCACAAGCCGCGAAACGCGAAGCCCGCCGCATCGAAGAACAAGCCGCCGAGGCGATCCGAAAAGCCCTTCCCGCAGCCTACGTTGCCGAACTAGAAGGCAGAGATCCCGAGAGCAAGAAGCGCAGGAAGGTCGAAGGCAGCTTTGGCCTACAAGGCTACGAAGCACCCGATGACGTATGGTACGCAAAAGAAAAGAGTGACTGGGAAGCAGCCAAGCAGCTGGAATCAGGCGGCATGGGCGAGCGCATGATGATCGAGAGTGCAGAGTCGGCCTACCAAGACGGTGATAATATTGGTCAAGAACAAGAGAGCTCGACTGCACAGCAGGGTAATGGCATTTTATCAGGGTCTACACTGGCGGCGCTCAAGGGGTTCAAGGCTACGCCGACCAACAAACGGCCTGCGCCTGTTGCGGGACCGCTTGTGGATTATGGTAGTGACAGTGATTGAGTGTGGGGTTTGCATATTGGAGTCAATGAGATTGAGAGAGAAGCATGTATTGTGTGTTTTGGTGCACAAAATCTTGGGAATATGGGAAGGAAGCATCTCATGGCGTAGGCATAGTTAATTGATACCCGTTCTTTTGCGTGTCACAGCATATGCAATTGACAATGCTACGGAGGTCCTATTCTCAGTTTCTTCGGCGCGCCTGACTTCCTCTTCTTCTTGGTCGCAGCTGTTGCTTGCTGTGTTCGAGTTTTCAGGGGGGGCGGTGGACTTTGGACGACTGGCCTTCTTCGCGACCTTAGCTTGTTTCACGACATTGGCCCTCTTCACGTCAGCTCTCTCTAGAGCCTCGATCCTCTTCGCAGCATCAGCCTTCTTCTTCGCCACCGCCTTTTCCGTCTCCTCCTGCTTCTCTCTAACGTTCTTGACCATCTCAAACTTTCTCTTCGCCCTTTTCAAAATATCGCTTGTCTTTGGGTAACTCCTTCCTTCCACTGGCTTCCCGTTCCCTTTCTCCTTGATGTAGGCCTCCATCATCTCTAACCCATACCAATCTTGCTCGACGTTCGCCTTGTAGTCTTCATGTCTTGCCCTTTCTAACCTCCAACCCTCTGTACCACATTTGTATCTCAACCGTGAGCCTTGCTTCTGCATAGAATCAAAGTCACCAACAACAAAACGGGTGGGCTGTACTTTGAGATCAACAAAGATATTCGAAGGCTTGATGTCGACGTGCACATAGCCCAAGAAGTGTATATGTCGAATGCCCTGTCTGATATCCTGCAGACATTTTTCGGCGTCAAAAGTGCGTCTCTCAGCTACCAGTTCGCCTAGAGTCATGTCGTACTTCTGGAACAATAGCGCCATGATGCGTTTGCTCTTCAAGTCGTAGTCTACACCACGATATCGACATATGTTTGGATGTGGGTTTTTACGTAACATCTCACAGTTTGCAATCTCCCTCGTTACGATGTCTTTGAGCCAACATGGTGTCCCGAATAGCTCAGTGGAGTAGCGGAGATGATCCATCGTTTTGGCATATAACCTGTTATTTTTCAGGTATTTGGCGGATGTCATCGTTGAGTTTGTGTAAGTCGGTCGGACGTTTGAAATGTTTATCAAACGCGGCGGTGTGTCCCAAGTGTATGGGTCGGGATCGGGAGCGCTCTTGTCGCTGGGCTTTTCGGTCTCTGCGTACCAAAGGCTGTCGAGAAAGACTGTTGAACAGAAGATTGCTCGGATCGTTCCATCATAATCTCGCCTTTTGTGAAGTACCAGGCCGTTCTTGATGGGCCACGCGGGTTCCGCTGAGCTAAGCGCCACAGGGGGACGAGACGCTGGAGCCATGGCTTTGTTGGGCCGTGGGATCACAACAAGAGAAGTTGATGAAACAAGTTGCGGGTTGCTGGTATATTCAATGAGCGTATGTACTGTGAACCTACGTTGACTCGTAATAGTGCAGTGTCGTTAGCACAGCATTTCACTATTTCACTGTGTCGGAAGTGGCAGTGTTTTCTGTCTCGAACTTAGCACCGTTCAATCATCTCTCCTTGTATCTATGTCGTTAAGCTGTATAGTCACGGTACAAGACAACTACACCGTTCATAATGCGAGGTTTTTTCTTCTTGCGAGCCTGAAGTTTTCTCCCTAATCACCTTGAGCGCTTGCGTTACGTTAAAAGCTCTAGTATTGGTCCCGAAAACCCAACATATCGATCATAGCATTATGTTCAAGTTCGTCGGCGAACTCATGGGCGTGGATAAGGAAGAACGGGCATGGCCGTCGATGCAAATAGTAGGCCACCGTACTTACCACGAGAACTCTATCCCCCAGACATGGGTATTGGCTCACCAGAACGGACGACTGTATCTCGGAATCAAGGAAGGCACCATGTCCAACAGCCAAGCCGACTGCACTGACCCTTCGCTCTGGAGAGATCCAGAAACCTGTTTGCCCCCTCCCGAACTCGATCCCGCCAACTTATATCCAAAGGTTCTGCCTCGTTATAACCTCTTCCATCCCCATAAACATGTGGCAGGGGACGTTTACAAGAAACAAGGTACTATAATGAAGGCGGATCGTCGGTATCTTTGGCAGGCCCTCAACACAACTTTTGTAGCACATACCACTGCGCGGGAGATTGATGCTTGTCAGATACTCGATTCGCAGCCGCATAAAAGCATTTGCAAGTATTACGGTGTGGAGACTAGCAGTGTGCTCCTATTCAAGTACCGCAACGAAACCATCAACCTGACCATGGACCAGGGGCGTGTCTTGAACCTAGTGTTCGAGAAGTACGATTGTAACCTTCGGGAAGCAATCGAACGTGGCTATCCTATACACATCCGGGATTGCTTGCAATCGATAGCTGCGGGTATACAGCACATGCACTCCCTGAAGCTTGTTCATGGGGACGTCAAACCCGAGAACATACTTGTCAAGTGGTCAAACAGCGCACATGATGCGATGGCGTTGCGGTATGTTATAGGAGACTTTGACAGCACCCAATGGAAGGGCTCAGTGATTGGTGGCAAATACGGGACTCCGTTCTGGTCGCGAGACAAGAAACCTGGAGTAGACATTGTGGAAGAAGACGATGACTGGTTCGGTTTTGATCAGTTGAGGAAGTGGTTGGTGTGTTTTACCACTGACTCGCGCCAGAAATCGGAAGACTATAGGGGTATCGGGAAAAACATTGGAGGAACGAAGGATAGGGAGAGCACAATCACCTATAGCTCTATTTAAATGATGTAAATACAGACTGAAGCAATAATTTATCGAGAAAAATGATTAGAAGTGAAAGATGGTCAAGGAAAAGGAATTAGGAAATGATTCCTTTGTGAAGTCGTGCCTGTGGTCACCAGATTCGAAAAGATCTTCGTATGGCACTCTCAGGGGGTAAACATTGAGCAAACAGAACCATATCCTCTAATGCTGCTACCGTGTATGAGTAGAGAAGGATTGAAGTATGGAATGTATATCCGATCAAAAAGCCGGTGTAAATCATGAACGGAATGGAGAGTTGCATGTGACGGACGTGCTAGATGTGAAACGCGTCATATCATGAGTAGTAGTACCGTTTGCGTTTTGTTGTGAAACCGCCTTAGCGGGCTGCACCTGCATCGCTTATGTGCTATCGGTATGTTGTTGTGGGGTTTCTTAGCGCTAAGCAACTGTATGCGTACAGATCAGCTCAGCCTAATGAACAAACCGCAACGCAATCTTGGAAGTCCAGAATCAATGCCTACAGCAGCCTGCTAAACTACGAATCCGGTGAAAGCGATATTACCATCTTTGCAAAAGCTCGATAGCCACCGCACAGGATTCCATAGGCCGTCGCCCTGCAAGACATCGTCCTATGTCTATCGGTAATGCGTCGAGTAGTTTGTGGTTACCGTTTCCACTCAGACGATATTTCGCACAAACTGAGCCTGCAAACTATCGATATCATCAGGTATCCACAGAAGGTTCCCAAAGAGAGCCAAAGTCCTGGTACAGTTGTTGGAGAATCATGGTTCCTGGGTCTTTGCTCGGCATCTTGATCATCGGGGGCGCAGTGTATTTCAATCGACAACTTGAGCTATGTGAGTTTCCAGATCCAGATTACGAGCGCCTTGACCAATATAGTTCTAGCCAAACCATTACCGAGCTTGTACGAGGCAGATATTGACGCTGTTGCTGATGGTTTGGAACGAAGTCTTTTCACAAGCTTACATCTGGTCAAGGTAAGTACTTCCGGGAAACCAGACGCCATGACATCGCAACTCAAACCGTTCAATAGACCTACATCGCCCGCATCGAAGAAGTGAATGACATTTTGAGGCCAGTCACTGAGATCAATCCCGATGCGCTGATCATAGCCGCTGCGCTTGACAAGGAACGTTCGGAAGGCATGGTACGGGGGTTAGTATGCAAGCTCGGGTCGTTATGATATCCGCTGACGGACAGACCATTACATGGCATACCCGTACTCATCAAGGATACGGTACGTTGGACCCCATCAAAGCTAATGGCTCCCAATCGGCCACTCGTAAATTGAGTTCAGGAAACCAGACTGACGTTGGAGTCGCATGTAGATTGCCACGAAAGATAAGATGAACAACACAGCTGGATCTTACGCCTTGGTTGGAGCCAAAGTTTTCGCTGATTCTACGGTCGCGAAGAGACTTAGAGAAGCAGGTGCTATAATCTTAGGAAAGACAAACCCCAGCGAGTGGGGCAGTTTTCGAATATTTAATTCGAGCAACGGCTGGTCAGCATATGGGGGTCAGACATACGGACCCTTCTATCCCCATCAAGACCCCTCTGGAAGCTCAAGCGGAAGTGCTGTGGCGGCATCGTGAGTCATTCTATCCTTGATAAGTCTGAGCTTCGTACTGATCAACCCAGTCTTGGTCTGGCTACAATTACGCTAGGTGCTGAAACGTGTGGATCAATCATCGATCCTGCCAGTTATAACAATGTTGTAGGAATGAAGCCAAGTACATAAATCCACATATCAGATGAGTCATGATCTAACTGAGCACAGCTGTTGGATTTACATCTCGACATCTTGTAATTCCGATCAGCGAGCACATGGATACTATCGGGCCTCTTACAAAAACCGTGAAAGATTCAGCGTACTTGCTGCAAGGTATTGCAGGTTTCGACATTCATGACAACTACACCTCTGCTATCCCAGAAGACGTTGACATGGACTTTGTTGGCGCCTGCAAACTCTCTGCACTTAAAGGTGCGCGGCTGGGTGTGCCTCGTAACGTCATTCAACTCATGTCGAATGGAATCACACGGTCGATGGTTAAAGCATTTGACGACTCTTTGGAGGTTCTACGCGCGGCTGGTGCCGTGGTCGTAGAGAGCGACTTCCCAGCAGCGCGAGAGTTTCTAGATGACAGTACGATAGGCGCGAAAATCATGGGCGCCGACTTCGTTGTCAACATCGAAAATTACCTGCGGCAACTTGCTTACAATCCACATAACATTAAGAACCTAGTTGAGCTACGCAAATGGACGCAAGATAGTTCACTAGAAGGGTATCCAAGCAAACCAACAGAGCTCTGGGACACTGTGCTGCAAAATTGGAACAATACTGAAGCTGGATTCTGGCGAGCATATCAGCAAGGTCTCTACTATGACGGTGAAGGGGGCCTACTGGGTACCATCGAGAGGCATAATCTCGACGCCGTCTTACTACCATCACATTTTTCGTGGAACTTTGCTGGTGTTGCTGGTGCGCCGATCGTTTCTGTACCGATTGGGGCCATGCATTCTGACCAGCCCATCGTCTCTGACGCTGATGGATTAGTGTCGTCGGCGCCCAATATTCCGTAAGTCATTTGCAAATAACGGTTGCTTGTGCGATGCTGACTATGGTGGAATAGATTTGGTTTTAGTTTCCTAGGTGCAAAATTCAATGATGCGAAGATTATCGGATTGGCCTACGCCTTTGAACAACGGACACTTGTAAGAGCTACGGTGAAGCCGTATATCACACCGCGCACTGAGCTCTCGGATATCATGGAAACATAGAGTAGCAGTCATATGTACAGTATGCCGAAGGCCTTGGCATAGAAAAGTGTTGTTACAATGTATAGATGAAAGAAGACTAAGACATGGAATGTATACGCGAAGTGCGCGCTGCAGTCTCGTTTCAAACGTGGAGCTAGACAGCGGCACGACCCGACTGCCGGCTGTCGTTGCCCCATCGGAACAGACAGCCGCCATCGTCTTTGTTTCGACTTCCGTCTGTCGCGCCATTGACGCGTCATCCCCTATCTTCCAGACCCGTCTTCTGGATATCCATAATTTCCATGTGCTATATGTGAATATTCCCTACCTATAGCCATCCCCCACCGAAGCGCCCTCCATGTCGCACTCGTCCTCGCAGTCAACCAACAAGATGCTCAACACACTCCCCAAACCAACACGCGACCTGACCGAACTGGCAAAAGAGGAAAGGAGTTTCACCTTCAACCACTTTACATGCGAGCATGCCTGGGTCATTGGGAATATCCTCCGAAACGCGTTAAGAACAGCCGAATGCCCCGCGCTTATCCAGATCTCGTCTGCGAATCAGACGCTGTTCCACTCGCCGAGTTTGCCTGGCATAATGCCCGATCACGAGAAGTGGTCCGAGAGGAAGCGCAACACTGTGCTGAGATGGGGACATTCTACCTGGTTCATGAGTTGCCAGTTTGAAGGAGACTACAAAAGGTTCGCTGAGCACAACGCCATGAGCGGCGACGAGTGGTCAAGATACACCATTGAAGGTGGCGGATACCCCGTCTTTGTGAAGGGTGTGGAAGGTGTTGTTGGCGCAATCGTTGTGGTCGGTCTCAGCGTAGACAGTGAGCAGGCGCATGGCGTCGTGGTCAAAGCAGTCGAGGAATACAAGGACCTCCGGGAAGGTTTTCGGAGTCCAATGAGGAGCATGACGGTGAAATGACTAGATGGTCTGGGCAAAGGAGACGGACTTGGTATAACACTTGGTATCGATCAAAGGGCGGGAAGAAGCAAAGAGAGAAAGACGTGAGCGCACAATGTCATGTCTGCTCAATGGCATGGTTGAAGACTACAGTACAGATGAAGAGCCATGATTGCCAACCGGACGAAAGCCAAAACGCCCTCCTACCGCGTCGAAAGCTATTGAGTAGCCAAACAACAAGTTCCGACCAGTATTGATGTACGGAGGATGTTCTGGTAATTGCGGAAACACATAGTTGGGTTCGATGAGCGATTTCTCGCCAACGACGAACGAGTATGATGTCGCTGGTTGGTCTAGAGATGGGAAGCCAACGGTGATGTTGGTACCAGGCTTCACGCGCTTCACCATCTTTGTGTGACCGTTTGGGTTGGGGTTTGGGATGACAACAGTCGGGATTGAAACGTCCCGTTCGGCTCTGATGTACATTTGCGCTACGCCAGTATCGACAAGAAGAGTACCGTCATTATGCCCTTCGTCGTTGACGCTAAAGCCCATCTTTGCCATCGCCCAATCCCTCGCATCCTCGCCATGATTTAATCCTGGATCCAAACTAGAGAACGTAAAGGCTTTTGTGTTCCTTGGCGTTAACCCTATCTGGATGCCCTCGGTCGATATGATATATCCAGCTCGCATCGTTCCGTTTTGTATCGGTTCCCCATCGATCGCATCGATGTTCAAGAACGGGTTAATGCTCGGTGTCGCGAACGGCATACCGTCTCTCGGGCCGTTTCTTCCAAAGCCTACACCCATGTAGGTGATCTCCGAGGTGTCTCTCTCTTCAGCCTGCTCCCCGTCTGGACCTGGTGGACATTCGAATCGGTCTTTGCTGGGATTGTACCAAGGGCATCTCCAGCTTCTGTCCACAATCAAAACAGGCACGTTCGCTGTCGCGTAGGAGCCAGCCTCACCAACGAAATCCATTGGCAGCTTCACCAGTCGGCCTACATAGAGAATCTTGCTGCTTGTGAAGAAGTGGTGTGCTGGCTTGCCCTCAGTAGGCGATATATTTGGAAGTATTGGAGCTCCTATCAACGTGCCGGTGGACCCCGTGTCTACAGGCATCTTGATTTTGACCCCTTCGATGCTACACATGACTTGTGGGACATGTTTGGGGCTAAACTTGTAGATGAACGGGATGAAGATCGAGCTCGTAGACCGTGATAATCCGTTGGCCATGGGGCGCAAAGTAGCTAGACCGTTGTACATAGCGTAGAGAGCAAGGCTGGTGATCAAAACCAAGATGCGCCAGGAGAGTGTTGAACTCTTCGGCTTCCGATGTGTAAATGTTGAAGATGGAGTTGGTAGACAGACTCTAGATGCCGATCGCGGTTTATAGTCCTCGGTCTTCATAGCTGTTTATAGGTCAAGGAACCACCTGCATTATCCGCTGGCAAACGGCTTGACACACGCTAAGAACGCGTCTCACGATCGCGTCAAAGGAATCAACGGTGTGACACTTGATGGGAAACGCATACAATGCGGTGTCGAGTCATTGAAAAAGCACAGTAATAGCGCGCCGACGTCAACGCCGCGCTGTGAGTTGGCGTGCCGTCCCCGCAATACCCGGATCTCCAGGCACAAACCCCAACCCGGCGATCGTAAGCTTCGGTTCTTCCACTTCCTATCGCTAAGTCCTCAGTAAATGCCATCTACCTCGTATCTTGACGAAAGTGTTCATATCGATGCACGAGATGCCGATCATCACGTGTGCTCATGCACGTCGCAACCGGGGATGTTCTTAGCTTGAATTAGGCCTGCGGCTGATGCGACCATCCACCGCCATGAAGGCAACGACCGCAAATCGAAGAATCAGGGGCCTCCAGGGAAGAATGGCTTTTGATGACAAACGCGACAGGCCTCATCGACATTGAAGCATCTTCAATCCCATCCCAAATCGAACGTACATTCACCCTCATACCGTTACGCGCATGTGAACGAGTATTTGTCGCAGCCAGAGCATGTAGCCAATATGGGCCGTTCACCATCACGATCGAGCGATGGCGCCGACTCTGGACAGAATGCGCGCGTTGAGCCGCGTCTTCTAAAGGCTATCGAGGATAAGAAACACGACGATGCGATCGCGATTATCGAGCATGCGAAAGCGAAGTCGCAACCCGTCGATCACCTCCTACGCATAGGTTTGATGCGCGCAGCCGAGCGCGGCAACATATACATCACGGAATACTTGCTTAAGAGTGGTGCGAAACCCGACGGCGCGCCAGGTGGCCGGGTTTCGCCTCTGTTCAAAGCAATTGAGAAGAATCATGTCGGGATTGTACAACTGTTGTTGAAGTTTGGAGGCAATGTGGATGCGCAAGACAAGCAGGGACGGACTGCACTCATGACGGCTGCTTGGAAGAATTACTTCCACATCATGCATGAGCTGCTAAGGTGTGGTGCCGACGTCAACAAGAAGGACAATACAGGACGGAACGTGCTTCACAATTTGGCGGCAGACAAGCACTGCAACTGGGGACGCGATGTCATCGCAGAGTTGCTGAGGCAGAACATCGCGATCGATGGACCGGAGGGCCAGGACGACCAGAAGCGAAGCCCGTTACATTGGGCTGCCAGTACTGGAAAGAAGGAGCTGTGCGAAATGCTACTACGACGAACCAGGCTTCCCAGGGCGAACGTGAATGCTATTGAGATCAGACAAAAGACAGCACTACACCTAGCAATCGCACACGGCCGAGACGACATCATCGAGCTTTTGCTCGTCCACGGCGCAGACGTGGGGGCAAAGAGTGATGGTAGCTGGACACCTTTACACAATGCTTGTCAACAAGGAAGTGTAAAGGTACTAAAGATATTGATGGCCGCTGGAGCAGACGTCAACGCAAAGTTACTCACTGGCATGACACCCCTGCATGTCGCGGCGCAGGCTGGTCATTTCGACATAGTCAAGTGTCTCTTGGAAAGGAAAGATGTCAAACGAGCAGCCAAAGACAACTCTGGTATTACGCCATTCTTGCGTGCCGCACTGAGCAAGAGCCCTGCGCGCAAGGACATTATCAATGCACTAGCACCCCACAACCAGGTCGAAGCACTTAGCGAAGACGCCCTTGGCGCTACGAACGGTTTCCATGCTACTGTTGTCGACTTTGGCAACTTCCATAACGAAAACAACGTCTCAAGAAAAACTGTCTTCGAGCTGCTGTATGCCCGTGATGCTATCAATCCAAGGAAGCCAGCTGTTTCAATTCTACCCAAGGAATCCAAGGCGACAACCTTCCGATGGATCCATCTTCCTGCAAATAACATGGCCTGGATCGAGGCATTGCTCACAAAAGCATTCATTGAAGAAGGTGCCAGTGATGTGGAGGGCTTCAAGGCGCTTGAACGGTCCTTCAGCCACCAGCATCGAGGACAGCAGATTCACTCACACTTTATGCGACCGCTTTGTCAGAGCACACCGCGTGCACCGAAGCACCATGACGATTCAGACCTTTCCGACGGTGCCGATCAGATACCACAGATCATGGTAAATAGTGGTTTGGGCCTGGGTATTGATGCCGTAGCTGGTTCGCAAGAGCTATCGTCGTCACCATTCCCTCGCACACCCATGCGGACCAATACCCTAGATACAGATCAGACAGATGGTACTGCAGGGACAGGCTCTGGGCACGCGACTGCCAGGGAAGGGAGAAGTAAAGCAAAGGACAAACCCAAGAAGACACCAAAGTGGGGTGGATCCAAGCAAGCTGGCAAGCGATCTGGTGGAACAGAAACACCGACTAGAGGCCCAGAACACTATGCAAAACGAACGAATACCAGCTCTTCTCTCAACAACAGTGGCCATCTCAGGTCACCTGGTAGTCCAGGACGCAAAGACCCAACAGCCGTAGCGAAGGGCAACATCTTCGCCTTCATGCCTTACCTTCATTTCGAAACTGATCGACGGCGGCAGGAAATGCAAGCTGCGATCTTGAGAACGCAGAAGATGAAAGAGCGCGAGAAGAATGAAGGAGGCACGTCCAAGCCGCAGTATTACCGCGCGTCAACTTACGATGAGATGCTTTTCAGAGCTCACTTGACATCTTCACAAGTCTCGTTGCACGTGCGACGCACTTTGGATCAGTTCTTCTACCACAACATCGATACGCAATCGCGAGATCGAGATCAAGTTGTTTATCGGTACCAATGCAAGTCGAACGAGCCGCAGCATGTCGACCCAAAAATCTTCATGGTTGACCAACTATGGATGTGGACACTCGGAAAAGACTTGATAGTGACGGCGTTCCCTCAACGATGGCAGCAGCCTCGTAACGACCCGCTCAACGTTCTTGATGGTGTCATTGAAGATATCAACAGCAAGACAAGAGATCCGGTGCGCAGCGTATATGATCTTGCAATGATCATCACTGGCCGCTGTAGTGGTGTTTTTGACAGACATCGCGTTGGTGACGAAGACTACCAGTTTCTGGACATGTTTGAGTCAAGTATTGGCGATGCTACGGAGATGGAAACCATGCTTTTCAAAGATTTCAACATTGCGTCGGCACAAGCATCCGAGTGGCTACATCATCACAGACGGCCCAATCGCTTCTCGAGACATCTAGAGGCTGAGGGAAGGCAGAGAGAACATCTGAACCGTCGACACTCGTCGCATCACTCACACGCGCATGCATTGGCTGATCCTCCGGTTCGAGAAGAAGCGTTCGAGTACGACAACAGCGATCGAACAGCTGCTCATGCCCCACTATTCGTCGACAAGCTATTGGATATCGGCGCCGAAACCGACCTGCTAGCAGAGACCAAGGACATTCGTGACGAACTCAACATGATAGCGAAGGTGCTGGAAGACCAACGCAATGTATTGCCAGACATGGAGGCAAGCATCACAGACATATATCGCGAAGAGCACAAGAGTCAGCAGGACCTCAAGAGGCGGTTCAAAGACATGCTTAAGACGATTGATACACATATCAAGGATCTTGAACGCATGGACAAGCAGGCCAAGCGCATCTACGAATCCATCACTGATCTGCTCGATCTAAAGCAGAAGCATGCCAACGCTTTTGAAGCACGTTTCGCTCGAGATCAGGCTGCTGGCACTGCAAGACAAAGCCAAACCATTATGGTGTTTACGATTGTCACCATCATCTTCCTTCCTCTGTCATTCATCGCAGCCATGTTCACTATCAATATTCAAGAGTTTCCACATGAACCAGGAGGTGGCGAGCCTTCTCTCCCTCTATCATATGTCAGCAAATACATGTTCGGCATTGGCTTCGCAATCTCCATACCGTTTATCGCGATCGCGCTTTCCTTCGATGCGATCGGCGACTTCTTCCGCGAACTAAAACAGCGTTTCCGCAAACGCAAGACTGAAAATCAGCGAAGTCGACGCGAGGCCAATGACCCCTACAGTGGTATCGAGAAGACCGATTTCGAATACTCCTTTGACACACGCACAATCGAACAGGCACTCAGCCGCGGGCGCAGTACGGCATACCGCCCGGATGGCAGGCGTAGCATTGAAAGCTACCTCGGTAGTGCAAGGAGAACCGACGGTGGTTCGTTGCTTCCTATCGCTAGTCGCAGTACTGGGAGGAGCCCTGAGAAAGGTGTTGCCAAGGGCTTCAATGGCTTAACTGGAACGACTACAATGCCCGACAGATTGAGTGTAGACAGAGCTGAGAGACAGAGTCCGATCGAGAGGATAAGCACTGGGTTCAGGATGAGAGGGAGTGTGGATTTTGAACGTGCCTAGATGGAATGAGGCTCTGAATTGTGCGTTGCGCTCGAAGTGTTGAAGAGGTTTGGATAAAAGCAGATACCCTAGCGCTATTATGTACCAGTTTACTGATAGATGATTCAAGTTATGTTACGCATATCGCAGCAGATCGCTTCACTAATTTTTGCAGTTGCCTGGAATAGGCGAAACTTCAAATGTGGTAACCTCGATCTTATTCCGACATTCTGGGACGAGATTGTCTTCACCAAGAGCCTTCAGTTGGATCTCCTCGTTCAACGCATCCATGCCCATGTATGCCGCTTGCCTAATGAACTCAAAACTCCGCCTAGTTGTGTTCCCGTAACTGTAGAACGCTGCATGGATAAAGAACGCGCAGATAGTCTACCAAATAGGCTCAACCTTGTCCTCTTCGACAAGCTCAGGCCTGCACTCAGCCAAATCCAAAACTAGAACTTCAACTTGTAAACTCGGAGTCGCTACTTTCGCGACATACTATGCCCGCATCAAGCACTAAAGAGACTCAGTACGGTTGTTTATCAATTGCGTAAAGAAGGATTCGGTTGAATCGAAGTCCGGTGCTGCAAAGGTGTTGAAAATTGCACTTTCCTATTGAAAAGGAAGGAGATACTGTTTAAGACGAAATTGCTCCTTCCGCTGTTGTTTTCGTCTCAGCGCAGACAGTTTTTGTATATCTTTCGCGAAGATAGTCACCGAAAGGCTGATCTCTTGCCTCCCTGTACCTGCGTCATGACTCATCTTGAGTCAGCGCGATCCTTCGCGTATTGTGGCTTGAACATCAATGACTCCGCCGTGATCATTCTCCTGGCTTTCTTGTCTAGAAGCAATCAAATCCATGAATACTCATAACAACATATACGCTTTTCTCAACGTCTTAAGTCCAAGTATAAAACTCAAACTCCACGCAGCTAGCTTCTTCCGTTTTTTGCTCGTCCATGATGAAGGCTGGTCATTCCAACTATTCGCATTCCATGCAGCATGAACTGTAGGTCATGCGATACAAACTCAAGATCTATTTGCAGGTCACTGAGTGTAGCAAGGACAAATCCACATTGGACATCGGATGCCGGGTGTCTTCCGGTCGAGTGAGCTACGCACACTAATATCAGCGACGAACGACTAATCGAATCATCGAAGAGCAACTCGAAAGAAACGCCTACTCAAGCTTTACGAGCGGCATCGTCAATCCCAGCTTACATTCTGCTCTGCTTTTTATGCAGCCCTGCCTCGTGAGCTAAGAGATATGGTTTATGACCAGATCGTTACCCCAAACAAGCAAAATTACGTTCTGAAAGCGCATAAAACCTTCAACGATGAGACTGGAAAACTAGAACACCCTTTCTTTGACGCTGACTTATCCATGCCAGAAGATCCTGGTATGCGTAGCGACGTGTGGAAGTTCGTCGAGTACACAGGCGAAGCAGTGGGCAAAGAGATAGCCGAGCACTGGTATCGTACCGGCCGCTTCGATTTTGATGCCGAGGATTGCCTATTACACAAGTTTCTTACGAAAGATGTCTGGCACCGGGGTATCGTTCCTGCAGATGTTGTTCACCACCTCCACATCACTCTGAATCCTATGCCGTACATTGTCCCTACTGATTCCATGGAGGCCGACCTGGAAAGCTTGTTCGCGATATCCAACAAGAATAGCGAACTCGTTTTCGAAATCGTCAAGCAAAGATATCACGCTGCGTTGGCGAATGGCGGCATGTCATACGTGTTAGCGTTAATCGCACCATGCGTCTATCGTCTGCGCACTGAGGGCTTCAGCAGAGTGGCAGCGTATCAAGACCTGATCGATCTCCATAGAAAACCGTTCCCGTGGACATTTTGTCCATGGGATATCACGTATTTCTTTGAGATAGAGCAGGAGGAATTCGAAACAGTGTTTTGCAAGGTAAGCCATCGTAAAACTGGTGAGAGCAAAATTACGTACTGACACATTGGTTAGGAGTCTGCACACGATGATGAACGAGATAAAAGGATTGCCGATGTGATTTCTAGATGTCGTGGTGCTGGTAGAGCTGGTGAAACCAGTTGAGGGTAGTCTATGACCATGAGCGCATTCTCTTTGGACGGCTATCAAGCTGGATCGTATCGATGTGTATTGATTTTGAAAGACCCGACTTGGTGTACACAAAATACGCAGTGCCCTTTACCTCATAAACCTCGCTGGTCTATCACTCGTCGAAATTCTGCCCATCAATCTCTTCGATGGGGACCTTTGATAACAACCTTCAGTTCGAGGACTGCGCATCAACGACTCCCATACATGCTGAGATAAGAGCGTCAATGTAAAATTGTCCTCTCATGTAGACCGAATCGCATAGCCGCATCTCTTCACGCTTGGCATGCTCGTGAAAGTCGCAAGGATCGCGCCTGCCACTCGCATACTCTTTGTCTCCTGGATACTTCTTTTGGAATTGCTGCTTACCAATAGCCAATAGCTCAGACATGAACTCTTGGGGCTGTGACTTCGCGGCCTTGTCATTGCAGTATTCCAAGATTTTCGAGAGCCCGTGACTCGCCGTTGATCCGACGATGTACCTACAGAGCGTAGAGGAAGACGGAACGGATCCAAAAATTAAGGGAGCCAGATCGTAGCCCATATTGGAATTTGATCGTTCGTCGAGACGCATGAAAGCACTCACGATGTCGTTCCGCAGGGCCATACACTCATAAGCGTCGGCGAAGATGTAGAGGCCAATCAAATGACACTTGAGAGCGAGTTCGGTGTTTTCAGAAATCGAATTCTGGATCCAAGTACCAGAAAAGGATGCTTGGTCAAGCTTTTCAAAAATCCCGACCTGTTTGATTTCTGCCCAGGAAACGGCAGTCACTGGGTGCAGCGAACGAGCAGTTTGTAGATAAATCCAGGATTGGAAAAGAAGACAGCAAGTCTCATCGGCCTCGGCAAGATACAGTGTGTTTTCCTCGCCTTCCTTGAAACTGGGTCCAAACGCGCGAGAGAAGTATTCTGTGTCGGCGAATGAGTTTTTTGTGGAACGTGAAAGGCTTTTTGTCGGCGCCCACGATCACTTGCACCATCTCACTGCCGAGCTCCCTGCCTGTATTAGTATATATGCAATTGATAGAGGGTGTTCGCTACATGATGTGTGAGTCTGTATCGGAATCGGCTGCGCGTGTGCTTCTGAGGAAGAGATAGTGGAGGGAGAAACTGAGAGCTGGAGCACACGAGAGATCATAATAAGTAGCCTTATCCGCAGAGTGAAGGTGAGCGGGGATAAGCAGATGGGCCTCACAGTGAAGCCATCGTTAGTACGGCCGCTCTCACGTAGGTAAGGTGATTCGTAGCCTTTTGGCTATCTGTGCGTCATTACAAACCCGAACGCTTGAATAACAAATCTGGAGATGAGCATCATGAGGCTTTGCAGAGCTTTCTACTACTAAGAAGATGAATGGGTCGCAGAAGAGCATGAAGAGCGAGGATGCGAACTTACATGGTGCCAAGCCAACCCCGGCTTATCTCCGCTCCATCGCCGAAGTCCAAGCTCCAAGCTTAGGCGTCACCAACAACCAGATGCGCTCATAGCTGTAGCGGAACTCAGCAGCACGGTGAAGAAGAGTACAGGGGCTGTGAATCGTCGCGCGAATAATGAGTAGGAGCCTACGATAGCTGAGAGCTGCACACCAAGCCCATCATGGCTTACGATACCTCGAGCGGGTATGCGCCGCCTAGCACGAGCAACATGCAAGAGGATGCGTTGGGCCCTATGTTCAACATAGAGCGCGTCACTCTGCAGTTCAACATCTCCTCCGACTTTGTGGCCGCTGCCGTAGCGAACAATGTGGTGGTACTGGCCCTGTCGACTGGGCGCATCTTGCGTATAGACCTGGATAGTCCCGCTGATATAGACGGTTCGTAGTGCAAAGCCGCACAAAGAAGGGAAATGACGGACAATTGCTTACTTGATTCAAGACATCGACCTACCGAAGAAGCCGTCAGAAGTCGGCGTCATTAGACGACTCTTCCTCGACCCCTCCGCGTCCCATCTCATCGTAACCACTACCCTCGCCGAGAACTACTACCTCCATACACAATCACGGACACCGAAGGCACTATCACGGTTGAAAGGCGTTGTCATAGAAAGCATATCGTGGAATCCCTCTCAACCTACAGCGTCAACGCGCGAGATACTTGTAGGAGCATCGGACGGCAATGTCTACGAAGTGTACATCGAGCCGTCCTCCGAGTTCTATAGAAGGGAAGAGAGATATCTGAAGAGCGTGTATAGGACAAACGATGGCCCTATCACGGGGCTCTGGACGGATATGGTGCCCGGAAGAACAGATCTGCGGCGCATCATCGTTGCGACACCTTCGACTTTCCTGCATTTCGCAGGCAAAGTCGGACGTCAAGGATCCGAAGGCAGCGGGTCTATATTCTCGAAACTGTTCGAAAGCGAATCTGCGACAGTGCATGAGGTGTCGAATGTGGCCTCTACAGCAACTTCACTGCTCTCTGTCTCCCCAGAGAACCAGGAGAACTCAAATCGCGAGGAATCGAACGCGGAGAGGATCTTTGGTTGGCTTACGTCACAAGGCGTGTTACACGGCAAGCTGTACCTATCGCAAGATACCTCTGAGTTGGGCAGCAAAGTTCTAGGAGACGCGAAGATGCTGCCCAGATCCCAAGTGCCACCTTCACAAACCGCTAGCGGACGGACACGACGAACACAAGACGCAGTCAGCTCGATGATATTGAGCCAGTGGCATGTTCTTCAGCTCGCTGAAGGCAGGATCGTAGCCATCAACCGTCTGGACGATACTGTGGTCCTTGATCAGGTTGTGCTGGAGCCTGGACAAAGTGCACTTGGCCTGGTAGTCGATCTGAAGAAGAATACCTACTGGCTTTTCACAACTCAGGAAATCTTCGAAATTGTTGTGACTGACGAGAGCAGGGACGTTTGGAAGATCATGCTCAGAGCACAACAATTCGAGGCGGCTTCACAGTATGCCAAAACGCCAGCTCAGAAGGACGCAGTGGCAACGGCATCTGGTGACTACCTCGTTGGCAAGAGTCAGTGGATGGAAGCTGCGACAGTCTACGGCCGAAGTACGAAGCCCTTTGAGCAGGTTGCATTGACGTTCATCGATAATGGCGAGCAAGACGCTTTGAGAAAGTACTTGGTTACAAAGCTGTCCACACTCAAGAAGTCATCAATCATGCAGAGGACCATGGTTGCTACCTGGTTAATTGAGCTCTATATGGCTAAGCTCAACACTCTCGACGACACTATCACTACAAAAGCTGAGCTATCAGAGAGTATGAACACTGCCGAAACTCATGATCAACTGTCGGTCATCCGCAAAGAGTACCAGGATTTTGTATCAAAATACAAGGCTGACCTGGATCGCAAGACGGTCTACGAGATCATCAGCAGTCATGGTCGCGAGGAGGAGCTGCTGTACTTCGCCACTGTGGTCAATGACTACAATTACGTTTTGTCGTACTGGGTGCAGCGCGAGCGGTGGCAGGAGTCTTTGGACGTCCTCAAGAAACAGACAGATCCAGAGATCTTCTACAAATACAGTTCCGTTCTGATGGCACATGTGCCCGTCGAGCTGGTTGACATTATGATGCGCCATTCGACGTTCGACGCCCAAAAGCTCATCCCAGCTTTCCTCAACTACAACAACCACACGAAAGCCTCACTTGCCCAAAATCAAGCAGTTCGCTACCTCCTCTTCGAAATCAACCAACACAATTCTACCGACGCGGCCATCCACAACACTCTCATCTCTATCTACGCCTCGCACCCAACCCCCGACGAATCCGCGCTCCTCGCCTACCTCGAAGGCCAATCCCTCGCCCATGAACAAAACTACGACGCAGACTTTGCCCTTCGCCTCTGCATCCAGCACAAACGTGTTCAATCATGTGTCCACATCTACAGCTCCATGCAACAATACGTACAGGCTGTCGACCTCGCCTTGAAGTACGATGAAGTAGACCTCGCGTCCACGGTAGCCGACCGGTCCAACACGTCCCCCCCTCTGCGTAAGAAGCTCTGGCTCGCCATTGCCAAGAAAGTGATTTCGCAATCCAGCGGCATCAAGACAGCTATTGAGTTCCTAAGGAGAGTTGACCTCCTCAGGATAGAAGACCTAATTCCCTTCTTCCCCGATTTCGTCGTCATCGACGACTTCAAAGAGGAGATTTGCGCTGCGCTAGAGGACTACAGTCACAAGATCGATAGCCTGAAACAGGAAATGGACGATAGTGAAGCGACGGCCACACACATCAAATCCGATATCAAAGCCCTGGAGCAGCGATATGCTATTGTGGAACCGGGGGAGCGATGCTACGTCTGTGGTTTACCTTTGTTGGCTCGCCAGTTCTTTGTGTTTCCCTGCCAGCATGCTTTCCACAGCGATTGTCTGGCTAAGAGGGTGGTGGAGCTCGCAGGTATTGCGAGGGGGAAGAGAATTGCGGAGTTGCAGGCTGAGGTGCAGAGAGGGGTCAAGGTGGGTAAGGGCAGGGAGAGGGCGATTAGAGAGTTGGATGCTTTGGTGGGGAGTAGTTGGTAAGTCCTTTTTTGCTGTGTCTTTTGAGAACGGATTGCTAACGTGAACAGTGTGTTGTGCGGTGAACTTGCCGTTAAACTCGTCAACGAACCTTTTATCAGCGCGACAGACGACAAGGATGAATGGGCGCTTTGAACAGACTACTACTACGTTGGCATCACAAGCAGTCGTTTCAAATCAAAGTAGGGGATTTCGAAGAAAGCTCTATTGTACATTTACTTGGCTTGCTACTCTATTCCGCCCCCGTGCGTGTGGTATACAAATTTTAGTGGTGCTATAGAATAGACGAGCTGATGATGATTCATGTTCCGTCCCCAAGACGCCGTAGCGCTGATGCAAGAATGTGAGATGGAAAACTATAACAGTGCAGAAGATTAGACAAGACATTTCAAACGCCGAATGCGAGCTTTCCTTCAGCTCCAAAGCCATTAGACTAGACCATGAGCTGACACGAGACGACTTTACTCGTCTTCATCATCGTCCATGGCAACGTCGCCGTTCGCCTTCGGTGCAGCGACAGCGTCGTCATCTTCGTCTTCGTCGTCGACGACGCGGGCTTTGCGAGTACGAGGAGCTGCAGTTGCGGCACCTTCATCGTCACTTCCCGCCGCTGCATTAGCATCGTCGGCAGGCGCGGCAGCATCTTCGTCGCTCTCATCATCGATGAACTCTGCCGACTTGTATTTACCGACAGGTTCGCTCTTACGAGCCAGCTTCCTCTTCTTTTTCTCACGGGGTCGCTCTTCGTCGGAAAGATCCTCGGTGCCACTAGCCGTAGTCCTCCTGCGCCTTGAACGCGGTTCATCGTCGTCAGAAGGCAGACCATCGTCGGTATCAGAGTCAGCGTTCTTCTTCTTCCGCTTCGGGCCCTTGGGACCGCGCGCTTTCCGCTCTGCCTTGCGGACTTCCTTGTCCTCATCCTCTTCCATGCGTCTACGCTCTTCTTCGTTGCGTTTCTCCATGAGCTCGCGGTCACGCTGGAGTAGGCGCTGTTGCTCTTCGGCGTACTTGCGCTTCTTCTCCAAAGCCTCTGCCTCCGCGCGTGCCTTTTCTTCCTCACGGCGACGTACTTCAGCTTCGCGAATACGGCGCGCTTGGTCGAGCTTGGTCGCGTTCTCTCCCTCGTATATTGCTTGCTGCTCGCGATCACGCTCAAGCTGCTTTGCAATAGTGTTACGACCCATGTTTGCACGAGAGGTAATGTCTGCACGTGGGAAAGGTGGCGTCTCCTCCTTAGCGAGCTTGTCAAGTGCTTCGATTGCCTCAGTCAGACCTGTTGCAGCCTCATCGACTTCCTCAAGCGTGCGCTGCGTCTCTTTGAGGTTGTGAACCTGTGAAGCAATCTGGAACTGGACAAAAGCGACATTGAACTGGGAGTTGAGGTCTGCAGGAGCGGCCTTGAGGGCTTGTTTTGAGTAGTCCAGGGCTGTTCGGTATCCGGCAAGGCTTCGTTCGTGTTTCGCTCGGAGATACCAAGTTCGTCCTAGACAAGCCAAAATCTTTGGGTCGTTATGCCTGTTCCTGGATAGGGCTGCTTCGTACTAGGATGTGTTAGCATGACATATCAGGGGGAAGTAGGGTAAGCATACGTTCTCGATGGCTCGCGCGTACTGCCTAATCTCACAGTATGTGTGACCCAAGTTGACAAAGACGCTGTGGTCCTTGAGCGTCTCCCTCACCTTGGTGAAGATTTGCAAGGCTGTCGAGTAATCCTTCTTATCTTCTACCAGTGCGATTGCGATACCCTGAGCAGCGTACGCGTTCTTGGGATCGAGTTGCAGCACCTTGTCGAAGAACTCCACTGCTCGCTCATAGCCCTTTCGTCGCTTCTCTTTATCCTGTTCTGAACTTCGAGGCATCTCACGCGCAATGGCGAGATGGATGTTGCCCATGCCCATAAGCGAGTAGCGGTCATGTTTATCAGACTTCTGCAGAGTGTGTTTGTAGAGCCGCTGCTCGTCATCCGCTGCGAAGTTGGACGTCCTCTTCTTGGATTTGTTGACGTACCATCCGTACAAGGCGCGCACCTCGACATTGTCCTCGTTCTCTTTGAAGAGATCCTTCATCGCCCTAGGGCCCTCATCTTGTGGGTTCTCCCTTAGCGCAATGTAAGTCAGACGAATGCGCGCGTCGACGTAATCGGGGTGTCGTTGCAGCAGACTGCTGTACACCTTCTTAGCTTCCTCCGCTTGGCCCTCAGCTTCATAAGTTCGAGCTAGGTTGAAGCTGATAGACGTCACAAGTGCGTCTGTATCGATCGTATCGTCGCGGTTCTCTGCATTAACACAGGCGTTGAGGGCTACCTGGAAAAGCTCCTGAGCACGTACGTAGCGTTCGGCCTGGAAGTGGAAGCATCCCATGTTGTTGAGTAGTTGTGGTGGCAGGAGTTGGCGAAGTGCTGCTGTGAGTTCGGCGCCCTCTTCGACTCCTTCTGGGTAATCTTCCTCTGGAATGGCCTCGATCTCCATCTGCTCTACCTCCTCAAGACACTTTAGGCTCTTTTCAGGGTGTTCCGTCTCATAGAGTCTGGCCAGGTTGAGCAGTACCGACTGGTCGGGAGTGACCTTCTTCTTGGGGTCCTTCCACGCGCTCTGTACGCTCTCGAGATATTTTAGGGCCTTCTTCAACTCTGCAGATTTGTCTTCGGTGGATTTGTTGTTCTGAGCGGTAAAAACGTCCTCAGCAAACAAGGTGCCAAGGAGAGTCTGCGCTTCTACGTTGGGCGATTGCTGGAGAATCTTCTCGAGACGGAATTTGGCACCGTCGTAGTTATTCATCAAGACGTTCATCTGAGCCAGTCCGAACTTGGCTGGTACGAACCCTCGCTCCTCGCCTCCTCGAGCCTGGTCAGACTTCTGATAGTATTCCGCGGCAAGCGAAGTGTTTTCTTGTTGGTGCGCAACCTTGGCTCGTAGGTACCAACCATCACTAGCTATGGCATTGGTGTCGGTAAGCTCGATGGCACGCTTCGCAACGTCTTCGGTTTTGGCAAGGTCCCTCCTCAGAGCAAGATAGCTACCAACCGTGGCACAACTCAAGGGGTACTGATTGTCGATCTTCAGTGCGGGCTGGATGTATTCACCCGTTGCCTTCTTGATCAATGCGGCGAACTTGGGATCGGACGTGGACAGGTTGGCAGTCTGCTGAAAGTTGTAGATACCCATCAAGATCAAGGCAATCTTGGATTTTGGATTCAGCTCGAGAGATCTCTGCCAGGCATTGGCAGCTTCGTCCTTGTGACCAAGTTGCCAGAAACAGCAGCCGATACCGATGCGCGGATCTGGATCGAGGAGGTCGGGAGAACTCTCGAGGATGTTCTGGTATCCCTTCAAAGCGTCTGCCCACTTGCCCATGGAGTAGTGAACACGGGCCTTTCCCATCTTGGCCATGAGGTTCCTTCCGTTGGATGCCCTCAGCGCGTCTTCGAAGCATTTTGCAGCCTGCTTAAGCGTCTCCATGCGCTCAGGGCTGACTGTGGAGCCGGCGGCAGTCGCAGGGCCCTGGAGCGAAGCCTTGAGGAGGTATAAGACACCACGGGCGAGGAACAGCGGGGGATGCGAGGGGCTGATACGGGAGGCGTCGTTGAGTACGCCAGTAGCCGACTGGATCCAGTACTCCTTCAGTTTGACATCTCCATCTGCGTTTTCTAGTATGTGTCAGTCATGAAAAGGCATGTGGACATGATATGATGGCTTACGAGGCCTGACGCGCGGTGCTTCGCGACATTTGAGCAGGTACAGCCAGCAGAGGCCGTTGAGGATGCTGAGCCTGTCCTCGCCGCGCGCGCGATTGAAGACCTGAGTGGCCTGTCTCAGCACATCTATGGCTGTCTCTATCCTCTTGCGCTTCGCATAGGCGACGGCGACCTGGACCCACGTCGATGTCGCGCTCTTCTCAGCCTCCAAAATGTCGCATAGCTCGGTTGGGTCGTCCTGGATCTGCTCGTCCAAGGGGATTTCGACATCGAGCTGGCCTCCCTCATCATCGGCGACAGAGATGGTGATGGAGCTGGGCACATCCGAGTATCGTGGTGGTGGGAACATGCTGCCAGCGCCGTTCACGCCATTCGCGCCATTGGCGTAAACTGCAGCCATGTTTGCGGACAAGTCGCGGTCGGGGGAGATGGTTTCGCGATGGATTCGGGGGCGGAGACGGGATCAGCGCGACATAGCAGGGGGGAAGGCGTGAAGAGGTAAAGGCGCGAGGCTGATTCGTGCCTGCGTTGGTGGTTGGATAAAGAATCGCGAGTGAGAGCTTCCAGGGAGCGCGGAACGGCGAAACGTGCGGAATGGGGGCCTTGGCGCGACGTTGATGCTTGACGGCAGCAACCGTGGACACGCTTTCTCTGTAGAATTTAGCTGCACAACTGGACTACATGATACCATGTCATGTATCGTGTGAGAGGCATTGGATATACTAATCGCCTGCGCACCTTGCGTTGTGCCGTCCAGTTCATCTTCGGTCCTTCCCTTTCCATTGCATTGACATTCGCGACTTCCGTGATCCCTGCTGCTCCAACACCCCCGAGCTCCCCGCAACAGTACACATGCACCACATAGATACTCGATGACGCGCAAACCTCACTACTGCGCGCCATGAATGTAAGGACAAGGAACACAAGGAACACAACACTGCGCGACGTCTGAGTGCACCATGTCGCGCAATCCAGGCTACTCGCGGGCGGGAGCCAATGGAGGCTATGCCAATGGCAACGGCAACTACGCTGGCGGAGGATATAATGGATACGCGGGCGGTGACGGCAGCTACGACGACCGACCGAGTGGTGAGCGACCACGAAGACCGGGCGGGTACGGTGGCATGAGCGCGCAGCAGGACGACTATGCACCACGACCGAGCAACGAGCGCGAACGTCCCCGACGACCTGGTGGCTATGGCGGCCTTGCTCAGGAAGACGACATGGAAAGAAGACCCAGCGCCGACCGCGAGCGCCGGCCTGGGGGCTATGGAGGCGGCGGCTTTGCAGGGCGTGACGAGAGCCCTCGTCAAGTCACACGGCCTACCAGCATTGAACGCAGCCCAGCGAAACGCCGTAGCGGAGAGCGACAGAACGGAAGCCGGCCCAGGAACGCAAACAATGGACAAGGTAGCCAGGCCATCGACGAGGTTCTCCAATACATACAACAAAACTGGGAATTCATGACCAAGGACCAATGCGTCCCTATCGAAGTCGCCCTGAAGCTCATGGATTCGAGCTCGCTCGGCCTGGCAAATCAGGCTGGTCAGTTCCAGCAAACACACGATCAGCTGCAGAACGCTCTGAAAGGCATCGTCAACGAACACCATCAGGGATTCAACAGCTCCATTGGTACCTTCCATCAGATCCAGTCCAGTCTCCAGAGTTCCCAACACCGTGTCAGGACTCTCAAAGGTTCACTTGTTGCGGCCAAGTCACAACTCTCCACAGCCAAGCCAGAACTTAAAGAGTTCGCTACGACCTCCCAGAATTACGATGAGATGTTACAAATGCTCGATACGATTGAGAAACTCCAACTCGTCCCCGAGAGATTGGAAGCTCGCATATCAGAGAAGCGTTTTCTCACAGCTGTAGATATTCTACAGGATGCTCTACGAATGATACGAAAGACTGAAATGGAGAAGATCGGAGCCCTGTCTGACTTGCGCACATATCTTAGCAACCAAGAAGTATCTTTGACCGACATATTGATCGAAGAACTTCACAGCCATCTCTACCTCAAATCGCCTTACTGCGAAGACAGATGGAAGGAGTATGCTCAGAACCAGGTCAAGGGCGATCTGTCTCAGCGCGCTCAGACTGACGCAAGAGGCCGCTTGCTCTACTATTTCCTAGATGGTCTTGATACTTCAGAACCGGTATGTGTGCCCAACTCTACCATGTATCCTACTGACGTTTTCAGATGACGGACGATTCCACCCACAATCCTGAGACAGACACATTCCAGTACATACGACTGGTCATAGAGGCGCTGAACAAGATGAGCCGCCTAGACATGGCGGTGGATACAATTGAACAGCGGTTGCCAGTCGAACTCTTCAAAGTTGTGGACAAGTCCAACAATGAAGTCGCCCAACGACACCCGAGCATACTACGAGCCTACTCGGCTAAGAAGAAGGGCAAAGCAAAGACGGAAGTCGAAAATGAGGATGTCCGGACAACTCTTCTGAACGATTTGATGTGGACTCTGTATGCCCGGTTCGAAGCGATTGCAGAAGGTCATCGAGTCGTGCATGACGTTGTGGCTGGTATCGTTCGACGAGAAAACCGAGCTGCATCAAGCGCAACATTGACACGCGGTTTTAAGGAATTGTGGAAGTTGTACCAAAGTGAGATGCGATCACTTCTCCATGACTATCTTGCTACAGACGGTGAAGCATCTTATAGAGGCGGTCAAGGTCCGGCGTCCACTGGCAGTGCGTTCTCGCGCGCTCCTCGAGACCGGAATAAGCGCATGTTCAAGCTGTCCGACGTGGATACGAAGGCGACAGAGCTCTCCAAAGAACGAGAGGATCTAGAGATCATTCTCAAGACATCCGTGCCTGGACTCGTGTCTGACTCAAAGAGACCAGAGGATGTCAATACCAACACAACTACCAATCTTGATGGCAGTGCGACCGGACACAAACTTCTGGTCGAGCCCAGTGTCTTCAACATGGGCATTCTGTTACCGCCATCGCTAGACTTCTTGAACCGATTAAAGGAGGTTGTGCCTTCAAATGCTGATATCAGCATGAGTACTTTGACTTCTTTCCTAGATGATTTCTTGGTCAATGTCTTCCACCCACAGCTGGACGAGACCCTTATCGAATTATGTTCTCAAACTTTCATTGAGATCGACTCATTCAACGAGGACCCTCACTGGTCGAGACATTCCAAGAAACCCATCTTCAAGGTACGTCATGCACTGATGGTGTGTGCATCATATACTAATTTGACCAGGGCACTGCGCAATTCTTTACCCTTATCACTGCTTTCTGCAAGATGTTGGACAACCTTCCCCATGATCAAGCCTTCTCCCAACTCATCGTCAACCAAATGGACACATACGCCCAAAAATGTAGTGGCTGGTACAAGGCTCTTGTTAGTCGATCGCAGCCCACGGCAAGTGGTCGTCTTATGAAGGCTCCTGCCGTGTGGGCGGAATCCGAAGCAATGGAAGAGCTCATTGCCCGCCTCGTGCGAACAGACCCATCAGATTACGAGGAGTTGAACAAAGCCATCGAGAACGAGGTTGCTCTTCTGATCGAAGCAGTAGAAGCTGATGAGCCTCTGGACCAGGCAGATATGATCCAGGATAAGAAGAGTATCGTCAGCCTCTGTCTGCTGTACACAAGTATGAAGTGGTTGGCTACCAAGACGGCGCAACTACGGCATATCAGTGATCGTGCGTCTGACCCGATTACCGCGGAGTCAAATGGTCAGAGGCACAACAGACGCTGGACTCAACTTTCCTCGGCCGATCCTAGGCCACAGAGCGCCCAGGTGTATCTCCCATTAAGTGCAGACACAGCTGCGTAAGTATTCTTGGCGCTTGCAAGAACCCCCTTTTACTGACCAACATACAGTATATTTGACGCAGTAGTACAAACCTATCATGCTCTCAGTACCCGCGTCTTACGGACACTGCACTTGTCAATCCGTTCGACCATCCTACACTCGCTAAACGCGAGCACACAACCCAATGTCTACATCGACACTCTACTCAGCGACCCCGACCCCGCCATCCTTGCCTTGAACGCCACACTCGTCTCCTTCGATACCGAAGTGTCAACCTACATCCCGGTCGCATCTTACATGCACATAACACGCGGTCTAGCAACCCTAATGGACACCTACCTCCTCAACCTCTGCACCTCCAAAATAACACGCATGAATACCAACGGATGTGCATTGATGCAACTCAACATCTTGGTCCTCCAGCAGAATCTCAAGAACATAGAAGACGGCGCCACCTTACCTTATGCAGCCCTTTTCTTCGACCTCTTCACCGCAGGCCCGGATGCGATTGTCGCGCGAGCGAAAGAGTACGGTAAGGGCTTTGGGGTGCCGGGTGACGTGTTTGGGGAGCAGGAGGTCAAGAAATTGTTGCAGATGATCTATGAAGAGAGGCTTAATGATCAGAATAGGGAGGCTAGCGTGCAAGCGAAGAGGGCGTTGGATGCACAATTACTCGAGATCAGTGAGTTCATGTATTAGAATTGCGTTGGCTCTCGTCTTCTCAGTGTTCCAGCTGGATAGTAGCGACCGTTTGTGAGAGAACAAAGGCCGAGTCATAGTATCATATTATCATTGTGTTGAACGAAATGGAAATGCGTTTTACATCAGCCGCCAAAGGCGCCTCTCATCTGCTGACTTTTTGTGTAGCTGCAACGTGCATCTTCAGCCTTAAATGCAGTCGGCGACGTCGCACCAGGCGGCGTCCGTGCACTCCACAACGTCGGCGAGATGACAGGGGTGGGGATGCAAGCCACCCAGCTAGCTCGCGGGATAGGGCTTCAGCTGCACACCCCGAGACAACATATTCGCTGATCCGATATGACATGACGAGCACTTTCGAGATTTCCCACCGCTACTTGTTCCGGATCGCCACGTCTCAGGACTTGGAACGCCGGGTTTCTGGGCTGCACTAACCAGATCCGAATAGAAGTGGGCGTGATACTATACTACCTTTCAAAACATTGTTCTTGTGAAGACCCCGAAAATCGGTGTCTGGCAATTTTACACGGACGTTGTTCTCCAGGCGTGTTCCAGAAACCAATAACGGGGAAGTAAGCTGCATGTCACCCTCCAGCCGCTCTGCGCCAAGCGCAACAACACATTGCCAAACCACCATACCGTTACCGTTGGCTGAATATGAATACACAGACGATTGGTTGGTCTGAGATGCTTACTGATCTCTGAACCTTGGCTTCATGGGTTATGATGATCTCTGCATAGGATTTCAACAGTCTGGCTTTGTGAATAAGGCCACCCCTTCCGGTGACTTTTCGCCGATGACAGTAATATCGGACCGTCGGGGACTTCTTGGTGCTGCAGACCATCGGCGTTCACGTATGTCTGACTGCTTGGGAGGGGGGAGATGGAGGTGGGTTTACCGGTTTCATAGAGCTTTTGGCCCCCATACTTTTGCTCCTATCTAGGAGCTGTCTTTACATAGTCTTGACATCTTCCACTCCATCTCGCATTCAATCGCTTCTTGAACAGATAGTTCATCGGAAAGTGTGAATTTCGGTTTCATTCCTATCCCCCTACTACACCAATCCTTTTCTTCTACATCATTTAGTATTTACCGCCGTTCTTGCCCACTCTTTTCCAGCCAGATTATTTTGATCGTGTAGTGAACTACACGAAGCACACCGCTTAGGCTTGGTCTCTCAGTCATGTCATCATCTAGTACCACAAGAGACGTTGAGAAAGGCAATGCAGGCTCAGACTATGCGCATCTAAGCAATGATGAAGTGAAGAGCTTCAGTTGGGAAGATGTAACGGTCACAGTCAAAGACAGGGTATCGAAAGAGCCAATTGATCTTCTTTCCAATGTTAGCGGCATGATTGAGGCAGGCGAGATGATGGCTCTGATGGGTCCAAGGTACGTTCATAACATCCTCATTCAGACAATGGACAACCATCTAACGTAGCAACGTCAGTGGCTCTGGAAAAACTACCCTCCTCAACATCCTTGCTCATCGCGCCGCGATACCTAAAGCCACCATTCAACAAACCCTCCGCATCAACGGCGCACCGACAGCACTATCGTCATTTCGCAAAATGAGTTCCTACGTCGAGCAGGAAGACGCTCTGATCGGCTCCCTCACCGTCCGCGAAACACTCTACTTCGCCGCTCAACTCGCACTCCCAAGTTCCGTACCAGCAGCTTCCCGCAAGGCCCTTATAACTTCTCTCCTGTCCTCCTTCGGCCTCACTGCGCAAGCCGATACTCTGATCGGGACTCCTATCCGCAAGGGTGTGTCTGGCGGTCAGAAAAGACGTGTCAGCGTCGCCAGTCAACTGATCACTTCCCCAAAGATACTATTCCTGGACGAACCGACAAGTGGACTCGACTCTGCGGCTAGCTACGAAGTCATCAAGTTTGTTCAGGGCATCGCGAAGAAGTATAAGATCTTGGTGATTGCGTCCATTCATCAGCCGAGTACTGCGACCTTTGGGTTGTTTGACAAGCTAATGTTGTTGAGCCGAGGGAAGTGCGTTTACAATGGCGAGGTTGAGGGAGTCAAGGAGTGGTTCGAGGGGCTGGGATATGAGGTAAGTCTACATCCTGTTGTGTTGCGAAGATCACGAGAACTAATACGATCGCCAAAAGATGCCGTTATACACCAATCCAGCCGAGTTTGTTATCGACTTGATCAATACTGATTTCTCCCAAGACGACACCGCCGCATCGCAACGCCTTTCCCATCTTCACACTTCCTGGGCTACATCCCCTGCAGCAGCAACACTGTCCGCAAACCTCCGCGTCGCCGCCAAAATGCCATCCAGTTCCCTCCAATCCTCTTCGCCCACTTCTTCCAGCACACGCGTGTCTGCTCTCTCAACCCTCTTACCCCTGGTCCACCGCTCTTTCATCAAATCTCACCGCGATATCGTCGCGTACGGCATCCGAATAGCCATGTACCTCGGCCTGGCCATCATGATGGGCACAGTCTGGCTGCGACTCTCTCCCACCCAATCCAACATCCAAGCCTTCACCAACGCCATTTTCTTCGGTGGCGCCTTCATGTCCTTCATGGCCGTCGCTTACATCCCCGCGTACCTCGAAGACCTCGCTATTTACTCCAAAGAACGCGCAAATGGGCTTTACGGACCTACAGCGTTCATGCTGGCTAATTTTATCGTGGGAATTCCGTACCTCTTCCTCATCACCGTGCTGTTCAGCGTGGTGAGTTATTGGCTAGGGGGGTTCCGACCGAGTGCAGAAGGATTTTGGATGTGGGTGCTTTGGCTGTTTCTGGACCTGCTGGCTGCAGAGTCTTTGGTTGTGTTGCTTTCGAGCCTCATCCCTATCTTCGTTGTGGCGCTTGCGGCGACGGCGTTTGCGAATGGGCTTTGGATGTGCGTGAATGGATTTATGGTGCAGCCCGATACGCTGAATGTCTTTTGGAGGTACGTTTTCCATTACATTGATTACCAGGCGTATGTATTCCGTGGTATGATGGTCAATGAGTTTGGAAAGAGGAGTTATGCTTGTGAGAAGCTAGAGGGAGGTGGGTGTCAGTGCATGTACCCGAGTGAGTTGCAGGATCAGTGCTTGGTGGATGGGAAGGCAGTGTTGGGCGTGTATGGGTTTGGGACGGGAAACACAGGGAAGTATGTGGGGTATCTTCTGGTCATCGTTGCCGTGTATAGGTTGTTTGGATGGGTGGTTTTGTATTTGCGCAAGCACTGAGTATTGTAGTACTACTGGAAATCCCTAGGGACATGGCGTAGTCGTTGTAGTATGTTTATTATAATTGAAAGAAGATGCACTTTGCAATCTTAATGGTTGCCAAAATCGTCTAATTACCACCCAACATACTTCTGGGTGCGACCACGTTTGGTGTCTTGACACTCCGAACTGTCGATCCAGCCGTTTCTTTCGTCGGGTGCTCGCTTTCAGCTGAGTGACCTCGCTCACTCGCATAGTCCGAAGCCAATCCTATTCCACATTAGTGTATGGATCCCAGGACGCCTTATGATATCCTTGGACCCACTTCAGAGCCACGCTAAGCAGCTTCAGACATACGAAAGACAATATTGAAGTACAATATAAAAGCAAGATGAGAAGACGAGTCGTTCGAATATCTAGCTTCAACTGGCCAATGTTCAGAAACATCTTACACAGTTTCCCAAACCAACTCCGCTCGATCTTGATAGCATCGCACGTTCCTCAAACGCGACTACAATTCACCTCAGCGCCCAACATGTCTGCAATTCCCATCGTCTTGTGCGGTAGAAATCCCCCACTCGCTCAAGCGGTTCGGCAAAATCTTATGCCTGAGTACGATGGTACGTCTTTTTCTTGCCATCTTCCTTGCGTTTCCCTACTATGAGAACTAACGTCTCGAAGTAATTCACATAATCTCTTCCCCAACGGTTGGCACAAGTGATCTTCCGCTTCTTCTAGCCTCTCCGTTGACTGTACCACCAAACTCTCAATCCAATCTCGGGTCTCAGAACTATTCCAAACGACCTGCTGCAGTTGTTGTAGGTGGAGGATTCGACGACCAGATGTTCAAACAGATGAAGGATGCTTGTAAAGAGACAATGGATATACCTTGGGGTAAAGCAGATCTTTCAATGAGTGGGGAGATGCCTAACTACAACAATGTCGACGCCTTTGGCAAAGCTGTCGCACGGAGGGTTAAGACGCGCCTGTTGGAGGTGAATATTGGTGGGAGGAATGGCGTCCAGAATGGTGAATTCAGATATTGATTAGCCAAAACAGCTGTCTACATAGCGACAATACCGAACCAGTATTTGTGATACCTTCTTTCCACGAATACCTTATCTAAGGCAGAAATACTGACGTTCCTTGCGCCCTTCTTCAATCTCTTTGATGAGCTCTCCGTGCCTAATCTCGTCCATGTACACATCGCCTAATAGTAAGTAGACGTCGCCCCTTGGCCGCAGCGCACAAGGATTATATGCCCCTTCCAGGACTACAATAATGTCGTTCTCTCTCAGACAAGCCGGTCCAAGGCCGAGGGAACCATTCTTAGTACGAAAGAACTTTCGTCGAAAGCAATGATTTCCCATAATATCCTCAAACAGCTTCCACTCATCGTCATGCTCGCTCAAATGTTGTGTCGTTAAGCCACCTCCACTCTCGTTATCCGCAATCAAGTGGAGGAGGCGAATATAAGCTAAAAAGCTTTGGGAATATGCTGCTATCTCGTCTTCAGTTGCGCACTCGTACAACGTATCATCTTGAAGTACCACTCCTGTGGTCAATGTTCGTGCCATTGACATCATTACGGGGCTCACATCACGGCCTAAAGGGGACCACGTGGGCACCTTCTCGCTCCAGTACTCTAGGACAATCCGTTGCGGATAGTTTCTAAAAGTTATCTTCTCATGCGGCAAGTCAGCAAGGGATCCGTTTATTGGCGGTCCTGTATACAAGACTGTTTGATGAGTCAATCCGGATACCATTATTGATCGGTCAGAAGGCTGTGTACTGCCATCGGGCGGAGATGTCGTATTATATGTCCCGTTTGGTAAAACAGACGGAGACAAAAGACTTCCTATCGGGAAAATCGGCACATGTACCGTCTGATCCCATTGAGGGATCCAAGATCTGTATCTTGGGTCACCGTCATAGCGTGCACCATGATGTACATGGGCAAAAAGGGCAAGATCGCCAGTCCATCCTATGACTGCAGTGGCCAAATCATGGTAAACATCCTGGATGGACTTATCATAATCAATTCTGATGATATGTCTTTCCTCCCCAAGTTCCATCAAACCAAGAATGCCATAGATCTTATCTCGAGGATCCGTAGCTTCCCATTTTCTGTAGGTTCTCAGAGCTGAAAGAAGACTACATTTGTCGTCACGGAATGGACCGTTCATATGATAAGCGAACTGTTCGAAGATCGCGTATGGTGAATGTTGTATCTCGCCTTGGCAACGGTCCACCGTCCATCCAGCTAGGCGCACGGGAACGTACCTCGAAAGTTCCTCAGTTCCCCAATAAAACATTGAATCAGAAGCTAATCTAATCTCTTGTATACACCATATCCGCCGAAACCAAGGGATATCGAAGAAGAGTTTTAGCGCATTCCATGGTAGCGGTCCGCCGAAGACTGCAGCTACATCCGGGATACGCCAGTCAGAAAAATGGTGCTCGGGATCATCTTTGAAGGCTTTGACGCATATCAGGGAATCGAAAACACGCTTGATATCCAAAGCATACTCCGTTTCGATGTGACCCAGCCAGACAACGACGCGTTTGGCGCAATGAAAGATCGAACCCATGCGGCGTACCTGAGAGCTCTTTTCTTCTTCATCAGACTGCGCAATGCACAGTGCGTCTGCCCAGACAATCCGTGCCTCGTTCGTTAGTCGCATTCTAACAAGCGCATCCCGCAGGTTCATCGTAATCCAGTGTGTTGTGCCATTACAAACTATCTCACGCCGTTCAGCTGAGTCGCCCCAACAGTAAGAGAGCGCTTCATATGCGGGAAGGTGGTCAATGTCGTACTGCCGAAGCTCACACGATACTGGTGACTCTGGAGACTCAGAGGGTAGTATATGCAAGAGGCGGATGTCAGTGTCCGATAGCCGCGTGGGATACAGCGTATTCATTGCGATTGTAGAAGCGGTTTTGCGTTAAGCGGATGCCAGTCGGTGGTGGATAACGCATAACCCAGTAAAATGCAGCGAAGGGCTACCAGCCGGAAGTTTGGTCAAAATTGCGACCTATTGCGCCAAAGACAAGAATACTAAAGATCTGCTGTACGCGTTCATGTAGCATGAATGGATTTAGGTTTGATAGATGTATTGCGTGGAGCGGGGCAGAATCGATGCCGCAGGGGGTAGGGGCGAACGCAAGCAGATGCTATTCCGCTTTCGGCCTAATGTGGTGAGTACCAATACTGTTTACCTCCAATGGCAGCGCCCAGGTTTTCTCTCACTGCTCAGCTCTTGGCAAATGACTCATATAGAATCATGTCACTACTGCGTGCAGCTTCACCGATCAAAATATCTGTCATGAGTCAGGAGAGAAAGTCACGATGCAGCAATTGTTTACAAAAAGCGATGTAGTAGGCTCACCTCCAAGAGCCCTCCATCAACATGTCTTCACACAACCTTACCGACGAGAAAGGGGTCAGAGAATACCTCGAAGCACATCAATTCACACCCATCAGCGTACAATTACTCTCAGGAGGCAGTGCCAACTATGTCTACCGTGTCGTAAACCATGATGGCTCGACACGCATCTTAAAACACGCAGAACCCTATTTGCATAGCAACAAAGACTTTGCATTCGACCCTAAGCGTATGAACTACGAAGCGCGAATCTTGCAGGCTCTATCTTCCTCCGAGAGCCCTTTGATCGCAACTCTTCCCGGATCGAACGTACACACGGTACGGCTGTTGAACTACGATGAGACCAACAAGCTGCTTGAACTCGAAGATGGGGGTAGTCGAAATCTAAAGGACGCTTATACAGACTCGGAGCTTGATATACCATATATTGCGGAACAGATTGGAAGATGGCTCGTTGCACTGCATCTATCCGCAAGAAATCTCTCGCTCGCTTCGCCGGATCAAGGCCGAGGCACCGACAATAACCCTATCGCGGTTGATATTTATCGGTATCCGTACAACGGCCTGCACATCGCCCTGAGACAATCTGGTTACGACCCTCAGTTGGCTCACGTCATCAATGAAAAATTCGGAAGTTTAGTCGCGGTAGATGATGAATGTATCTGTCACGGCGACTTTTGGCCTGGCAATGTTCTCGTGCGGGAATTTGAACAAGAACCAGTCGAGCTGACGATTGTGGACTGGGAACTGGTGCGCCGCGGTACCAGCGCAACCGATGTTGGCCAGTTCGCTGCCGAATCGTTCCTTCTTGATCGCTTTCGTGGCGGTAGGGGTTTGCTTAGTGCATTTCTGAACGCCTATGTTATAGTTCGGGAGCAGACAGAGACGCTTGGTAGATCGTGGCTGACAAGAGTGGTAGTGCACTGGGCAGTTCATGTTGCGTTTTGGCCTACTAGAGTCAGATGGTCGAACGAGGAGGAGACTAAGGCCCTTGTTGAAGTGGGCGTTGCTACTTTGGAAAACATTCTGAATGAGGATTGGGAGAAGGTGTTGGAGTCACCATTGTTGAGAGACGTAAAGGAAAGGTATGCTGCATTGTTAGCGCGACCTTAACGACTGCGCGTAGAGTAGGACTACATCTCAAGTCTAAAGGTATCTAGTGTCCAAAAGCACTTCAGTTACTTGATACTAGATCTCCACCAATTCTACCAACTTCCTAAGACACCTTCTGCCATACCGGTAATCAAACATCTTACTCATGGTCACATGTGCAGACCACGAAGAATCCCCTAGTCACATTACCATCACAACAATGGTCACCAGATATTTGGTAGCTCAACTAGCATCATTTGCCCATGCATATATAAGCACCCAACTACAACGCCACTGGCTCAGCATCGACCGCTTGATTAATCGATACAATGGCTACCTCATCCTCATCGAGCAATACTACTGAGTTCATAACCATTATCGAACACATAAGTCCGATACTAGCCACCGCAGTGGCTGAGAGACTATTGCCTAATCTCAGAGAAGAGATGGCGTGCATGATACCTGGAATCGTGTCTCAAACACTTTTTCAACGAGGGGTTGTTGATAAGCATAAGAACGACAGCAAAGGCAACAAAACAACCGGAGCATACTTGCAGGCCACTACCGATACTAGAATGCCACCATCACAGCAATATCTGCAGGAACCGTTACCTCGCCCTCTACCACAACCTCCCCTGGAATTACAGCACCAGAGTCAAGCGATTGCCATCACAGCAACTCCAGATAGGCGAGTTTCGGACGAGGAGATGTTTAAGAGGTTTCGCGAGTATAAAATACGTGAAGGCAGAGCACAGACCGGAGAGGTAATGAATGCGGGTGTAGCGATTACTGTTACATTGAAACCAGACGGTTCGCACTTTGGGGTACAGGATGAAGCGGCTGTCGACTGGAGCGGCAAGGATTCAGACATATCTGGGATGAGTTTAAGTGGTCATAGAGTAGACAAGAACAATGATGAGAGCGGACGGATTAGAAAGAAGGAAGGATAGCAGATGTAGGAAGAGCTGCGATGCAATGCAAATCAGAATCAAGACATCATGCAACGTTTCGTGATTCTGGCTTACATTGCCACTGGTCACAGGCTGCATTCTTACCACAATCTTCATAGCTGATATTGTATAATTACACATTTTTGCTGATGGTACATGGGGAAACGTACACAAGCTCTCGGTCTTTACTGCATCTTTCTCGCACCCGATGCACTCTCAATCTCCGCCATTTTGCCCTCTCGCCAGAACCAAACTGCAGCAAGCGTCGCGCCTGGTCCGCCCATAGCCGTCACCGCGGCGATGACGAGAAAGCTTTCAAAGATGTTTTCAAGTGTGGCTTCTCCATTCTTTACCCGCTGCACATCGCATATAGTGACCCAAGATGGAATGATGTACATTGATCCAATGATGAGCCAGTCCCACTGGAAGATAAACAGAAGGCCCCACTCCATACCCCTCTTCCATGTGTAGGTACTGGGGATGAATACGCGGGCGTAAGTCACATCGGGGTTGTCGGATAGGGAGATACCACGGATAGCGATCCAATGCGTCGCCACGGAGACAACGAAAGCGAAAGCATAAAGAACCTTGAGACTTCGGACGTCCGCACTCTTGTTCTTCGCGGTTATGACGGTCGAAGAACCCGAGAGAGAAACGAACCATAGCGGAATATTGGCGAAGATAGGCGTGAACTGCCAGAATGCGAGAAGGTTCTGGAGCATGTCTGTATCTAGGCCGGGGATGAATAATGCGATGGTAGGCATAACGTAAAACAAGAGAATTCCTGGGAGAATCGCGCGCGCATAAGGCAATGGAACAGTGCGTCCAGTCTGGAAGTATGATTTTGGACTTGAGATGCGATGGAAGGCTAGCCACCAGAGAGTCACTATAAAAGCTCCTCCCACATTCTGGTAGATGAAGGCCCAGAGAGAAATGCTTCATATCATCAGTAACATGCGTCGAATTTCGTTAAATCCCTCCTGATGGCTCACTTACTATTTAACCCAACTACCTTGGTTTCGCTCCCGGCATGCCTCGACGCCATGCACCGCAAGAAGGGGCGTGATCTGAAGGAGGAAATGGAGTTGTTGCCAGTAGAAGGTCTCACTCCATCCTGTGGGCCCATACAAGAATGCAGCCACCAAGAAAGACAGTCCCTCGTCTAGGATACGGATACCCGTATAGTGCTTCTTGAGAGACTCACCGTTAGGCAGAGTGCCTGATGCAGCTACGTCCAAGAAACCAACAGGAACTTCGTTTTGAGCTGTCGTAATGCGCATAGTATAGAGCCCAATCCCAGCTAGAACTGCCATTACAGCCAGTAGCGCATTGTTGTTCGGACGACCGACGCGTGCTGTTGATGTCGCCATGATGGGTGGTTGCTGGCGCTCAAGGGAACAGCGCGCCGTAGCAGATGACCACGGTTTTGTTTGTCGTCCCTCGGCGCGCCTTGGGCACAACTTGGCGAGCTTCGTCTCTCCTATCAGTCCTAGAGGTCAGCTCGGACATATATTTCATCCGGTGGTTGCGGGGATTGCTTATGTAAAACGGCACAAAGCGAAACGCCTCATCATAGCTTCTCAGATGCGATCTCCTGACTAGAAAAGAAGACTATTGCATGTTGCCATTGATGGAGTGCTGCAGGAAGGAAGAAATCATAACTTGAGTTGTCCTTGAGTTGATCACAAACGAATCGGAGGTATCGCACGTGACTGGTAGATAATCCTACCTCTTCGGCGAATTCAATGGCAAGATCGAGAGGGGCATTGGTCGGGTGACATTTGGAACTCAATTCGAGCTGAAATCTGACGAAGACGAGATCGGATGTTTGTCTTGCGATTCGTCAATGGTTGATCCCAGGTAAGTGTACCGGACGCTTGGTTCGGCCCTTTCGGCTAAGCGGCACATTGCGATGGCCGGAACGTGTTTCAACGGCGTTGGTGGTGAAAGCCATCCGGTTTTGGGAACGTGACGTCAACGCACCGCCTCATCGAGTGGCTCACATTTCCATGGTTTTTATCGCTGTTCGCATAACAATTCCAACGGTGTTGAAAAAGCAAGCCGACTGCCTAACTCGATAGATCAGAGCTTGTACACTTTTGCGGGGTGATGTGCCGCGACGGTACCTGCCAAGGCGATGAAACCTCGATGGTTGACGCGGAGGCGCCGCGATCGCGTCCACCACGCGACGCTAGAGAGGTGATGTCATAGCACCTATTCAGCGACATTGGACGCAGCCTGGAGCAAGCACTATCGAGAATATATCCCTTTGATGCAGGGACACTGCCACATGTGGCATAGTGTCTCCAGTTTATGATGCGCTCTCCAACGCTATTACGCATTGGCGTCGTCCATGTCTCGGAATCTTGGCTGCCATGGTTTGACAGCGCGTCGCGTCTTCCTTCTTGTAAGCTTGGTTTTCTTGTCAGCCCTTGTCTACAACCTCTTTCTTTCTCAAACCCTACAACGATACTCTAGAAGTTCCGGAAACTTCGAAAATTACGAGCTATGGTCGGAACCAGACGCAACATTCTCAACAGCCACAACAGCAACGGCAGCATTAACAGCAGAAGCAATGCCAACGAGTTCAGTAAATACCAGCGTGTCGACCTGGAAGGAGGGTATGGAGGAAATAATCCCGTTAGATCAAAGAAGCGATTTCGCGATGCGATCGACCAAACCGTAAAGGACAATCGCGCCAATGAGATGAAGAAGAAGTTGATCGATAATATCGACCATGAAGCGCTGGAATTTTTCAGGAAGAGCGATGAGAGTGTACGTTTAATCCATACGTCTGTTTGCAGTGACGCTAATATGTGTTCTTCAGCTCAAATCCATCAAGAATAAGAGAGTACGCGGCTTCTACGAGGAGCAGAACTCGCGCTTGGACGACTGGGCAGAAGTAGACATGGTTGTCTCTTCGCTTGCCGACGATATTGTGGATAGTATGAACCCGCGAGATACTGATGGCGACGGAGTAGCAGAAGACCGTGGACCTTTGGGCAATAGCGGCGAGGAATTGGAACCTTTTCTCCCCGAAGAAGAGCGTGACCGAAGAGCGAGATCTGCCAAACACGCACGGTGGGCCATAAACGTAAGTCCTAAAGACGGGAAATGTAGCCAAAGCTGACAGTTTTCAGATCAACGTCCTTGTGAACGTCCTTCTACTCGCGGCCAAGGGTGTAGCAGCGATCTGGTCCAGCTCTTTGTCGCTGATCGCGTCTCTTGTTGATTCGGCACTTGACTTGCTATGCACCATCATCATCTGGACCACCAACAAACTCGTTGGCTGGCGTTTGCAGAGTCTAAAGAAGAAGTTTCCCATCGGCCGACGACGCCTCGAACCCATCGGAATTCTGGTCTTCTCTATCATTATGGTCATATCTTTCCTCCAGATTCTGCAAGAGTCGGTCAAGAAGCTCCTACCAAGCGGCGATCACAGTGTATCTCAATTGCCACCCGCTGCTATCTTCGCCATGGTAGCTACAATCGTTGTCAAGGGCACTATCTGGATTGGATGTGCAAGGGTCAAGACAACGCAAGTACAGGCCCTCGCCCAAGACTGCAAAACTGGTACGTTCGTGTCTTGCGCCAACCACGTACATCTGCTAACCAACACAGATGTGTATTTCAACACACTTTCCCTTCTTTTCCCTCTCATCGGCGGCCACGTCGGCATCTGGTGGCTCGATCCTCTCGGCGCAGCTTGCCTTTCGCTATACATCATCTACGACTGGGCTTGCACTTGTTTCGAAAATGTCACTCGTCTGACCGGTGAAGCAGCCAATGACCGTGTGGAGCGCAAGATGATGTACATGGCGTACCGCTTCTCACCCCTTGTTGAAGGTTTCAAGAGTCTCAAGTGCTACCACGCAGGTGATGGTGTCTGTGTGGAGATCGATGTGCTCATGAAGGAGGAGACACCGTTGAGAAAATGTCATGATATTGCCGAGACTCTGCAGTACTGTCTAGAAGGCTTAAATGAGGTGGACCGCGCCTTTGTGACAATGGACTGTGAGTATTCCGATCGAGAGACGAGCGCTTTAGAATTTGCAGCTAATGTTTTACAGACACTTCACAAGGCCCCACAGGCCATGCTGGTAGCTAGGTTTATGCCTGCCAGTGATGTACATCTGGAACCATTCCTTATTCTTAGCATAGCGTGCCTGGCGTTCGGTCAGTATTATAAACTCTTACTTTGTTCAATACAACTATTCGGTAAAGTCTTTCCTTTCGTACCTTATCGCTGCATTTTCCACTCGGCGCTACGACTTATGAGGTTCACGAGAAGCGCGTTGTGGTCAACACACGGAATGAATGACGAACCTGCATAAGCAGAGACCCAAAACATTCCACTCATCACCGCAAGCCTAGACTTGTGCAGTACTTGTTCGGTCTCATAGGTCACGACGATCATTTTAGTCTGACCTCTTGTATTTCCCTGGGTATCATTAACTTAACGCCAAATTGTACAATAGTATCCCTGTAGAATGCTACGCGGGAACTAGAAACTAAACCAAAGACACAAATGTGTGCCATATGGATCAAAAGAAAAACAAGAACGCTCACAGAGAAAAATACTAGCTGAAAACGCTCGCTTCGGTCCCAAAGAATCACTCACGACTCCGCTTCATCCGATCGCTTCCACCGGAGTCATCAGCTCTACGCCCCATCTTCTCCTTCATCGCAGCACGTTCTTCCTTCTCAGTGAGTGCGATGCAAAAGCGCTTCGAAGCTTGGTCGTTCGCTTCTGGTACATTCGTTCCATCATCGTCATCCATCGCATCAGCATCTTTCTCCTTCGAAACCTGGTCGTGATCGGAAGAGATCTCTGCGATGTTGCGCTTGGCCTTTGGTGAACCTGTGAGTCCGGATGTAGTTTCTTGACCGGTAGCCATACTCCGAGCCTCATTTCGGTCAACAACGAACTTTTTCATGTTGTCCTCGACGCGCCAGTACTCCTTCAGGTTTCGCATGTATGGGACATAGCGCCCAGACTTCTTGTCCTTGAAGAAACTAAGCTCTTCTGTCTTCGCAAGATTCTTCATTTCGTCCCACGTCAGGCAACCACTCGGGAAGACTTGTTTCATGAGGCCAAAGTTCGTGGCGGAGATACGTCTGAAGAGCGGCCCAAGCTCTTTCTGGCGGTCGGCGCAGGTTGCGTACGATCCGGGTATATCTTCATCGGCTTTGACGTCTTGAGCATTTATTGCTTCGTTGCACGTCCAGACCAGGATTTCGCAGCTGGAAGGTGCCGGATCGGCGACCAATCCTCTGATCACCTCGATAGTCCATTCGATATTAGCCCTCTTGCGGTTGCCGCTGTCAGAACCCTGATACCTAGGATGCTTGATAACATAATCTATCACAATCTCATTGTCTGATGGGTTCCGCCATGAATAGTCGAACATGCCGGCAAACAAAGACCAGGCCTTGTCTGTCTTGTTCATCATCTTCCTTTGCGCCTCAATCAGCAATCTAGTCAACTCCTCTTTGCCCGATTGTGGTCCTGATGTTGCCGATTCTCTCCTCTTGAGGGGGCCGGCTAGTACTGTAGCGCCGGCATTGGCCGTATGAGAAGAGGCAGCGAGATTGATTGGCTGCGCAATAACATTGGACGCGGCTTGAGATGGAGCAAGTGGCGTGACGGGAGCAGCTGACTGCGCATTATCATTATCAGCGGCTTGAGATAGAACAACCTGCTTGCTTGTCTGCAGAGCATTGCCTGTGCTCTGTGTAGCAATGTTCCCTTGCGCCTCTCGCCTTCTAGCATGTTGCCCATTATGTGCATGTCTCGCAAGCTTGTTGAAGTCCGCATTGGTCAACAGTTGATGCCTCATTGCGTAGTCGATCTTCTGGGCCAGCTCAGCTGCGGACTCCGCATTGTCAATAAAGCCAAGAACCTCGTTTCGAAAGTTATCCCTGGGTCCCGAACCGTCCGTCTTTGAGAGAGCCTGTTGAAGAGCGAGGTGAAGTTCAGCGACCTGTTGAAATAGAGCTTGAGCCTTTCCATCAGCCCAATGGTTATGTGAGTTTGCCTGCGCCCTCAACTTCGCCCGTGACTGGATGGTGCTTTCAGCGCCAGTCGGGCTGGAGAACGATGAAGTCGCCGAAGGCTGCCCAGTCGACGATGGAAATATTAGAGGAGCCACAGGAAGCGTGGATGTAGAACGCCCGATTCGATTGACAGACGATATGGTCGTGATAGTCGGGGCTTCAGAGATATGGCAGCCGGACCTGACTGTAGAATGCTCTGGGAGAGGCGTATCGGTCATATCCTCATCCTTAGTGACCACGGTAGTAGTAATAGGCGGAGCTAAATTGGGTCCGATAGCAATACTGAGCATGGGGCGCGCTGTTGGAAGCACGTCAGGCATTTCCTGATCGTTCGTCTCGCCGAAAATAATGCTAGACGAAGCTCCAGTTGGGTTGGTAGTAGATTCGAGTGCAACCTTTGTGAGTGGAGGCGCATCGGGCATATTTTGGCTCTCGTCTTGCACAAGAATTGAAGAGGGTGCAACAACAGTCGGTTGGTTAGTGTGCTGCACGTCATCCATCTCATCATATCCGATGTTGGTAACATGATTGGAGGCAGATGAGGTCTCTACCCCGTTCATAGCTTGAGAGAGTCCCACGCGTGAGTCTGTTGTGCCGACTTGCTGGCAACGAGTAGGCTCTGGAATACAATCTTCCATTGCATCACTCTGCGGGAAGGCTCCGTGGATGGTGGGCGGGCCGTTAGTGTTGACATTGCGGGTTGTGGCGCCTACCAGCTGTGTCACGTGGGTGGTGATGGGCTGAAACTGGACGCTGAGGCTCACAGCGTGTGTATTTGGCACGATGTGTACTGGCAGCATCGGCGTTGTATGCTGCAATACATTCATGCTTGACACTACCGGTACCGATGTTTGTGAGTTAGGTGCAGCGTCAGACCTGGATTGGAAGGTACCAGATGTCTGTTTCGGGGTAGCCAGCTTAAGCTCAGCGATCTGAGTGACGGATGCTGAAGCAGCAATGGTATGTGGGGAGGCTACACGGCTCGCACTACGCACGACGTAGGTACCGATACTCATTTTATCCTGTCGGATGAGTGCGCCCGAGCGGCTCGTATCAGGAATAGTGGACATACGAAGACTGTTGATGATCTCAGCCATGTCTTGCGCACTGCGACTGATCTTGTCGAGATAGCGAGTAAGGCATTGAAGTCGCACGGTGTAGAGACGCGCTCAATCAACAAAGAAGGGAGTGGGACCAAAGTTCGCACACTCGCGCTCCAGAATGAGACCAAATATGAAGCGGGCGATTGGTCGCTCTAGTTGCTTTCCGAACCTGGTATCTTTGAAGAGATGGCCAAGGGTCTTTATTGCGACACGAACCGTCTTCTTGAACGCACCCCCGACGCGAATCGCATGACCAAGTTTCCTTATTCTGTCAACGATAGGGCACACCGCGACTTGTCGCAATGGCAGATACGTTGATGGAGTACCATGCTGACGCTGAAGAAGCTGGACCAGATCGGGGGAGGACAGAGCTTGTCGGAATATCGCGGCAGGATTCGAGCGAAGATTGCTCTGGAGGTTGCCTAAGAATATGGATGTAGTTGTATAGGAGAGAGGTTGACCAGGTCGAAGCAGGTATAGCCTGCATCGCGATGCCCCAGTTTCCGCTCTCGATGCCATGTTCTGGGCTGCATGGGGTCGTGACGGGGATGAAGGACCGGGGAGTTTCTGTAGACTCTGCAAGAAGGCATCGGCGTGCTCTCTGATAATATGGCGAGCGTGGTATATAGATACGTCGCCGAACTGCTGAGCATAGATCACGATCTGCTGCTGGAGCTCGGCTTCTAGGCGAGGGCGTAGGGAACGAGCGAAGAGCTGTCGCGGCGACTCATCCACTCCGATAGGTAGAAACTTGCTCGACATTATAGTGACAGATCATCGAAGTTGCTGAGTATGATCGTGGCTGACTGCGTCGGGGTTGGATTGCGAAGTACTGCTGGTGCACTGCGAAGGTGGGCTAGAGGTCGCTGGAAAGTCTCAAGCGCTATGACTTGTGGTGAACAACAGCGAATTGCAATGGATAAGCGAGAGTACAGTGTCATAAAAGCGCTCAATAAAGCTTGAGAAAGTGAAAGTGAAAGAGAAACGGTCGAAACGCTAAGCCATATTGCGCATCTCGCAAACGAATGACACCCAACAATTGCATAATCCCATCAACTCAGAAGCCCCTTGGAACAGTAAGGGATCTCGTTGCAATAGAGGGTTCGAGAGGACATCCAGCCATAGGCTGCCAGACCACTGAAAACATGTCATACTTGTCAATTCACTTCTTCGATGTAGCGAAATGCGAGGGAGATACCCGAAGTCTTGAATGCAGAACAGATAAACCACAACAATAGATGAAATATGGCAATGGGTGGTGAAGACAGAAGATATACCTAAGACGCGTCTCCACTTCGATACCAGTGGAAGTGTTACCCAGAAAAGGTCTTCACAGCAAGGTCTTGCCGTAAGTATAGAGCCATGCACTCGGTTGGGCACTCATAATACCATTTGAGCACTATTTCTGTCACTACCCATAAGTGTATTTTCCATTGTCATCCACCTGTTCTCTCGCCATAATAATACACACTGTGAGGCACCGTGCCCGATTTGTTGTCATTTTGCCGAGATGAGTTCTGTCGCTTCAGTATCATTGGAACCAAAAATTTGGCGATGAATGGTGAAGCTTAGAAATAGCTTCTTCGCGCGAAAAGATGTTCGAAAGAGCGTGGCTGGGAAGGACGCGTCGTTGTGTCCTTAGTCCAAGCATGACATCATGTCGGAATAACCAGCCTTGGGCGTTCTCGCGCTGGATCGCGCGTCGCGTCCCTCGTCCCATCCTCCATCCCAATTTCCACCGGTCTGCAACACAAACAATCGACCACGTGTGACCGCTCGGGAAGACATTTGTTCTGGCCCTTACAGCTTGCGAGATTTCTCCTTAGCCGGCGCGTGCTATGTGCTTCGCTGCCGCATTCTCTACTCTCAAACCACAATCATCATCATACGCATGGCTTTGTAGAACGCCCAGCCTCCCAACACCAAATCCCAGTCAATTGTTCCATCGCTCAGGAGGCGTACACCATTTCGTAAACTACGATTTGAGAGGGTTAAGCATAGCGATCGGGGCCAGCCACATAACCTGGCAGGGGTTCTCCTCCATCTCCCCGCAGCACCTATAGCGATGTGTCAGCCGATGCGGCACAATATCTATACGACCTCATACGCCAACTGACGGTACTGGTTTTTGTGCTCATCCTAGACCATCTAATGTTAGCGACCGTATATGAAAGCATGTAGTACGAAAATAGCGATATGTGATGACGCTAAGCTGGATTCGACATCGAACACTACGCTTACGCATGCTTATGTTGCACCGGTGACTACTATGCAGACGGTACAATCACTGAAGACTTGCGTCTTGAAGTATAATGCGACGTCCCCAATATGCAATCTAAATGTTCTAGTTCTGTCATACGACAACCCCAACAACATGGCAAACGTCACCGGTACCAATGGCATCACTGGCGCCAACTTCGACATATACGGTGCGAACCGCGTACTTCCCCGGGCAATGACCGCATTCACAGCTATTGCTTGGTATAATTCGATCGAACTACTCATCCTTGTCTTCGTCAATTTCAGGAGGTACTCCGGCTTGTACTTCTGGAGTCCTATAGTCAATGCGATCAGCATTGTGCCGTATGCGACTGGTATGATTAGCTTACCGAATCGAACACGGCTTGGCTGACGAGGTGCACAGGAGCATGGATGAAACAAAACAACGTTGCACATAATCCTTACGTTTACAACACCCTCCTTACGCTCGGGTGGGTTTTGATGGTTCCCGGGCAATCAGTCGTAATGTACTCTCGCCTGTACCTGATCTCCCCGAACCTTAAACTCCTGCGTCTCATCTTTTGGCTAATTGTTACTTCGGCAATATATCTGTGTGTACCTACTGTTACCCTGAATCTACGGCAATACACCAAGCATCCGGAATCTTACACACGCGACTACATGGTCATGGAGAAGATACATATGACTCTTTTCACTGTTCAGGAAATCTTTATATTCTGCGTCTATCTGTTGGAGACCCGCAAGCTAATGCGTGTCATCTTCGACGGCAAAGCCAGGAAGTGGATGTGGCAACTTGTTGTAATGAATGTACTCCTACTGATACTGGATATCGCTTTACTCACGACAGATTTTCTGGATCTCTACATGATACAGACAACCTTCAAATCTCCTGTGTACAGCTTCAAGCTCAAGATTGAGTTCGTAGTCCTTAGCCAGATTGTCCGCGTCATTCAAGATCGTGCGCAGTCTGGTAGTTCAGTCGCCGCACTTCCATCAACTCTGGTGTGTCAACCGTGCGCAGGAAAACCGATAACAAGTCAAATCTCAGAGGTAGAGGACATGCAACGCAACGTGCCACTGGAGTGGCGGCTATCGAAAGACACTACAGCTTTGGTTTCGCCAGTCGCGCTCACTGTGGCGAGAAAAGACGACGTCGAAAGTGCCAGATGAAGTGTCGTTTCTGTAGACGCGATGTATCATAGAAGATTGGGATGACTGTAGGACAGGTATATGACCAATTGAATGATTGATAAGCGCAGACCGATGAATCAATAGATGATATCACCAAGCTATTCAAGACAGCCTGAACATCTCGCTCCGCCAGCCATACACCCGCCCAAGCCTCCGTCCGAACCGTCTTGCCATGATGTACGGAATGTCGCTGTCAGGATGTGGTTCGTGGAAATGAATGCCACGATCGACATCAAGGGCTTCACAGGGTGTGAACTGCCAAGCGGAACCTTGCAGCTTCTCCGCAGCAAAGCCGATGCGTACCATAGCGCGCTTGAACTCGTCCCACTTGATGGCCTTGGGGAACTCTTCGTTGTCAGACAAAGTGACGTGAAAAAGTGCTTTCATTGTCCTGTACGCACGCTTATCCAAGGCAAAGGTCTGCTTAGATGTTTCTTCGATAGCGGGCGGAGCATGGTCGGCAGGTTGATCAATCATGGGGATGTTTGTAACGCCTTTCGTCTTTGGCTTCTTCTTCTCTTCGATAGCTAGCCGGTCAAAGGCTCCTGTGATCTGCATAGTCTTGTTGTGGAAGATTGTTGAAAAGGGCTGATAAACATACTCCAGGTGCTCCGCTGGCTTTGGTCTCATACCCAAAGGCTCCTTCCAAGGCGGAGTCCGTTGCATCTTTCCACCATCCAAGATACACCGACGTATGACTTCATGCTGCGAGACTCCAGTCTTCTGCTCGTAGAACGTGTCGACATGCTCCCAGAATTTGTCGAGATTCGCTTCAGCCGTACGCATACTCTGAACGTTGCTCCTGTTACGGATTTTATGGGCAGGATACGCCAGCTTGCCACGAAAAGGATTGATGGAATGTACCGGAAGCTGGCATTGATCCAGGTGATATAACCACTCGAGAAATTCTTCGTCATGAGAGTGTGGTGCATCCTTTTCGATTTCGTAGGCCTGTGGCGTATCGCACCACACTGAGTGCTGCATAATACACTCTCCAACTACAGACATATGCGCAAAGAGCTCCGAGACACGAGCCGACATCAAGTTCCTTGCGGTGTCGCTAGTCCTAAAGAGGGTAGCCATATCATCCAACAGATGATATAGGGTTGCGTCCGAGAGAACAGCATCAGACTTTTGTGCTAAACACAAGAACGACGATACCACACGGAATTCCTCGAAGGTCTTAATTCTCGAAGGGATGAGTACGACGCTTCCAACGGCTTCCGAGTCGTCCTGACGAAAACAGAATTTTCGCATGTTGGGTGCGCAAGCAGCATAGCCAGAAAGCATAGGATACAACAGCCTTGATGTCTTGCGAGCTCTGCAGTCAAGCTCGCTCATAAGAGATGAGAAGCGGTCTTTACAATCTTCCCGGGAGGTTTCTGCGAGCTTGTCCACGATTCGATACAACTCTTCCCAAGCGACGAACATAGTGTATGCCTCAATGACGACCTCTCGTGCTTTTACCATAAGAAACTCAGTGCCGCCTAAAGCTGGATGAACTTGCCCATTCACATTGTGCGCCATTTTCATAGTATGATCGGCAATATCCATAAAGACTTCCGCAAAGTAAGAAGGATCCTCGCGCAATGCTAAGATATGGTCTCTGGCGTTCGTGCGTAAGGCGTTGAAGTATGCACGTAGCCTGGTCAAGTCGAGGGATGCCCTGTTCCGATAGGGTGCGATAGCGAGTGTATCGGCGAAGGTCGTATATCCGATGTCGCCTCGAACATCGAGATCGGCGAATGGCGGCTCGACTTGGACAGGACCATGAAGCAGCAGATCCTCAGTATAGTCGTGCAAGATAAGCTTACTGCAGGTGACCAAGAACTTCAAGATCCGTTGTTGTATATGGAGAGTCTGTAGACCGATTCGAGCACAGTATTCATAGCCGTTCTTGTCAGCAACATAGTCGTCTATAGGTTTGGTTACAGGGTTGACCCGTCCATAAACTGTAGGATTCGGATCGTTAGAGAATTGGAGTAGATACTTCACAAGCTCTGGCTCAGGACCGCATGGTGACATCCGTGCCAGCGGACTGAACTCCTCTTCGGTGGGTGCAAAAATCAAGGGAACGTTTCGACCACGAGCGTTGAGAAATATCAGCAGACATTTCGGCTTCAACAGGTCCTCCAGGTTTATGAAAGGCCACATCTTAGCATCTGAAGGTACTCCTTCTTTGTCTTTTGTGACCAAGGCTTCTTTGAGGCGCGCTGGATCGTGAGACTTGTTGAAGATGTTGACAACATCGGCATAGTCTGGGCGATGCATCTCTGGCATGTTTGGCCATGCTTCCAGCAAAATATCGCGCCGTTGAGCAACAGACTTCTTGATCCACCGTTTCCGTATCATGCTTTCGTTTCGGAGAAGTATGGCGTTCAGCGTATGGTAGTCGGTGCAGATACTCTCACTGAGGGCCGATGCATGCTTCGCAATTGTCGTAACTAAGGATGGCGAGATGGAATCGTTTCTGTGCAGTTTTCTAAGGAGCTCGTCGAGCTTGATATCATCGACCCTGTTTTCGTCAGTGATAATCGAGTAATGTCTTTGAAAGGAAGCTCACTTCTCCTGCAGCGGCAGCTTCGTAAAGTCCGTCATGATTAACTCGCGGCTCTGGAAGTGTCGCCGGCAAATGGAGAGGTTGCGTGGCGGAAAGAATCAGTTTTGTGTAAGGTGCTTCTTGCAGCTGGCGGCCAAACGTATGACCGGTAATTTACAACTGCTTCAGCGGTGTGGTGACGGAATGACAAACGGCGTTGCTAGGTGAAGGCGCGAAGTTAAGATAACCAACACAATAGCTTTGAAAACGACTCAGATCGTGATAATAAATACAGAAAGGTCTGCCCGAACATACCGACCTGCGGCCTGTACCAAGTATCGTGCAACATCCGAGAAGCGTGCACGAATGTCGAGACGCTGTCTTCCTGTGGACGAGCTGGAAATCATCTTATGAACGTCGGTGAGAGCAGACACATATGGCATGTGATCCGTAGGCTGATGATACGAAATCCTTAATGGTGATTGTAAAACGATTCTGAAGGTAGATGGGTCTAGTGAAACCATGTCGTTGTAGTTCGAGCAACGCTAAGTATCCACTGACCAGAGAGAGCACTCAGCCCATTACCCGCTCGTCAAATAATCTTGACCTGTCGAATTGGCAATGCCTCAACGAATTCACAGATCCTCCAAGTCCTTTGTAGAGTGGTCATCTCCGACTGAGAAACGGCTTCAATCTCGATAGTTCCTATCCTCTCGAAGACGCCATTGGTGACCTCTTTAAGAATGAGCCCCATATAAGAAGCTTCTTCTGACAGACTGGTCGGCAAAACGACGAAATCATCTCCAACCCTGACCGGCCGATCACCAGTGGACCAGTCGAAGTCCATACGTGCACTCCATGTTTTTAGCCTGACGTCCGAAGTTGAACGAGGAACTATCTCGAAGCACGGTACTGACTCAAATAGATCCCACCTGATGGCTTCCTTCAACCGAATAGTGTATGTATGGCCTTCCAATGAGATGCTAGCATGTGTGACTTCGCCAACATGCGCCGGTCCAACGTAAGTGTATGACAGGTCCATCAGTCTCAAGCATGGTTCGAGTGATCCGCTCAACCAACAAACATGCATTTGTGAAGATGGCCATGCCCATGTTGGAGAACGGATTTGAGGACACCGCGCTGGCGGCGTCCAACTTTCAAACGACCTCCAGGCGAGATCGGAGAGCAGACTTTTCTTCCACATGCCAGCAATGTATACATCGTCTAGACGTAGCCGCATTTCTCGTTCGACTATGGCAGCGATTGCGGGTAACCGATCGCTTGCATACGTTAAGTCCAGACCAGAATACATGTTCACCAACTTGTGCCAGCGGTCGACTGGATCCTCAATGACTTCAAAGAGTTCCAAGCTTGAAGTGTTGGTCCATGTGTACACGTCCTTGAAGGTCATCCCATTCTCCGAGATGAAGCGAGTGGGGCATTGCCAATAGATCTACTAGTTTAATTAGCCACTTGGATCATGTGTTTAGAACAAACAGAAAGACATCGTACCGTTCAACCCATCTCCAGTCTCAAAGACTTTCGGGGATGCTTTGACATCCGGAGACTGCAAATCTCCAGTAGAAGCGAGCGTTGATGGCTTACCTGGTCCTTACTAAATTGAACCATCCGCGACGACAAAAGTCGCTCTTGGTACACCCAAGCCCTGCTTAGAAGTGGAAACTCAGGATAACCTGGTTCATCTGGTGGTGGGAAGAATCCGCGTATTTCCTGTATGTAGAGCTCGTGAGCCGTTAATTTTCTGGCCCTGTATCGTTTTCGATCTGACGCAAACAAACCACAGTCACTGTTACTAGCCCAAGTAGCCGCAATGGTCAGATGAGCTCGCTCATAGATGATTGCCATCGTCGCTGCCGCTTCTTTCCAGTCATCTTCATCGTCTTGCATGATACCTAAGCGGACACACCTTAGTCAAATATAAACCATCTTACGAGAGCAACTTACAGCATGCATCAATCCATAAAAAGCGAAGATTAAGTCTTGCACATAGACGAACAGCGTCTGCAAAGGTCTTCGGTAGTCGATCGATAAGTATGCCGTCGAACAGATCACTGGAAGTCGTCTTGTCTAGCTTGAGTGCTGGGCCTGATGGGCCCCAACAGTGACTCAGACAAGCATACATGGCTGTTGTTTTTGAATGTTCGCGAAGATAGACATGCTCTCCATCTATCTCAAGGACACGTTTTGGTAATTTGTTGATCTTGTGTCCAGCACAAGTCTCATGATGCTCAACACAGGTTTCGATCCAATTTTGCAATGTTTGAAGAGTTTCATCAGAAGATGTGTCTCCTGGAAGAAGTCTCCTGGTGGGAATAGGTAGTTTGGAGGATGAAAGACCGGGTTGGGTGTGTAGCTCCTGACCTGCAGGAAGTTAAAATCTGTTCTTGTAGTTGGTCTAATTGGTGCTCTCTCCTGTGAAGGCAAGGGTGTTTCAAATCTGTTCGTACATAGACGGTGGGATGTCTTCGCCAAACATTCTCGACTATTCTAGCTATTGAAAGCAAACAGAGCGATATGTGTATAACTTACCTTGTAATCGAAATAGCTCTAGTTCTGTTCTTTCATCTTCGCCTTTGATAATCCATATGCGCCAACTGTCCGCTAGCATTTTGACTCTTGTCATGCTATCCATACATAGTCGTCCAGTGCTATAGGTCGTAATAGCATCAAACACAATACTACACACTTGGCAAGCAGCCGCCACCCCAAGTCGGAGTTTCTTGATATCTGTTCCAACCACGTATTTTTTGTATTCATTCGACGACAAGTCGCAGGGCTCATGGCCTTCGTCTTCAGTTTCGCTATCGGTGGCTGCGGTCAGATCAACTGTAGTGTCGGATGGGCCAACAGGTCCACTATCCAGGGCTTCGGTAGCCATGGCGACCGAATATCATAGACCAGAATTTATATCCAAAGTTATAAGATGTACACGAAGCCGGGGCGGATTTAGCCCCGTTGTGCTCAGTCAGGCTGCAGCCAGGAGGCTGCCAAGACGCGGGGCAGTGCGCGGCCTTGCTGCCAGAGGTGGTGTATCTTTGTGGTACACGCGGGCAGGGATCTCTAAAGCCAATAGTTGAGCTAGATGCGAGTGATCATGTTTGGTGTCCGTCAACGGTTGGTGGCTGGCGAGTTGGATGGAAAGAAGCTTGCTGCGAGCCGCGAATGCTAAGAAGTACCGTCATTCATTGTTCTTTCGCCACAGAATGAACAGTCGCAGTCGCTAACCATTACCAGAATGAAATCATGCATGAACAAACCACATCGTGCGCATTGTACTAGTTCATCGATTCGTCTATCGTAGACGCGTTATTTCATATATCATCTCCATCATGTCCACCAGCATGCCATCCAACTGGTCATGCCTGCCTCATCCCTCCTCCCAAATCATAGTAAAGATAATAAAACTCCACCGACGCCTTGGTTGGGCTCGCTTGGAGCATATATAGGCTTCTGCCCGATATAGTAAATAAAGAAATACAAAGGATATACGAGAATCAAAGTCGTTCCATCGTCATGCCCAATGAGCCCACTACAGTATCTCCTTCAACTTCTCCTTCTGCGCGCTTGTCAAGCTTGTAGGGAACTTGATCTTCACGCCAACGATGAAGTCGCCGCGATCTGAGGGTTTCTTCGATTTGGGCATGCCCAAGTTGGGGTATCGTTCTGTCCAGGTCGGACCTGTGGGGCCGCCGCTGCCAACGCTGAGTTGTTTACCGTCGATGGTTTGTACGGTTCGGCGCCAGCCGGTAAGGGCTTCTTTGAGATCGATCTCGATGGTGTGCTTGACGTCGTCGCCTTCGCGGGTGAACATTGCGTGGGGTTTCTATAGTGTCATTAGTATCGGCTTGCATGTGATGGATGAGAAATCGGGACTTACCTCAGAGACAATGAAGTGCAAATCCTGTGTGCCACCCTCCACCTGGTCGCCCACATCTGAGAACTTGATCTTGCTGCCAGCCTTCAATCCCTTCTTTATCGGTACCTCCAGGATCCGGTCTTGAGTACTTTGCTTGCCGGTACTCTGGTCGTATGTCTTGCGCTTGATCTTGAGCTTCTTCGTGGTGCCATTGTACAGCTCTTCCAGGCTCACGGCGAGCGGCTTCTCCACAACTGTGACTTCGGGTTCTGGTGCTCGTCGTCCGCCTCGGAATTGACTGCCCTTTCTGCCTCCACCACCGCCGCCCATACCGCCCATTCCGCCAGGCATACCGCCCATACCGAAGCCACCGAAGTCAAAGTCATCACCGCCGCCGCTGCTGCGCATGAATTCGCCAAAGATGTCGTCGGCGTTCGAGAAGTTGAAGCCGTTTCCACCGCCGCCTGTCGAGAAGTGGAACGATCGTGCGCCGCCGGGCATACCACCGCCTGATGCGAAGGGGAAACCTCCACCGCCTCCTGCGCCTGCAAATGGGTTCCCACCAGCACCACCGGCATCTTCAGGGTGTGGTACGCCGCCGCGTAGTATGAACTCGAGACCGTATTGATCGTATGTCTTGCGCTTCTCGGGGTCGGAGAGGATCTCGTAGGCTTGTGAGCATTCTAGATGTGCTATTAGTATTCTCATTCCTATCCAACTGAGCTGGGTATGCCATGTACGTACCTTTGAACTTCTCAGCAGCTTGCGGGTTGTCCTTGTTCTTGTCGGGGTGCCATTTCAGCGCCGCCTTCCGGTAGGCCTTCTTGATCTCGTCTTGCGTCGCGGTCTCCGATACGCCTAGAAATAAGTCAGTAACAGTTCATGTGCCTACCCGAGCACCCCGGGCCCTGGCATACCCGCTGTCTAGCAGAGCAAGGCGGTGGAGGGGTATATCCGAGGCAAACGTACCTAATGAATCGTAGAGCTTGGACTCCTTGACCATCTTGAAGTCCTACAATTACAAGAGAAAGATATCTCGTGTATGCGCAATTAGTGTTTGTAAATGTCCTGCGTGGTAGCTTATGAGGTTGGGTCGCATTTATCACTCGAGCTTTGGATGTCTCTCCACTTGTCAAACGGCGCTAGCAGTGACGTCGAGCCTTGATGCGGAGCGAACACAGAGAAGGTTCGAGAAGCTTCAACTACAATGCCATATCCATACAATCACATTCATTGATGTCGTGTATCAAGCGCTCAGATTCAAAATTAGAAACCTGAATTTGTATCACAGGGGTTGCATCGAATCGACATCCACGGGTACCTAGCAATGTGCTGTCGCGCTCCACCCGACGCGCGCTTGTTGTTCCTCGTGGTCTTCCTTGACGCGCCCCGCTTTTACAATCCTAAAAGCTTCAATTTTACAGAGCAGCGTATCGCAGCTATCGTGGACTCTTCATGCATGGTGTTGGATGAGCTCATCCTCAATTTCCGAAGTAATATGCATGTGCAGCCGTGTAGAGGGAGAGCAAGGTGGCTGGGACATGTACCTGCCAGATCCACAGAGTTGCTTGATAGCGCTGTGCTACTAGTAGTAGCGTTTAACATGTTCATCATGCCTGGGTAGCAATGCATGACATTAGCATATTTTTATAATCACGAACGTGATGGCCAGATTGCATGTCTGTGAGCTTCTGATACTCAATACAGGACTGGGGCCGTGACACATCAGCAGCGATTTGCATCAACATGAAAGACCCATCGACAGCTCATGGACACGCTGCAAGAGTTACCCAATCTCAATAGCTCGTGCAGAGTCAGTAAAGCCTAGACGCACCACTGCACATCGTAATGACCATGAGGAAGAGTCAGAAAGATGAAGTTTAAACAGTGAATTGAACATGTCTAGCAACAAGCTATATCGCACGTCAACACGCAATCGACCACCTTTGTCGCAGAAAGCTTCGACGCGCCAAAAAACGCCGGCATGCCCATGATCCCAAACGCCATTTTCCGGTATGCTACATTTGAAGAAGCTGGTATCCAAGGATAGAGTAGTAGTAACTATGACATGTACACGATTTTGTGGTGTACAGCGCTTTTACAGGCAAGCAGCGATGCGCGCTGTTGCTTTGTTCGGACGTCCATCGTTCAGATCTTGATCGTTTAGTCGGAGTCGCTGTCAGAATCACCCTTGCTCTTCTTCTTGTCCTTCTTCTCGGCCTTAGCGGCCTTCTTCGCAGCCTTCTCCTCCTTCTTCTTGCGCTTGCGCTCGGCCTTGTCTTCATCACCCTCGTCGTCGCCGTCACCACGGCTCTTGCGCTTCTTGCTCTTCTTGTCGGCGACCTCGGCTTCCGCCTCAGCCTCTTCGGCAGGTGCGAGACCAGTTGCGGGGACAGCAGGAGCGGCGAGGACCTCGGACGTGGAGGTGGTCTCAGCGACAGGTGCGGAAGCGCCATCGACGTCGTTCCTGTTGAAGTCCTTGTACTCGGTGTTCCACTTAGCGGGAGTCTTGTCATTGGGGCGGCCGAATTTCTGGACCCGTTAGTATAGCACTCGCAACTCTAACGTTGAATAACTTACGTCGAGAGTGCCAGCCTCCTTCATCTTCTTCTTCTCGGTGGCGACTGGGCCCATACCCCACCTCCTGGGGTAAAGGTCGCGCTCCATGATCACACGCTTGATCTTCGCAACGACACCGTGGTCGCATGATGACATCTCAACGGCAGACATCTGCGCGTATGCGAGCGCAATAGCCTCACCCTTGGTGGTCATGAGGACAACCTCCTCGTGGATCTCAATACCCTTCTCGAAACGCAGCAGACCGGGAAGCATGAGCTTAGCACCGTAGCAGATAGCGTTGACAGAGCTGTCCTTGACGACGATACGCTTGTAGCTCATCAGAAGACTCTCGAGAGGTGCGATGACCTTGCGAAGGTAGGCCTCGTCGCGATTGTTGTCGTGCAGCCACTGGGCATCGAGAACGTCATGCAGAGTGACCAGGTCCTTGGTCTCGTCCATAGCTCCAGACCTGACACGGCGCAGCTCCTGCATGTGAGCGCCAACACCGAGCAAAAGACCAAGATGCACGCAAAGAGTACGGATGTAGGTTCCGGCCTCGCAGCTGACCCAGAAGACACCGAGCTGCCTCTCATTGTCAAACTCGTAAAGCTTGCTCTCGTGGATAGTTCGGATACGGAGTTGACGCTTGACGGCGGAAATGAGCGGGGGACGCTGGAACAGAGCTCCGGTGAGCGTCTCAAGGGCACGCGCAAACTGCGCCTCGCCTCCAGGAAGCTTGTCGTGCATGCGAATGACGCAAACGTACTCCTTTCCGGCTCCCTGCTGGGACTTGACGAGACGGGTGGCACGATCAATGCAGACGATGAGGCAACCAGTGACCTTGGGGTCGAGAGTACCGCTGTGACCAGTCTTCTCGACTCTTTGGAGTGTGTTAGCTGACTGCGCCTGAAACAAGTCACGAAGTTTCTTCCTACCTCAGCATGCGCTTGATCCATGACACGACTTCGTGAGAGGATGGGTTGGACGGCTTGTCGAGGTTGATGACACCAGAGCTAATGTACGACTTGAGGTCTCGCGATAGCGGCGCGCAACCGTTGGGGATGGGAGTGTAGTGCGATGTGCGAACGAGCACTGTACGCGCATTAGCAGAGCATTCTGGAGCTATGGGGAAGCTGCAGCATACGGTCGCTGTAGTTCTTGAGCAGCAAGGGCCAGTCGCTGGTGTCGATGGCAGGCGCAGCCGCCGCTGGCTTGATCACATACGCGTCGGGATCGGTCTGCACGAGAGCCATGGCGATTATTGTGTTGGTTGGTGGTGTTGCAATTGGCGATGCGATGTTCTCGAACTTTTTCGCAGTATTTTCGCGGCGTCCAAGCTATTGGACGCATGGACCACCCCACACGGAACTTCTGTCGGGCCGTCATCTAGTCCGAACACGCCTCAGATGTGCGAGATGGCTGGACTACAATATTCGGTGGCGCGGCAGTGGTTATACAGCATAACACAAAAATATACCAGACGTCAAATCATTACAAGTTCGTTGAATTATCAATACAGAAGGCGATTGACACCAGTGGAATGTGACTATCTTACACAGCACCTATTGACTAGTGACTAGCTATCCTAGTTCACTACTTGACCATACTCGTTACTATGTAGAGTGCCAATGTCCCCACTGCGGACCCCCTGATTGTGGTTCAGTATTTCGTTGTCTCCAGTACTACGAAGAGTGGTTCCATCCATCTTGCCATCGACACCCCGTTGAACACCAGGTTCAATCAGACTGCCGTGGCTGCTGGGTACATCCGGCCAGAACGCCTCCTCAGCATCGAGCAGCGCTCTCCAAATAGGGTCAACCCTAGCCTTGACCTCTGCCCATCTTCCATCGTCTCGATCAACGGCGTCGCTTACTCCTTCATTGACGATGCGCTCAAGCTGCTCGACGAACATGAGGAAGTCGCGGTTCGACCAGTTGGGAATGAATTCTCTTCGCATCGCACCGCCATCCTGGTCGTTGTCGTAATTTCGAGGAGAAGACTGAGCGTCTTGTCGGCGAGCCCAGGACCAGGCCTCGTAGTATACCTTCTCGGTTGACCATAGCAAGATGGCACCTTCGAGCCAAGGTATGAATGTGTTTGGCTGTTGAGAAGCGACACTGGCGAACAGCGCTTCGTAGCGACGAAGGCCTTCTGACTTTACGTTCTCTTGAAGTGGTGTAGCTGGGAGGTCGATTTTGTAGATTTCAGCAACTTCTTGGAAGAATCGTAACTCCCTCTCTCCGTTCTTGATGGCAGACTCTAACCACGCAATAAATCGTGTTGGAATGTCTGGCTCGTCACCAGGTGCAGTTGTTGATCTATGTGTACTGCGAACAAGGTTCAGGGTGTGCTTAATAGTAGAGAGGTAACCTTGAAGGTATTGCCTATCGTTTGCAAGCCACTGAGCGATCAAAGATTTTGGTAGGGTACCCTTTGCGGCACGCTCGAGGAAGGGGTGGTTGGTAACGCGGTGCAGTTGGTCATTGTTGATGGCGAGGAGATGAGCTGTGACTGCCCAAGGGAGGTTGGTGGGGTCGAGTTCGCTCTTGCTGGCCCAGGTTCCTGGGTGGTGGTGAGGCATGGTAAATATCGTTCGCGTAGGATTTGTGATATCTGTATTGAACGGTGTATGTATTCGATGAGGTACATAATGGGAGTCGGGCGGGGTAGCAAGCTACTTATATGCTAGAGTTACAATGCTTGCCAAGCGAGACGATGGCTCCGAGGAGACGTAATTACGTGTTGAGGCTGAGGGCACAAGGAGCATGAAGCTATCGCCAAGGAGAGTGGATGGTGCCCAGGTGTTGAAGTGAACGCATGACGTCGGTTCGGAAACATCGGAGTTTGGAACGCTCTGAGTGGTGCAGAAGCATGGCGAACCGGAATCTAGAATCACCACACACAACTTGGCAGACCATTTCTCAGCGGAGCTCTTGGCGATATGAGGCTTCTATACGCTAAAATACTTGTATATGCGGAAGTTTGTGGCTGAACCATGGCGGAGCTGCTTGGCGCATGACGATGCCGCCACCCGTGAGCTGCTGCTGGTGTGATCTTTGGAGTGACCCGGACAAAATTCGGATAGCGATATTAGTATACATGATCATCCGAGCAAGCTGCTCAGTCAATGGACGTTGTGTGTGCTTATTGATGCCAGCATAATGCCGGTCGTTTGGCGTTTACATGACCTTTGTCTGGCGTGGACGCTTGTCACGCCTTCACACATGGCATGTCGTGATGCGTAAGACGAGCGGGGTATAAGAATCTAGGCAAACTTTAACTTGTCTCTTGAGGGGTACTTGGAACACCAAGATATTCTGGTATTGGTGTTGGTGTTTGAGATGAAGAAGTACAGATCTAATGTGTGAAGGCAGTCCCGACACCTCGGCCGCTGCCTTACAGTGCCCGTGCGTCAGTTAAGCACCAACGCCAGTTAAGCACCCCCAACAACTCAATATAGTCAACAAAATAAGGTTATAAAGCTACTACAAATTATAATAAAATTACGCAAAAGTAGATTTATACTATATATAGGCTTATAAAACTTTTAGCTTATTTAGATATTTTTTTAGATAGCGTTATAGGGCAGTCTTATTAACTACGTAGTAGAGCAGCTAGTATAACCTATACAGCTCCTACTATAGTTATAGTAATACTACTACGCTTTTAACGCTTTATAGCTAGCTTATAAGCTTTTAAAGCTTTATACTTACCTAATTTAGATAATTATATAGCTTTAGTAGCGTCGCAGAGGCTTCTATAATACTCTTTTTTAGCTTTCTCTATAGCCTTCTGCTTTCTAGTCTCCTCCTAACTCTTTTCTTACTCTATACGCCTTATAGCTTTAAGCTTTGCCTTATAATTATAAGCTACTTTACTTACTTTAGCTTACTTAGCTTTTTAAAGCTTTTTAAGCTTAGCTTATTATTATTATTATATCTTATTATCTTAAACTTATTTAACGCTTATTAGTAACTACTAAATAGCTCTACTATAATACTTAGGATAATCTTTAAGCTATAAAGTATAAGATTTAGTTTCTTACTTTTTCTTAATAGCTAGAAACTACTTAAGGCCTTAGAGTTTACTATAAAGGAGTATATTTTAAGCTATAAAGTAGTATAAACTTTATTAAAGCTTTTTAACTTCTTTACTACTTTAATCTCTTACTTTCTAACGTATAATTAACTTTAGCTTAAGCTAATTCTTAGTAAAGAGTATAGAGCTTAAACTAGCTTCTAAATCTAACTTTTCCTTAGTAAACTTATTAAGTATAACTACTAGATTAGGTAAGTATATACTAGTTACTTTAAAAGACCTTTTAATAAAGAAAGGTTTAAAAACCTTAACTTAGGACCTCTAGAAAAGTAAGAAGAAGTCTCTTTTAGTTATATTAAGTAATCTTTAGTAGTTTTAAAAGTATTAAGTTAGCTCTTTTAAGTAAGCGTTTACTAAAGGTTTAAATATTACTTTATTAAGTAGTTAAAGCGTATAGGTAGTATAAAGTAGATATATAGCTAATAAGATCTTATAATTATAATAATAATTAATAAAGTCTATTATAATATAAGATCTATAGCTGTTAAGGAGTAGTAATTAATACTTAGTTAAAGTATACTACTAAGTTTCTCTTTTAAACACCTCCTTAAGCTAATATAATCTAATATTATTATTACTTTAGCTAGAGGGCAATAACGTAGTAAAGACTAAGTAGTTTTCTACTTATATAGTATTAACTTAGCTAGTTTATATAGCTTTATTAGCTACTTTAAAGATAAGAAAAAGACTTAAAACGCTCCTATCTAAATAAATATAAGCTATAATAGTAATCTACTTACTTAAGCTATCTTTAAGTAGTTAGCGTACCCTCTTTTTTATATAACGTGCTTTAGAGAAAATACGCTTTATTCTACTAATCTTTCTAAGTTAAAACTTCTTTTTATCTATATTAAATATATAAGATAGCTAGACGTTATACTTCTCTATCTTTTTAATTAAAAGCTTAAAGTATAAGCTATACTTAGCT